CTTTCCCCCGCGATAGGAACAAGGACTTATGCACGTTATGCTCGTGTATCCTACATTGTAGCAATGGGTTTAGTCAGTGCGGATTGGATACCTAGGTCCATCCTTGTACTTTGTTCATGCATTGAAAGAAAGAGCCAGTTAGATGCCAAAATGAAGCAATGGATGAGCTTACTGTACATACTCGAGCAAATTGTAGCCTAGGTATGCACGGGGTACGAAATACACGACGCTCAACCCCAATCCACGTGGCTCAAAGCATATCCGATAGATAGATCTAAGTGACGTATCACACGCACTGAATGTTCTCGATCTGTATAGAATCTCCATAGAAGAACTAGCCAAGTCCATTACAAGCCCCCTTGTATAGTACATGGCATCAATGTGCATTGTATCCGACCACTTGGATCTATGTATAACATAATAAACTTTCCTCAAACTCCGCGGATACCTGGACCAGTCTTCTTGGCAGCTTGCTCAGCGCAATAACAGCAGTAAGGGGGCCCCTGCCTTCAAAGGAGCGAGCGATAATCGGTAACTAATGAGGATGAACCGGGATATGGCGGATGATATTGGGTTAACGCTAATATCGCTCTGTAGGATTATAGGACATGCGCGGTATCTCCGAACTGTGCTGCCCAGACTATTGGTGTCCCGACATGATGATCTGTGGACCGCTCGGCACAGTCTAGAGAAGACAGCTGACGTGTCTGACAAATGTATAAGATAGAGACCTATGGTCTCGGGCTTGCGGCCTTTTCTGGATCCGAGTTCCTTGGGGCGCTATAGGATATAGTGGAGTTTTAGATCTACTGACGTGGAAGAAGACAAGGCGAGATAGAAGGGAGCGGGAAGGGCGGAACAAGAGAAAAAGGAGAAAAAGGGTACATAATTGTGTATACATGGAGATATGTACTCCGGAGTTTGATATTATAACCATTAGGGAATAGTCCCAACGTCCCGTGAGGCTCAAGAATCTGGTGATCTAAGAAAAGAATCGAACTAAAGGATTTCCGACCGCTGAATCGAAACGGTGCATACAGATGGCGATAGACACATGCGATCCTTCTTCAAATATTACAAGGGGCTATATGCTATGTTTAACTCTATACTGTACATGAAACATGACACACATCATAGTCATGTATGCCACTCCCAAATTTTCATTATCCTGAGACGAAAGGAACGGAGAATAATCTGAACTAATTTGCTGCTCCCTGATTCCACAGGGGACAGCCAGTATGACAGCACAGTTCATTTGGATTGATCCGACGGCCGTGCGTTTAACTCTTGCTAGTTAAAGATCAGAACTAGAAGGCGCCACAATCCCCCTTAAACGCGCCGGGGCTAGAATGAAGCCAAAAAACAAGGAACAACACGAGATCGCTCGCCAATATGAAACAAACCATTTGTTGTTGGGGGCTTTGCTATCCAAGGTTTAATTTAGTTACTGTACTCCCGCTTGCTCTCTTGATAGTGGGGAAATGGGGAAAGTTTCAAAAAAATCCCTTTTTTGTTTGCGCCAGGAACCATGGCGGTTCCCCAGATTGGAACCGATGACTGGCTGGGCCAGGATCCGGACCAGTGAAAAAAGCGGTGGAATGGACCGATGCTCGTAATTGTATGGATCAGATCCCCCGTATAAGTTCTCCTGTGCGCTCAGATAATTTTCTCCACGTGTCCACGTGGGCATGAAAACCGGGCCACATGGGCCTCTCGCACGAAGACGCTTGGAAAGACCGTGGAACATTTTGGAGAAATCTACTCCGCCACGCGGGGGCCATAACAACTTTGAAACTCCGTTGTTTCGAACCACACGGGGGTGAGTCAGAAATAGTGTTGGGCGCTAACAGGGTCTCGGTAGCGAACCGTAAGTAAATGATAAATGATAAACAATAAATATCATATCATATTAATCATAATCTAATAATATTCGGAATCGAAATCGGAATCTTGGGAATCTTAGATCATAATAGCTGTACATATGTATTGTAACCATGATCACTGGCAAGATTGAGAAGAAACAGTGGCGGTCTCCACTTCTGCTTAGAAAGACGAAAATGTTCTACAGCTCCATACGGAGTACACTTACGCTTTTACTTCCAAGGTTCTACCGTAGTGAAACATGTGATGTGCGTCCCCTCTTTACTCAAATTCTCACGGAATCCAAACTCGTCGGCATCGGCATCAAACCCATCGTATCGTTGGGGGGTTTTCCAGTCTTCCGAGAGCAACAAAGAATATCCTCCGACATAATTCCGATTGGGGTATGACCCGAACATGAGAGATCGGTGTAAACCGCAGTGTATCTACACCCATATTGCACGCTGATTTCATGGATCTTTTTTTTTTGCCACACCGATAAGGTTCCTGACAGTAACCTTGGAGGGGCATGTACTGTAGGGATTTACCACGTGTTTTGGGCTCAACTTGAGTTGGCGAAAGGTCATCATTACCCGATTAGTCTAGGGGGCCGAGAAAGGTCCACATTGGGTCCATATTGGTGGGGCATTTCCAGTGGCTATGGAGAATGGAGAGCCTGAGAGAGAGAGAAGGAGGGGGATCGCGAAAACGAAACAGAAACACGATTGGAGTAAGAGTGGGGCCAATGAACAGGGAAAGACGCCATCATGAACCAATCAGAGTATCTATTGAGTCATGAAGAGTTAGAACACCCTGATAATGGATAGAAGCACCTGCTACATTAGGCAACATAAAAGCCTAACCTGTGTAGTAATAGTGGTACGAGAAGAGAATACCACATGTGCAGAGAGCAGTTTCTGGAGGCTCTTCATTATGTCGAATGGACAGCTGGGCGGTATTAGACTCAAGCTAATACCCGTCAGAATACAAGGGGCGCACATCATGATTCAAGCGCGGAATGAGAGGGGGTTTTCCCGCCCTTTCACACTGGTACGGTATTTACCTGTAATTCTGATCCCGGTCGTCAGCACAACTTGAAGGATCTTCACGGATCTATTCGGCTCTGAGGTTCCAAGGTTTGGCCCTGGCCCAAGGCTTGGGTCAGCGGGTGGTGAAATCATTGACTGAAAATATTGGTTTGAAGAGATTGATTAATTAATATAATAGTATAGAGAAATAGAGAAATGGGAGAGAGTAGGGGAATTTGGAAGCCCCAGGACTACCTGATAGACTGTGGAGTTTACTACGTTCATACCCCCAATACTTGCGGACACACCCTCCCCATATTACACGTGACCTCAAATCGGCAGAAAATTCCCAAATACCTGCCCCTAATAAAATTGCCTCAAAAAGCAAGTGTATTGCTTGATGCATACCGTTGACTATATAGACTAAGGAGCGTTAGGCTCGGCGCGGGAAGGTCGCGGGGTACCGACGTCGCATCGTGGCTACATGTACTCGACATGAAGTTATACAACATCTTCATTCAATACTTTGTTGGGATAGAGACCTGAAGCTCTCTGTACAAGTTTGGGTACATATACATAGAGGGTTTGGCGGTGGGAAGGGCGGTGGAATGAGGTTAAAATGATTGGCTACAGCCGTGGAGTTTATGTGGGGAGGGGTGTGAACGAAAGGATTGGGGGTGTGAACGTAGTAAACTCCTAGACAATTTTCTCGATTACACGATCGGAGGATGTCTAATTCCGATAGTGTAATTGAAGGTGGGACTGCATGGGGGTAGAGATAAATACTAGTGGGTATATTTGTATCGCGCAAGGAGAATTATTGACTCTAGGAATAACAGATACAACAGTAGAGTTGTATAGAGAAGTTGAGTCGTTTATATATTATATTGTATATACTCTTGGACTTCCGGGAGGTAGTGATTTGATACAGGGATAAATAATGTAAATTAAGCATAGCCCTGGAGAATGAATAAAAATAAGCCCTGAGACTATCTGGGTATGGAAGATGCAACATTTGAACGAGGCTGTTTTGAAAGAGCCGTGGATACCGTGTAATACAGGTAATGATACCACCCTGCACGAAATCAGAAACAAGGAACCCACCGATCTTCAAACCATGAGGCAATCCTTTCCCTTGGCCTTGCCCACGTTATTTGGATTGCAGCACACCAAACTGTTTCCGGGCTCACGCGTGGGTTGTGGGTCAAGGATGACAGGCATTTCTTCTTCACAGGCATTCATAGGTATTCACCATCAAAGGGGGGAGAAAAATATATTCTTTTGTTCCTGCTAGATTTATTTTGATGAAAGGGATTGGAATGCATAAATAGAAATAGGATTTTTATTCTCCTATCTGTCACTTACTCCCTATAGTAGAGACTATTGTCCTCTATCTATTTTTCTAGAAGATCGACGGCCCAGATGATTACTCGTTTTGGGCCGTTTTTCTCATTCCCCCCCTCTTTTTTTAATTTTTAATTTTTTTTCTTACTATTTTATTTTGTTTTATTCTTTTTCTTTTCCCGATTTTGTTTTATTCACTATTTTATTCACTATTTTATTTTATTTTTATTTTATTCATAATATTTCCCATATTATTCCCATTCTATTATAATATTAGAATAATTTTTATTTATTATTTTTCACTCCCATATATATGACTAGTATTATGGACAGTGCCCTACACTTTCACTCCCCCAACCCCTTCTTAAACTGAACAATACCTCTATTACACCTATTCTTTCTCCCTTTTTATCCCCCCTTTTTTGATTACTTGTTGCTCGTACACTAAAAAAACCAAAGAGACAGTTCCACTTCTCTTTCTCTAGTTCCAGTCTCTCTCCCGGTTGTATAATCCCTTTTTTATTTGATTTTTGATTTTTCTTATTATACAAATTCCTTTTATTATTTTGGTCTCCATTTTTTTAATTTCCATTTTTTCCATTTTATTTTATTTTATTTTTTTATGATTTTATTTTCTGTTACTTGCCCCCCTCTCCCCTTTTACAGAAGTGTACAGATCGTGGCACTTGTTTGACTGTATACCCACTTTTCACACTCTTCCCAAAGTCTGGTTCACCCAAATTCCTTTTTCCCCCAAAAACCCATTCAATGCCAACCCTACCTTCCGTGAATCATAACCGAGACGATTCTCTCTCTCCTGCAGTTCCTGATCCTCATTCTAATTCTATAACTGCTACTCACCCACACCCTCCTTCCCTAACATCTGCCTCTGGCCCGTCTACTTCACATACCACCTTCACAGGCTCCGTTGTAGGCTCCATCTCCCGGCGCAATCGTCGCTCTTTCGCTGCCTTGGCCCAGAAAACTTCCAGTGCCTTTGCCAGTTTATCAACAATCAGCCAAACTGCGCCTTTACGTTCATACCCGTCAAATAGCAGCCTATCCAGACTATCGAGAACATTCAGCACATCCCCCTTGACCCCACCACTATCAGACGGGGAAGCCCACGACCTACCGGATTCTGCGCGCCCTGATTCTCCCGCATTGGTCGACTTGAACACCACGCAGAAACGACGCTTGACTTTACAGCGCATTCAGACTCCCTCGGATTTTCGCCCTGTCTCCTCGGGCACAGTCCCAGTCGCACTTCCCAAGATGCACCAAACCTCGTCTCGGTTGTTGCGCATGACCGAAGATGAGCGCCCTTTCACCAAGGTACGTTTGACTTACTAGAAAATTGCAAATTGAGAGAAGGAGAAATGGCTTTGGCGGAGGAAAAGAACAAAGAAGGAAAAGGAAAAAAAAAAGCGAAACAAAGGCGATTGATGGATTTGAGTGCTCATATATTGGTATTTTCTAGGATTTTATGGACTTGTTCTCCACGTTGATGGTTAGCTTGAAGTTGGACACCCACCGTGTTCGCTTCACTCGTTATGATCACACTTTTACCTCAGAGGAGGCCATTAACAACCTTGGCTCCCTCAAATTCTCCCAATCAAACCGCATGCCCGACCCCAAGGACCCCTCCCGAATTGTCACCACTACCACGACCACCACATTCTCCATGGCCAAGGAAATGGCCCGTTCCGTTTGTCAACGATTTGTCGACGCCCGATTCATCGAGTCCGTGGACGGCAAGGCTTTACCGATTTTCCCATTGAAGGGTGCTTTGTTCCAACTTACGCCAAAGGGAATCAACATTTTACAGCGTTTCTGCCAACGGAATGGAATCACAGCCCGTCACGTGATGGATGTCTTGGAGTCACCGCGTAATACAATGCAATTGGTGAACTTGGAGCGAGACATTGAAACCGATAAACTGTCGCATGATCGCGCCACAATCGAAGTGATTTTCCGCCGATTTGCCGGTCAGGAAGGCCCCAATATCAAAAGCAGTGTTTCAACCTCAGACAACGATTCATTAAGCGATTACTCCAATGGGTTAATTGGTGTGAAGATGGCTCGGGAGCGGAAATTGCAGGATGGCAAGATTTACAGCAACACCTTCACTGGAAAGGGGGCCGTAGATTGGTTGATGGATTGCTCTACTACCATTGAGCGCCGGGAGACTTGCTTAATTGCTGAGCTGTTCCTGAAGTATGGTCTGATGACTATGATTCAGGATGATAAGTCTTTCCCCGATTCGAACGCCGTTTTCCAGCCTTCCAAGTACTCTATTTACTGCATTACAGAGCGCGGTCAACGTGTGTGTGGATGGATTGCTCGTGATAAGAACCGTGAAGTCGCCAACACTACTTATGATAGCCGTGGTATGCCCCGCGACTCCAACAACGCCCGCCTTACCCACATCCTCGGTGACCCTGCTCTCCGCCTCCTGTTCCGCGAGTTCCTCCGTTACTCCCTCTGCGAAGAGAACCTGTCGTTCTATCTGGATGTTTCCGAATTCACTGCCAACTACCACAAGGCCGAGAAGGCTGGTGTATTCAGCAGGGTAGACTCCGTTCGGGAGACATTGGCTGCTGCTTATGGTGAGTTTCATCTAAAAGTTTGACTTTTTATTTGTTTTGCAATCTAACAATCTGAAATAGGCCTTTACAACGCCTTCTTGGCCCCTGGTTCCCCCTGCGAGTTGAACATCGACCACGCCCTTCGCAACAGTCTGGCTAGCCGAATGACCAAGGCGGTCGGTGATGATGAGTCCATGTTCAAGAGTCTTCAGGAAGTTGTGCATCTTTTCGAACTTGCCCAGACATCCGTTTTCAAGTTAATGTCAAGTGTATGTCTCCCTGTGCTAATCTCTTTTTTGTCCCTCGTTTCATTCGTATTGACTTTTATTGCAGGATTCCGTTCCCAAATTCCTCCGTGACCCCAAGTACTCCGTTGTTCTGCAAGAGCACGACGTCGACATTTTCGGTGGATCTCGCTCGTACTCACCGACACCCGTCGCCCCGGAACGCAGCATGAGCCGTTCTGTTCGAACATGACAATTACCGCGAGGCAGCGTTGATGTTCCCTACAATATAGCAAACGGTACCCGGCCGCATCGCAATTCGATCGCTCTCCCTACCCCTGTCAGCTCATGATCGCCAAGCTTCCAACGACATTGTCCCTTTTCACTTCTTTCAAAAGTCTTGGACTCGGGCTTTGACAGATGCGAAACCAGCCAATCGAGTCGGTTCCGCTCCCGTAAAGCTGTGCGACTGCAACTCGGGGATCACACCCGCGACGGGGATGCTTTTCCCTAGGGAAAGTTAGAACTGGGTTATCTCCTATTTTCTACCCCAGCGATATGACACCAACATTGTCATAATTGAATCGCCTTGGCTATACAGACCATATGTTTCCCTTCCGCCTCCTTGCACACTTTACACTCATGCTATGCCGATTCGAGACTGGTACGGGATTTCTGTACTGATGCTCTCGTCTCGTCTCATCTCGTTATAATTTCCACCGCCACGAGATATTTTCTTTTTCCTTTTTTTTCACCATCAGATGAAAGACGTTAATGATCGATGCCTCATGTCATAGAGAAGGCCGAAATCAGGCACCACTTGTAATATTTGGACGACATTTCTTTTTCTTTTCTTTTCTCTTTTCATTTCTTGTCTTTTCCTTTTACTCCCGGACTATTTGATTCCCCCTTGAGTCCGGTTTTCATCAGATACTTGACTTGACCAAGTCATCTATCTGGATACCGAATCACGCAAAAAATAAAGCAAAAGAAAAAAAAATATCTACGACCTCAAAAAAGACGGGTGGTTGATTCCTGCAAGCCTTTTTGTTTTCTGTTGAGCATCAGACACGGCGTTTATTTTTATTTACCCTCTTCTGCATAAATGCTTTGCTTGGTGCCTTAGCTTCTTATTTCATTTATTTCCTTGATTCATTTCTTTATTGTCCATCTTGCATGCATGATTTCCTTACGTGAGCATTACGTCCATTTCTTTTTGTCGATTGCATTATAATCTGTTTTGGGCACAGCGAGTGAGTTTCTACTTTTGTATGCCATAGTATATTGATTCCCATGGAATTGCAATGGACATGACGATCTCATCTTACTATTTTCTATATCATATCTCCTACATTCCGTTCTAGCCAGTAAGTCGAAATAGAATTCCAATCCATAGTCCAAGGCAAACTAAAGTAGTAGTAGATACCGATACTGCCTTCCTATTTTAGATTCAATCTAGACCCAGCAAATTCAATAAGTGCTTCATTAGTGTATCATTTATAATATGCATGTATAAAGTACTAGTACATAGAGTCTAGATTTCCATGTCGATCTAGATCTTGATAGCCTGGTTGTCATATTCAAGTTTTCCTAACCTGGCGTGATTGATCCATGGATATCCCAATTCCCCCAACTTTCGCCACATGGGCCCAGACTCAGTTCTCGTATCAGATATCCGGTGCCCTACAAGAATTTGACAGGCGTCTAGACCTTTTAGACCCTCAGGCTGTTGTTTTTTAGATTTCCAAGGTTTACTTACTAAATATTAAATAAGAAGTAGGTTAGTATAATAAACAGATACTAGAGGATGGACTAGACTAGACTCAACATGTGTATCATGTGGTTCGTTTAATTTTTCTATTCTTCCTTCTTGATTTTGTAAAACAGAACTCTAATCTAATTCTACTTCTACTTCTCATACGGATTAGGAATATGAATAGGAACCGGAAATCGAAGTGAAAATGTTTTCAAGGCTGATTTACACACCCACAACGCCAGAGAACCATGTACCCTATTTATCATATCGGTGAATTACATTTTTGAAAAGGAAAGAAAACGAAAAGAGCAGGAAGAACAGGGGAATCAAAGTCGGTAAGTGGGTAAGTCGAGTCGAAAGAACCGAGGTCAACAAGATGAGACAGAGTATGGAAGAAGAGAAGAAAAGAAAAGATACTACCTAAGTACGGTACGTATCATCATTTCGATCCCCAACCTCTAAGCCTCATCCCCTCCTCAATAGCAGTCCAAATACCCTCAACAACCTCCCGATCCCTCCACCGTCCACCCCCATGCAAACCACCCTTCTCGTCCCACCGCTCAACAGCATAACTCTGCACACCACGTCCCCACCCCTTAACAGTAGCAGGGATATCCTCACCCCTCCACCCAACATAAATACCCGTAGCATGCTTAAAAAGCTCCGGCGGCGCAGACCACTTATAAGACTTGAACTGCCACGTCTGACCAGTCGTAAAAACAGCAACAAGACGAGACCAGTACTCTGGCTTGAAGTTAGTTGTTCCATCGACAAGGATGAACTTCGTAGGCTTTAGGCCGCGGCTACCGCTTCCTGAGCCAACGGCGTTGGCGTTCGGATTGGATGGGTCAGCCTTTAGACGGAGGGGGCGCTTAAGTTCCATGAAGTTTGCCTCTGTGGACATGCTGAGGGTTGGGTGGTCTGGTGGGACGAAGACGCCGTCTTGGAGGAAGGATTTGATGTTTGACATGCGGATTAGAGAGGAGGCGGAGGGGGAGAGGAGGATGATCGGGTCTGGTCTTGAGTGTGTTTTGCGGGAGCTGCTCATTGAGAGACCGGCTGATGGAGCGGGGATTAAGGGCTTGCTTCCTGGTTTGGCGGGTTGGCCTGGTCGATTGCGGTTGCGGTCGAGGAAGATCTCGGCGCTTTTACGGACGTGAGAGAAGTCCTGTGGACATATATTGTTAGTTATATGTTCGTGTGTTGGAATTCAATCAATGTTGAAGAAAGTGGATATTTAAAATGGATGAGTGTATATATGGCAGGCAAGAATCAAGACTCACAGTTGCTTTAATTCCTCTCAGGACAGTATTCCGGTCTCCTGTCTTTCTCTCTCCATTGTAAATCTCCTGTAGTTGGGGATCAATCGCTTTCTGTGCACGACCCTGGCCACCAGCCTGTGTTGACGCGCCCGCACCACTGGGCACAGTAGGAACGCCCGTCGCACCAGAAGCAATACCGGCCGAGGCATCAGCCTGCGCAGCACCAGCAGCGGCGGCGGCAGCAGCAGCAGCCGCAGCAGCCGCGCCCTCAAGAGGCTTAATATACTCGCTTTCATCTGAAGCGCCCTCAAGCCAAGTAATCAGATCCAAACGCTCAACGAAAACAAGGTTCTGGACCTCATCGGCCTCCTTAAGTTTAAGCGCTTCATTGAGTTCCTGGGCGGAGGCAATGTATTCCGGGATAGCGACGTCTTTCTTCTGCCACGCGAAGAAGATACTGCGCAGGTCGACGGCGGATGTAAGGGTTGCGGAGACAAAACGAGTGGGTGTGTTTAGAGGGAGAGACTGAGGTGTTGGCTGCAAGAAGAGGAGGTGTGTTGCTTCGGCGAGGTTCTCTGTCGCATGGTCGTTGGAGAGCTCTGGAGAGGTTGTTGGTGTTGGGAGGCTGTCCGAGGCAATGGCGCGACGCAGCGAGAGGAGAGGGTCTTGCTGGGTTGGGTCGGTGGTCGCCATTGATGAGGATGAGGGAGCGAGACCCTTGAGGAAGCTGGGGGTTGGGATTGAGGTGTCGGAGGTTGCGGCGTGAGGTTGGTTGGATTTCACGATTGGGGCTCGGCGCGATGCACGTGACTTGTGCGTTCACCAGTTGGTCTTAGTATGGAGATGGTGACTTTTCATATTCAGAGGCTTCTAAGGCAATTGTTTATTGTGGAACTTTAACTTTAATTTTTATTAGCCCTGAGGCTACGAATAAATAAATTATGCACTGGAAATGTAAATTGAATGAAGAAAAATAAGTCCTTCCCATTCAATCGTCATAACTAGGCGACTGTTGTATGTTGTCACGGCTCCACAAGCTCCCCAGGTTCGATCTACAGATGTTGATATTTCAACCACTCACAATTATCTTTCAACGAGAGTAGCATGCCCCAGGACTTATGTACTTCCACATCCAGCTCCATGCACCCAAAAGAGCAGTGATACCAGTAAACAGGATCAAAGTCCCATATTGAGTATCATACCCCGTTGTCCCATCATGTCCCAGAGAACCCTGGTTAATCAACACCGTACTCAAAGGCCCACTAATAACATTTCCAATACCCCGTCCACCAGCCAAAAGACCAAAGACGAGTCCAGTCTCCAGCGACGGTGACGAGTCCCGCTTTATCTGAGTAATAACACCCGACCAAGTCGAGCTGAACCCACCAGCGAAGAAACCGTAGGACATGGAGAATACAGTTAACAAAGCCATCCCAGCCTGTGAAGAGCCTTGACCGGACGATGACATTCCCCAGAAGAGAAGAACAGAGAGTGCGGATCCCACGGAAGATAAAAGTAGCACGTTGCTGACGTTGAAGCGGTCGCAGAGTATACCCACTGCAATCCCGCCGAAGACGGAAGTTGCATTAAATAGGGAGACGAGCAATGTGCCCATGAAGTCTGGGAGGCCAACTGTTCCAGTTGAGTAGGATGGCAGATACGTAGATGGTAAGAAGTAGCCGAAACTTTGAATGATGTTTCCTGCTTGGAGCATCCAGAAAGTAGTCATTTTGAGGAAGCTGAGATCCAGACGTCGAGCCGACGCTGATGGTGATACTGGAATGCGAGGCTTCATGTATGGCAGTGATAACAATACTGTGAATAGCTGTACATAATTAGTTAGTATTCAATGCCGAGTTATATCTTCATTTGGGCTGGATTTATTTGAGTAAAGGGCAAAAGGTCCAAACTATACCGTAAGCAGAGTCCACGCCTTCAAAGTGGTACTGGAACCAAATCTATTCAAGCAAGCACTCGCAATAAATGGCAAAGCAACACCAGTAATACTTTTAGCAGCCCACATAATCCCAATGGCCAATCCCTTTCTGCGTAGAAACCATTGATCCAGATAAAGTGATGAGGGACTAAACAACAGGCCATTACCCAATGCACAAATAACACCTTGAGTTGCAATCAAGTGCCATATTTGAGTTGAGAATGAAGAGAGCAAAGAACCAATAACTGTAATCACCAATCCTGCGGGGGCACACCAGACTTGTAGTCGTGGATACCGAGTTAATAGCGTGAAAGTAACAGGCGAGAGAAGGTATAAGATTCCCTTTGAAGGTTGAGGTTAGAACTAGAGTGGAAATTTGCAAGCCACAAATTCTTGGACAATGCTATTGCATACGGTTGATGTTGTTCCCACCGTCGCCAAGTCTCCCTTATTACCCTGCAGCACTTGGTGGGTGGAATAGTATTCCTGGAATACACCAAACACGGTTGAGAACCCTGATTATGTATTGTGAGTGACTGTTAAAGTTTCTATTCATTCAATCAGGACACACCCCAGACAGGAAGCTGGATAAGACAGCAGGATGCTAGAAGTAGCCAAGCAGCTTTGCCTTTGTCGGTTGGAGGTAGAGCGGGCTGCTCGATCTCCGATAGAGATGGAGAAGGAACTCCGGACGGTCGCGACATAGTCTCCAAATGAAGAGTTTCATCGTTTGAATGATTCATTGTTGGGACTTCATTGAAATGGGCTTCAAGATGATGGTCAAGAAGAATAATAAGCAAGATGCGGGAGGAATGATGAATGAGGTACTTTCACTATTGCCCCTCTCCGTGCTTTGAGTCATTACGGAACCCGAACTAACTAAATCCGCCAATACTATGACATACTTGGATGAGCAGCGAAGATTTGAAATATCTGAGTGTCAAAGGCCTTTTTAACCTGAAAGTATTCAAAATGTTTTGAATTATTGATTGGTTGTCCCCAGCGAAAGCCAGGGATTTTATATTGGGGACTTTTTAACTATTCAACATAGCTCCACATGTCCATATAGTCCAAGTAAAGGGATCTAGTTTAAAATGCGTAACTTTTCATCTCAACAAATCATCCCCGATTTTCATCTCCCTGTTGAATTCGTATTTTTCGAGCTTGACCTTACTGGCCCTGACCCTGGGGCATATAGGGACCCATGAAGCTACCCAGGTAATCCTTCTTGCCAAGAGGCACACCCTCCTTGCGCAGGATAGAGTAAGCAGTGACAACATGGAAGTAAAGGTTAGACATGCTGAAAGCATGGGCATAGTTTTCCAGACGCATAGGAATGTTGACACCAGGACCCATGCCAATTTCAGCAGTTTTCTCAGCGTTGCCGTTGATGGTAGTCTCATCAGCGGCGTCGAGAACCTTGATAGCCTTCTCAATCTGGGACTGGGCCTCAGCAAAAGTGGGGATATTGGTATCATAAGTTCCGATCGGGCTTTCAGTCAATCTGGCGACCATCTTTTCGGCCAACTGGACGGAAAAAGAAACCTGGAAGCTCAATGGCTTCATATCCTCGCAGAGAGCGGCATCAAGCAGCTTGGCAGCGTTTTCGTGCTGCTCGGCTTGGCGGAGGATGTTGGAAAGGGCATTGAGGGCCTGCTTGGCAGGGACAACGGTTGTGTTGTAGAGGGAAGAAGACATCTTGGCAAGCGTAGAGATAGTAGAAATGCGGGGGAATTATGGTGAAGAATGAGCAATTTTGTATAGTTATGGCAACATCACTGTTTATGGGGACATATAAATACCCCTGGGGACAGCAGGGCCAAAAAATAATAATAATAAGTAATCAACATTATTAAGCTGGCGGGGCAGCTGAACCAAGTGTATTTCCACGAATTTCTGCGACTCGCGGTGAACACTGAAACCTTCTAAATTGTTCCCTCTTAACCCATTTAGGCAAGAATGCTGTACATCATTGTAGAAAGAGGCAATTAGTATGGACATCCCATCTATTTCATGCTAGCTAATATTTAAGACCATGTAAACAGTACCTAATAAGACTTTGAATCTCACCAAAGATCAATTGATGACCACATAGTTTGCATTAGTAATCCTCTGCAGAACTCCGTGGATTGCTATAGATACACTTCGTCTATTATTTCTGACCCCCTTACAGGGAACATCAAGAAGAGGCTGAGTAGTCCAAGAAAAGCTCGTATCACGGTATTATCTCCCGGGGTTCCATGGATTTCAATTCAGGTATAACGATATCAATTGTGTACTACATATGTTTGGAGCCTCAAGTTCCTGAATTGGCAATAATCTGATGAATAAACAAGTCCGAACTAAATATCCACAATATTATATAGTAATGATATACTTGAAGCCTGTTTATAAAAATACCTTTCATTGAAATAAAGTAATCAATATTCATGAAATAAATGCGCAAATAAACCGCATGATCTGATACTCAGCCCATTGAACGCCTGTATCACCGCTAAACCCGAACCCAACCCTAAAATCCATTGGAAAGTAGATGCCCATGCCCATTCTCATTCTCATAACCAGAGCCCCATAACCATAAAATCTCATCTCCCAGCACAAAGCAAAGAGACAAAAAAAACTCCACTAACAAACCACCTCAACTCAATCAAACTAACTCAGCCATAGCCAGCACAACATGCTCAAACCCCTCCGTAGTATGCGTATCCCCGATAAACCCAAAAACCCCGATCCAACCTTCGCAGCAGCAGCCGAATAAGTCCACGGATTAATACCCGAATTCCCCGCATCAACAACCTCCGAAGTAATATCCTCCTCAGCACTCCGATACCACGAATCACAAACCCCCACACCCCCCAAATAAACCGCATCAGTCTCATAAGCAGCCGGAACCCTCCTCCTAATAGCCCTCGAAAGACTCTCCGCATTAACATAAACAGGCGCAGTATGTCTTTCATCCTTTGTCCAGCGGAAATGCACTTTAGAGAAGAATCTCGCCATACCAGCTTGTGTGGCTTGGGTGCCGAAACAGCCTAGGCAGATTACTTTCCCGCCCGCTTGGAGGTATTCAATTACTGCTTCCCAGACGAGGGTGTATTTTGTTTGGGTTAGGGCTTCGTCTGTTAGGAAGACTGCTGCGAAATTTGAGGCGAGGAGGCGGATTGCGGCAATGGGGAGGAAGACGCGGTGGATTGTGGAGTGATGGCTTATTTTTGTGACGAGGTTTTCGAAGTCGGATTCGAACATTGAGGCTCTGTTTAGGGATATGAAGAGGACGCGGGGACGGGGGGTTGGAGGCATGATGGTTCATTCGGGTTGAGACCTCAGTGAGGTGTGGAAGTTGGACTTGAAGGAAACGTTTTGGTTGGGAGAAACGGTGCGATGTATGAAGTAGGATGGTATTGAAGATGTTGGGGACGTGTAGAAGGTGAGTCAGTATGGATGGGGAGGTTGAAGGTGAGAGAAGTGAAACTTGGGGTGAGGGTGAGCCTTTATACTATACACTGAGAGGAGCCATTAACGGTTGACCCATTGATCTTTGTTGCTGAGACTTATATATGGACGTGGAACTTGGGGAATGATATTGTTTAAAGAGTTAATCTCAAAAGAGTACAAAGTTGTTCCTACTTGTGTCATTCAGACGGAGAAGACATATACGAGAAGAAGTGTTCCTATTTGTTTCCTCTTTACATTGCATCAATCTCACGAATGAAGCTTCAGAGCACTCAAACTGGACAACTTCATCAGAAGTATCTTTCAGTAGGAAGATCCGACACTTACAGAACTGGCTAGACGCGTGTGCCTATCTATATGTGGGTATATGAAGTGCTCAAAGAACCAGGGCAGGACTAAGGGAAGCATATGCATATACCCGTTACTACCTATTTACGTAAGAGACATCCGGAGTACTGGAGATCAGCCCTGGAGGTAGTACTTGCCTATGTAGGCGGGCTATACTAGCCTTTGCTAATAACTTGAATCTTCAAGGTGGGACTTAAAAGGACTACTAGTAGTAGATTCATCATGATCCATATGTATCCGCCACATAGGGACTGTCCACATGTGCAGTGCCTTTGGTAATATAAAATAATACAATTCGTCGGTTCTTGAATCAACTTAGAATATATAATCTTTAAATAAAATATACACGGAATTGAAGAAAAATAAAGATCAAGATTGAATAGTGATCATACAAGCTATTCCTGTATCATGGAATGATGACCCATGTCGAAGGAGAGAAGAAATCGGTAAATAATCTCACAAATCATGAAGATGAAAACGGTGCCGCCACTGAAGAGGGCAAGAACACCACAAAAGGCCTTACGCCTGATTCCTTGGTATTTCCGTAACCGACCTTCCCATTTCCTTGAACACGCCGTGTACGCCGTTCGGAAAGAAAAAAGAGAAAAAGAAAACCGTTACACAGACATGTAGTCCGAACGCCATTACCACCCTTGTAAGGGTCGAAATTAAGTCACACGAGAGAAGAATTTTTGAGGTCGTAAGAAACGTCATTTCGAAGAGGTTTCATCAACCCGCCACACCATTATTATCACCACAAGAGAAGAATAAAGGGCGAAAGAGGAGAGAGGTGGGTTCGTGAGAGACGTGAAAGAGGGAGAGAGAGCAAAAGAGCTAGAAAGCAGGTGAAGAGAAGAGTTGATGTCACGAGGATATGGAGGGTATATGAGGCTGTGTGGAGTCGGAGGAATCTTTCATCGCAACATCATGGGACTCTAAGGGATCAGAGTTTTTGTCCGATGAAGACTTGGTTGGAGTCGGTGCTTCGTCCGGATTTGCCGCGGGCCCTAATCCCGGCGTAGTGGGAGACTTCTGAGCGGAAGAGCTGGCATTGGCTTGGGCTTGGGTTTTCTCCGAGGTTGGGGTTGTCAAAGTACCTCGACGACTCAGGTAATCACCAAGACTCAGTTTCTTCTTGGCCGGGGTTGGTGTGGCTGCCACGGGTGTTTGTACAGATTGTGGCGAGGTTGCATCAACGGTGGAAGGAGAAGCAAGACTTGCGGTGGATACAGACCCAGGGCTGACTGCGACAGGAATGGTGGGGGGAGCACTAGGAGGAGGCATGGAAACACGGAGGTTCGCGCGATTGAAAGAAGTTGACCCCGCAAGGCGGATGTTGTGGGCGGCAGTAGATGGCCATGGTGGAGAAATTAGTGGTCCACTCGGGTCCCGTTCGGTAAAAGGATGTCTGAACTCTGAACTTTCAGGAGCATCCTGCATTTCCACATCTGCAGAAGCAGCGGTAGCTACAGGAGCAGCCTTGGGAGTATCCGCGCCCAGCATCGAGATATCAACCTGATTTCGACCCGCGGCAATTGGTGACTGAATTAAAGGAGACGAAGAATCTGCCGGTGCCACGCTATCAGAACCAGCTGACGACAATTGTTGGCGGACAGTTTCTTCAGCCCGTAACCGATCCATGCTGAAGCGTTTCAAAAGTCGCACCGTCAAGGGCACAAAATTGACACGCTGCCGAAAAGGAGACTCGTTGCTTGACGACCGTTCAACAGCATCCATATCAACCTGAACGGACGCATCCACATAAGCAGGACGGTTAAAAGGGGAGCGGAATGGCGTATTAGATCCAGATGTCTTGCGTGGCGAGGGATATCGCCCGGGAGGCAAGGAGCCTGGGGAGAGAGCGGTAGTTGGTGACCGAGACTGGCTGGCTGCGGTGTCAATATGCAGCATTTTACCAGAAGCACGTCCAAAATATCCAGTCTGTGTTGATGTTGAGCTTGTAACAGCAGCGGGAGATTGTACTGAAGGACCACTGGTGCGTTTCTTTTTCCTTGGCCCTTTATGATCGTGTTCTAGTGCCTGAAATTGTTTTTCGGCATCCGCAATCTTTCGTCGTTCGCGGCTCGATAATTCGAGGCCAGAGATACCTGTAGTTGACGCAGTCGGGCTTAGGTCGCGACTAAGTGGCTGTCCACGCACAGAGCCAGACGTAGAGCGACTGTCAGCGGCAGCGTCATCATCCTCGGGATGCTTCGTGGTTTCGCTACCAGCACGACTGACGGAGGCATTGCCGGAATCGAGCGGAGATGTACCAGACTTGATCTTGGCCTTCTTTCGTTTGCCGTTGTTTTGCTTTGAGGCGGAATCAGACAATTGTGGGTGCCATCGGCGGTCGATATTGGCAAGAAGGCAGTTTTGAGGGTATTCACATGCACAGCCACCAAAATTGGACAAAGTGTTGCTAATAAACGTGGCTGCAGCATCCGTCGCAACATCACCAGCTTCTTGTTTGACAAGACCATTAGATGAGCCAGACAGTTGAGCATCTAAGTACCACATGATAGTAATTTCCGAGCCAGCGGGAATATTTTCCTTTGCAACGAAGCAAAAATGGTACTCAACATCATTAGTGATGAATATTTTCATAGTAACGTTCGGGCGACAGGAGCGGCGAGTATAGCGAAGCATACTACTACCTTCATGTCGACTATCGATGTATAGTGGTAAGTGTGAACTGAAGAAGACGAACGGTTCAGGGTGGCGTAGTTCGGACCACCGATTGTTAGGATCAAGGCAGTAGTCGTCGAAAACTCCAACTTTGCCTGTGATTTCCCCAACGATTTCGTCCTTCTGTACTGAATCTTGAGTTTTCACAACTTTCCATGTGGGATGTCGGCCACCAATCTCGACATTCGGGTCGGTTATGGTGTCGGTCATGAGGGAAGGCCAACGAGAGCGATCGAGAGCAGCATCAGACCAATTGAATGTATCCGCTGCGGCCCGGCGCCCATTTGTGACTTTGGCCAAGGCATCTGGGTTCTTGACCCACGAAGCCGACTCCCCCACTAGGCTTACATTGACGAACAGATTACTGTCCATCTCGGCATGCTCTTCGTCGCGATCATAGAGATGCATGAACTCGTTCGAATATAGGGGTATAGAGGGAACAGAGGGTTTTGTAGGGCTCGGTGCAATAGATGTGGAAGAACGTCGTTTACGAGGCTCTGTGGGAAGATTAGGAGCCCCTGAGAGTGCACTTATAGAAGCAGATGATCGATGGGCAGTCTTCGTCTTCTTCGCGGGAGGTTGATCACGTAGTCCAGACTCGCTGCGCTGATGACCAAATCCGTTCACTTCACCATCCTTGGGTTTTTTCTTGGGCGCCTTTGCACTAGATCGTTTCCGTCGGTCACCGTCCTCGCTCCGTTCTCGAACCCGCCTTTGGCGCTGTCGGTCGGCAGCGCGACGGCTGTCCAACTGGCGAGGCTCACATTCGATGCAGTTGTGCACGTCTGGTACCCGTTTATCTGGATAGTAACAGACAATGTGTTGCCACGTCTCACAGCGTTCGCAAAAAACCGTGCTGCCATCATCTTCGTCAAACTGACAGATACATTTGATGGTGTACGGCTCTTCTTCATCGGGCGCACCCGAATCAGAAAGTGCACCGTTGGCGGGAGAACCCAGAGGAGCGGGGACCGGATACGGATCCGTGGTGGCGTGCGTGATGGCGAGGGAGGAGGTATCTGTCATAGTCCGACAGTTTACCCCCTCTCAGGATAAAGAATGTATTATATGAGGGAACGATGGCGTGGCCGACCCGTTCCTATTCAAAGGGCATGTCAACGACCACCAAGGAGGGTGGATCTTTTCACGGTCCTGCCTGATAAGTGCCGGACGCGTTGGACTTGGGAGGCACCACTACGATAAAGCAGAGGGCACCAGCCCCAATGAACACCAGAAAATTCACGAGCCTGACAGGCAAGACGACTGATCACAGAATGGAATCCAACTTCGAGGCCGTTGAGTCCTTGAAGGCGGTCCAAGGGGCAGATTAAAAATCCTAGCCGAATGCGACTGACCCGTGTCCTGAAGGGTGGAGGGTAGGAGAGAGGAAAAATCGACGGGGGAAAGACACCAGGTGGTTCAGGGCGTCGAAGCGATTCGAAATCCAAGAGTCGACTCGGTGCGATGGGTGTGGAAGGCTTGGTCGAAGTCGTTTAGGAGAGGAGTCGAAGGCGAAAAGGGTTGAGAGCGACGGGATCGCGTAGAGAGAAAGATAAGAGGGACGAAAGAGTAGTAGAGAGAAGGAACGGAGGATTTGAAGACAAATGAGATGGGGGGATGGGATCCGAGGGTAGGGAGGAAAAACAGCGCGCAGGTAAAAAGGAGAGAAAAAGAGGTGATTCTGAGTTGAACCTGGGATGGAAGGGAAGGAGGAGGAGGAAGGGGCAGGCCTAAGGCAACGAAAGGCCCCGAACCAGGAGAGCGTCCAAATGGGACTAGCGTGGGAGTGGGAAGTCGCGGTTGGTGACTCGAAAAAAGCCCGAAAACGAACTGAACAGCAAAACCGGATCAGAAAAGTGCCAGACTTCACACTGTTTGCACCGTGGACTGTAACAAAACAGGAAACACGCAGGAAACACCGCGAAAATCACCCAAAAATGACCAGTTCCAGCCGGACTTGGTCAGTCTCACCCAATCATAGCGCGAAATTTCGGTATTCGTATACGTTTGTAATTTGCTGTGTTAGCATCGTAAAATACACTAGTCTGTATTGGGTTAGTGTCGGGCGAGCCTTATCCGGTGGGGAGGTCACGGGACCCTGTCAAAGAGACCTGGAAAAAGCATAGCAAGAGACCACGAGAGAGACTGGGTTAGCATCTGTTGCTCGTTAGTAGTTCATCTGTAATAAACAATATCATATCATAAAAATCCCAAATGATATGGACTTTGGATCGAAGATCGTTCCAGGAGAACAGTCCTAGCACTGAATAGTGAAAATGGATGCATATCTCCGATACGCCCATGCATGTTGAGCAGTAGCCGAAGGCTACTTTGATAAGCGGTCCAAATTCCGTTTGATTTGCTCAAGGGGCATCATGTCAAAGAGACTGGCAAAAAACCCGATCGTCTCATCTTTGGAGAAAGCCCCGGTAGTAAAGGACCGTAAGTAAAACGGAAAAGGAGGAAAATGACAAAGAAGAATATGGAGCCGCATTTTCAGACTTGGAAGCGCTTGAAAATGGATCATCAGGAGAAATCTGTTGAAGATGGAGCCTGTGAGCCATGGAAGAGCTCAGGAAATAAGGCAGACAACCATTTCACAGTAGTAGAGATGAAGTAGGAATGAAATAGGGATGAAATAAAAGAAAGCAAAGGGGGACGAAGAAACTGCAAAAATCAGGGTTTCTGCACGGTAGAAGAGTATACCCAATAAGTGTGTGTGTAGTGGAAACGGCAAGTACAGAATAATGGGGAAGATATGGAGATATGGGCCATGGGAAGAAGGGAGATCACCCGAGGAGATGGGCAAATACTAGATTGGGCAGTGGCAGAGTGGCGCAGGTGTGTTCGGGAGGGGGAAAAAGGTCACCCGAAGAGAACGAGAACTCTTGAGAAGACCGGGATAAAAGATGGAAATTTATGAGTCCCGAGAAAAAGACCCAAGAAGAAGAAAGGAAAGAAAAGATCTGCTGGGAAAGGGAGAAAAAAGGGCCAGTCGCCGGCTTTGGCAAAAGGGGGGGAAAAGAGAATCATCTAGCGCCCGATATTATGAATGCAGGCCGGTGATTTGACGGCCTTTTTTGCCACTATAGAGGTCGGAGGTGCGCAAGGAACAAGACTAATCAAATCAAATTAAATCCAAACCAGGCCGAACCGTTAAGTAGTCGATCACCTGGGCACACGGGCACACAATGAGAATGGTAAGTATTGAAACGGGTTCGTAACGGGCCGCTCAGGGCTCCCGAACATGTTCCTTGTCATCCAACCATATCGCTGGGTCAAGGGAGATCGTAGTGGCTGGATGCTTTGGAAATCTTTCGAATCTGACAAATGATTGATTTGAATAGAGGTGAGGCGGATGGAGAGTGCTGTGTGAGAGGAGGAAGATCAAGCGAAGATAGAGTTCCTCAGGTGGTCGGAGACAGCACATGACAGCGATACTAGTAGAGTCGACTAATACATTGGCACTTCAAAATCAAATCAAATCAATGAATAGTGATATTTCAACAAAGAAACCGACAAGGAAGAAGAAATCTGGAGTAAAAAATCGACCGAGAACCAATAGCTAAGGTTTAAGTTATAATTGCCGACATTAGATGGTACAATGGCCAATAGGGCCACTCTACTGTGAGGTAGTATGAATTCGTCTACAAATGCCAGATCCTGCTTGATACCACGATTCTTGCCATATTAGTTTAAAATACCCAACCGTTAGTTCTGATAAACAAATTTATTTTTTTGTCCTCTATTTGTTTTCTTTATACAAAACCAGAGCGTAGGAAGGAATCTCAAGAACCCCAGAATGCAGTTTGAAATGGGTTATGGCAAGGAGCAATAATGATAAAACATCGCTGGATTAAGAATACAAGAAAGGTCAATAGGTACATGTGGTCTTCCAATTTGCATGTGTGGATGCAGGCTTGGTGGTAACTTAGGTATCTCGTGCTTCTCTGGCCATCACCCAGACTTGATCCAAATCGATAGCAGCTGGGGGCTGAAGTGAGCGCCCATGTGGCAGACGTACTGGTGGAGGGTATTTAGTGATCGGAGTTTTGGTCGGACTTTCAGGTGCTTCCCTCACACTGCTTTTTTGGCTGTCAAAATGACGTGGAATCGCCTCTCCAAACCGATGAATGAGATATAGGAAAACGAAGAGGGGGATACTGAGATACGACATCGCAATTCTAGCACCGCGGGGCCCAGTCTTGTTCCCTGGAACGGCAGAAATCAACCCATTGGATAACAGTAGAAGAGTGCTGACAATAAAGCTCACGATAGAGCCAAGTGGTTGGACGGAATGTCGGTAAGCAGTGGTAACCTTGTGCGCATGCAGGTGTTGACGATAACGGCGGTAAATGACACACGAAAGCATCCAGGAGAGGTATCCAGAGCTGCTCACGAAAAGAATAAAATAGGTTGTCATGATGGAGCTTGATGTGGCCATTGAAAACAAGGCAAGGCTGGTGAAGGTCGAAGTAAAGAGTACAGACACCCATGGGACATCCCAGCTATTTTGAATTTTGAACATCGAGGGAGCCTGGTCGGCTTGTGCCATGGCTTGTAACGAGCGAGAAGCAAGGTATAAGAAAGTGTGGCTCGATGCCACCGACGAAAGAAAGATCGCAACCGTAGCCGTGACAGGAATGATTTTAATTCTTGCCCTGTACATACCGATGACAAACGGGGACATACCGGCCCCTGTTCCGTTATTGGTGAGTAAAGGGTCGTTGTAAGGAGCCATGACTCCCATACACAAGGAACTTAAGATGTAAGGCACCGTTGTTTGAAAGACATCCGCTGTGACCTTCCTGGGAATGTTGGAATTTTCCGCGGGTTGTATCTGTTCCGTGATCTCAGTCTCATCCGTAGCTTCGGCCAGCTCAGCCCGGTGCACGATCATCTCTGGAACAAAAGAGAAAGCGGCGGTACTAAGATGAAGGCTTTGCAGAAAACCTAAGAATTTCCCCACAGATCCACGAGCCAAATATTCAGGCATAGCCCCAGGATTCTTCCAGTATTGAAACCCCCAACGATCGTAGCCTGTCCGCCCTCCTAAGCAGATAGACAAAGAAAGGGCGACAAGAGAAGCCAGAGTGCCGATTTTGACCCGATGAAGCAACTTTTCCGAGCTTTTGAAAATGTGATCAGGGACGATATTTAACGCGACAGTACTGAGGGTGACGAGGATCAGCCACGTTCCGATTGGCTTCCCAGGAGTCCATTGCCCGATAGTGACCATCGAGGTCATGATTTCGTACGGAACAAACATCGCCATAGTATACCAACGGAGAGAAGCAGTGGCGAATGCGAAGCTGTTGTTCTTCATGTATCGGTAACCGTGCATGATCATCGTGCCATGACGTCTTGGCCCATAGGTAGCGACCTCTCCTACACTCGTGGCCATAAAGTAAACAAGAAGTGAAAGTGAAATGTATGAAACGAGAAGGGAGCCCGGTCCGCCGACGGCCAGCGCTTGGCCGCCGGCGAGAAATACACCAGTTCCCAAGGTTGGTCCGACACCCATACCGAGGAATTAGCCAATAAAGATATGATGAGAGTGAATGAAAGTCTTGGGGATGCCCCGGAAAAGAATTCAAAGGAGAAAAGACAAAAGTTCACGGGTCCAAGTCAAAGGGACTGGAGGTTGAGCGGGTTCATACCAAAGTCGCTCCTGCCGCCATCCATTCAATCCCGCAAGACATGGCATTAACGCCCCGAATAAATTAGATTCAAAGGCCAGACAGTATATAAATCATCTAAACACAAATGCAAGGGTATCATTGGTTATCTTGGTAGTGCGTCAGAGCAGTCTTGGATATACTCCATCTTACAAAGCTCCGTCAAAGGAATCGCTTCACTGGGATACAAGGTCGGTTTCAGCATACTCGAGCCACTCGCCCGCTAAAGACCTCTTCCAGAACCGAACTGCGCCATCATCACCAGATGATATTAATGAATCGCCTGTGGTAAAAAGAAAGATCATTAGAACCGATATACCCAGCCATGGATTTTCAGAACCTACCAGCAAAAGAGAATTCTACTTGCCATACATCGATATGCTTACTATCTATGCATGCAACTTGCTTGAAGGAGTGTCGGAACAGAGAATCCCCAGTAGCTTGCCGATTAGAGACCGAGGAAGTTGGGCGGTTCGCAAGAGCATTTCCAATGCCAGATTGCGAAGTAGCACGCGTGGAAGGCGATTGCTGTTGTTGCTGCCGACGCTCAGTTTTCCGAGAATTGGAGGATTGAGAACCTTGATTGGTCGACGCTGTGTACACTTCAAATATGCGCACGAGGCCATCCTTCCCTGCACTAGCAATGAGATCATAGCCTCTGACAGAGCCATTGGCCCAGGATATATCTCTAACAAGACTTGCATGTCCATTCAACTCAATGGCATGGTAGAAACGACGGGATGCGTCCGTTCTATAAACCTTCACTGTGTCCATTGCAGCAACGACCAGCGATAGACTTTTGGGATCTGAGTCTGGGACAAGCGAATGTGTGATATCTGCCGGGTCATGGTGAAACTGGACCTTGAAACTTGTTTCTTCTCCACGCTCAGGTGCTGTGCATACTCGAAACTGGTCTACTGGCTGCCAGTCTGCCAAACTATCCGGGCTGACAGGTTCCATTACCATCAAATAGCCATCGCGGGTGATGGCAGCCATCCATGATTCTAGATCAATGTTGCGAAAGTCCATCGAAACAAATGGGTGCCGTTGAGGTGCTGTCATGCGAAAGATAGATCTGAATCGTCTGCCGGAATTTGGGGGCTGTGTGACATCCTCCTGCCATATTTTAAGTTTCATATCTTCTCCCACGCTTCCAATATGTTGACCCGTGAAGGGGCCGTTCCATGTTGCCTAGGGTAAGACGTTAGAGCACACTCCTACACGATGCAGGCAGTCGCAGTAGGGTCTTGAAGTCTTACATCACGAATCTCCGCGTCATGGGCTCGCCACGTGTCTGTCAATTGCCATTGGCCATCCTTCAGATCCCATACTTTCATGCGATGGTCGGAAGAGGCCGTGACAATCCGATTCCCGTAAAAGTTGAACTTGGTAACTGTCACCAAGTCCCGGTGGCCAGCATCGAAGTCGGCAAACCCGCCCACCATGTCGGGGTGCTCCACCGCCCCCATTTGAATATATATTTAACCTTGTCTAGCTCAAGCTGGAAAATTTAGACAATGGGCCAATAATGCGCTTCACCTACACATCTGCATGCTGTGACATGAAACAGAGGTGTCTCAGCGTGCCTGCGCGGGCTTCCCTTCTTGGCCGCGATCATCACCATCTGCCGCCCGCAAGGCGGTCAGATAGCGCCGGCAGATACGATAAGCTTATCGGATAATGTTCGGCATGAAGCCACATTGCGTAAGCCGCGCTCCATAGGAAAGGTGTTCAATTTATTCACCGAGCTTATTTCTTTGTTTCCGTTCGGGTATTGATTGTGAGAATTGAGCACAGAAGTCAATTGCTCAAGATGCACACCCCAAATGTCCTGACATGGACGGAAACATGGCGTCTATTGATCCTCGCGGGGGCTGGTCTCGGCGTCTTGGTAAACACTTTCCAGGGCGATGGCGCGCCCTTGATAGCCTCGATTGCATTGACTTGCATATCATTTGCTGTGGCCTTTAGTATGATCCGATGGCTTGGTCCTGTGTTTATCAAGGCGGGCTTAAAGGGTAAAGATATGGCTAAGCCCAAAAAACCTGAAATGCAAGTATACACCTGTTCCATGATCTATGGTAGTGACCGAAGCTGACTATGCGCTTTAGACCTGAAACCATGGGAGCTGTATGCGCGGTAGTCTATATCTTGTCTCTGATTATCTTCATTCCTTTCGCCTTTTACAAGGATATCGTGGCAGCAACTTCAGGTGGCGGCAACCGTGACGTGGTTATTGGAGATCAACATATTGAGACCGGACGTTACCTACACAGATTCCCCCATGGAAAGGTTTGTTTATGCCATTTAAAGCATTGGTGTTTTTTTCATGCAATAGACTGATGTGTCTGCATAATAGCTTGCGTCGTATCTCTCAGGATTGCTATCCTTGCAATCTGTGGTTATCCTAGGAATCGGCGACGATCTCCTTGATATTCGTTGGCGACACAAGGTCTTGATTCCTGCATTTGCCTCAATTCCCATGCTCATTGTGTACTTTGTCGATTTTGGTGTCACGAAAGTGGTGGTCCCAGTTCCTCTGCAGGGCTATCTTGGAGACTTCATTGATCTCGGATGGCTCTATTACATGTACATGGCAGCGGTGGCGATCTTCTGTCCAAATGCAATCAACATGCTGGCAGGAATCAACGGAATCGAGGTTGCGCAGTCACTTGTCATTGCAATTCTCCTGTTGTTCAATGATGCCATGTACCTGGCACCGATCACGCCATACCCGCATCCTGCTACAGACTCACACCTGTTCTCCATTTACTTTCTACTACCATTTATTGGTGTATCGGCAGCCCTTTTGTGTCATAACTGGTACCCATCAAAGGTTTTTGTAGGCGACACCTACTGCTACTTTGCGGGAATGGTTTTCGCTGTTGTGGGTATTCTTGGGCATTTCAGCAAGACCTTGCTCTTGTTGTTTGTGCCTCAGATATTCAACTTCTTGTATTCTACACCGCAGCTCTTCCACTTTATCCCCTGTCCTCGTCATCGGCTGCCGAAATTCAATGCAGCGACTGGGCTTTTGAATACCTCTGTTACGGAGTGGACCGTTCCTCCATCTCCATTCATTGCGTGGATATTGGATCTCCTACATAAGCTTCGTCTAGTGCGCGTCACCAAGGACAATGATGGTCAAATTATCGAATCTACAAATCTGACTATCTTAAACCTTTGGCTCGTGTGGATGGGACCTATGAGAGAAGATACTCTTGCATGGCATATGGTCGGAGTTCAAGTTCTGTGTGGGCTATTGGGCTTGTTTATCCGACATCGTCTGGCATTGCTCGTCTTCAATAGCGATAACCGCACATTGCAGTTTATGGTATAAACAATTCGCATGCATAGTCAGATTATAAAAACGGTTTATTGTTTGTAAATATTGATCTTCTTGATAACGATGGTGGATTATTTTCTCCAAAAAAAACATAAATTAACTTGATATATTTTTGTGCTTTACAGATAGACGCGTCTTATCAGCGACATTAAAGTTCTATCGAATCTAGAACCCAATTATTCACTATCAGATGGCACACGTAGACGTCGAGCCTCTCGTTCCATCTTTTTATCTCCAAAGACTGTTCCGACTTCTCTAACAATGAACCATGCTGGCAGGATCGCTACTGCCCACAGTGACATGTTAAGATAGATGTTTCCAATGGCTGCCATGATAGTCACACTGCTGAGACCATACTATAATTTCTTTGGTCAGTTCGAATGTTTCCGATGGAGAGCCTAGGCAAAATATGAACTTACGCTGACTGCCTGGGCAGCAGACTCAACACCTCGCAGCAAACCAGCAATTCGAACGATCTCATCGTCGTTATCAGCCAGATTACCAACCAAGAAGAATCTAAATTTAGGGGTTAGCATGCGTTCAACAAACAAGGGAGCAATGTGCCTGATCGAATAGGTAACTCACAAGTACATATAGTTCAGCTGAAAGCTAGCGACCCAGAAGAGGAAAAGAGCAAAAGCCTTTCCAAACCCTGGATCAACCCAATCGTAAACGGGATTCGTTTTATGGAACTCGGTCACGTTCACAGTGGCCCAAATCCAACATAAACCTTGCCATCCAACAGCCAGGAAGAAGGCTGATCTCGAACGTGTCTTGAGTGAAATAGACTTATTGTCAAGGAAAGCACCCAAGACATTTCCTCCAATCAAAGCAACGATTCCACCCAGGAACGAGCCAAGAGCTCTTGCTCGAACAGAGAACCAAAGATCCTCATACGAGAACATGACAGCCTCGGTATACACAGCTTGACAAATGAACGGAATGATGAGCAAAAACTTCCGGTTAATAAACAATTTCGACATTTGCTTCATCTCAAATCCAACACTGTTATTAACCTCAAGCTTGACGGGGATTCCATCCTTGCGCTGCACCTGAGATGGCTGATTCAAAAGTAGACCCGCAAAGGGGCCTAGAGCTTGAAGCGCAATGAAAACCAGATAAACGGTGTATGAGACACTACCCGCCTCAGAACGATCGGCATTAAGACCAAGATTGATTGCACCGCCGAGAATTTGTCCTCCAACACGGAAGCTAAGCCAAAGACCCAAGAAACGGCCTTGATTGTATGGTTCCGGGTACGAGAGGGCAATGGCACCCTCCGCCATCCAAAAGATACCAGCAGAGACACCGCAGAGTGCTGCGCCAAGGATCACAAGCCATGAATCTCCGAAGCGGTTGTTTGTATAGAGACCCGCAGCATAGGGTGCGTAGCCCATTGTACCAGCGATCAATGTCCATTTGATCCCGATAAATCGTACGACGGTACTTCCCATAAAGCAAGAGATGACCATGAGACCGAATGTTAGGGCGTTTGCGGCATTGACAAGGTAGGGCTTCTCTTCACCTCCTCCACCGAGAGAGTTCATTGCTGTCCAAATCCCCGGGGCGAGAAAATTGCAGAGACCGAGGATAACGGAGTTGTAAAACGTTGAGCGATACCATTTTACTGTTTATGAGTTAGAAACAGCCATATATCTTTCAAATGTTAGCAAAGGATTTGTCTCATTTTATCCGTACCTGGATGCGATTCCCCAGTCTGGGAATCATAAGAGTCGCTGATCTCCTCATCCTTAGGCGGCACACCTTTTTCTTCGACTCCCATTGTTGATGAAGGTAATTTTTCACTCTAGTTAACCTTCAAAATGAAACTCCCCTCGTAGAAAAAGCAATCACGGGTCGAAGAGCCGTCTCAACGGCCGATACTTATACTAGTCATACTAGCATCGGCATTCCTCCACTTAAAAAATGACATTTCGTCTAACGGGATGGCCTTGGAGAAGATTGCCGTTTAAGTTTCTATTTGGAGAATCTATGTTTCGAAAAATGACATACTTTCTTAGTGCTGGGGATGTTGTTGTTTGCGACGAATATTACGTGCTCGCACGAACTCCCGGCACATGCATACGCCATTTTAGGAAGAGAATGGGAGCATCGAGTACAGTAGTTCAGTCTAGAACTTGTAGATTAAAAAAAAATTAAAGAAGATTATCTTGCTTGAAATCGATCGAACTAGGTTATAACAGCCTCATTTGGAGCAATTACCCGCGTCTATCGTCGAAGAGGGTTTACCCCCGAGCCGCTCATCAGCCACGGAGGTTTTTGTAAGTGTACGTAGATGGAGTATTTGGGGATAGAACTGGCATGCATTTATGAATTCATTTTTTTATTCGAAGACAAATCATGACCGAGAATTCCAGGTATTAAAGTAGTTTATGTCGAGCAAGAAGAAATGGCCCGCTTGTAGTACTATACTCCGTAGACTTGGACTAGCCTAGATGGCAGCGAACAATGGAAAATGTGTTCTAGAAATACATTTCGACCACTACCAGATGAGATACTCTCCAATCGGAAGGTTTTGAGTAAATTCTTATCAATTAATAACCATCTTATCTATATATGCTCCGTCGTAGCCCTGCGACCGGGACGCGGACATCTGGAGTTGCAGGACCCAAACCCCCCAGCCAAACAGACTCAATCTTTCGTCATCGAACCCCCGGATCACATCAAACTACATCGAAAACACACCTTCTCTGTCGTGCTCAACCGAACCTTGGAAGTTTGTAGGATTCACGAACCAGACTGATTCATTCTCGAATTTTGGACCTCATTTTAATTTAGAAAATATCATTACTAGTTGGCTTTCTCTCTCTCTTTAATGCAAGTCATTTACTTTATGATCCCTTTAGACTTTTGCCCTAAGATCTCCCATAGAATGATCTCGGTTTAGACCAAAACTTGTGACAATGATACTTAACCCTATAGAGCTAAATGAGGGACAAACCCCGAATTTGATCTACCTTTTACAACCCACAGGCTACGAATAAGAACCCCCCATCACGCCATCTAGGTCCACCATACGCAATGAGCAACTCCAGAACAAAGTCTCGGTGCCACATGATGGGCTGGATGGCAAATATGAACACTACGATACTTTTATCTTGATCCACTTTTGCCAAATGGAAGTCCTGGACTAACCCTGGAAGTGCCTGGTGGAGGTACACCGTACGTACGTGCTTTCGGTAAGCACTGATATAATAGTGCTCCCCGCTTCTATACATAAGGAGTATAAGTGTCTCTCGGGCGAGAGACAGTCCAATATTACAAATATATAGAATTCATTTAGAGTATAGAGACTCTTCCCGGAACTTGCGTTTTCTTTGAAGTTAGTGGCCTTTGGTCTTCATATCGTCACTTTGATACACCCGGCATCATGTCTACCACCACTTGTCTCCAGATCGAACAACTACACAATAAGCCCTCGAATTTTCATAGCCATAGGCTTGCTGAGGCTAATATTCAGTCTCATTTCCCCAAAACGGCCAAAATCGGAGAGGTTACACAAACACCAGTTCCTTCGGAGACAAATCAAAGAGCGTTGCTCCTCAAGGCGGCCCGAGAACAATATACATTAGTAGATAATCATCAGATTCCTTCCGTTATACACTCCGGCGAGATATTAGTGAAGGTACGTGATCTATTATCTCTTTCATCAGATAAAAATAAACGTCCGCATCTCTAACTTGATATTCAGGTGTTGGCGATCGGCCTCAACCCTATTGACTGGAAAGGACCGTATGTACCGATCCTCTTCAAATCTGATCGAATATTCCTCCGAAGCATGATACTAACATAGAACGCAGGGAATACAACTTTGGAATCCCAAGTTTACCATGGATTAACGGACGCGACCTAGCGGGAACAGTACTTCAAGTCCCCAGTGACTCTTCGCGCCTTCGTGTAGGAGATATCGTACTGGTCCCATCCACAGATTACCGGGACATTAGAAAAGCAGCCTTCCAAGAATATGCAATCGCGACCGACTTTAATGCCGCACGCATACCTTCATCAACATCCATTCATGCATCCGCATCTCTCGGCGTCGCATTCGTTGCTGCCGTTTTGGCACTGGGAGTATCATTCGGATTAGACTTTTCTCGATTTACAAAGTCACCGGGTCCTAATCTGGTAGAGATTGTGAACAAGCTTGATAAGAAGGATATCCCAGCTGATATTCATGATGAATTATTTGTTGGATCTGAATCTGATCGGCCTCAACCAGGAGACTGGATTGCAATCTGGGGAGGTAAGATAAAATCACATAATCCCTGTAACTTTTCAACTTGATTGAATCCAAGTCCTTGAAAACCGTACTAACAATGATAATAGCCTCCACAACCACCGGTCTAGTCGCTCTTCAACTAGCAAAGCTCGCCGGGCTACGCGTTATCTGTGTAGCAGATGCAGCTCGCCACGGCGCCAAGCTCATACAATCCGGGGCGGATCTACTAGTAGATCGCCACGATACCGACAGAGCAGTAGATATCATCCGGGGAGTAACGGGTGGTAAACTGCGCTATGCAATCGATATCGTTGGCAGGGAGACATCCACATTATTGGAAAAGACACTTGACACTTCTGGCGGCGCGCATCTTCTAGGCCTTACAGGCTTACCGAAGGAAAGGAATTCTGCGATAAAATATCATACCGTCCCGATTAAACTTTTCCATACAGCGCCAACTGTGGGAGAAGGTATGGTTGTTTGGTTGGAAAGCTTGCTGGAGTCGGGTGCGTTGAGTCTGCCGGAAATTGTTCATGCAGATGGTGGGCTGGAAGGTATTAATGCTGCGTTGAACGTTCTTCGAAGTGGGGAGGCTTCTGGGAAGAGGATTGTTGTTGATTTGGGATCTAAATAATGATCATCATAGATTTTAAATTTTGTTGTATAGATTTCCCCAGGAAATGAACTGTGGTGCTGGGATTTGGATGAAATTATCAAGATAAATTTGGGATGACCAGGATAAAATAGATTCATGTTTTTTTCTTTGAACATTCATGCCGTCCAACATTGAAGGAGCTTTATTGCCAGTACTAGTAGATGAGACTACTGGATAAACACGCGTCCACAGGTGCCCTAGTACTAGTACTTGACTCTCCCGAGGTCACCTGTTCAACTTCCAAGGTTGAAGTTCAAGTTCATGATTGAGCCCAGTCCTTCAAGTTGCAGAATTTTGATCTGATTTGAATACTGAGACGACCTACTGTTGCTGATAGATTGATTGTTATCACTTAATATACTTCGGCACTGGTGCCAACCTCCATTGTGCCTACGAAGTATATGCCTAAAAGAGTCAGCTATATTATTCACTTGAACAATGATCCGTTGCCGGCGTGCACACTCCTTCCCCCACTTACCCAAGGCCACCGCTCCATCGAGGCTTAATGTTTCAAGCGGGGCCGACCGGACCCCGGCGGTTCTATCCAATTAGCGGGGAAGGATTACATTGGCACCCCGGAGTCGGTCGTCTACGTCATGTGCTATGAAAATCAAAGAACCAGCTCGCAGCGTGCTATGCTGCTGAATTATGCACTAATACCATCTGAAGGGCAGTAATAATGCTTCACCTATTCTGTCAACACGTTTCTGGCTCCATTCTGTGCGATTCACCTTCGACTCCATATGAATGAGTCAACTATAAGGCGCAGCCGCCCACAAGCGCCACTAGCCGCCATGTTGGATTTTCAGTGGCCGATCTCGGGCCCCCCTAGATTCGCCACACGGACCAATCATATTGGAAATGTTGGTCGCTGACCGGCCGAAACCGGCGTTGCCCCTCGAGCTGTTCCTCAGCGACATCGCGGTTGCCGCAAAATATAAGTCTGCAACTCTTGCTGTCCTGATATCGGCCATTGATTCCATTCCTATACAAAATGCCTTCTGTAGAGACAAAACCGAGGACCTTGTACGACAAGGTCTTCGCTGACCACATCGTTAACGAGCAAGAAGATGGCACTTGCCTCCTCTATATCGGTATGCCGAATTGTTTTTTTTTTCTTTGTCTTTTTAGCTGTGTGACTTGGTTGCCGATCGAGAATAACGACTGACGAGAATGATTTGAATAGATCGTCACCTTGTTCACGAAGTGACCTCCCCTCAGGCATTCGAGGGTCTAAAGAATGCCAGTCGCGGTGTCCGCCGGCCGGACTGCACCCTGGTGACTGTCGACCACGTATGTACAATTGTTCCTCATATTAGTATTTACCACGGGGATCAGTCTCTAACCACCACCTCATTATAGAACATCCCTACTTCATCCCGAAAAGAATTCAAGAATGCCGAGACTTTCATCCGAGAGAACGACTCGCGTTTGCAATGTACTACTCTGGAGCAGAACGTCAAGGACTTCGGCCTCACCTACTTCGGCATGAGCGACAAGCGTCAGGGTATCGTTCACGTTATCGGTCCTGAGCAGGGTTTCACTCTCCCTGGTACTACCGTCGTCTGCGGTGACAGTCACACCTCCACCCATGGTGCTTTCGGTTCCCTCGCTTTCGGTATCGGAACCAGTGAGGTCGAGCACGTCCTCGCAACTCAGACCCTCCTTACCCGCCGAAGCAAGAACATGCGCGTCCAGGTTGACGGCGAGCTTCCCGCTGGTGTTACTAGCAAGGATGTTGTTCTTCACATCATCGGTGTTATTGGAACTGCTGGTGGTACTGGTGCTGTCATTGAGTTCTGCGGTTCCGTCATTCGTGGCCTCAGCATGGAGGCTCGTATGTCCGTTTGCAACATGTCAATTGAGGGTGGTGCTCGTGCTGGTATGATTGCGCCCGACGAGATTACTTTCGAGTACCTCAAGGGTCGTCCTCTTGCTCCCAAGTACGGTAGTTCCGAGTGGAACCGCGCCACTAGCTATTGGTCTACCTTGAAATCCGACCCAGACGCCAAGTACGACATCGACGTCTTCCTCGACGGCAAGGATATTATCCCTACCATCTCTTGGGGTACCTCTCCTCAGGACGTTGTTCCTATCACAGGCGTCGTTCCTAGCCCCGATGACTTCGAGGATCCCGCCCGCAAGCTTGCTTGCGAGCGTGCCCTGGAGTACATGGGTCTTACCAGCGGTGTCCCCCTGACTGAAATTCCCGTGGACAAGGTCTTCATTGGATCTTGCACCAACTCTCGTATTGAGGATCTTCGCGCTGCTGCTAAGGTCGTTCGCGGCAAGCAGATCGCCGCGAATATTATGCGTGCTATGATCGTTCCTGGCTCTGGTCTAGTCAAGGAGCAGGCTGAGGCCGAGGGTCTGGACAAGATCTTCACAGATGCTGGTTTCGAGTGGCGTGAGGCCGGTTGCTCTATGTGTCTCGGTATGAACCCGGACATTCTCTCCCCCAAGGAGCGCTGTGCTAGTACCTCAAACCGTAACTTCGAGGGTCGCCAGGGTGCCCAGGGACGTACCCACCTGATGTCGCCTGCTATGGCCGCTATTGCTGCCATCACCGGCAAGTTCACCGACATTCGCGAGCATGTCGTCTCTAGCCCTGTTTCCGCTAAGGTCCAGCCCGTTTTTGAGCAGGCCGAGACCGCTATCGACTCCCCCGCCACTGAGGATGAGCTCGACCGCGTCCTTGACCTACCAGCTGACAACGAGCCCCACACCAACACTTCTGCTGGTGGTGGCGGCAAGAGCACTGGTCTCCCTAAGTTCAACGTTCTCAAGGGTATTGCGGCTCCTCTGGACCGCTCCAACGTCGACACAGACGCTATTATTCCCAAGCAGTTCCTCAAGACCATCAAGCGAACTGGTCTTGGCACTGCTCTTTTCTACGAGCTGCGCTTCAACCCTGATGGAACCGAAAAGCCCGAATTCATCCTGAACCAAGGAATCTACCGTGACTCCAAGATTCTTGTCGTGACTGGACCCAACTTCGGTTGCGGTAGCTCTCGTGAGCACGCCCCCTGGGCTCTCCTTGACTTCGGTATCAAGTGTATCATTGCCCCATCCTTCGCTGATATCTTCTTCAACAACACTTTCAAGAACGGCATGTTGCCCGTTGTTGTCGATGACGAAGTTGCTCTGGCCAAGATCGCCGACGAGGCCAAGGCCGGTCGTGAGGTCGAGGTTGACCTTGATAACCAGGAGATCAAGGATGCCCAGGGTAACAAGATTGTCTCATTCGATGTCGATGGTTTCCGCAGGCACTGCTTGATCAACGGTCTTGATGACATTGGTCTCACCCTTCAGGTGGAGAGCAAGATCCGCACATTCGAGGCTCAGCGCAGCCTTGAGACTCCTTGGTTGGATGGTACTGCCTACCTCAAGCGTGGTACCCGTGGCGGTGCTACTCGCATCGACGCTGCTCCCGTCCCCAAGACAAACAAGGGTGAAGTGAAGGGCCCCTTGGATTGGTAAAGTTGAGAGGAAGGTATCGGGCATGGATATAATAATAAGCCCAGATTGGTCTGGGATTTGGATGTCTTTTGAGAAACAATATTCCCCCATTTTATTTCCCTGTTTGAATTGCATATTTCGGGGCTTAGCTAGTTTTAGGCTGCTTAAAAGTTTTACAAGTAGTCTACGAATATCAACGAGAATGAGTTATGAATTTGAAACAAGAACGAAGCTCTCTTTCCCGTAAAAGTATCAGTACATGCCTTTGATCCCCGAAATTGCATTCAATTTGCGTAAGATGAGATGTGATGCGAGGTCATTACATTAGATACTAAGGGGTCTGGGACCAAATATCAAGAATAAGCGAAAAATGAACATAAGAAAGGGATGTGTGCAAAGAAATCAGAAGCTTGACAAATCAAGACCCTTCTCACATATTAACTGTTACCCTACTTAAATTTTCAAACATGAAAAATCCAACACGCTCAAGGCTTTGAGAGTTGCTCACGACGGAAGAACATCAAGAAGCCAGCACTGTAAGAAACCCAAGTTAGATTCAAGTTCAGGCAAATCATATAAAGAACCTCGGAAGAGTAGTATACTCACCAAATCAAAAGCTGAAACATAAGAGCGATCCAAAACCAAGCATTCGCCAACGCACCAGCCCCCGCCGTAATATCTGGCGAAATAGGCCCCGGACCAATCTTATTTGGAGCAAAAGATCTCGCGCAAATAGTCGCGATAGAGCCCAAAACCTGCGAAACAAGCAAGGTGAAACAAATATGCATTCGCGTAAGCGTCTGCAACAATATCATACCAAACCCCACACCTTGCAATGCGTCCAGAACACCCAGCCACAGCCATAGACTCCGGGATACTAGTGCTCCAGACGTATAGCTACCTGCCCAAGGAAGGAAGAGGCCTGACCCTGACGTACCCCACCATATTTGGGCCCAACGGGGTGCACCAAGGCCACATGCGACGATTGGTAGAATCCAGCTGTGAGATCGAGATATGTATCCGAGAAGAAAGAGGATGGCTATCCAGGCGAAGCCGAAGAATGCGACGCATAGGAGGAGGATTTGCCATGGTTTTGCGTGATTTGAGATCCAGAGGACTGGTAGTCTTTTTGTTAGAGAAATAGAGATTTGAGTGAGCATTTGTATGGGGGAATTGGACTTACAGTTCCAGTTTCGACCGTAAGGGGCACTTAGGAAGAAATTCTGGAGGATTACCACAACCCAGTTCCAGAGAACGATCTTTCTTCGAAAGACGGATTTGTAGAATGATGGTACTTTGCCTGGGGTTTGACGGTAGTAGTTTGGTAGACCGAAATATAGGATAAGTCCAACGCCCCACAGAAATATTGTGATTGGAGTACAGACAGCCCTATAAAAATAGTCAACATTGGCTTATTTCAATGAAATGATATTTGGGTAAAGTAAGAGAACATACGTCATACGCCAGGTGTTTGTGATGTTACCCTGGGCATTCGCAATACCAGCGTTGGTGGCCTTAGTTAAGGTAGATCCCCAATACCAAAGAGCAATAACGTATGCTTGCTGCGTGCCTTGGATAAGACAAGCACGGAAAACCCATTTCTTAACCGGAGCTCCGCTCTCATCACCGAAATTTAGTGCAAAGAAGATCGAACCACTTGATGAGGCTGCCGCATAGACACCACTGCCGATATTCTGGATCCAGCCTCGCACAAAGGGATTGGGTTCAAAATGAGCAAGTCCAATGATTAAGAAGGCAAGACCATATAAGAACCAAGGCACAGAGAGAACAAGCACAGACTTGCAGAATCGGAAGAAAAACCACCACAGAATAGATGTGACTAGATAGACACTAGCGATCCCGTATAGTTTCTCTGCCGTTTGACCGACTTCACCGGTAAGAAGTGTTACTTGATACGAATTGGCTGCGATGATCTGTCCAAGACCGAGGAAAAGTGAGTAAACGGGCCAGTCGCCAACGCGGATTTGCATCCATTTTTTGAGACCCGTCGGTGGAACGTAGTCTTCACCGAGGAAGAATTCGTCACCGGTGGCTTCTTTTCTTTCCGGAATGCCACTTTCATGAGAGGTTGATGCTATGTCGTCGTTATTGATAGATCCTGGGGGAGAGCCACCGGTGCCATTTTTGCCGAATTGCATAGATGCAGCTGGGGACTGGTTTCTTCCGAGACGTGCATCTCTAAATCGATCAAACCATTTCTTTTCACTCTTCTCGAGATATTGCTCAATGCAAAGTTGCGAGTCCGAATTACCGCCATTGAGATCCTCGAGTTTCTTCTCAAATGCTCGATAAAATTCCTCATTGCCGTCTGTGAATGTAGGATCAACCTTCTGTAGCTTATAGTCCTTCTTGTCACCGACAACTGAATCGAACGACAGTTGCGATGCATTGCTAAGACGACTTTCAGCATCAGCCCAGGGTCGGGCCGGTGGAAGAAGTGTGTCGTCCGTTCCTGTCGTACTGGGTGCAGCGGAGCTAGATGAAGTACCAATTGAACGACCAACCAAGGAGCCTTGACTTGTCCTTTGGGCTGAGAGTAAATCACGAGTAAGAGGGACTCCAAGAGACTGTGGACCGGGTGATGGATTATCTATGCGTCGCCCTGCGTCAATCGCTTCAGGTCCTATTGGTTCCTCGTCATCTCCGTAACAGGTAGACATGATCTCATCATCGCTATCATCATCAGCAACCGGAGATGGTGTGCTTGAGCCTTCTCTATGTTCATCCACATCACAAATAACCCCCTTGCCCAAGTCTCGTCGACCACGACCATCCAGTGACACAGATGCAGGCCGCACGCCAAAAGGCATTTGTCGACTAAGACCCGATTTGGGTCGACTTTCACCACTCGGACTGGGATCGCGACTGTAAATTACTGAACCGCGCTGCATAGATGCCATGGTACCAGGGCGACTAGGAGATTGCAAAGGTGGAGTGAGAGTACCACTGGACATACCAGATCTCATTGAGACAGCAACCTGCGGAGTCATCATACCATAAATAGCATTGTATGCGGAATTCGCAGGAGTGGTTTGAGATTGTGATTTTGCGCGCTCTTTATCGTGAACTCGCATAGCTGTTGATTGTAGAATCTCCAAGTCCTCAATCCACTGGGCAACGGGGAACCGCTGCTTAGCTGAACGTGCACGCATCATAGCTCTCGTCTCAAGCTTCGAATTCAAGGCACTATCAATTGCAAGCTTGAATTGCCTGATCAAATGAGTTGTTGTCGTCGACTCAACGGTATACCACCAACCAGGCATTTGACCAAGGCCACCAACACGAGCACCAATGCCAAGAGCACCTTTACGACCGAATTCAACAGCCACAAGACCGAATGGTTCATCTCGTGACGGAATGAGAGCAAATTCTGCCCCCGAAAATATAAAGGGAGGCAAGACGGTGAAATGTGGCTTTGAGAAGACGCGCCCTGGATACAGTTTCGTCATTCGGTCCAATTTCAATGCTGCAAATTTGCCATATAGATCAATGACGGGTCCAACACATATAAGCTGGACATTCGGTCGTTCATCAAGCACACCTGGCAATACATCGGCAATAAGATCAATGCCCTTTTGCATAGACCATCTTCCTACAAAAACGAGAAGATCGGCATTGGGAATTTGGGTCAAACCAGCCCATTCTTGAGCCTGGCGCTTTAACTCAGCTCGTCGAAGCTCAAATTCGCTATCCACACTGATATCGCTTTCTTTGGGGAGCTCTTTCTTCCACTCATCAGTATCTGATGGATCAGGATTTGGCAAATTTCCAACTTTTCTTAGGCCCCAGAAGATTGGATATCTCGCGTAAGAGCGTTTCCCGTACTTTTTCGATACTCCAACAGCTCCAAAGCCTTGCTGATGGAGACGTAGATAGCTTGCTCCAGCATGCAATAAATTGAAGATCTCACCAAATTGAACATAGCGAGTGACAACGTCTATATCCAAATTAAATACGGAGCAGACTTCAGTCTTTTCCTTTTGAGTTCGCATTGGCCACAGGCCTTGAAATTCAGCGTTATGAAGCGAAAGGCAGATGGGAATTGTCTCCGGAAGCTGATAAAGCGGGGCAATAGCACCGTGATAGTCATTGATATGGTAAAGATCGATGGGGAATCGTTTGAGAGCCTGTGCGATGCATTGATTCCAAGCGGAGTAGTAAATTGCGCTGTCCATATCGTCCATACGAGCCGGGTAAGGCTCTCCAGCCGTTTGTTGACGGAAGACAGGGGCATCTAAAAGAACATAGGTAATGTTGCGAAGATAGTGGTACTGGACTTTCACTTCCCAGGAGTTCCCGAGAATCATGACAAACATCGACTCAGCTGGCTTATCAACAGGATACTCTATGCCTCCCACGCAGGGGATAACCCAGATGAGGTCCTCGTGGCCGAGCTGTTTGCCCATTAGCTGTGCCATGACACCTAGTCCACCAATCTTAATTTTGATCCCCCAGTCATCGATATCGTACTCCATAGTAGCGACTAACACCTTTCGCCGTTGAGATGTACGGTTGCCAAAGGCCGAGTTGCTCTGGAGAAATTTGGACTTGTTCGCAAGACGGACAAGTATATTTCGCGATCCGCCGGCTTCCAAATTATTTGACTTCAACCTGTTGAGGAAATCCAAGGAGATCAGAGTCTTCTTTTCGCTCACGCCGACTTGATTGAATTTGATGCGATAGAACGTCTTCATGAAGATATATGCGCATATTGTACCGCTGATCACGGGGATGAGCCAAAGCATGAAGAACAGAGCCATTTGAACATATTTTGACCCAGCTGGCACAAGTCTGAATTTCAGATTCGCATCATCGAGTTCAATTCTCCATGCCAGATGTGGACTAGGTGGGTGCTGGGTGATGTTGATCGTGGTGTGTTTGAGTGAGGAAGGAGGAAGCCGATCAAGGACAGAGTCTCCATCTGAATCTCCAAAAATATAACTTTGATCTGGTTGGCCATCAGGATTGATGCCCCAGACATTCACTTGACCTTGAGCAGGCCACTCAGCCATAAAACGGAACTTCCAGAGACGATCTCCAGCTTGCTTGAAGATGTTTGCCAATCCAGCATCATAACCGTACTCATTAAAGGGTCCATTGAAGAAGAGATGAGGGAAACGTCGTGGCATTTTCGGATCCCAGTCAAGAGCATCACCCTCCTGAACATAATCACTGCTACCTGTGAAGCGACTGAAATACTCGACACGAACATGCTCTCCCTTCCATTCCTGTGCCTTGGTTCCTGACCAATGTTGTTTCTTGATCGTGTGGTTTCCGCCTTCATAAGGCAGCCACTTGGAGAATGTGCTACCCCAGTTTGTTGAATAGCGATACATGTCTGCTCCAGCTGCATGTTGTCTAATGAAAAGATTACCATTGTTATCTCTATAAAGAAGACTGCTTGAATAATTGGCTGACGTGAAAGTTATTGGATTATCCTGTCGTCCAATGCGAATTAGGAAATGATCAATCGCGTGGGTTTTTCTCCCATCGCTACTTGTCGCGTTGTTGACTGTAAGCCGGTGAATACCATTGTATACCCCAGTTAAAGTTGCTGTCCACACCCAGGCACCAGGGATGTGCCCAGTAAGCGGAGAGTCCTCTGGGTCAACAGAGTGGCAATCCACCGTTCCGTCATCGATCGAAGGGGTCTTTCCGACTTCTGTGGTGGACTCAATAGAGATAGACTGAGTAAGTGTGGAGCAATTCATCTCCGTGGAAAAATAAAGACTAACGTCCAAACTTTCACTTTCTCCGGGGCCGACCTTTGAGAGTACAGGCACGTCGTGTCCTGGGATGAATTTTGTGATCATAGGTCGCGGAGGGATGAACTCTCTCTTGGGGACATAGGCTCGGAACTCGTAAGGACTAAGCGTTAGACTATCAAGACAGCCATTCCACTTTGATGAGCCATTGAGATGAAGTTTTGTCGGGCTATCTATCAAGGTCAGTTCGTCGTGTGGATAGAACAGATTCTTGACGGTGGTGTTGGTATCGAACGGAGAAACAAGTGCCGCATCCCGGTCTGAACAGTCAAAGTCATATGTCACGGTGCGATTGTCATTCTGATACAAAAACCAAATTGTATGATTTCCTGCCTTTCCAAGATCTTGTTTCTGGAAGTATGGGCTACGCAAAACAGACCACATTCCAGTTTCGGTAGGAATGCGGTTAGAACCAGGATATACCACGTTGTGGGTTTGATTTGACAACAATTGAATCCACCATCCATCATTCAAAGTAGGGTACTCTTGTCGCATCTGATACATGTGCTTGATGGTATTTCTGAGAGGTGCTGAAGGATCCCGATGATCATAAGTAACAGAATCATCATAGCAACCCTCCCGCCCGGACCTGATCGGCCAATCGTAATACTGAGTCGAGTTAAGATGGAAACAACCGTGCGTTTTCCAAGCTGTGGCAGGGGACATTGCTTGACGACCATAAATATAGTTCGAAGCTAAGGCATCCAAGGTGTAGAAGGCTTGTTCTTCACCCCAGAGCAATAATGGAATTCCGGGCATGTGCAATGTTGTGATAAAGAGCGCCAATAACTGCCTTTCAATTCCTTGTTCTACAGTTGGCCACCTGAAGACATCTTGATTTGTTGCACCATACATATGTCGAGGATCGAACTTGCCCGTGTTCGCATTGACAAGGTCATTGGTGAGGATCATATCATACCAGGCTTCTGTCCAGTTAACGGGGATATCATAGCCAGCGGCGAGATTACCATCCATGCCAAGAAAACGAGTGAGGGAGCGATAAACAGAATAATGAAATGCAGCACCGTCGATAGCTTGTTGATTCTCATCACGCACGAAATACTTCGCATCGGAAGAGTTGGTCATGTGGAATGCCTCGTCGAGCGTCTTGGGCGTCATGTCTGGCTGCCTTCCACGACCAAGGAAAATAGACCCTAGTGTATTACCACTGGTGATTTCACCTGGTAAGAAGAAATTATGTTTTCCAACACGACGCGCACAGTCTCGGTAGGCACCAGAGATATCTCCCAAGGCATCCACAGTAGCTTGTGTCGCCTTGTCGTACCGGAAGCCGTCGATATCAAGCGACGAAATAATCATACATGAGTGTCTGATAATTCGTTCCCGTACGCTTGGTACCCACTCGCGAAGTCGATCTTGTACAGAGGCGAATTTCGCAAGCTCACGTTGCCAGTCAGGATAAACACCGAAAGCTTCAATATCACCATATTGATCGAAATCACTATTGTAGCAGCCCTTCAGCTCATCATCCACGTATTGGTCGACAGGAAAGCCGGTTTCATTCCAGAAGCGTGGATATTCACAAGTATTGTTATATGAATTTCCAAAGTGGAAGTCAACATAGTGGCGATCTGATTTCCATTGCGCTTGGTGTTCGTCGACCGAAAACGGGGTTGTGGTATTGAGGTATCCTTGAAACCCGATTAAATCACCCATTCTATAGCATGTTAACCCTGATATCAACGATGGAGCTCAGGAGATCATTTCAGACTGAGAATTCACTTACGTTGCAACTGTGTTATCAAAAATGACATACATGCCACGTTTATGAATCTCGGTGATGGCATCTCTCCAGGTCTCAATAGTACCAAAGTGTTGATCGAGTAAAGTAGTGTCCATTGCAGAGTAGCCATCTGAGCCCCAAGGTTGATTCATCAAGACAAGTCCGGCAAGATAAATTCCCTATAATAAAAATTTGAAAATCAACAATGCCCTAAAATGTTCTAGCACAAAGCGCCAATATTACCTTGATGCCCATCCCTTGAAGATAATCTAGGGTATCAACAAGGCCAGCTACATCACCGCCATGTCGCATTTGATTTGAGTTCAAGTCATGCTCAAATAGTGTTCCATTGATATTATCATTCGTTGGGTCACCGTTCACAAAGCGATCTAAAAAGAGTGTGTAAACAGGAAAGCGCCAGTTTTCTGGTGATGGATGATAGGTATGATTGGGCCATTCTCCCCAGTATTCAGCAGGATTGGTAGCCGCCTCATTCTCATTGATGTTGTATGCAGTGAGTGCTTCATCGTACGGCCAAGATAGTCCCAGCCCTGTGAGGTGGGCAAGGACGACACTTGTGGTTTTCCAACGCATCGTAGCAGGTAGAAGTCACAACTAAACAAATACTATTTCCGTGGCATATGTCTTGCCCATTGGAATTGAAGACCAAATCCAACAGACGCGTAAGACTAGCGAAAGGTCTTGAGAAACGAGTGGTGTATTTGTTTCCTGTATAATGCCGTTAATCAAGCTATAATTTCAGTAGATATCAAATATGAACGACGTGAACATGAACTAGATCAGCAAGATCTGGAAGCAAGAGAAGGTATATCCTAGTCAAAATAACTGGTATGAAAAGGACATAAGACTATGAAATTAGATCATACACTTATTGAAGTGACGAGAGACGAGGGGTGGGTATAGATTCATAGATCGGGATTAATGAATGAAAAAACCAGAACCAAAAATGATCAATTTGAAGGAGACCCTCGAGGCATACTCCGTAGAACAGCTCCAATCAAGCGTCCTATCAATAAACTCGGCCTAAAAAGCGGAAAAAGAAAAGATCGAAACGAATGGAATTTGTGGGCTATTAGGTAGAAATAAGTGAAATCACAGGAACGCAAATAAACAGGCGAGGCAAAAGAAAAAGACCTCGCATAAGCCAACTATTACTGCATACTTCTAGGAAATAATCAAGTCACATCTTTCACTTTAGTAAGTACATTGTCAGATACCTTCTTTCCATATGAAAGTGGATATTGGGGTTAGACGTTCCGACCACCGGAATGGACGGTGGAATTCCCAGAAGCTGCTGATAGGAGGTAGATCCTGAGGATACATCTGGAACCGTCGGGGCCCTGAAAGTACACATGATCGAAGAATATTATTTGAAGAGCAATTGAGCTCAGACGACAAAGTTCAAGATTGTCTCACGACGTGTCGTCCTCCTTTGGCAGCTTCTAGCAATATCCATAGCTCTTTTCATTCCAGACGGCCGGCGTGGAATGGTTGTGGCTCGATAAGCCTAAGTGTGCAAGACATGCAGTGTTTGTATGACAGAGTATTGTGATACGTTGATCCTCAAGGATGATAACTTGAAGGGACCATGCGAGAGTAGTAAAACAAAGAGGAGCAAACCAAGACATGAAGTTTAGATCGTCTATCGGTCCAATTTCAACCTTGACTATCTCTACGCCCAAAATATACACATGTGCATATGTGCATTGAATATCCGTTTTTGGCTTTGTCAGCCCTAACGAGACTGTAGAGGGAATATTCACCTTGAGGTTTAGTTGAGATTTATATTGTCTACATTCAATCTCAAGGTCTACAGATATTTGTTCACTTCACCTATTGCATAGTATGCTCATCATAATAGTCCGACTCTAATCGCTGTTCTGATTCCCACGTCCAACTTGAAGGGTAGATGAATAAATTCATCTATAACTTAATTCAACAATAATGATAGTCAACTCACTATTTAAAATTCCTGCTAGGCCGTATAGATAATATATGTTCATATTCCGACCACTACAGCATGCGTCCCCGGCGAGATCGGGTATACTATAAATGAAGACCGTGCTTATATGTACGATAGTAAAGCATCGAGCCCTACAGCAGAGATCTCACAGAGAATCTGGTTCTCATTCAGAAAATTTGATTTCAGACGAGGGGGCTGAGTAACTGTAAGACCTTCCTGCATCTCTACCACATCTGCGCGTGCGATCCATTCACCGACATTAGTATCGTGAATAGGGTTGCATCTAAACGGCAGTCTTTAAACGAGCTCTTAGCAGCTCTTAGCTCATATCTAGCATCCCGATATTTCTATTCGGCTAACTAGAAAAGTATAATTAGAGTTAGGTAGTGGTAGATGGGCTTTCCCTGTTTTGCACGGATCCTAATCCCAGGGATTGACCAGTTCCGTCATTGATGCTTTGTGCATGCTTCGGAGTAGATTTGTCTATCTTATCTTGATTCTGAACAGCTTGTCCTTTCGAGACCTGATTTAACTACGAGTGAGTCAGTCTATTGGCCACCTAGCAAAAATCCATGATCCTGGGACCGACAGGATGCTAGTGACCATCCCAGGCCGACTGATATGCCCATAGCCGCTCGATGGAACGGTCAACGGTCTGATAGATTTTGGATGAGTTTAGCTCGATCTTAATTTTTTATCTTGTTGCACTTTGTGCTCTGGAATGCTCATTACATAAGTCGACGGTGTCAAGAGCCTTGATCGAACAAGGAACCGTGGCATCGATGGGTCGAAGATCATAATGCAATAGCACGACATACATGATACCTTTCTTGTACTTTGAGAGTACACGGGAGACAGTTTCGCTCTGGAGTAAAGCAAACCGCATTGCTTGGAATATACCGTGAGTTCCTCGAGGTTCATTGGTATTCCGAGAGAGTGGCGCCTGCATCTCGCCGAGCGATGCAAGAGGCCGATGAAAAGATGAGTAGATTTATCAGGGGCTCAAGGTGGTTAACGATTTATTGGATAGAATATGTAATGTAAACTTTCTACATATTAGATCTTATATGGGTGATATTCAAGTTTGTATACTACTACTACTACTAGTTTTTACCATCAGCTTCACTTCGCAAGTTCTAAATTGCTGCCAGTGCTCTTTCCTTTCTTGATCTATATAATCTGGAGACCGATATTTTTTTTGAAAGACCACCATAGTACGATGATAATAGCTCATTAAGAGACTCCAAGTATAACAAGGACCGAGAAAATTCAATTTCGATCGCTGAATGCATTTTCCGGAATCTTTGCTCAAAGATCTCCACGTTTGGAACCCGATCCTGTCGTTCGGCTGTTTGTGACACCCAGACAACCACTAGGAAGCTGCCGGAAAGATCCGATTTTGGGTTCATTGCTGTCCAATTAGCACTCGAAGCGTATAAAAATGCAACAATGACATTTACTACTTATTCATCACGAGTACTGTGCCTTAGGAGTGGGGTTTCGGCTTGTCCCTAATTCCAAGTCTTAGTGCCTGGGACCTGCCGCTCCCACGGACGAATGGTAATTCCTCCCTTAAGACAATACAGTTCGTTGTCGTCCGTAGAAAAATTAAGCCACGGAGCTTTGTAAAATCTCACGAACTTTCTCTCGTAATGAACTTGCCATTTAACATAAGCTATGCATGTTTGACTCCGGGTACTTCCAAGGTAACATTCACTTTTGAATAGCTGACAATTGTCTGAGCGTGGGTTCATGGCACCATGAACGAGCTTGATCTCCTGTTCATAGCAACAACTCTATCTGATGGATAGATACATGACCCCCGAGTGCGGGTTGAGGCATTAACCCTGTTGTGTTGTGAGCGACTAGTATTCCTAAGTTGAACATCAGCACACCCGGCGCCCCCGGTGACCTATTTACATACGCGGGCCTTGCTTTATACATCTTTCCTTGGATAAGATACACGGGCTTCATAGTCCAATAAACCCAAACGCCTTCTAAGACATTGCGGTTGAACTCGGGGCGCCCGATCATCCTGTGCGACATCCCGACTCTTCTGAACGGGGACAATTAGCTGGATGTGGCACTTCCGAGGTTCTATGAAAAGCCTCGTTGGTTCCCCTTAGAGACTCCGAGAGATTCTTATTCCTCATTGAGCTAAGGCAAGCAGCTCTGGAATAGAAACCGAAGAGCCCAGATCCAAGTTGCCCGATTGGATGCTAGATGGGTTTGCAGTATTGAAAGACTGTACTACCAGTTCATGGATTTGGCAGAGCATCCACTCCCTAATATACATAGCTTCAATGTCTTAAGTGCTCGTAAATATTAATTCGTAACTCCAAACTATCCTGGTATCATAACCGCTCTTCTTTTCCCGTCTTTTCCCCGAGATTCCAATAGTCTCTAACATCGTGTCTCAATGCATCGTATAGATAGGCGCTAACAGGCATTGGATGCCATATTTACTCCGCGCCATAGCGGGCCCGGTAGTCCTTCAGACGCTGGACCTCCTGCGCGCCAATCTTATCGCCAAGCTGCTCAATCAAATCGTGCAAGCCAATCACCGCACGGATAGGGATGCTTTCACCCAGATCGCGCTGCGCAACACCAATGGCGCTCTTAGACTCGGTGTCGCTAACACGCTCCTCACGATCCAGCAAAACGACAATACCAGCAACAATGCCACCCTCCTTCTGAATAATGCTGACAGCCTCACGGATGGCAGTTCCAGCGGTGATGACATCGTCAACAATAACAACGCGCTTGCCCTTCAGAGGAGCGCCGACAATGTTTCCACCCTCGCCGTGAGCCTTGGCTTCCTTGCGGTTGAAGGAGTAGCTGACATTGTCCCAGGTACCCTTCGGAGTAGCAGCTAAGGAGTCGCGCACAGCCAACTCGTTGGTGACAGCGGCACAGATAGGGATTCCCTTGTATGCGGGGCCGAAGATGATGTCGAAGTTGGGCTTGGTGGTGCCATCGGCGGCGGTGCTCACGAAAGGTTCGCTGGCGAGCACACTAGCATAGGCTGAGGAGGTGGCGCGCAGCAAGGGAGCAGTGTGCAGGAGGGAGGAGGTGAAAAAGTAAGGAGATTCGCGACCGGACTTGAGGACGAAGGTGCCGAAGGAGAGGACATTGTTGGACATGAGGAGGGGGAGCAGCTCGCTCTTGTATTCTTGAGGGGCGGACATGATGTAGGGTGGTAGGGTTGCCTTACTAGAATTCCGATTTGTATTGTGTATAGCAGAGATTGAGGGGATCGAGGATATACAAGCGGTGGGATGTCTAGAGAGAGAAAAAAAGCGGGATCGGCGAAATTCCGCCCCGCGATGGGTTAGCTAAGACTGGCAATTTTTTTTTATTAAGGAGGGGCACGGCAGAAGAGGGGCCAGTGCTTATTCTTGAAGTACAGAAGATTGAGAAGAGGTAGATAGTAATAGAGTCGGAGATTATTTACTTGTATGCTGAGTATTCTAACTGTACATCTGTATATCTATATATATAAACAGTTCAATATATAAATTGATCACCGTTAAGCTCCTAGTTAAACTTCTTACTCCGTTTAACAACATAAACTCGCCAGTTGACTAGAACACGTGCTCCGATCGCCGGCCTTCCCCGCCGCCAAATCCAAATCCCCAATCTGATTCGACTTTCCTTCTTCCACCTCCGTTTGCTTCTGGAGCCTTCAATCTCTATCTTTTTTTCTTTATTTTTGCCTTTAGTTTGATTACATCCCCGGAATTCACAAATTAAGGGTTATTCCTTATTCTTTGAATCCGGTACCAGCACACTGGTCGAGAAATCCTGGTGATTTTACGAGACCCTGCGAGAACGGACCGCCGCAGATCCACACTAGGTGAAAATAGACGTGACGGAATTTATTCGACACAGGTGTTTTTAGTAAGTCTCCTTTTTCTGCCTCAAATATAGCCATAACGGCTGGGCTTCATTGCCCTTCAAGAGAACTGCTCTAACAGAATACATAGAGTACATTGACGCGACATCATGCATATCCGAGAGAAGCTGGCCCAAAAGCAGGCCGCGGGGGAGCCGGGAATTTCTTTCGAGTTCTTCCCCCCTAAGACCGCCCAGGGTGTTCAGAACCTTTACGACCGTATGGACCGTATGCATGGATTAGGACCCTCATTCATCGACATCACATGGGGAGCGGGTGGTCGTCTTTCGGACCTGACTTGCGAGATGGTGGGAGTTGCTCAATCGGTGTATGGACTAGAAACATGTATGCACTTGACCTGCACGGATATGCCTCACGAGAAGATTGACCAGGCCCTCCAAACCGCTTATAAGGCCGGATGCACCAACATTTTGGCCCTGCGAGGTGACCCACCGCGTGAGAAGGAGGCATGGGAGGCCGTTGATGGAGGCTTCCGATACGCCAAGGATTTGGTTAAATATATTCGCGAAAAGTACGGAAACCACTTCGACATCGGTGTGGGTGCGTACCCTGAGGGCGCTGATGATAACTCCGACGTGGACATTCTGATTGACCACTTGAAGGAGAAGGTGGATGCTGGAAGTACCTTCATTATTACACAGATGTTTTATGATGTAGAGAACTTCAAGACATGGGTAAACAAATGTCGTGCGAAGGGCATCACCATCCCGATCATTCCGGGTATCATGCCTATCCAGACCTACGACTCTTTCATTCGCCGGTCTACCTGGACCAAGGCCCATGTGCCCTCACCATGGATGGAGGCCCTTGAGCCTGTGAAGAACGACGATGCTGCTGTCCGTGACATTGGCAAGCGCCTCATTGCTGAAATGTGCAAAGAACTTCTCGCCTTCGGTATTAACCACCTTCACTTCTACACCATGAACCTGGCTCAAGCAACCAAGCTCGTTCTGGAAGAGCTCGGACTTGTCCCATCCGAGGAGTCTCCTATTCAACGATCATTGCCTTGGCGACCATCTTTGGCCTTGGGTCGCAGAGGCGAGGATGTGCGACCGGTCTTCTGGCGTAATCGCAACTCATCATATGTTGCCCGTACACAAACATGGGACGAGTATCCAAACGGTCGCTGGACCGATTCTCGGTCGCCTGCGTTCGGCGAGCTTGATGCCTATGGTGTCGGCTTGAAGGGTTCAAACGCCCAAAACATCAAGCTGTGGGGCGAGCCTAAATCAGTGAAAGATATCTCCAATATTTTCATTAATTTCTTGGATGGAAAGCTGGAGCGTCTGCCTTGGAGCGATAGTCCAATTACCATCGAGGCCAATGAAATCAAGGATCCATTGCTTGACCTGAACAGCAGAGGTTTCCTCACCATCAACTCACAGCCTGCTGTGAATGGTGTCAAGTCATCTCATCCAATCTACGGCTGGGGTCCCAAGAACGGATTTGTTTACCAGAAGGCTTACTTGGAGCTTTTGGTTCCCTCATACCTGATCGATGAACTCATTACCCGCATTGAGAACAACGAAGATCTTACCTACCACGCCGTTTCCAAGGAAGGTGGATTAAGAACCAACACGCGCGACAGCCCGAACGCTTTGACCTGGGGTATTTTCGCTGGACGAGAAATCATCCAACCTACCATCACGGAGACAGTCAGTTTCCTGGCATGGAAGGATGAGGCTTTCCGACTGGGTGAGGACTGGTCCAAGTGCCACGATGCTGGCAGCCCCAGTCGAAAGTTGATCCAACAGGTCATGAATGACTGGTACCTTGTCAACATTGGTAAGACAAACTACCCTTTCCATTCGAGCGCTTCCGAATATCACTAACATTAAATAGTTGACAACGACTTCCATCGCTCAAACATCGTCTTCGATCTCTTCAAGGACCTCGAAGTCAAGGAGCTCAACACCGAAGTGCCCGGAAAGCAACCCGAGGCCAACGGTGCCGCTGAAACCAATGGTACCGTAACAAAGAACTAAGAGACTCTTCCACTCAACCGGGAGAGTTCAGTCCAAGCTGCAAAATTAATCAACATGTCCCCGCCACTGGACTCAAACAAAAATTCCGATCTACTGCCAACACTACTCTTTAACGTCTTTACTTAATTCAACATCACCTATCTCAACGATACTCAACGAAAACAAAACCTGTCCGAGGTAAACTATCCAACACCTATCTCGGCTTCTCTATGCAATGTGTCATGGCGTCACGATTGAAGACCTCTCAACGATTTCTTCCTGAGCGTTCATTTTTCTATTTCAACATCCAACATTCCCACTGTACCGATACCCCGTCTCTTTTAACAATGACGCTTCATCGCTCAGAGTACTTTTCTTTCCGCATTTGTCCTCCGCGGCCTGGTGCTTTTTCATTTGTTACGTCCATACTACGCTCAATTAATCAAAATCCATGATGAATTGATTGATAGGCATGGTAGGACTGTGCAGATGAAAAGGAGGATTCAAAAGAAATAAAAATGCTCAATTCAACATCATAATTTCCCCATCAGGGACTATTTTCTATTCTGTCTTTGTGTTTCTTCCCATTCTGCCTTCTCTCTTCTTTCCGCTGTTGGGTTTCCGATTATAGAGATTGCATCGAGAACTATTTCTCTCGGGTGCGACTGAAGTCTTCCTTCCATTTTGCAAGCACAGGAGTTTGTTTTACACCGTGCTCCTTTCCCCTCTTTGACAAGCATTACTTGATTATCTTACCACTGTGAGGGTAGTTGAGGTATATAAGCTTGCCATGAAACAAAGAAATCAATATTAAAGAATATCAAGTCTCATTCAAATACAATTCCTCGAAATCTTGATATACCCGCTCTGCTGTGCTCTCCGTCTATTCTACACCTAGGTCGGTTTCCCCACTCTACTTAGCTGGGACCTCGAGATCATCGTACTTGAATCCCGCAGAAGTTGCAGTCAGATTGCCCAGTGAGATGTTTACTAAAGAATACTAGTATCTTTGACTTTGGTATTGGAACATTAGGGTAGGTCTGGAGTTTGGTTGCTCAGATTCTGATTTATGAAGCTGACTTCACGATGTGACAGATAAGGCCTGGTAGACTGTATTGAATTTCAGTAATTATAGGACTCATATTGATATTCCGCTTACTCGTTCAATGTCATTCTGCCTCGCTTAATTCCCCCATCGGTTCCTCTCTCTTGGTATACACTCCACTCCACGAATGATTTGCAGATTAACAGAATGATACATCTAATCATTCTTCTTTGTCCTCTTGCATTTTGAATCCTAGATGAAATTCGGAATTTCACGCTCTCTATGACCTGTAGACTACGCCGAGACTTCATCAGTACTTTGCTGCACTTGATCATATAACATAGTATGTAGTATACTTGCGCTAGACCCCAATGACACTATACTGTACTAGGATCGGAAGAGTCAGTTGAAGCTTCAGAGTTCCATTTCCAATATTGTGTATATTTTATGAGTTCTTAACTAGTAGTAGGGAATATAGGTATTATATTAAGTACGTGAACCTTGACATCAAGTAATTGAGAGAAGGGCGTATCAGTTGCTCATGATACCACCTGGGCAGGTGCATCGTCAACTTACGTGGCCTGTTAGTCCAACAACGCTAGAGATATCAGAGCAGTTTGAGCACCAAGATCACAGTATGTCTCTTCTTATACTACTCCTCCAGACCTTCATCTCTGCCATATACTTCGACCTTTCAGTTGTCTTCATGACTCCATTTATGGGATCAATCAAACCCAATTTACACCATGATCTTCTATGTTTAACTAATAACTGATAAACCATACGTGATACAACTCAATTTTACTCCATAGAGCGCTATCAACCCCTCGTCAAAAGAACCGACAACTTTTATGCTCGCAGTCAGCCATGGAGCACTCGACCATACCCGACATGAATATGGACGCAGCAGGGGAATTGGCGACCAATCCCGTCGAAAATAACGGTAAAGATGGTCGAGCTGACCGCATGCCACTCGATGGAATACATAGCGCTTACCCAGTTGAGGTTCCATCGACGTTTCCAGATCTAGTCCTAACAGATGACGAGCTGCGACAAGCTTTCTACTTCAGACCATGCCACTGCAAACAAATCGACCCATCCAGAGTTTACTGGCGGCCCTCTAGCAACCGCCTGCTGCGCAACAAATACCATCCCCTTCTCTTCGAAACGGAAGAAACTGCGGATGGTACTATCCAATATCGGCACTCGAAGAAGGTTTTCCATACGAATACCGGGTCTAAGTGGGAAGGCATCCGTAGGGGCGACCACGACCCTGAGCGCTACAATTACCTGGGCGTACCTCGACCCAACAAAATCCCTGATACTGATCTAGGTCGTCAAAATAGCGAGCGGCACTTACAGGAGCCCGAGCCTACGTTCCAGCGTCCTGAGCCTAAGGCAAAGCTAGAGTACCAGGCTCTTGAGGAACCCAATGAAGGAAGCGCGCAGGTTTATGTGCATCATTCTATGAATGCCGACGAGGCACCTCTGCCTTTCAGCGATTTGCATTCGAGCCCATCATCTTGTGCGTTCTTTCCAGAGACAGAAGTCTCTGCTGAGGAGCGGATACAGACATGGAATGCACGGGAGGGTATCAATTTTGCTGAACAGAGTGCGGTAAATGAAGAGGCGATTGATCTGCAGGATCAAGATGAAGCGTTTGATCGAGAGTTTGGACAATTCTCGAACCTTGATGAGTAACGACAAAAGCTTGACGCACATAGAGTGGAGCTTGAGGCGCATTGGAGCATGTGCGAATGCTTTCAGCCGTGAAGAAAGCTCTGGGCTTTGTTTTTCATTCGGGTCATGATTTGCCTCAGCCATTGAGCGGACTTCGAGAATATTATCTGGTCATTGTGTAATTCATTGATGATCTACATGGTCTGTCTTGTATTCTTTTGAATCATGCACATACTTGTGTGGCGGTGCATGAAACATCTCGTTTAGACCAATGTATCGAGAATTACCATTTCAAGATTAAGAGCACATTAATAATGTAGGTGAATAATTGCATATGAATGAAGTAAGGATAATAGCTAGAAAGCAGCTATCTGGACACCTTCTCTGCTCCTCTATCCACAGCGCTCTCTCACATAAAAAAAGAAGTAAACACAGGTCGCCAAGCCCATTACCAAGAACGTGATATTATAGACCAATAGGAAAATCAAAGACAAAGGAACTGCAGCGTATAAGCGCCTACCACTGCTTGGGGATATTTGAGTTTAAGGAAAGGATCAAGGGAGAAGTAGGAAAGCAAGATAGAGGATCATGTTATGAGTGCACGGGTAAAACACTGGAATGTCCAGGTAAATGGTTTTGCGAGCCAGAGCATCCAGCTGGCAATAAGGAAAAGGTATCCTGCGGTACGTCCGAGAACCAAGGCACCAAAGCCAAGGATAACGAGGTAAACTGCAGCTTGGAGAGTTTCTACCATGAATCGACTGATGGCTTTATCATTCTTTGGTTTGGGCCAAGTACCTGTGGCCTGGTAGACCGATACTGTCTGATAAATTGTGCCGAAGACTTGGTAACAGTGTTGAGTCATACTCAGAATATTCAAGATGATGAACTTGGCGTATGCACTGTCTGTAGTTTGTAGGCCGAATTTGTGCATGTTTGTAACAGCCACGAGGACGATTTCAAATATCATGGACAAAGCAACGGTATTAGAAGGTCCTTTAGGTAGGTCGTCGTCTTTGTCGATGGGATCGAGTTTTCCAAGATCATCACGAACATCCGTGATGTTGGCTTGAAGGGTATCGGTTGCACCGGAGACTTGATGACCATCCAGTTCTGCAATTTCAACCACTTTCGTTGCCCTCCGAGCCCGCGCTTGTTCTTTAAATCTCTCGAGCCTTTCCTGTCGAGAGAGACGTTCGGCTTGAGACGCTTTCTCTGAGATGGTCAACTTTTCGAGCTTTGGTTGCTCCGGTGGAGGTGTGTTCCTTTCTAGTGGAGGTGAAGCCTTCTTGGGCGGAGGCTTCGGTTCCACCACAGGAGGCTTTTCCTTAGGTGAAGGCTTCTCAAGTGATACCCTTGGCTGTCGAGTTTTTGCTTTCACAGGGGAAGGCTTCGTAGAAGATGGTGGTGTTTCTTTAGCTGATCTGAAGGATCGGTCAGATCTGGAAGACTCGGAGTTGTCTCTAGATGGCGGAGAAATTTGAGAAACAGGTGAGCTTGAGCTCTTTCGGCTGACAAGAGAGCCAGATCCATTGCGGAAAGACTCAGCACGATGGCGTAGTGACTCTGTGCCATTTCGGATTATTGTAGCCAAACTTCCGGTTGGCGATCTAACCATGCTTGTGGACTTTGCTAGCCCGGAGGTACGGATGAACCCACGGATGGAATTTGACGTCTTTTCGGGTTTCTCCTTGTCCTTCTCTTTCTCCGGGGTGGCGGTCTCTGTCGGTTTTGTATCCTCGTCTTTTGCCAACCCCTCTTTTATGCTCTTCTTTTTGGTCATGGGGAGGTTGGTGAGACCGCTTTTTGAAGCAGCTAGTGAGGAAACTGTCGATTTGACCTGCGCGGGATTCGTCGCGGGTCGCAGCCCAGAAAGTGTAGAGATGACCTGAGCCTTTGCCCGAACGGCCTTGACTGCCTCTCCGGTCCCAGAGTGACCAGTTCCACCGGGACGACGCAGGCCTTGCGCTTTTAAAATGGATATTGTTTTTGCGGTCTTTGGTGATTTTTCTGGGGTTGGAGTGGGAATCATAGTACGCGTGATAGTGGGTGTGATAATGAACACATCGTCGTCCCCCCGTCCGTCGTCCGTCTTCACTGGGGTGTTTTCTTTGCTTTCTGTGGGACGGGAGTTCTCCTTGCTCGATTTTGACTCTGGCGTTGCTACCTCCTGCTCCGCGCACTTGGGTTCTTGGCACATTGTTACCGACGACTGCTTCAAGCATTGGGCATGCTTCGAATTCTGAGAAACTTGTGACCACTCTTCTTCCAGAGCAACTTTGTCGGCCGACTTCCGGGCTGCCCGAGAGGCTTTCTCTTTCAGCCTCTTCTTCGCTCCTATCGCCAGTGGCCTCGGCTGTAGAGTGGCCGAGTCTTCTCCTGAAGCGAAAAGAAGGATTTCGTCCGGGTTCTTTGTTCCAGGCCCGTTGATCTCCTTGCACCCTAAAAAAGAGCCGTCTGCAATATGTGATCCTCGCTTTTCTTTAGCTTTGGTGGGAGACTCCTCCCATATAGTACTGATGCGGTTCTTGCCAATCTCATCCGGGCTGTAGTAATGTCCTTGAGCCTGAGAGGGATGAAGCTGGGAGTTTGTAGCTGCCGATCGATCGGGTTCTGGTGGACTGTCTTGAGTATCAGAGTCGGGTTGGTCAGAATTGCGACCATCGTAAGTATGGTATTGAGCAGAAGCTCTTCTTCTCTCCCGGTGCGTCGGGGGATCACGTTTTCCATCTCCCAAAGAGTTCCGTGGGCTTGGCCTGGTGTTTGGATCAACCATGCGGCGCCCACTGCGGCGAACTCTCTCGATACTTTTTTGGTACTCTGCGATTTGGTCCGCTGTCATGGTCGGCGGGTTGGGATCCTTAGCTGATGGCATGTGAACCACAAATCGGTCTTCCCAGTCACAATCCGTCACTGACTCTTCAGCGGAGACCGGTGAGATAGACTGACGAGAGGGAGAGCTAGAATCAGATGTATCGGTCGTATTTACTTTCTGTGCAATGTAGACGCGGGCTTCACGATTGGTCTGCTGTTCTTTTTCTGCGCGCCATCTGGACGACTCGGGATTGCGAGGTGGATCTTGTCGTGCATTTGGTGCTGCCCGACTAATATTGGCATTGGGGTTCGGAATTGCGCTCCTAGTGTTGCTTGGTCGACTTGGCGTTTGGTCGTCTACGGCAATTTGAGCCGGATACTTCTCATATTTAGGTTGTTCAACAACTGCCCTTGATCGAGCCACGTCTCCCTCTCTTGTCCGAACATAAGAGCTTCTCTGGGTTAACGGTGATTCTTTTTCAAATCGGTCACGGATCTTCCTCCACGGGTCTCGGTTGCGATCAGTAGAAGGTTCTCCAGATGCTCCAGATGAAATCCCAGCAGAAGATGGCTTGGGTATTCCGGTTGGACTCGGTGTCTGGTTTCGCTGTTCTCTAGCCCTATCAGGGACTGCCTTTGGCAGTGGAAGTTTGGTTGTTTTCTCCTTATGAAACATGGCATCGGGTGATACTCTAGGCTCTTCAGGTGGCACGCGATGACTGTTTCGTGCAGTAGGAATTCCAGGTATCTTATTTGTCGTGTAGTGGGCCCGATATGCTTGGTATTGTTGAGTTTTGCGTTGAGGTCGTGGAGAGAGGTTCACGAGGTGTCCGTCAGGTAATTCGACACAGCTTTCGATGTCCATTTTGTGCTGATAGGCGTTCTAGTATGCCCGACCGTCAAGCCAGATTTGAGGCTTCTCCTGTCCCATGCCGTGAATACGTAGTCCCTGTGAGTAGTTATTTTGCGGCGACCGCTGCAATTTAGGGCTATTGTTCGGCGATGTAGGTCGTACGGCTGCGGAAAGTGTTCGTCGAAAGTGTACAAAGCACAGAGATAGAGAATGCGCGGGGTCGTCCACTTCAATTCGACTTTCAAACGAGGGTGTGCTTAACGCGTAGTAAGAATACTGTGGTCTGGTTGGGTGGAATGGCATGCGCCGTGGTGAGGAATGCTGGCCCCGCGCTGGAATGCCTTGAGATATAGGCCCGCCTCCATCTGGTATGACGCTCACCAATGGAACTTTGAGCATGGCAATGCCGTCATAGAGGTTGTAAGTGGGAGAGAAACTACGATATCTGCGTTCCTGTCTGAGTCCGAAAAGAAGGTGCGACTCGGACACTGGATAAGTGAACACCTCCGTTCAAATTTATGCCGGCAGTCCGGGCTGAAAATGGCGACTCCTATTACTCCACGGGTAATTAAACCTAGTTAGATTTAAGAGGACATCATGAGGAGTTTTCCCACATTCCTGAGTGTGGTAGGTCACAGAAAGGATTGTCCAGACGTCAAAATGATGCTGAATTAGGGTGATATTGCGAAGTTTGATATGCGCTAAAAGCTTAACCGGACTGAGTTCATCATGGTCTAATCCTTGCATAGATAGTAGCGTTCTCAAGGGATGAAGAAACAGGAGAAGAAAGAAAATTGATTGAATAGACCCTTGAACGCCAATGATGACAAAATGTTGAAACAAGCATAAATTGATTCATGGATTCATTCTAGAACCGACCAGTCTCCCGACGGTTGAGGCTACCTGCCCTATGAACTCCCATCCCCGTTGCAGGACTCATTGGTGCTGGTGCAAGACTGCTTCGCTTGAGCGGGCTAGGTTTAGTGGGACTAGCCGCCCTTTGTGTATAGATAAAGTCCCCATTATTTTGAACCCGACGTTCAAATGCAGTTGATGCAGACTTTCTCAGCGGGGAATTAGAGTGTGTATACACACCTAAGCTACCCCCATCGCCCGTAGTTGTGGACGCTGGGCGAAACTGAGGTTGCCGCATTGAATTATTTCCCGTGCGCACCATTGGAGAGCCATCGCGCGAGACAACAGGTGTACGCAATGACGGCTGACTTTGAAATATGGACGTGGCGCTCGGCGTAGCAGGTCCGGTAGGGCGTCTTGGAGACAGACCATCGGGATCGACATGGCTGACGTAGTTTGGATTGGGACTTGTCTTGAAGCCGCGATTGATGATAAACGTTGGTGTATAGACCTCGACTCTGTTCTGAGCATCCGCGCTGGACTTGGCATCGTCCTCTTCCGAAAATTGTGTGCCAACATCCCTCATCAATGGACGAGTGCGGGGGTGTACGAACTTGGTATCGTATTCTTTTAGTACTTCCTTGTGTACTAGTGTAGAATCTTTAGCTTGTTGTGCGTAGGAGGTGGACATTAAAGACATTTGAACTGAAAGGAGAGTCGTGAGGAAGACGGTTGTGACGATTGTGACACTTGGGCGGGGGTCGGAAATTTGCGTTGGTAGGAAAAGCCAGTAAATCAAGACATGTCCAGGGCTAAATAAGCATAACAGTCGAATGCTCATAGGTAAAGGATCCCACATTGCAACCTCCCATACATCACGGTGTGCGTCCGGATGAGCACGCGACTGAGCCGATTCAGTGGAGATGGCATTGGCGAGATATCGGAAAGGAGAGGATGACATTGGGCTTGAGTCAACTCGTACACGGTGAGCTGAGGGTGTTGCGAGAGTTTTGTCGATAGGCGCCTCAAACATGCGATAGCGCTTCTTGCGGAAAAATGTATAGATGGCATTCACCGCGGAGAAAAGGAGTAACGAATGAGTGATGACCGCTGCCTGCAAAATGAAAAGTAAAAGGTTAGTTCCTCAGCTCTTCTCGACGTGAAAAAATGGTGATGCTCTCGATTTAGAGGGAAGGAGATCACATACAAGCCAACTAAGCCAGGGTACGCCTTCATCTTCACCAAACACATCATCAATAGCTTTGCTCCCACTTGATCGACTGTTTGCGCGTGCTACAAGAAACACGAAATTGAGACCAGCTCCAATAGCAAGACCCCAATCTTTCTCCATTTGTTCCCAATCATGTCCATCGATTTCTTCAGAAACCCAGAGTAAAAAGTCCCACGGGTTGAGATAGGCTTGGATGCGCTCTGCGAGCGGGCGACGTCGTACGATACGCGGCATGATGCTCGAGGAGTGTTGGTAAATTATTGAGAAAGAAGCCGTTCCTCAGCAGCTTCGTCCTCGGTTGAATAGGGAAAACAAAGGCATACAGAGCACAACAAAGAAGTGGACTGGAATAGTTCACGATAGCAACGGAGCTGTAAACAAAATTGCATCAGCTTAGTCATGCCCCGTCCCCTCCGCTTCCCTGATAACCACGATCGGCGAACAAATGTCCACTCGGGAATCTACAACGCTCGCAGTGTTCGACAAATTCTTTTAAGGTTGACCTTCCTGGTCCTCCGTTTATTGATCCTCCACACATTTTATCAATATGGCGGCGTCGGCCGCATCATACAAGGTGAGCCAGGACACCTAAGCTTCGACGCCACACCCCTCCGATAAAGCTACTAACAACTCCTCCACAACAGGACCGCCAATTACTGGCCGTGATTGGCGATGAAGAGTATGCCTCTCCTTCCAAAGCTTACCTCTATATGTATCTCAATTTCGCTAACCCCGTTCGCTCGTATAGCTCAGTGACTGGCCTGCTCCTCGCCGGCATCGGAGTATGTACCTTCTATTCAGCTTTATCACGACCAGCACATCTGTCGCTATCAGTATACAGCCATGCTAATACAGAGTGCCATCCTATAGCACGTAACCGATCCCCCAGACGCACAACGAAACTTCCTCGTTGTCGACTCCAAGACCGAGACCACTGAAATCGAGCGTGCATTTGTGAACTTCACCCAAGAGAGAAAAGACATAGCTGTCGTTTTAATCAACCAACACGTTCGTCGCATTCGCACCCACTTCAACCGATCATATTTATTCTGACACATCCCTCCAGGTCGCGGAGCGCATTCGCCACAGCGTAGACACTTTCGCCGATCCCTTCCCTGCCGTTCTCGAAATCCCCAGCAAAGACCACCCCTACGATCCGGAGAAGGACAGCGTTCTCAAGCGTGTGCGCCGACTCTTTGGCGAATAGGCTTTTCAAGGAAGCGGGTAGCTTTTCGGGCATCCACAGTTTTGTCTCATTGCGTTGCATGTTCAGTGTTCATTTGCTTTGCTAGATTGTCCCGGCGATGTCTAACATCCACTATTCCGGTATTTTATTTTTTGACCAATCGGATCATCCAAAGCGCTTTATTTGGTCGGGTGATGAAAATCTTTGGAGGAAGATACCCATGTCTAAAATATACATATACAACCTCAATATATCCGGTTTTCAGCCACTTGCACGGCATCCTGGGTTTAAAACATACCGTGTGTAAATGAATCCCACTGAACGTATCATGTAGGCATTTCTATAATGCGTGTGGGGAGATATAAAGCGACGAAGAGATTTACGAGCAGAAAGTACCATAGTTGCTGAAGAATGCTGAGAGGTATATTAGCGACCACGGCTTTAAGAAGCTCTAGTCAAGGTACATATTGACAACAAAGATGCAATGTGACAATCGAAAATTCAAAGCAATGCTGTCCAGCAAGGAACTAAGAGAAAACCGAAAAACCGAAGAACAAATCAATCAAGAACGAGAGTAAGGTCGTGACGAGACGTAATAGAAAGCGTTGCCGGCATAGAGAAATGGATCAAAACAACAATCATCATGAGTGTATAGATCAAGCAAGATCATCTGGGACGTTTATGCAAATGATGGTGCAAGAAAATGGAAGAGATTCGCCGCACGAGGTAGTAATGCTACTGCAATTAAAACTTGATGCCGTTCGCCTCTAGGCAGGTGACCTGGTCATCATTATGGTTGTAGACATCAGCCAGAACAGAGAATGTGCCCTGTTCAAATATTAGTTCTCATGTTTCCTGATCATGGATTCAACATCAATTCTTACCTTAGGGATGAATCCAGGCAGGTCAACTTCCTTGGTCAGAACCATTGGGCCCTCCTCCAGAGGGCATTTCAGATCGACATTTTCAAGCTGCTCACAGAGGTCGACAGTCTGCTTGACCAAGGTGATAAGACCATATTTGACCTCAAGATTCGCATAAGCGCCCTTCTCGATCCTCTGATTGAAAGTACCGCTAGCGGTGATAAGAAGCTTCTGACCGCTTTAATGAACTCAAGTTAGTCATGAACCACATTATGCATATTTTTGTCTATAGCAACGGTCATACGTACGCAGCCGGGGGGTTGGGGTCCAAGTCAACGTTGTCGATCTGCAGAACGTAGTCCGATGGGGATTTGCAGTAGTTCAAAGGATTATCGCCAGGGACCTTGGGCTTGTCATCGGTATTGACACGGAGCGTAGCCTGAGTCGGGTCGAAGAACTTGGGAAGAGAAGCGGCCGAGGCGAGCAACGGGGTTGCGAGGAGGAGAGTGGTGGAAGCCAAGAACTTCATGATTGCGGTGGTCGACCGGGGAACTCGAGAGCTCCAAGGGGGGTAAAGATAGCTGAACCGTAATTTATCAGACCAAGTGTTGCAGGCAGTCGTTAGGCCTATGTCACTGAACTTCTAAAGTATCTGACAGGGTTGGTGAGGGGGTCGAGGGGAACACAAGCAAGGTTGAAGAGTTGCCTCTTGAGGCTGGTGTCAGTTGCCCAGATGACGAGATACACGTGACTGTATCCGTCCATTTTAGGTTTAGATCGTCGCAACTTCTCCTCACTTGCTTTCTCCATCTTGTTCCTGCATTGAATGTCACTTTGCGCCAGCCATTTAACTTTCCCGGCTTTCCTCAGTCTCAAACGATCACTCTTTGCTTTATTACAATAAATTTCTCTTCCTTCATCACTATTTCCAAGCGGCCGAACACTACTCCATAGTGATCCACTTTGGCCCACCTGGTTATCGGCCATGCCGATAAGCTGGCCGGCCGGCATGATCGTATCACTACTACGTGGTCACCGAACGGAATTTCTGTTCAACAAAGAGAGGTATCTTTAGTTTACATTGCATCGCCACTTCAAGTTCCAGTTTATAATTTTCTCCCCTGCACATCGCAAACATGATCCCGAAGGACAAACATCGATATCCAGGTTATACCCTTTGACTACCTGTATAAAGATATTTACCAGTACCACGTACTTACTAGGTACTACTAGTACTACTACATAGTAGTACCGTGACGGCATATACTAGTATAGAGAGACCTGTAAATTTTGATAGATCTGAGAGTCTAGTACTTGTACTACCTACCTACTGATCGTGCCTCTGAAAGCCCTAGTGCATGAGCAGATGTTAGAGGCCTTCGAGATCTTCTGAAAGACAATGGAATCACGATTATAACCATAGGACATCTATATCCTCTCCCAAAACTTGAACTCATCAAATGATTGTCTAAGGGCGCTTCCATGGCCTATAGCGGGAATGTACTTGGCGAGTTGTGGGACGTCCCAACCACGAACTTGAATTCCATACGGCTTGTTTAAATTTTGCTTGTCGTTACTTTTAGTACGTATCATGATGTAGAATAAACAATGAGCACGAGAAAAGAAAAGAATACGTTGAATCATGATATCATTTACGCCAAGATACGAGACTAAGTAGCTACAACAACCCGCGACACGGGATCTACAAACACTAAGGCTAGTCAACATCCTTCAATAACCAATTGACTTCTAAAGTTTCACGTTTGATTTTCAGGAGCAGGATTGCTTTTTATTGAAGTTCTCCACCTTAAATTCTTTATTTAACCGAGTTCGGCCTGTAGGGAGTGAACGGCGAGGAACCATACCGTGACCCTGGAAATCGGTGGGTCTGTTCCAAAAATTGTTGTGGACGCTAATCTACACCAGGTATAGATTTTCTGAAACCTCCATCTCTGTACCAGTATTCCTCCGCGATTTCAACGCTAGTTTCACTCGAAGACCCTCAAGAGAATAAAAATGGGGGTTTTTTCAGCTTAATGCTCCTGGTCACCCCCAGACCCGAGAATTCTTATTCTCCCACTTCTTTCTCAAGGTCTCATATAGCTGGTGCCTGGTAGTGATACATACTTCTTGTCGGGGCCCGTCAACCGCGTTACATAAGGATGGAATCCCAGAAGGAAGAAATTCGACTTTCATATGTCCCTCTTCACGATGATGCAGAGAGCTCAGCGAGGGCTAGGACGCGTCCTTTGTCTTCGGCTGAGCAAGTGTTCTTGCAGTCCCAAGTTAATAGCTTCTGGGGCACAAGTTGGACATGGGAGATTCTGAGCTGTCTCAGTGCAATGGCTTTCTTTGTCGCTATTATTGTGGTTCTCTGGTACTATGATGGAAGGTCAATGCCCGATTGGCCTTACGGTATCACTCTCAACGCCATGATCTCCGTTTTCAGTACAATTATGAAAGCTAGTATGGCATTCATTGTCGCTGAATGCCTAGCTCAACTGAAGTGGTCGTGGTTTCGTGGTGGAAATAAGCTAAGTGATCTGGCAATGCTTGATGCTGGAAGTCGTGGAGCAATGGGCTCTCTTCGTGTTCTCTTTAGGACTGTACCTCGGTAAGTTGCAAAATACATACACATTGATACATTTTCGGACACTAACATCCGACAAGGCATCTTGTCACATTTGGATGTCTAGTTTTAGTTCTGGCAACCGCTACAGATCCGTTCGTTCAGCAAGTTATGGCCGTGAAGGAACGACAAATCCAGGCTCCCGGCAACTCCTCAATCCAGAGATGCAATACGAGTACCTATACAGATTATAGCGAGGGTGCAGGCCCCGGAATGAACGAAGTTCCTCTTGTAACACTTGGGGCTATATATTCCGGTCTTTTCGAAACACAAACGGCGAACAGCAGAAGTATTATGATGGACTGTCCGACAGGAAACTGTACTTTCCAGACATATCAGTCTCTCGGGTTTTGTAGTAGTTGTGCCAACATTACAGACTCCCTTAAGCTATCGACCACTAGCGGGGCCATGCCTACTGAGATGGAATACAACTATACACTACCAAACAAATTCGTGTTTTCAACCTCTATAAACAACATGAAATTGATGAATGCGACAGCGAATATTCCTCTAGTCAAGATTGACACAGCGGGATCAAAGCCAATTGTCAACTTTACCGCGATTAGTGCTGCAGGTTACGGAGTACCACCCCAAATCAGCGCAACTGAATGTGCAATTTTCTTTTGTGTCGATACCTACGAAGCCAATGTTGAAGGAGGCAAATTTTCGGAGAACCGCACTACCTTCTCCACATCGTCAAACGCCTCTTCTAACGTCCTCGAAGACTTTTCCTTGACGCCAGATACATGTTATAAGAATGGAACAAGGATAGAATACCCCGAGGAAAACCCCGAAGACTGCACCTACAACGTCAACGCCTTCAGTCAACTGTCCATGTCAAATTCACTTTCTCCTCTACTGGAAGGCACCGGATCTCTCGGTATGGTAAACAGACCAGAATGGTCCCCAAAGTCACTTAAGGCCCTCTACGGCGATTATGGCAATTTCACAGAAATAAACGCCGTGTTCCAATCTTTAGCAACAACTTTGACTATCAATGCACGGTCAAAAATTTGCGAAGAGAAAGTCAATGGAACCCCTTGGACTGACCAGTCCTTCGTTCAAGTCAGGTGGAAATGGATGATTCTACCAGGAGTACTGGTTTTGTTCAGCGTCATCTTTTTGGTGATCACGATCGTGCATACCAGAGATCAATATATTTGGAAATCTTCACCCTTAGCTCTACTTTTCTCTCAGCTTTTGGTTGATGATCCACTTCCGTTGAAGTCTAACCCTACGCTCCGAGATATGGAGAATACCTCTAGAAATATGGAGGTTCTGTTGGAGACTACTGCTCAGGGTGTTCGACTGAAGACTATTCCACGCTCTTAATAAGAATATAGATACCTAATATATAGATAAAACTTTATTATGATGAATCTACAATAGATGATTCTGTTTATACATAGTAGCCCTCACTTCATTCTCACATAATAGAGCCAATAGCTAAATAAAGTGAATAGCCAGAATAAACTTGAAGTGAATGAGTCTTGCAGGAACTAGTACGTAATAGTATAAGTATCCTTCTTACAAGCATTATTACTTAACTTTATATCCTGCACTGGGCTTAGCTTCACGTTTGAACCTATTTAGCCTGTCTCTCTTGTTGCTGTTCCTTATGCGGTTTTACTGTTTTGACTCAGTTGCAAAATGGACTACTTTGAGCCTAAGCGTGAAGCACTAAAGTACGGCGCCTGCCAGCGTATTGGAAGATCGTACCAGCAATGGATCGAAAAACGCCTCAGTTCATACCACGAGCCATGTCCAATTCCACTATGCCAAACTCGATACGAAAACATCGGAGCATGGAAACTCAGAACTCAGGAATGTCATTTGCAACAGAATCCCAGCGAAGAAACCCCCCATATACATACTGTCATATTATCAAAGCTGATACAAGAAGAAGCAAGCAGTATCGGCATCAAGTCCATTACCGACAAAACCTTCTTGAAACCCATTGCATCGGAACGGCTCCCCGGATTGACCCCGACATCACACTCAAATCATGTGGAGGTGATGATTGCCGAAAGAGCTCTGATTATTGAAAAGATGTTCCGGATAAATGACCCATATGTGTCTGAGATCGTGCAGTTGCTCTATAAGAAGTACTTTTCCATCGACGACCTGAGGCATATTCTTGTGATCGACCTTCCAGATGACACAGAAACTTATCTTTTTTCGAAGGTCCAGCTTTACGTTCCATCGAATTGTATTGCTTGGAGAGAGAGACCTGGGATATAGTTTTTGGAGAACTGGCACTGAAGAATATGAGGCGTTACTGGGTACCAAATTCGGCCGCTTCGTGGCACGTGTGATACTTGGAGCATTTGGACGGGGAATGCGTAAGATTACCCAAATTGTTAATTGGTTTCGAAATAATCGGCTTCAAATCCGATTTGAAATTGAGCGAATGCCTTAGGGCACGGGAAAATTTCCTATAGAGGGTTTTTAAAGGTGCTGATAAGAAGGCTGATCTACTGGGTTCGCGTAGGGCTACCCATGCATGCCAATACATACTTCATTTTGTGTTTGGCATAGATTTCATCTATAATCTACCCCGTTCCAGAATACCCGACACCTAGTACTCAGGCATGTGGTTTACAATGAGATGTTGTTGCAGAAATCGATTTTTGTCTAGGAGCGCTACTTCAAATGCTTTCACTCTTATTTACTATCTAAGAATCGTGTTCGTAATAAATGACGGCTACGGGGGGACAATAACGCCCAGCACATATGGAAAAAATGTACTTGGGCATACTTAACCTTTACAGCCTCCACTAGGGGTTGCACTCCGCTATCTGTACTATAAACTCCGAATTGATACACTGTAGAATGAGAACTCAAGAAACAACAAGTCAAAAGACGAGTAGGAAGACAAGCAGATGAATATCTGTTGTGAATATTCGTAGATATTAGTATAAAGCTCGATTTCGCGAAGTTACTCACTACTGAACTTGAATATTCCAAGGCTGGAACCTTGGAATTGAAAAGGATGAATTTTTCTGATGGGCTCTATCATAGCCCCCCGTAGACGGTGCTATGTACCTGTCTGCTTACGCGTTCATCTGCACGATGGCGTTTTGGCGTAGACCAGCCGTCTTTAGTCCCTGCGGGGTCCGACTTCGCAAATTAGGGGTAAACAAGAAACCCAATAAAAATCATCAATAGTGCTTAAACATACACGTGCACCTAACCAACAACGTGCAACTAAAGTAATAAATTGTTTGGAGAGTATAAGTGCATATCGCTTGGCTTTCAGCGAAAGCAAGTTGTCAAGCCGCAGGTCACCTACATATAGGCCCGGGCGTCCGTCGGGATTTCCACGTCGATAATGGATTATGATTAGATGAGTACTAGCGCGAGTTCGCGTGCAGAAATCTTTACTCGGGTGAAGAAAGCTATCTTTATGAAGTAACGCAATTTGTAGACATTCCGTAAGTGGGTAATAATTTAATTCTTACATGTGTGTTCCTGATTAGCTCTCATTGGGTTTCGATTAACCTCACCGTTGCATTGCATGCTGTATTGCTTCAAGTTGATTTCATCCACCTCGTTTAGATAACTGTACATACGATGGCTCGAATAATTCTGTGATTCGACATATAAAAGCAGAGTGACTGTCGCCTCAGATATTCGAATCATTACAGTCAAGACATCGTCGCAAATCTACAATGCCTTCCTACACGCCTAAATCCGTGCTCTTAGCCCTGGCTGCATTTAACACCATTGGAGCCTACGCAAGCCTCACAACATGCAGTAGTAGCTCTGAGGTCCTTAGTTGTCACAATACAACCTCAGTTTCTGACCTCTGCTGCTTCAACTACCCAGGCGGTGCCCTCCTCCAAGTCCAATTCTGGGACACCGACCCCTCAACTGGTCCAACAGACTCATGGACAATCCACGGTCTATGGTAAGGCCACTAACCCGATGGAGAATAAAATTAAGCTAAGACGTCTTAGGCCTGATTACTGCGACGGAGATTATGGAGAGGATTGCGATTCGTCGCGCGAGGTCTCGGACGTCGAGACAATCCTAAAAAACCAGGGTCGCACCGAACTACTGGAGTACATGGAAACGTACTGGCTTAGTGACGATGAATCATCAAATGAGTTCTGGGCTCATGAGTGGAACACGCACGGGACATGTATAAACACGATTGACCCTAGCTGCTACACTGATTACACTGAGAATGAGGAAGTGGGAGACTTCTTTCAAGAGGTGGTTGATCTTTTCAAGACGCTTGATACCTATACCGTACGTATATCCCGACCATAAAAAGGGCTGTGGGAAATACTGAGTTTAGTAGGCGCTGTCCGATGCTGGAATTACACCTTCAAACGACAAAACATATACCCTCGCGGAGTTCCAGAGTGCCCTTGGTGATATCCATGGCGGCTATGAGGTTACCTTGCTATGTGATGACGATACAGTCTATGAGCTCGAATATTACTTCAACGTCTATGGAAGCGCTGTGAATGGAACATATGAGCCCACTGCGCCTCGTGAGTTTATGCTATTTGTTTCCTCTGCTACATCAAGTTTAATTGCTAACGAATTTGGATGTTGCAGTTAGTGATTCAAGCTGTCCCAGCTCAGGCATTAAATATCCACCCAAGGATAGTGATAGCTCCAGCAAATCCAAGCGTGCTACTCGACGTCACGTTCGTCGCCAAAAGTAGTAGAAGTCTCCAATCTAGAGAGACTTTGAAGAGGCTGTTAGGATTCGGGATCAGCGCTGTTCGGGTATTGATCAAAAGCAAATGGGGAGACCGTGTAGCTCTATGGTCGCACGAGAGCAATATTTGGACATGCCACTTTAGCTGCTTCGGCTGCTAATACAGCTTTCTTAATGACATTGAATTTGAAGTTGGATACCAAAGACTTTGAGTTTGTTAATAGCGGACCTATGAACTATGCGATCAGCATTTATCCAATTGTAGAGCAGCTGGAAAATATTGGGTATGGGCTCCTGCTGAGTCGGTATCTTAATTTAGTCGGCTAGGATTTAATTCGGTGTCACTCTCAGTGTGTTTCTTTCGGCGGGATGTGTGTTTCGAATGTCAATGGTCATAATGTACTGAGGTATTCAAGCCTTCGACGGGTTCATAATTCCGTGTGATAAAGTCATCATTACGGATGCTTCAAATACTACGCCTCATCTTGCACTTGATGTATTTCCTTTAATATGTGCTATTGTACTATGTCTACATTGATAGCCCGCAGCATCTGCCTTGATATCAGTCATGACATGTTATGAAGATGAACCAGGATCATTGAGTGGATTAGGCTAGTTATTGGTGGACAGATGGCCGTTTCTGGCGTCAGAAGGGGTCATTTTCGTTGTTTGCAAACAAAGCTCTATTTCAAGTTATTATCTTGGCAATGATCAACCTACACATTGATATTAACTCTACGCTATGATGCTTAGCCCGACCCGCGAGTCATGTGCGTAAACGTAAAATCTAGCAATGAGAGACGTTCTACTACACATCCAGGAAGCTCGAGAGGATGTAACGAAGGCAATTTTAAAGTGAACGAAAAATAAATTTACCAGTCTAGAATATAATCAAGCCAGAGGCGCCATAACCCAGAATTGCCGGAGCTAGAAGTTAAATTCTAAGATTGTACATAGATAAACGAAAGTGAGAATCGAAGATTTTCCCAAATAATCACACCGTGCTAGACTCCCGCATAAATGTATTTTCACCATTCCATCACGCCATTTGTCCAAAGAAAGGAAGGTATTTAAACAGCGATCGCGAGGGCGAGGGCAGCGACGACAGCACCGAAGATGGAGCCGGAGGGACGACTGGCGGTGTTGAAGGCACTGGCGGAGGCAGAGGCAGAGCCGCTGGTGCTGGAACCGGAACCGGAACCGGAACCAGAACCAGAGCCGGAACCGGAGCCGGAGCCGGAGCCACTAGAGCCAGTGCTGGAAGAGCCGGAGCCAGAGCCAGTAGCAGTGGCGGTCACAAGGGGAGTGCTAGAGCGGAAGCCAGTAGAGGTAGCACGGTGGCCGGAGGAAGAGGCAGGGGTGCTAGAGGCGTTGGAGCCAGTGGAGGTGGAGTCGGAGCTGGAACCAGAGCCGGAACCGGAACCAGAACCAGAACCAGAGCCAGAGCCCTTGTTAGAGCCGGAGCCAGTGGAGGAGGCAGTGGCGGAAGAGCTTGTGGTGGTGCTGGAAGAGGAGTTGGAGCAGGTAAGATCAAAGAGAGGGGTGGTGCTCAGGGTCTCGCCGACGATACCGAAGCTAGGGCTGGCACCGTAATCCTGCATGATGTACCACCAAGTGTTGACGGATCCGAAGAGAGAGCAGCCAACCTGGTCCCAGAACTTCTTGGCGTTGGCAACGGAGGGGTGGGCAGAAGCCTCGTCGTCACCGCTGACAGGCCAGCCGGTCTCAGTAACCCAGACCTCCTTTCCGTTAGCGACACCCTTGGTCTTCTCAACAGCCTCATCGAAGAGGTTCTTGGCGTTGTCGATGGAGTTGTCATCGGTGGTCTGGTAGAAGGGGTAGGTGTCGAAGCCGAGCCAGTCGACCTCATCAATGACAGCAGCGTTGGAGGTGTTAGTCCAGGCGTTCCAGGTGTCGACGTGACCGATAGTAGCATCGCTGAGGCTGGTGCCGGAGATGGCAGACTTGACGGACTTGATGCAAGTAACCAGGTCGTCGGGGTTCATACCAACACCAGCATCACTCTCGGCGCCGGTGACTGAGTTGCGGTAGAGATCCTCACTACCGACGGAGATACCGACGACGAGGTTGGTGAAAGAGTCGCCGTAGGTGTTGATAGCGTTGGTGAGAGCGGAGATCTCGTTGTCGATGTTGCCACCGGAGGTCCAGAGACCCAGAAGAAGGGTAGTCTGCTCCTGAATGGCGGCCTCAATAGCCTCGATGGGGGTGGTTGTAGATCCACCCTGGATCATAGTGTACAGACGGGCACTGTTGAAGTCGGAGACACCCTTGAGGTTCTTAGCGTTCTGGAACTGAGAGACATAGTCGGCCTTAACACGAGTGCTGCCATCGTCGTTGGTAGCACCGTAGTTGAAACCGGTGTAAGTAGCCTCAGCGGAGGCGAGGGCCAAAGCCAGAGCGAGGACCTGCTTCATCTGCATGATGAATGTGTATGTAGCGAATGTGTTTGAAAATAGGAATAAAGATGGAAAAGAAAAGTGCAACGAGTGACTGTGATGTTTAAGAAAGAAGGGAAAAGATAAAAATGGAGAAAGAGAGAAGAGAGAGGAGAAAAAGGGCCCTGTACGGAGTACTTCTGGGGAAATCGAAAAACTGCAGGTTTCTGGGTCTCTGAGTTTCTCCGGTCTAGACAACGCCACAGCGAAGACGCGGGTGGAACCTACGTGGAACAAGTGGATGAAGTGGAGCAGGACACGTTTGCTTGTCTCTGGTACTACGTACTACAATTGGCTATAGGGCGAGTCAAAAATACTAAAAATAATCCCACAACCGGCCATCGTCCAATGATCGACTACAAGTGGGTTCTTACTTGGCAGCAGAACGACTTGTCAATTCCAAGGTAGTGTTCTCCGTTGCCTCCGGGGAATTCTTGGCTGGTTCAACGCCGTACAGGAGGGTCTGCCCATATTCTGCCCATTGTCTGGCGAACTTCGGTTCTTCCTTTTACTGGGCCAAGAAATCGACGAGAACGTCTCTTCCATGGGACATGGTGTTCGAAATGGTTCTTCGAAGGTCACATCTTCTCGGGCCGGAAACGCCGGCACCTAATGCAGTCCGTTGGGTACCTTGCATGCGGAGAACGCCGTGAGCTTTTTTTGGTATTACATGTACCTGCTTCCCCGTTCGCATATAGGGGAGGATTCATGTTGCAGTGGTCAGCCACATGTCTCAAGTCGATAGACAGGAACATTAGCATCGGCAAAGCCACAATGAAGGACTAACGATCGACGGGTGGGAATGCCGATGACGATGGGTGGTCCTTGATGTGTCATTGGTTATTAGTCATGGTCCCACTAGTCCGATTTAGGCGCGATCAGAATTCGCTGTGATGCCTTATTGCCTTGTACCGCAGGCATCAACTCCTTACCTCGGCGAAACTCGCGGTTTTCCCGACCAAAGGATTTTATTGACTGATTTCATTTAATCATAGAAATTACTGCGGTAAGCCAATAAACAAGAAAAGCAATGATTCGCAGATTCTCGACTCCATCATGATCGGTCTAGACTTGAACTTTTGGCCTCCAATGTCAATCCCCTATCCAATTTCCGCACATATAGATTAATGTATCTTTATTTTTGGATCATTGGGATTCGCCGATCATTTAAGATCTCAGGGGGTGCTTATTTTAGATGTTGTATAGGGCACTATCGAAAATCCAATGACGGATATATAACTACCCTAACAGGGAAAGTGGGACATGTCATGGATGTGGATTTACTCCGTAATGAAGGGCCCCTTTTCGAGTAACCTGATTGTTGCCTACGTACCCACATTCGAATTATGAAAAAGTTTAATAGACTGGAGATATTCTACGAAAAAATGGAGAGTTCTGATTGTCTACCGAAGGTACACTAGGTAAGAAGTAAGCCAGAAGTAAACCAGACCGAGTATCGTCTGACCTTCCGAAACTTTGCTCTAGTTGATAGATTGGATCTGATATAAGAGTAATTGAATTTTCAAAATGCGATAAAAACGATGTCGGTCTGATCCTTTAACATTTCCTATCCGGTGTTTCTAGCATGTGTGTCAGACTTAATCTGTATCACGGAATCATATTACCTCTTTCTCCGCGGTGTCAAGAACGGTCGCATCGAGGTCTTCAAAACATTCGAAGAATCAATGGGACAAATATACATCGGATTGTGGCCACAGTGGTTTGGTTCCCAGATGAGTGGTAGCTTAAAGTAAAAGAGATCGGAACATGACCACCAAGGAGTATCAAAATTGTCAAAAACCGGACGGATTCGTCGGTGCTTCCCGGACTTGTTAGAAAATATCGTCACCGTTGGACATTTGAAAGTCACTCATGATTCAAGAGATGGGGGAGCGTCACGAATAGATAGAAAAAAATAATGAAGTGCGATTTGGGCACGAGACCAACTTGAATGTTTCCGTATACTATGTACATCACTACAATCAACCAAAGGATTGGGCTTTTTTCACATCATATGTACTTTCAACAAAACCATTGACTTGAAAATTTTAATGTTCCGACACAAAGATACCAGCCATACCCATACCCTATCAGAAGTTATTAGTATAAAATAAGTTAAAATATGGTGAATGCAAAACTTACAGTTCCTACACACATGGACGTCACAGCAATGCGCTTGTCTTGGCGACGTAGCTCTGACAGCGCAGTGACGACCTGGCGTGCACCTGTAGCGCCTAAGGGATGGCCGAATGCACTATTGAATGTCAGTAAATGGACCTCCAAACATAGAAAAAAACTGGATTAAAACATACATAGAGCCACCTCGGGGGTTAACCTTGGACTCGTCAAGACCCAACTTGGCAACACAGTACACACCCTGTGCGAGATTGTTAGACCCAGGACACCAATGTACAACATGAAATGTATAAACTTACCATAGAGGCAAAAGCCTCATTGATTTCAAAGATATCAACATCATCCTTTGAAATATTGAACTTGTTCAAAATCTTAGGAATAGCGTAAGAAGGGCCAATACCCATGATCCTGGGCTCTAGTCCGACCACAGTAGCACCGCAAAACTTGCCAACAATAGGTTGACCGAGCTCCAGCGCTCGGGAACGCTTCATCAAAACCAAAGCCGCGGCACCGTCAGTGATCTGACTGGCATTTCCACCAGTAGTAGCACTAGGATCCCACTGAGGGAATGCCGCACGGATCTTGCCCAATCCTTCAGCAGTAGTACCATAGCGGATACCATCATCCCGGTTCACGACAACATCCTTGACCTCTCCAGTCTTAGGATCCTTAATCTGAGTTTTAATAGGAATGATCTCATCCTCGAACCATCCAGCCTTCTGCGCATGCTCGGCCTTCTGGTAACTCCCAGCAGCGAACTTATCATGTTGTTCACGCGAGATCTTGAACTGCGACGCAACGTTCTCAGATGTCTGACCCATTGGTTGATAGTTTTGTGACGCAATTGGGTGAGAATTAATACGCTCAGCCATCTCAGGCGCACCACCGTCGGCGGTTGAGCTCATGCTCTCCGCCCCCACCGCGATACCCACATCGATCGAGCCTGCGATGATCTGGTTTGCGATATTTTGGACAGCGAGCAGTCCCGACGAGCAGAATCGGTTGGTGACGGATGCGGCGGTTGTCACCGGGAATCCTGCAGCCAGGACGGCTGAGCGGGCGATATATGCAGCTCCGGGGGCTAGACAGTTACCTACGCAGACATCCTCGACTACGTTGGGGTCGATTTTGGAGTTTTCTCGCACGGTCTGAAGTTAGGTGGTTAGTAGGTATGGACCTTCGCTGATGTCATAATCATAATCTAATAATGAATATTCCTCTTCGACTTACGGAAAGCAGCGAAATTAAGAGGTTATCGAATGTTGTATCTTTCAAACCACCCTTGCGAGCTTTTGTAAGAGGTGTTCGCGCGAGATATGTGATGACCTGTACAAAAGGGGAAAAAAAAATCAATGACCCGGCTCCATATGCGACGAGCTCGGCGCATGAGGTACTCACAACATCATCGGAGTTCTTTGCAAGAATCCGCTGCTTGGCTGCGCCAGGGGCAGATAATTGATTTGCGACAGAGGATAGTCGCTGCTGAGGAGACGACATGGTTGGTGAAATGGTGAGGAAGATATTTCTACAAAAAGGATAGAAAGCTGTCGCTTCCGGGGTTTTTTCTATTTAAGATAATGTCCGAGCTTGCAGCATGCGGGGGGTTCAAAATGGGCCGCGGTTGCTCTCGTGACAACAGGTATCATCCGATGTTAAATTGATCCGAAGCCGAAATAAAGAATAAGAGAAAGAAATGTCCGTTGACAGCAGGTTCTGTTCGCCAGCCGAAGGGAAATGCCGTTGCGATGAGGGAGAGATTTGTACGATACCGTAATTTATGAGTCCTCGGCTCGTCCAGGGGATTTCTCATTGGAGGATTCGTGTAAATTACCGGAATAACGCTTTCCGGAATTCAGCCTCACTTGCAGATGGTGCCGATCAACGGCCAAAAAATTGAGATTTCGGTTTGAACGTGCCTTTGGGCAGAAAACCCAGATACGAAGCTATACGTGTCCTTTGGCGAATGTACGGGCGCGAATCATTCCCTAGAAATTGAATCTTCTGGAGTATAAACTCTGTGACAGTCATATTGAAGTTGACGTGCCAAGATCCAAAGGCCGGGGTTCGATATATGACACTGCGGGCCACTAACTACGGGGCCCCGATTTCCGCCTCGGTCTGGGGGAGTGCTAGCTCTACCATTAGTACGGAGAACCGAGTTCGCTTCATCCTATCCGGCAAATCACATCCAGCCAACTTCCGCTTTGCGCCCATTAGTGTGGGGGTGGGTTGGACTTGCTCTGCATCATTTCCGGGGACTTCTACCGGGACTTGGTCGAACATTAGTTATTAGACGCGTGGGCTGGTCCGGTCGGAAGCCTTTGAAGTTCACCCACAAAAACATCCCATTCCTTGCGCATCACACATATCACTGCGACAAACTTGGTTAATATCTTCACGCCATGGATATCCTTTCCGAAGCCAGTATGCCCGCCGTGGCTATGGCGTCGGCTCTTTCTGTCGCGGCAGGAGCATACCTGAACGCGAAACTGTCCATCTCAACAGATTTATCTGCCTATTTCAACGACAAGGCGTTTGGAAAACGGCTAGGACATCACATTGCCCAGTTGGGCGAATCGACTACTATTTACAAGATGCTTGAAAGAGTGGTCGAAGTCGAAAAACAGGGAAAGGTAGATGCCTTATGGTTCGAACAAAAGACGTGGTCGTATGCAGAGCTTAAAGACTGTGAGTGCTCCACGGATCTAGAATCAAACCCAGATGTCTAATTTCTACAGTGGTCGATCGATTTGCCGCCTTGCTTCACTCGCGAGGTGTGAAAGCTGGCGACTTCATTGGCGTTTTCACAACGAATTCGCCAGAGATGGTGGTTACATTGTATGCACTAGCGAAACTGGGTGCCGTCTCTGCCATGATCAACACCAATTTACGAGGTAGACTTTTATTTTATGATCCTAAAAGAGGAAGGTGATTGCTGACCATATGCTCCAGACGACACTTTCACCCATTGTTTTAATGTCTCTGGTGCAACATCTATAATCTCAACCCCAGACCTGTCGCAATACGTTTGCATAGAATTACCGCACTTAGCAATTAACCTATCATCTTTTGAAGATACGACCACAGGCTCCTGGGACCTCATCACATCCCCAGAACTACAGAAATTCTCACCATCGGACCTAAAGCCGGCTAAGCGCACTCCAAAGGACCCTGCCGCTTTAATCTACACGTCAGGCACAACAGGGAAGCCCAAGGCATGCGCAATCTTAAACATGCTGACCATCATCACCGCAACTACATTGTCAAGCGATGCCAACAACAAATCCAAATACTCTCCCTTGCGTACATATTCCTCTCTACCACTTTTCCACGGCACCGCCTTTTTCACTGGAGTTTGCTATTCGGTCGGAAACTGTGGAACACTCTGTCTTCGACGCAAGTTTTCTGCCTCCCAGTTCTGGAAGGATGTGCATGATTCAGGCGCAACCAAAATTCTTTACATTGGTGAACTTTGTCGATATCTTCTTGCTTCACCTCCTTCTCCGTATGATCGCGATCATAACTGTATTGTTGCTATGGGCAATGGATTGCGTGGTGATATTTGGGAACATTTCAAGTCTCGCTTTGGAGTTTCTGAGATTCGTGAGATTTACAGGTCCACAGAGGGTGTTGCCAAATTTGATAACCATGGTCCTGGTGTTTGGGGAGCTGGAAAAATAGGCTTCTCAGGTCCAATTCGTCGGTCTTTAGAAGAGGACACTTTGATTGTGAAGTATGATATAGACACGGAGATGCCATGGCGAGATCCTCAAACCGGATTCTGTGTTCGGGCGAAGTTGGGGGAGGAAGGCGAGGCCATTGGGCGGTTGCGCGACCGGGGCTTGTTGATTGAATATTTGGGCAATGAAGAAGCGACAGAAGACAAACTGCTGCGTGATGTATTCGCAAAGGGTGACATATTCCAGAGGACTGGTGATCTCATTGTTCAAGACACAGATGGCTGGATCCGCTTCCAAGACCGCGTTGGTGATACATTCCGGTGGAAGGGTGAAAACGTTAGTGCGGGTGAAATTCGGGATCATATCTGCAATATTGATGGAGCTCATGATGCCGTCGTATATGGTGTGAAACTTGCTGGGTGAGTCATGAGATTTTATGAGTATTGATGTGACCGAACCTGACTAACGCATTGTCTAGATACGATGGCCAGGCTGGCGCTGCTGGTATCACATTAGAAGACCATTCACCCAGCTTCCAGAAGAGTTTTGCCTCTAGACTTTACCCGGAATTGAAGATTAAAGGCGTACCATCATATGCCTTTCCCCGACTTGTGAGGTTCACTGAGAAGTAAGTGGATATTGATATCAAGCAATGTATGCATGTACCAAAACTAACCTTGAAACTTAGAGTTGCAACTGGCGTTACATTCAAACAGGCGAAGGGTGACTTGGTGAAAAAGACCTGGGATCCCCGCAATGATTCCTCCGGAGATGGGTTGTGGTGGCTGAGTGGTACTAAATACGAGCCATTGGATGACCAGAGCTGGTCTCAAATAGAGACTGCAAAGGCCAAATTGTGATTACTGCCTGGATGGATACGGAGGTCGTTATAGATATGTTGTATCGTAGCTACCTAGTCCATTTTGATTTATAGAATGCTATCTATATAGAAAACTCATGTATAATTCAATAAACAAGTCATTTCGCACGAACCAATGACCAGAGACACAAGTAGGATCGCTATAACCCGTTACCATAGGAAAGCACATTACTCGCATACAAACTAGACCACTGCATTGTCCGCTGATTTAGCACGGCGCCATAGCAATCTAGAATCGATAGATCACACCAAGCTCTCTTTCAATCTTTCCAAGCCTGCTCTGAGAACGCCTTCCTCCTTTGAAAATGTGATTTTGAACTCACCCTGACGTTCACCCAAGAACCGACCAAAGTCATTCCCAACATCAATCAATATATGATTTGTTCTAGCCCTCACCACGATATCTTTCGTGGTCTCGCCTTCTCTCAGTGTGACAATCGCATTCACCCAAAAACCAGCATTAGCAGGTAAAATTTCTAATCTACCTGAAAGTTCCGGGACTACCAGAATATCCCGACACAGGTTATGCAAGTTCCGCAATTGGGTCTTGGTATCTGATACCCACGAGGGTGTGAGTGGCGAAGTCAAAACTGCTGTTGTAAAATGAGCAGTCAAGGATGAGATTTGCCAAAATGATGCATATGAGACACCACTTCGGACGAGAGGGTTGTATGTCATCGCACATCCCTAGCAAGTTTGTCAGAACTTGATCCAGGTAATTCATAGCAGAGGTTTCATGATAAAGGAAGGGTTTCTTACTGATCGGACACCACAAGCCCCAAAGTCCTTTGACATGCTCCATACAATATGCACGCGACTCGAATCAATCGTATCTTGCGATTCAGTAGTAGTGGAAAAATCTTCATCCGCTATCGCCTCTTGTGAATGTAAAACAGACAGCATGGAAGTGAACTTCTCATCCTGGGGATGAAATGCAGTATTCGCAAACACCTCATCAGAGATAAAATGAAGACCATATTTATTACAGAACTTCGCCATTTCCCGAAGCACATCCTCGGGCCAACATCTTGCGAATGGATTACTCGGATTAGAAATCAAGACAGCTTTGATTTTGTGAGAATCCGGCGCAGATGTATAAGCTTTCTCCAGTGCAGCTATAACACTGAGTGACATGCTATCTACCCACCATGATTGTGATGTTGTCTCAACGTACGCCGGAATAATACTTATCCCCGCATGGAACATTCCAAAAAAACCATAGGCCCCTGAACATGATTTAGATTAGTGGATTATTGTGAAAGAAGTTATTGATGTAGTGATGAAACATACTCCACGCGGGCGCTGGGCAAAGAACACTGTCGCCTGCATCGCAGATGGTGCATAGTAAAGACTCGAGCGCGTTACCAGATCCGGCAGTGGGTACGATATGCTCTGACTCTACTGGAATAGAAGGATTGAAGTATGTATTGAAATAGCTCGCAAATGCTTGTTTCAGTGTCTCATCTCCTTCAAACCCGTTTGGATTGGCGAATGTCTAAGCCGTTGATGATGATTAGTTGATGATTCATTCAATTTGAAGAAAGTGAATTCGAACCAACCTTCATGGAAATACTTTTGGCCATTGCATCTTTGCAGACGTCAATCATCTTGCTCTGCATCAATTTATTCTCTCCATCACCAAACTTTATATCGTTGGGATGGGCTTTGTGCACTTCACCAGTGGCAGATGTTATGGGTTCAAGAGCCTTCACTATCGCCGCCATGCGGGTGGAAATTTGATTCTGATTGCTTGCCATGATGAAACTTGAAGAATGTAAGGAGAACTCGAAGGTTGAATTGGGCCCACGGCTGAATTTATGTTCGATAAGAACAAAGAACTCGTTAGGCAACCAACAACCAGACTAGAAATTATTGTTGATTCCTACTAGTACGAACCTGGCAAAACAAAGCGGGGTTCCAAATCAGGGGGCCTAAAGGACTCGGGCGCCAGAACAAGCATGGGAAGATGATACTGGTTACAATCTAGTTTTATTATCGTAGGAAAAGGAAAGTAAATTTTGAATTTAAAGGTTGGAATATATATTTTATTAAATTATATTTTTAGGTTCTAGTCCAGACCACTAGCATCCTCTTCAAGTGCTATATTCATGTCGAAGTGACGCTTTCGGGATTGGAAGGCGATTTGGCACGCACACACAGAGGATGTGAGCGAGAAATGCTCTCCGGATTGGCACAACATGCATCTTTGAATAATCCAAGTGCAACATTACTTATATCTTCATCTCGGCACTGCTGTATCACAAAAAGTAATATCGTAGCAAACTCGATCGCGAATATGTACTTCGGACCCTCAGAATAAGCCTCAGAGACAAGGTCAATTATTCGTAAGAAATAATATTCATGTGAACCATAAGAAGAAGCGACAGCAAGTCCATTATTTGCCCATATCTTGCATACAAGCCATCGGGCTTTGAACAGGCGATTTCCACGACGCTTGTTATTTGCATCGTATCGTTCAAGACCAAGTAGAACTGCATAGAATGCGTCGAGATCCTCGTTGAGACGCTTTTCTAGGAATTCGATAGACTCCTGCGATTCCGAGAGTGGCGTTGACAGTCGCGTTCTTTGCTGTTCTTCTCGGGTAAATGCGATCTCCACAGTACGACTGGTAAGTTCTGTGAGCGCTTCTTTGGCCTGAGTCAGATCGTTGAAAGATGCAACACCACACGAAGATTTATACTCGATGGGTCGTGGCATATCTGCGAAGAAACCCGGAAGTAGAAGTATAAAAGCGTTGAATAATGCAAGGGTCGCTTCTAGTCCAGCCCTAGGCTTGTAAGACTTGACAAGCTGCATGGCGTGTCGAGTATGGAAAATGGCGGCTTCAGGGTGTCCACGCAGGAATTCCACCCCAATTAAAAGAATACAAGCTGTCACGACGATGTCCATGTCGGCCGGCTTGGCATAGATCATTTGTTTAATAGCGCTGCCATAATGGCGCTGAGCGAATTTTAAATCCTCGAATTGAGGTGGTGAGTCTTGTCCGATACTAACAAAAAATGAACTCAGCGCCATCATCGCATGTCTGGCTATTGGCTCGCGCTCTGTCAATTGAGGGACGATATCGGTCCAGAATGCATATGCAGGAACCGGGCCCGCTAGCATGGGCGCTACAAATTGACGGAAACATTCTAGATTTCGAAGTTCCCTCGGTTCTGCCCAGGTAAATTGAGAGGGCTGCATACGCAGCAAGGTATTGCGCTGTAATGCATCTGACGGAGGTTCTTCATACCCGTCGCACAGTCTTCCTGCTGCGAAGCATTTTAGGCACTGTGGTTTGCCTTCGTCGCATTTTATTTTCCGAACCCTGAAAAGACGTTAGATAGAGTACGATGAATTGACATATGTGATAACATATGGTGTTGTCCCACATACTTGCAAGTTTTACATCCCGTGCGAACTCTTTTAATACCTGTGCGGGGCATTGAAAGGATGACGCTAACGACGCGATTGATTCCAGATTCACGCAATCCAACCGAGTCAAATGCGATGATTAGAAATGAACGACGCTGATACGTTCTGTGGGTATTGGAATGATCATTCACGCCTCTCTGGCATTTGACGGGCAGCCGGTGGCCCCGAGAAACAAAAAGGAGAAGAGATATTAGGATTTCTCTCCGGATCGCCAGAATTAAAGATCAAATTCCCTGGATGCCAAGCTTAAAACGGCCCCCACGCTAGACTCAAATCCAATCATTATGATGCAAACACGACCGCATAAAAAGGGATTATATGATAAAATAAAGCATTATATTGAAAGACAAGTTTTGAAGGAATAGAGAAATAGAGAAATATATTCAGTTGATCAATTTGGTTATCCGCCCATTGTCGCATGCCGAACTCCCTTCGCCACCAATTCAAAAAAAAATTTATATCGACAAAAATTTGAACGATATAGACAAGATCTCAGTTTTAGAAATTCAACCGTTTTGTGCTGAAGGCATGGACCAGGGGGGTAAATACAATTGGCCATGTCTAGTGCAGCGAACTGATGTGGACAGGACCCCATAAGTATGGAGTTAACGCGAGTAAAACAATATTTACAGCTACGAGCGTCTAGACTCGAGTCACGTTGTCTTCCTTCTTCGAAATATGGAGGCGACGACCCCACTTCATACGGCTCTTCTTCATGGCACGTTGCGTTCGCTCCCATGGGTAGTTGACAGGAGACTCTCCACCAGTGAAGATGAAGAAATCGTACAAGAACGCGCCATTGAATGCACCAGCGATTGCACCAACCCAAGGACCATAGAACCAGTATGGGTTCAGGAACAGTTCACTCGGGTATCCAAGCGCCAGCAAAGCAAGACGTGGACCAAAGTCACGACTGGGGTTGAAGGCAGCACCAGTCTGGTATCCGAAAGTCATAGACAGGCAGGAGATGACCAAGCCAATGATAAGAGAGTTCATACCAGCACCAGGTGGAGCGTTTTGATCATCACCAAGCGCTAGGACGGTACATGCAAGGAAAGTGGTACCCAGGAATTCATTGCCAAAGGCAGTTCCTGCGTCGATCCAGTTTTCGCGCTGGCTGGTAACGAAGCTGGTGATAATACCGCTGTCAGCATTACTAGCGATATAGTAATGGATTGAGCGATAGTAGAGACCATAGGAAGCGAGGGCAGCACAGAAGGCACCGACGAACTGGGCAGCGAAGTATTCGGGCATTTTGCTCTTGGGGAAACCACGGTAGAACCAGAGCATGAGGGTGATGGCGGGATTGAGGTGAGCACCGGAAACACCACCAGATATGTAGATGGCCATCATTGAAGCGAGACCCCAAGCCCAAGCGGTTGTGTTGGGATTACCTGCGTTGGCGACGGTAACCGAAAGATCGGCACAGAAACCAATGGTCAGCTGGACGAAGACCGCAAGAGCCTCAGCGAGGGCCTCGCGATGGTGTGTACGAATGACAGACCAGGTGGTGTGGTTGTTGTGAATCTCATCTTCCACAAGATCCTGGATCAATGGGTGCAGGTCTTCGGGGGTAGTCGCTTCATCCAGAGCCGGGATCTCTATCTTGTCTTCGAGATCGAAGCCTGGTTCCTGCGATTCAGGAATGGGACGCAGCGGATCATCGCTGTAATATTCACCCGGTCTAGCGGGTTCATCCTCTGTTTGAGAATCTCCTTCCTGGACCACCGACAGGGCATCGTGAGAGCCGTTCCAAGCAGAAGTACGTCTGCGGCGAGTAGACGAGGTACGGGACATGCGTGATCCCTGGCGTGTAGATTGAGTATCACCACTCAGAACCTTGTTCATGAAGGCTTGCTCACGCTGCAACCGAGCATCCTCAACCTGCGCCGCCATTTTCCGCGGGTCGGAGGTTTTTTCGATCCTCCCCGCCTCAACCTCATTGGGATCAACGTCCAGCCCAAGCCTCTGAGAGTTCTCGGTCGGGAGCTGGGCATTGGCCCGTTGCTGAAGAAGCTCCTCCTTGGTAGGAACCATGCCTGGTCTCACGACACGGGGCAGTGGCTTGGCCAAAGACCATACTGGCTTTGCGTTGGAAGGTTGCTCGTATGATGGATTCAAATCAGCATAACCAGGCTGCACGAAAGGCTCTTGGGCCAAGCGCAATTGGGGTGTCTCATCAGGTCCGGCAAGAGTGAACTTGCCCTGTGTTCGACCTGCGAGGGTTGTTCGGGGGGCTAGACTTGGAATTGGCTCATCCCCGCTACGTCTAGCTGAGCTACGTCGGCGCATACCCCCATCATCATCTTCGGCGACATCTGAGGTTCTTCCTCTCGGAGAGACGGCATCATCTCTGAAGCGAGAGCTCCGGGTAGGAGAAGTCGGGCCCTCGTTTCTTACACTTGCACCGGACTAAATTGTGAAAACTCGGAATAAGTATGACATTTGGAATAGATAGAAAGGGATGAGGATGCAAAGCGAAATTTGTATGCATGCATGCAGTATAGCTTACCTCCGCCCGAGGTCTCCTGCGGTCTCCTTCTTCAGCGTCCATGATTAATTATTACGGGAAACGGCAAGCTTCTGGGTTGAAACGAAAGCTCCCGAGACCAACGGGGATCAGCACGTTCTGATGAGCCGACGAACCCGAGATAGTGACCGAAAATAACGGTCGGATGAAGCATCCAACAGGCGGTAAAGAAGAAAGAGAGAAAGAGATAAAAATTTGATATCAAAGTGGATGCCAGAGAAATATGAGCATCCCCTCACTCATTTCCCTAGTGAGTGGAAACTTGACGCAATGGCTCGAGATCATCGAGATCTCCCAATTGGCGTACTCAAGCTTCGCATCAGGAGAGAAATTCCAGCCCATAAGGAATGTGCAAGCCTTTTAGTGCCTGTCCTGATCCACAAATACCCACAAGTGGACGCGACGCGTGCCTTTGATTGAGCCATGGTTTGGCACCGTCGGAACTGGTCTTGCTTCACCACCCCGCTGTGGCCAACTTGAATCTACCGTTGATAGGCCGACCAGGACGGTCCCAATGCACTCTGCATATTGGTTTTGGTTATGTCCCGTCCTACCCGGGTGCGTTGTGCATATTGGTTGTGCGAGAAGGAAGGAGAGAAGGAAAGACGGACAGGAATCGGTTATGCGGAAGATGACATCAACGTCGCCTCAATCTTTTCTAGTTTGATCCGAAAATCAACTTTTTTGACAGGGATTGCAGTCTCCACTCTGATAAGACCCTCTGAACAACACAAATCATAGTTGATCAATTTCCTGAAATTAAGAACCGTGCTGTCGCTGTGGGTTGCGTAATTCATAACTTCGAAGGTTGGACTTGTTTGCTTGATTTTGTCCCCCGCCTACAATTGCTATTGTGAGCCGCATCTGAAGGGTTCGCTTGACTTTCCTTGTGATTTGTCGAGTCATTTCGACAATCTTGAGGAAACAGGGGATTTTCGTCCTCCAATTTGTGGTTCTTCCCCAAACTTGAACATGAACTGGTTCTTCCGCACGGGTATCTTGGTGGTCTCCCCGAATGATCAAACTAACCACAATTGCAACGTTTTTCGCACCGCTGAGGGCACAATTGGAATATTTACTTGAATTTGCAATGACTCGCGAACCCATTGAAACTAGTGTGGAAGATACATCCGCACTCACGGGCTCACGGGCCAAGAGCCTTCGGATCGTCAACAGTCCAAATCCCGACCACAAAAATTTGCAGCACGAGGTAGATCCCAGCGGTTGCATTGGAACTTGAAATCTTGGAACCACACAGATAAATTTGAGGGGAATTTGTTGGTTCCCTGGCAAATTACTAGCTGAAATCTGTCGAACTAATGCAAGCCTCCACGCCACTTTGCGCGGGGTTATTGCTTGTATGCGCCATCCGTAGATTGCGAGATCCATGCCAGATTGGATGTCATCCAATATAAACATGATGGTAATTTTGCATGCTAAATATGAATTATGGGCGGCTTTATGTGTATTTTTTATGTTTTATACTTATCGTGGCCGAATCATTGACTCTATCACATGAGAATCAGTAATTGTCGGATGATTCGGTTGGTTTGAACGGCTTTAATTGGATTCCCCAATTTTATTTGCTACTCTAGTCAATTTACGATGGTATATGTACTGTTTGGTGAGATCCGAGTTCTTAACTCACAGTCACCAACACAATGATATCAATGGATTTTTATAGATCCCATTCCGTAGCTTCCACGGACTGGCATCTGACTAGCAGCATTTTTAAGCCCAAGCAATTAGATTATTTTGATAAGGCTATCAACCCCTACATCTGCGCGTATTGGGGCATATGACACGAAATGAAAATAAAGCAATGGAGCTTCTAGGTAATTAGGCGTGATAAATTGTTGTTGGCCTGCTGTTTCGCGGTTGCTGGGGAATGGATTGGAGGATTCGGTGCGATCTTTATAGTCGAGCACTTGTACGACGCAATGATATCTTTAGGTCTGTCTCCAATACTGGAGAATGTGAAAAGATTCACGCCAGATTTAAATACGACGAATTATCATTAATAGTTTAATCCTGTGGCCCCAAGCAGTAGTGGTATAGACTGCTAAACCACCATAGCCGTGCAGCCAAGTCGGCGGAATATACAAAATAGGGATATGGATCCTTGAGGTCTGCTGGATATGGAGGCAAAAACTGGCTATGCGAATTCCTTATAGGGGTATGTCATGACTCGGCATTCACAACATGATGAACTTTAACATGATGAAGTTAGGAGGAGCCTTTCACCACTCGCATTTTCTCCACCATTCTTCGGTGCCTGATGACGATCATTCCGGTACTTATGGGTCCATTTAGCCCATCATCCAACTTCACGGACGAATACAAAAACAACCCGTCGAATTCTCCAATTCCAGTCTGTCTCAACTGCCATACTGTGAGGCGCTTGGCCCCGAAGGCCTTACTTACGTAGGAACAGGCTGTACAACTTGAAAGCCCATGTGCAGATCATACAAATCTCATTGGCGTTGTGGCCCTGGCCACCAATTTCTGGCGATTAGATGATGACCCTTATGACACAGAAAAACCCTCAACAAGTCTCGTTCTCTTGTTACCACAATTGATGGATAATGCTCATAAGCAGAATAAGGCATATCAATGAAACCTGTGCAACGGGCCATTCCTAAATTGTCTTTTACACATATCCTCCCGAATACCGAACACAGACATTTTCAGCATGAAGTATATTTCAGCAATATCTATCGGAGATGCAGGGATCGACTGCGGGAGTGCAAGGGCGACATACTAGTATTGCTAAGTGGGGAATGTCGGGGCAGGAGTCTTTTAGGCGCTGCACCCTCATTGGTTGAAACCGTGACACTTATGCATCAATGAACAGGGGTTTGTTTTCTTTCTAGTTTCTATCTAGAAAACTCCTAGATTTCGTCAAGGTCGAACGGTGAAATTCACAAACCGTCGGTCACTTCATAAAATGGTCTAAAATAACAATCTGGGCGCTATGTTCCTCTCATATTACACTTTTTCCAGATCGCGCTAAGTGGGCCCTTGATTGAATCGCACAATTTACCTTCAGTCAACCTGCGCGGGGCTGTTGATCAACATATCAGCTTAGCGTCGCCAACTCTCGCCCTTGAACGACTGACTTTAAGAAATCGATTATTCGCTATATGTCATTTTTGGAGCGCTGGAGAAAATAAATCGGTGTCAAGACAACCAGTCATCGGAAAAGCAGATTAAATCGCGCGTAGCCATCATCATGGAAACTTGTTTAATCATTGGAGCCACTGGCAATATCGGTGTCTCCGCTGTCACGGCGGCATTGCACTCCAAGAGAAGTGTTCTAGCCGTTGTACGCAATCAAAACTCAGCAAACAAACTCATCAAGAATATTGAGTCGTCTGAAGGAATCACGTTTGTCGAAGCCGATGTAACCTCAGACTCGGGGATAAAAGGAGTCGTGGATCAAGTCCGAGCTGGCAAGCTACCAGCGTTCCAGCATGTATTTTCATGTGGTTGGTATACCTCGAGGCCCTTCTGAGTCAATATGGACTACTGACACTTTCAAGTGGGCGGCGAGTACGCTGAGACCCCTCTGCAGGAGATTACGACCGAGATGCTACGCAGGAACATGAACAACTCATTCGAGTCCAATTTCTGTATGTATCGCAAACCTCTAAAATATGCCTACACCTAACAGGAATCCCAGTTGCTTATAGAGATTCTATCGGCTATTTGTTGGAACAAAATAACCCTGTCAGCACATGGACGATTTGCACAGGAGCATCGGGCGACTATCCGTTGCGTCCATTGCCCGGCATGACCCAAGGCCCCCTTTTCACGCTTGCTACAGCCGCGGCTCGTGAAAACGAATCGACAAATGTGCGCTTTAACGAGCTCTATCTCGCTCTTCGAGTCGAAGTTGATGAAGACGCAGTACAACATGGTGTTATAAAGGCCACGGACTTTTCAAATGTGTACAAGTCGATATTAGCTAACCCCGAGATCCGAAGTTCACGTATCCGAGTTGAGAGTGTGGATGACATGAAAAAATTGCGATACGAGAAGAAAAATTAGCTATGCGTACTATATAGTATTTATCTAATGGATTGTGGCAAGTCCCATATAAATGGCCTAGGAAGTTCCCGGCTGTCAATTTCAGCCTTATTTTATGTTTTCATTGAAAGTCATGATCATCACTGAATATTTCAAACTGCCCTGCAATGGCTCCGAGAGCACTCTGGCTCATTTTATTGCCATTGAGCGATCCTTAATCTTCCAGCCTTCTCCTGGTAAAAGAAATATGTGTTTTATAAGATGCCAAACATAATTCCAGAAACAGCAGGGTAACTCTCTTCGTAATTCAATGGTTAGTAATTATATTAAAATCAAATTACAAGGATTATTTGCGAACATAGAGAAGTTAAGCCCGGTCGAACTTACCGTAGAACCAAATTGGCTAGCCTGGGACTTGAGAGGATCCCCGTGTCGTCGCTTTAGACTATGAGAAGATAGGAATCTGTACAAAAGGCTACCTAAGAGGATACCTAAGGCATAAATATGTCAGTGAGGCTCAAAGTCACCACAAAAGAGAAGACGAGGGGACTTGGTACAGCCTGAGATTGTGAAGCTGAGGCTGGATTAATGATGTGTTGAAAAGTCAAGTTTCCCTGCTCGGTAACTCACATGCATTCGGCTTCAAGTTGGTGTGGGAAGTCGACACTTGCGGCAAGCTCAAACAGCTCTTGTAATATTCAAGTTCAAGTTGCGGCGAGCCTTTCGAGTCTCGCAGAATATATCTTTGGATATACAAGTATTGATCCTCCTTGAGGTTTTGCTATATCCAGGGTCCTCACTGGCAGCCCTGGACCCGGATGTTTTGCATATCCAAGCTCAACTTGAGGTGTTGCCATAAACTAGTACATATACTAGGTGATGCCAATAGACCATGCCAGTGGAACTTGAAGCTATAAAAAGTCGGACAAAGACGAAGAGAAACATAAATAGCATTGTGCTTAAAAAGGGCACCTAGCGGTCAATTGCAAGGTTCAAAATTACGTTCTTTGTCATAGACATGTTTGATTCATGATACTTACTAGCTTAGGTATAAGCCACAAGGGAAATGCTAATGCGGGAAAAGGAACAAATAAAACATTGTAGACAATGAATAGAATGAGCCGAATGCACACGGCAATCAAACTCCAAAATATTCACCTAGGCAAAGACAAGATCACGCTTCATGTTGTTCTTTTTTCCTTCAATGTACTGCTGTTTGGCTGCCGATCTATGTATCCAGTACAATTGAGCCTATCATCTACGTAGGTCATGATCCCCGTAGGATGGGAAGGTGGGGGCCAACACTCCCAGCAAAATTCTTTTGAACAAAGAAAGCCTGGGAAAAGCACACGTCCCGATCACAGTAGTCGAGTCAAACCAAATTCATATTAGCAAGGCGAAAGCGATTTCAATCATAAACTTGCTGTTCATTACCGCTTAATCGCGTCCTCGTTCCGCACTCCTCTCTCTGAAGGCCATCCAAGATCGCGCCATTCATCGCGCTTAGTTCTACCCCTCAATCTCTCCCGAGGCTCCCGAGGATAGCTAGAGATGTCGAATTCAAATACCGCCCCCGGGGCCTCGAGATCTTCTGAAGCCAGCTTTCACCTCGCAGATGGGATCGGTTATGGCCTCCAACAAGATCACCAGTCGGTCATCCGGCTGAACCTCCAGCACTACCTTTGGCGTGAGGTTTTTGGCTTCAACATCCACCCAGATATTCCTCCAGGCCCCGAAAAAATCGTCGATGTAGCATGTGGGAGCGGTTTATGGATGATAGACGTCGCCCGGGAGCTTCCTCGCGCTCAAATCGACGGTCTAGATATCGACCTTACTCAGGCTCCTCAGCCAGGATGGCTTCCTTCCAATATCAACCTGAGCCACTGGGATCTTTTCAATGATATTCCTACTGGTACGGAGGCAAAGTACAATCTAGTACATGTTCGTTTGCTTGTGCTGGTCCTTTCTGGTCTCGATCCCATGCCAGTCATTCGCCGCTTATTCCACTTGGTGAAACCCGGTGGTTACATACAATGGGACGAGTTAGATTGTGTGAACATGCGAGTCAAGAGACTTGATTCAGCTGCTGATGCACCTGCGCCTGCATTGGAAGAGATTAGAGAAGCATCTCATGCAGGGGGGCGACATGATTGGGCTTTGGATCTGCCGCGTCTCCTGACGGAGGGAGGGTTCCACGATGCGAAGAGCGACTATTATGATGATCCTCCGGAATTGGTCCGTGCTTTCAACGATTTGCATCTATTGACCATGCAAGAGTTTGCATCAAAATTGGCAAGCAGAGGCCAGCACGAGGCTGCGGCGCGTTTTGTTCATTTGATTCAGACTGGCTATCAGGAAGGTGTCAAGGGTACAGCACTATGTATTCCGCGGGTGGTTGTTGTAGCCAAACGGCCTGTTGAACATGCTTGAGGGGGCCTTCCCACGATGATAGCCTTGCTATATTCGTGCGATAAATTTAGTGGTGGTACTTTTTTGGTCGCATCCTTTAGATTGTGTATATGGTGGGTCAAATTTTATTATCCGGACCGTTTTACAGACATAAAATCCACTTTTTCTTTTTGCCGCAGAACAACACAACCCCTTCAAGTTGACAGTTATGGCTTTGTCGTTGCAATTCAGGAGGCTGTGCTAATCTCCCAGGTCGATAAATCATATTCTGTGTCTCGAGTTTAAGCTTTCCCCCGCTTCCAACAGAGCTCTATGCGCCACGTCATTTCCTTATCCTGGGGCTTTTATCCAGGATATCTGGCGTTTTAAGTTCAATGCAACATTGTGCTCTTGTGACATCGGGATTATTTATCTACATTCAATCTGATCAATGTCGCTCTCAGCGAATCAGCCTATCTCAACTCACTCCTTCGTGCTGCGACATCCCGGCATCAATGCTAGCGCCAAGGATAGCGGCATTTCATTATTCCCGCCAAAAGTACAGGGGAAAACTTCCAGCAATCGAACCAATGGTAACCCACGCTTTGATATGTCTGCACGTTTTTAACGAATAGCAGCGATGATACGGCACTGGGCCATACGCCGAATTCACCAAGCAATCGCTAAGCCCGGTCGGGCCAGCGGTGGAGCCGAATGCAGGTTATCATCGCGCGATCGGCACCGTGATTCCAATGCGACTGGCCTTTGCCGGACTCAGGGTTTTGGAACGCGGGGCCGCGGCCCAGAAAGCAATTTAAATGGTTTGGATGTTGGCAGATAGCCTAGCAGTTGCCCCGGGGTTTTTGAATTTCCCCCTCTTTCCATTCTTTGCATCTCAATTTTCCCTTTGCATATTTGCACGATCATTTCTCTAGCTGGAATGAGCCCTCGGTCGGAGTAGTACGTGCGCCATGGATCAAGATAAGGACAACGCTCTCTCCACGGTGGAGATGGATCGACAAGGTTCACTACCACAGGAGGTTGAGGGATCAAGGAAGGTTGAAAATATCGTTCCGGATCAATTCGATGAAAACTACCGCACGTCTAAAAGGGAGATCTGGGCTTACTACTCGTGCGTTTTTCGTTGAGGAAGTCTGGGAACTAGGAGAAACTAAACACTCCGACCATCTAGCTACTATATCGGCAATAATGGACTGTCTCTGTTCAGTAAGTTTCAAGTTGGCAATATTTTACCAAATGAAAATTTCCTTTTGCAGCCAACTGACAACCAGGTTTTGCTTAGACTTTGCGCCCACGGCTTTCCAGAATCTACTTTACCAAGCGGCCCCACCCGATGGCATGCTAGTCTTCATCGGACAGCCACGAGTCGTGAATAGCATCGTTCTACTTTGCAATGGTATTTCTTTCGCCATTCAGGTTGTTGTATTCCTAATTATTGGAAGTTTTGCCGATTTCGGTCATTGGCGACCCAACATTTTGATCGTTTTATCTATTATCGCCTGGGCAATCGGATTCGCATGGCTGGGTGTTCATACTTGGGAAAACTGGCGGGTCGGGGTTGGCCTTTACATGGTTGGGTTGATCGCCTACCAAACAACATTGACCTTCTGGACAGCTGCGTTCCCTGGACTCGCTCGGAATACAGTCGAGATGAAGGAGAAAGCAGACGAATACGCCTCTGGAATGATCACGCGGGAACAATATGATTACGCCGATACTATGATGCGCAGTCGTCTAGCTAATATCGCCTTCTACGTTCAATCTTTGGGTGAGCTTGTTATTCTGGCCATAATTGTCGGGATTATGTTTGGTTTGGATGTCAATGCAAGCGAGGCAAATAACAATTGGGGACTCAGTGTCTTGATTGCGTTTGTTTCTGGTGTGTGGCTTCTTGTGGCCATGCCCTGGTTCTTTCTTGAAAAACGTCGCCCAGGCCAGGACCCAGGAAACCGATCTATACTTGTTGCAGGTGTATGGCAGCTCTGGCATGCCTTAAGGCAGATTTGGCATCTCAAACAAAGTTTGCTGTATCTCATTGGTAAGCGGGATTCCACACGTTGGCAACATATGGGCGCTTGAGAACTGATCCGATTTGTAGGATACTTCTTGTTGGGAGATTCGCTGAACACTACGGTTACGGTAATTTCTACGCTACAGAATAGCATTGTAGCCTATAACACTCTAGAATTGACATACCTCTTAATTGTGGGAATTGCAGCACAGGTAAGTTCAAGCTATTTTCCCAAATTTCAAGACAATGTCTTAACAAAAATGACTTCTAGGCTGTCGGTATCTACTCGTTTTGGTTCATTCAACAGCGTTTCAAATTAGGAACCAAAACCATGTTCAACACTATCGCATTCTGCATTATTCTTCTCGATGGCTGGGGGATGATAGGAATTTGGACAAACAAATTTGGTTTCCACAATGTCTGGGAAGTCTGGGTATGTCACTCGCGCATTAAATTTTAGAAAGCAAGAAGAAGACGGCAAACTGACTATCGCACAGGTCTATCAAGCCTTTTATGGACTTTTCGTTTGTCCATGGTACAGCTATTCACAGATCATGATCTCCGAAGTCACACCACGTGGACATGAGTTCCTCTTTTTCAGTCTTTTTAGCATCATCGGCAAGACATCATCTTTCATTGGACCTATCGTGTCGAGTGCTATCATTGACGCAAGCCCGACTGGCAATACGTCTACTCCATTTTACTTCCTGTTTGCCTTGAGCGTGTTCAGCTTTGGTATTCTAGCATTTGGGGTTGATCTGAAGAAGAGTCAGAAAGAGCAGGATGAGTTTTTGCAAGATAAGGCTCGACGTTTACAGAATATCAATTCTAAACAATCGGGCGGAAATGCGTGATCGGCAAATGCCTGAATTCAAACCTTAAAACGTTATGGGTAACTATTATCATTATCTTGGTAAGCATGAGACCTTTGGACATTCGAAGGAAATTCAAATTTATATTTATGACATAAATGAACATACCTGCTGTTACCACTCTGATCCTTAATCCTCACTGTAGCTCTCAATTGGTACATTTTATTATATGATATCTTTTTCTTCACTCGTACGGGGTAGAATGTACGGTGCATGGAGCACTATGGACCCGTGGCTCGGACCTCGGAAGGCCTAACAACATTGGTGGCCTTATTAATCAGGCCCGAAGTTAATTATTCGGCGCCGAGGGGAATGGCATTGATCGGCGCCGAGTCTCATTTTGAACTCTATATAAATTGGAGAACTTTCCAATCCTAAGCTTGTCATAAACAATATAATATCTAATATTATTACAGCAAACAGCAACAAAAATCTCTCTTCTATCAACATGCCTTCTACTGCTTCTCAGCCTGTCATTGTGGTTGGCGCCAGCCTAGTTGGGCTATCCGCCGCCCTCTGTCTTACCTCTCACAAAGTCCCAACTATTGTTCTTGAGAAGCATGCTGGTATCTCCAAACATCCTCGAGCAATTGGGTTCACTCCGCGTACGATGGAAATATACCACACGGTTGGGATTGAGAACAACGACCCTGCCCCGGATGACTTCAAACTTGAACGAGCGCACGTCGAAAGCGTGGCTGGCAAATGGCATGAGAGCTCATCTTGGTCCGACACCGAGAAAAAGCAGAAGGGGGAAACAAAAGCAAGCGATGCGCCAAAGGGCCCTTCGTTAAAGAAGGAATACTCCGCTGCTCGGGGATACGCCAACCCGCAAGACAAACTGGAACCGATTCTCGAAGCACGAGCACGCGAGCTGGGCGCCGATATTCGACGCGAGCTAAAGCTTTTGAACATTGAGCAGAATGAATCCGGAGTGACTGTCACTGTCGAGGACTCCCAGGGTGTTCAACAACAAATCAAGGGCTCGTATTTGATTGCCGCAGACGGGAACCGTAGTACCGTCCGTGAGATACTACAAATCCCCCGCCAAGGCCGTGGCTTCATGCAGACAATCCAGAGTGTTCTTTTCGAAGCCCCTCTACAGCAGTGGACGAAGGGATTTGTTCAATTCGACATCGATCAACCAGATCTTAAAGCCTTCCTCGCCTCCTACAGTGACGGCCGCTGGGCTCTCATGTTCAAAGACACCATCGAGCGCGACGATGAAGCCCTCCACGCAGCCATTTACCAAGCAGTTGGAATTACCGAGTTCCCTGTTGAGATTATCACCACGGCCCAGTGGGAACTGACAGCTCTCGTAGCTGATACTTTCCAATCCGGACGGGTCTTCCTAGCAGGCGATGCGGCGCATACCCTCCCACCGAACCGTGGTGGCTACGGAGCAAATACAGGAATCCACGATGTGCACAACCTCGCCTGGAAAATTGCCGCCGTGCTCTCTGGGAAATCATTCCCCGATCTCCTGGATACATATAACACCGAAAGAAGACCCATCGCACTGTTGAGACACGACCAGATCTTTGTTCGTGCAGATTACAAAGTACACCTCGATACCGCGACAGCACCCGGTGAAAAGATAGACGACGATGCGATAGAATTCGGACAGATATATATTTCTCAAGGAATTATTGGCGCTGACGAGAGCTTGCCACGAGCGATGAAGCCTGACGAGTGGAGAGGTCAGCCGGGTACACATTTGCCACATTTCTGGATTGAAAGAGATGGGCAGAATGTCTCAAGCCTTGATCTTGTTGGTTATGAATCATGGACACTGCTCTCTGAGTGCGATGAATGGACTAAGGCTGTCTCAGAAGTTAACGGGAAGTCTCCTATTCAAGTGCATTCTGTTCAGTTTGGCACTGATGCGAACATTACCCCACAGGGTGATTTTCAGAAGCTTTTTGGAGTTTCACAGGGCGGCTGTGCTCTTGTTCGACCGGACGGATACATTGCCTGGAGGTCAAGCGAGCTACCATCAGATGCAGCGAAGGCTTTGGATGGCGCTGTGTCGCAAGTTGCATTTCGATTGGATGTTGATGAGTAAAGATGGGCAGGAAAATGCGCACGGCGCGTAAATTAGTTAGAGAGTTGCCTCGGGATATATTCATGTACAAGTATATTAGAACTTTCTGGATTCAGTGTATGTATTAAAATTTGAGACTTCGCCAATTTACTGTTTAGAATGTCCACATCTTGCGCCAATATGATGAACAGACTCTCAAGTTGTAGTGTAGACATGTGAATATCTTTAATATATTCCGTATGTTCAACAAAATAGACCTTTTCCGAAAATAATCTATAGAAGGCTCAGGCAAAAGGAATACTCCGTTAACTCGAAACTTTCCAAGATTGAAATGTTACGTGCATACCACCATCCCCCCTGTTGATCAGGTGCCTTGTACATCAAACTTGAACCTAAAGTTTAATACCTACCCAAGAGTGGGTTTATTGCAGTACGACAGCTTTCTCTCGGCCAGGTGGCTGTCTGCAGGTGACCGTCGTGGCACTCAGGTTGACAAATTCAAGGACTGTCTACATGGATGTCAACATCAGCAGATTTGAGGAAGGTCGATAGTAAGTATGCAAAAGATCGGCTGGATTCCTTCTAGGTCGATAGAATAGATCTTTCTTTGTTCCATTCTATCAACATCTTGGCCTCCCATGGCGGATTCTGTAGCACAGCATTGCAGACTTGAAATTGGAAGCAAGGTATTGGATATCCATGGGGATTGCAAACTATAAATCATGTCTGATACCTTTCCCCAAATGTTAATTGATCTACTCTCGGTATTTAGAAAGCAATATACCCAGTCATTTTACCTAACCACCCCCGAGTTATCATATGTGGCATATATCAGTGGTCTGTAGGAAGTGAGGGCTTCGGTTCTTTTTCTCGTGGGGATTCTGCCTTGGCATCGTCAGTTTTCATATCTTCTCCGACATCCATGAGAATAAGATACGGAATCAGGTTGTCTAACAAGCAAATGTAGCAATCAGTTGTCACGGGTGTGTCACCGTTGCTTAGGACGATAGTATTGCTGACGGTACCTTCCGCATTAAGCCCCGGTGCCTATTTAGGCCTTCAGGCCTTCATTCACTTGGGTTTGTTTACTTCGTTCCTTCCTTCATTTCCTCTTGTCTTGCTTCACTTCGAATTCCTCCCCTTTCTTCCATCTCCATGATTCCTACCAATCTTCCATTATTGAACGTAACAACCAAGCTTTCTCTACCGCCCCCACTTTCCTTGATATCGTCTATCACTCTACACTCATTCGCCGGTCTGGCCTGCTTTGATCGTCATGGCAAACACCAATCACCTCGTGGGCACGAATGATCTCAACTTGATCGAGGCTCCTATCACTTGGCGCGCATATCTGATCTGTGGCTTCGCCAGCTTCGGGGGTAAGACTTTGGCATTCGAAAGATCAAGATTGGTCTAATCTAATAACTACCTTCGCAGGTATTCTCTACGGTTATGACTCTGGATACATCTCGGGTGTTCTTGGAATGCCCTATGTGAAGAAACATTTGGGTGTTCATCGGACTCCAACCAAAGATGACCCCTCCGAGTACATCATCAAGAGCTCCCACAAGTCCCTCATCACCTCTATTCTCTCGGCTGGTACCTTCTTCGGGGCTTTGATCGGTGGTGAAGCTGCTGAGCGAATCGGTCGCCGTCTCACTATCATGTTCGCCTGTTTTGTTTTCGCTATCGGAGTGGCCATTCAAGTTAGTACCAGCAGCTTTGCTGGCCTAGTCGCCGGTCGTCTCGTTGCAGGTTTCGGAATGGGTGGTGTTTCCGCCGCTGTCGTTCTTTACGTCTCTGAGATAGCTCCTCGCAGGGTCCGTGGTACGCTGGTTTCTGTCTATCAATGGGCGATCACGATTGGACTGCTTGTTGCTTCCGGCGTTGATCAAGGCTGCAAGGATCGCGATAACAGCTCCTCGTATCGAATTCCTATCGGCATCCAATTCATCTGGGCAGCGATCCTTGCCGGTGGACTCTTTATGCTCCCGGAATCACCTCGTTATCTTGTTAAATGCGGTCTCATGGATGAAGCACTGCGTTCCCTTGAGCTAGTTCGTGGCCAGTCGAGCTCCAATATCGCCGTCCAGGCTGAGCTTGCTGAAATCAAAGCCAACTTCGAGTACGAAAAGCAAATCGCGAGCACTTCCTGGGCCGACTGCTTCAAGGGAGGTAGCCTTCCGCAAGGTAATCTACGTCGAGTTATCACTGGCGTCGCCCTTCAGATGTTCCAACAATGGACCGGTATCAACTTCATCTGTGAGTCTTAAATCTGGCGACAAGCACCCGAGTATGTGATACTAGTGCTAACCTCTCTAGTCTACTATGGCACCACGTTTTTCCAAGAGGTAGGCATGCACAACCCGTTTCTGATGTCTACCATTATGAACGTTGTCAATGTTGCCACCACCCCGGCCTCTTTTTACATGGTGGAGAAATTCGGTCGACGCACCTTGCTCATCTGGGGCGCCGTCGTTATGTGTCTCTGCGAGTACATCGTTGCGATAGTGGGCGTTACTCATGAAGGAAGCCATGCCGCGTGAGTACTTAAACATCATTTCTTCCAGGCTAAGCTGACCACCACCACTACAGGAGCGTCTGTCTTATCGTTTTTACTTGCTTTTACATCGCAGGTTTTGCCACTACCTGGGGACCAGCCGCTTGGGTAGTCATCGGTGAAATCTATCCCCTCCCAATTCGAGCCAAAGGTGTTGCTCTTGCAACTGCGTCGAACTGGTTCTGGAACTGTATCATTGCAGTTATCACCCCTTACATCGTGGATGAAAACGAGGGCGACTTGAAAGTCAAAGTCTTTTTTGTCTGGGGTAGTGCTCTCTTCTTGTGTCTTTTGTTCGCATTCTTCTGCGTTCCCGAGACCAAGGGATTGAGTCTGGAACAAGTCGACAAGATGCTCGAGGAGTCCACACCCATGACCAGTGCGAAATGGAAGCCTCATGAGACATTTGCGCATGAAATGGGTCTGACCGACAAGGCTGAGCCTACCATCAGTCACCAGGAGCATGATCCTTCTGTCTATGACACATCCGGCTCTATGTCCGCTGCATGATCCTAAGGAATTCAGAGTCTTCGAGAACAGAGAATGCAATAAGGTAATGTTTGGAGTTTGAGGTGGATTAGTATGATGATAATGGGTTGTTGATTCTATGGATTTTTCTGCGGGCTTTAGTTTACCCATTCAATTCTTCATATTTTAGCTTTATCCGATTTTTTAATTTGGAATTGAATTGATTTTGATTTTTTGGTTTACTTATTCAAATCCTTCGTGGAACGTGTGTTGTAAATTGTGATTGTTAATTCTACAGAAACAAAGCTCTTTGCCGACGAAGATAATAGATACAGGCAAGAGAGCCAAAAAGCAAAAGAACGCCAGACCCATGCTCTGCCATAAAGCGCCAAAGTCCGAAAACACTGAAACCCGGAGACATCGCTTTTGTTTTACTCTTCGTCCGAGCTTGTATCCTTGGACTTGCTCTTCTTCTTTTTCTTCTCTTTGCGATCGGCAGAATCTTCCACGTCGACTTCGCCCTCGGAGTCCCGTTTGCGCTTGTGCTTCTTCTCTTTCTTCTCTTTCTTCTCCTTCTTCTCCTTCTTTTCCTTCTTGTCCTTCTTTTTCTTCTTCTCTCCATCGACATCCCCAGGCACAGACTCCTCGGGCGCAATGAAGTCCTTCTCGCGCTCGCGCATCTTCTCCTCCCGCTTCACGCGTTGGCGCTCCATAAGCTCCTCCTTGTGTGTACGATCTTTCGCCTCCTTGGAAAGAAAGTACTCTCCAGACTCGATCTGCAAATCCACCTTGCTCTTCTCCGGTGCAGGCGGGAAAGGAGTATATACCTTCTTCGCCTTATCGGTAACAACATGTGGCACACGACGCTTAGAAAGCGTGCGCTTCTTGAAGTTGGGCAAGAACCGATCCCAAGACTCCTCCGCCAATGTCGGATCCTTCGCCAACTCCCGCTTAATCATCAATTCCTTAATATGGTAGATCGGGTGAATATTCGCCATGCAGTCGTCGATAATTCTGCGCACCTCCTTCAATCCCTTGAACGGTCCCATGCAAGAAACAGTGTTACCCTGAACAAGAATGTAGGTACTTGTAAGAAGTTCCAACGCCTTAAGGGTTGAACCGTTAGGTCCAAGGATACGCTGGCGACGCTTCACAAAGCGATCCTTGTTGCGCACTTGGTTGCGGATTTTGATAATGTCACATGCGACGTCGTCTTCGAGAATCTTCATCGCTTGTACAACTGGAACGCTACGGGCGAGCAGCTTGATCAGGTCGCGGGCTTTGAGGATGGCGGCAGGATCGTAGGTTTTTCGGGTAGTTTTGACGGACATGCTTCCCTCGACCAAATCCAGGGTACAGGCGACGCCTTTCTTCTCGAGGGCTTTGGTGATTGTCGGCCATGCTTCTTTTAGGTAGACTTCACGGTATTTAGGGAAGAGGGTCATGAACGAGGACTCCTCGACAAAGTTTCCGGAGACATTGTCTTCGGGTTTGAATTCGTCGATCTATTTGCGGTGAATTGGTTAGCCTGCGGTTCTGTGATTTTGGGGATTGCGTGGAGGATTTGATGGGAAGTTGTATGCTCACCTTCCACTTGTCGATGTCGTCTGTGTCCCATGGCTTTTCTTTTTTGTAGGTGGAAGGCATGGTGAGTGGTGTGATTAAAAGAGGTGATGGTGTTGGGCTTGAGGATTGATGGAGCTCAAATCAACTTTTTTTTTCCCGTCCCCGCCTTTACCTAATTGGGCATTTGTTGGTGCCTGGCGCGTCAGGCACCATACCCGTCTGTTGCGGCAAAGCTCCGGTCGCATTCATCATATAGTCATTCATAGTAATTCAATTAGAACTCATAATACATGGTGCTAACTCTCTTAGATGGTTGATTATAATTTCAGAATTACTTGTTTCTCAATCAAACTAGCAATTTTGAGTCAAGGTCATGGTCTGGAGCCTCACATACATAAGAGCAATTAGTTATCCACCAATAGGTAACTCGGGCCTACAACATAAGAGCATCGCACGCAAAGGATTGGAGGTGTGTTCTAGTTCTTTAATTCAAATGGCCCTCATGGACATTTTAACCCCTTGGAAGAAGAATGCCTCCCAGGTACACTATAATGCAGTAGGCAGTAAATCGGAGCATAAGTATGTGCTAGTGGTGTCTTATGGTTAGGGCGGCCTTAATTTGTATCTTTGTCTTCGATTTCAATTTCAAGCAAGAAGCAAATCTGGAAGTTGCTTTTGCTGTATAAAATCATGCGGGATCCTGATTTGCTTCCTTTGAATGACTTATATTCTCTTTCTCTGGGGCTTCCCCCATTCACTGACATGGTCGGACGAATAAATGGATCATCGCCCCAATAGAGATCGTCTCGGCTAGCCCGGTATCTATAGCAACCTTGACCGACAGGGGAACCAGGAGAGAAAAGGAAAATCATGTAAATCAAGCATTGCAAACACTGTTTCCGGCGGTTGTACCTCTCTCTGCCCGGTTGAAGTTCAAACAAACCTCGGAATCATCTTGGTGAGGATCCAAAGTTGGGCCCCGTTCCATCGAGGGCATTCCGGAACGAACTCTAATAGGACGCTGGAACCCGGCCCAACGCGCCGGGTGGTGTCGCCCATGAATAGGAGAACGTCAACGGGTGATCGGACCCCATCACCATCAACTGGGTCACCGGCTCCATCAAATTCGAGCTGTTGCACGCTGTATTTGTACTCCTTCTCCGGAGAATGGCCTCAAGGAGACTGGTGCAAATTTGATAGACCTTCTTTTCTTCTATAATTTTTTCCGAGGCTGGTTTTATTTGGTTAGTTTCGTGAAAGACCAACACAAAGCCGGCATCGTAGTTTGTTGTATGCCATCAAAATGACGAATGAATTAGACACTGTGGATCTCCTGAAAGAGCCTCATCAGATCTGATCACGGGGTAAGTGTACGATCGGTGGCGACAGTAGAAATCAAGGAAGGAACAACCCTCCCCCAGAGTTATCCCTCGTCAACTCTAGTCAATGCGGCATTGAGCGGTTAGTAGTTCATATTTGGTTCTTGCCTTCCCGGGAATTTGGGTCAACATCCCCCCCCCTCTTTCTCTCTCCTCCAGTGCCTCCTTTTCCTGTCTTCCAATTCATCTCCCCGCCTTAAAAATGGCAGGACCATCTGACGAAAGGCCTCGGAGTACAGAGGGCATTGACTCGAGGTGGCCCTGGCGGTTTTGGAAAGCTTAAATGGTCGGGTCGAAACCCCCAGGCCAGAAAGGTTGGGCTCTTATCGACAAGGGCTGTCCCGTCGCAACAGGGGAGGGCACCACTAATTGAACAGCCTCGACGATACACGTCGACTTCCTCTATCGCAATGGAATATGTATGTCATTGGTGAACTCGAAACCACTCATGCCAGTCATTAGCGCGGCTCTCGATCCTCGATCCCGATTTGTTTTGCGATCCTTGCGATCCTCCCGATCCGCACAGAGCTCCGATCCGCAATGACGATCTGACGCGCCTGGGGCCCCTTCAATCTCTACTCTCTGGGTTCAATGGTCGGGGTTGGACCAGGGGCAGTTGTCCTGTTCTGCACAAGTGTACTACATGACTCAAACCTATCAGCCAGGCCAGTCTCGGACCCTCCCCTTTGTGCGACCATGCCAACAGGTCGTAGTGCTCTTCTCTCGGTTCGCCCCCAGCCCAAGGACGTATGGAAGCAAAGAGGAAATCGAAGAACAATGGAAAATAAAGAGAGATATGTGATACGACAAGCCTTAATTGGCAAGGATGCAATGGAAAATTGTTCAACTAACCGGCGTTCACGTAATTCAACATGGGTTTATGGCTGAAAATGCGACAAAATGTAATACTCTACCCAGAATGGCGACACCACTCCTAGGATGACCCAAAAATGCAAGAACAACAACAAAGCTCTCTTTTCTCTCGAAGCTCTGGAACCTCGGCGTCGTGGGAGACAATGCTGTGTTATTGGGGCGGCTTTCGGCCAATGCAGACATATCTAACACTGTCAATCTGGAGTCCACCGCAGCTTGGCAAGGATGAGTACCTACAGTGGGAAATATGCTTTCAAGGAATGATCCCTGGCTTCTTGTTGGGCTTCTTGTACCAATGACTCGAAACTCTCTGGTGACATATGCAATCGTTGGGTCAAGGGGTATAGTGCCAAAGAATGGAGAAGCTGCTGGATGTTTTCCCCGTTGGACTGCCCAATTGATCGTGCCCTCTGATCTGTGCTTCCATCAGACAACTATCATTGGGAAGATATAGATATGCACTAACCGTTCGACCACCCCGAGAGAGGCAGAGGAATCATTTTTGCGTCAACCTCCACCAATCCTAGTCCGGTCAGATAGTTTTGCAACTTTGATCCGACTCGGAGATCCTTTCTATCCTCTAGGGCACGCATATACTGGGTACTCCACCGTCTCAGAGCATGTTCATCGGTGATGGCACCGTTATCGGATTGGACATTGTAATATATTTCGACCATTTGAACCCATCCGCCGGGCTTCAAGACTCTTTAAACAAGAAAGAATATATGTGAGCGAGGAAATGACTTATAGGTCACGGAAACATTGAGACGCCACGTGGAATCATCGCCGGGGTTTCTCGTACCTGAGGATGTCTCGAACATAGGATGGCCACCGACGACGATGGATGCCGGTCGCAAGAAGTCGGGAGTGTACAAGATCGAAGTGGTTGGAAGGAAATGTGAATGGTCGGTTCAAGTCATCCACCTAGATTGGGGCTTGTTAGCGACCGTTAACCCAGCTCAACCCCTCCGAGCTTTCCTAGCTAGGGCCACCACAAACCCTTGCGGATTTTGACAAATTGAAGTGCTTCATGGGCTTCATGGAGTGAATGTTTCGTTTCTCCTCCCAAGATATCTCATGAGAAGTGGACCAGGGGATGGTGAACTACTGACCTGTAGCCAGAGGTTATCCGGAACATCATCTGGGCTCATGTGCGGGGCAATGTCGATGCCGGTGACCTTTGCACAATTCCAGTTAGATTCTGATGGATCTGATTAAGTGAGAAGACTCACTTCGCAATCTGGGTATTGTTCAGCAACATCTACAGCCCAAGACGCAGCACCATGTCCGCAATCCAACACTCTTTGAAGTCGTTGGATTGGAGGGAATATCAGGCGGTCATCAAAAAGCCTCTGGAAGACTTGCTGTTGGCTATCGAGACGTTGTGCTTCTTCCTGTTTACAATGTCAGTAAGGGTCTCTATCCGAAGATACATCCTTGTCTCACGTCGTCGACAGGTCCGAAATATGTACGGTGGTCAATCGAATATTTGTGATACTCGCGGCCTTGGACCGTGATGGTATCCAAAAATTCGGGACCTAGCTCTACGGTCTGTGAATCGGGATTGCTTTTGCGTCCCAAGAAGTCGATGTCAGCATTCAAGATATGTCGAAACGAAAGAAAAATGAAGAAGTGGTGTTTCAGTACGTCATTGTAACCTTGGTCCCTTTCCTCCAGAATGTTGTTGACGAAAAGAGCAAAGTCGGCCGATATATGGAATGTGTTTCGTCTTCCGGCTTTCTGAAATGGCGGGGGTTGAATTTTCCAGATCAAGGGGCGCATCAACCGATAACGTCAAATGGGGGGAAGGAAATGAAGTGCTGCGATTTTCATGAATGCGAACGGGTGTTGTTTGGGGGGAAGAACGTTCGGCGGCAACGGCAGAGATGGACTGGATGGCGGCTCGAGGATCATTCAGACGCTTTTTGGGCGGCTGTTAACCCACTGTATGAGGGGCGCGGAATCTCATACAAGGCACGTACTTACCAGTGTGCCATTGAAAGGGCAGACCTTATAGCCCAACCGATTTGGGAGTGAAAAGCGCCCCTCTCCTGCGAATGGCAGCTCTTTCCTGCCTAAAAAGTCTTTGGTGATGATCGCGTTACTGTGGTTGGAGGGGGCTTTTTCGTTGAGCTCTGCCCAAAATACGACCAAGGCAGATTTTCTCTTAGTTGTTCCGAAACTTCCTTATGCTTTCCAGGAGCCACCGGCGGTCTTCAGCTTCTTCCCTGGCCGATTGATGAACTAATACTCCACTGATGTATCTTGATGTGCACCTCTTTTTTTGTTTACTCCCGAGGGGTTGGGTCGTATGTCCATTCAAACGGGCGACGAGGACGAAAATGGCGGGTCGGTTCAGTAACCGAGGAGTGGTTCACAACCAGTGCCGGCAAAACTCCAAGGAGGTACCAACTATCAGGATAGGCTCGGCCCCGTTCTCCTGGTTAAGGCCAAGCTAATGAACCTTGCGACTAGGCGGCAGTGCCGTCAGCTAATGCAGAATTTACTGTATCGCATATGACCTACTTTACCACGAGGGTCCAAGAGCGCCCGAAAGAGTGGATCAAATGAAATCCAGTCTTGCCGGTACCACTGCCTCACCAGTCCCGTCATAATGCATACAACATGCACTAGTAGTTTACTCGTGTGTTTTTTATGACTGGGGCACTACGTGACACTCAGCGGCTGAGGCGCCAGATCATAGAATTCTAAATAGTTTCGCATTTAACTGCCTCATCAGAAAGACCAACATTCTGCGTTACAAGACGACAAAACTATGAAACACACAAAGGACGAGCATGATGTAATGAATGCTTGGCCTGGAAGCACCCAACATCCGAAAGTGGAAACCCAAAAGCAACAGAAAGGAGAATGTTCTCTTTACCATTGAACACGAACCAGAAGATTCAGGAGCCCATTGCAACAAATTCAAATGGGAGAGAAAGAGGGGGAGCTATGACTCATGAAGTGGGCATACATTGTACGAGAAAAATAGCATTGAAGAATAGTCATGAGGAACGAATGATGATCAAAAATGCCCGCTGCAGACAAGATGATTGGAATCCAAACCAGCCCTTGCTGAACGCAGGCCGGACGAAAGCCCTGCATTACGGATTCCAAAGGCACGGGAATGGATCTTCGCCAGATCCCGCTGTCAGTCAAACCAAAAACCAGCAATTGGACCAGCGATTCGGTGACAGGCTTCCAACATAACGATAATCTTGCACTCACACACGCCCGCCCAGCACACCGAAGCAGCCCCGACCTCGGCGACCAATCTGCATGCAGAACGGCGGCGCTAAGTGGCTTGCTTATGTAGCTGAGTCTCACAATGGCAAACTCCCCCTCCTCAAGACTTGAAGTGGGGTTTGACGGGCTACGATCAGCAAGCAGCTCGTTGGATACCCTTCCCTCGGGATTTTGCTGGTGGATTGATTCATTTCCGTCATCTTCACCGCTTGTCTTTAAGTTGGGGGTTTGCTTTGAAACAACTGCATGCAAGCTAACCCGATTTTCTGCAGATGTGCGACAAGGATGCTTGGTTTTAAATTTCTCTTGCGTGCAATATTTCCTTTACATATTATGACGACTTATCAGCATCTTTGATCTCGCTTGTCTACATGACAGAAGGATTTGAGAGATAAGTCTGAATAATGGGAGACTGATGCGGAAAACAAATCCATACCGAGCACTCGGGCTGCCGTGGAGGCATGTGGGTTCTTATTTTCCTTGGTGTTCCACATCCAAGTCTGCTGTCCAAACTGTCGGTGCCGCAACTCCTTCCTTTTTTTTCCCTAAATCAATGTACGACCTGGACATGGACATCAGCACGAAATCCTTGATGTAGGCATATGCATTGGCTCCCGGTGACCTACTGAATTCTCCGAAAGAAAAACCGACGGTTGGTCCTCGTCCCACAAACCTAACTCCACAGGAACACACAAAAAGGGAGCAGAAGAGCGAACTTCCCGTGGTCGATATGCTTCGGACTAGCAGCGATTGCAGAGATCTACTTCTAATACTATTTTATCGCACCGGCAACAGCAGCCTCGCTCCATAATGAATGATGATGTGGCCGAATCCTTTTTTTTAGGTTCACAAGTGCACGCGCCCCCAACTTGCCATGTGGGATTATTGGATCCCAGAGAGAAAAGCATATACATATCCCAAAATCCTTTTTCAAGGGGCCATACACGTACAGCGCGTTTACCCGAAACATGCAATTTAAGGATTTATTGATCCACAAAACTGGGAAGGAACAGCAAAATGTACATTCTTGCACAGCCGTATTAGTGAAGGCGCAGTTCATGCATGTCCCACGGGGCAGAGGGACGGCCCCGTCCCGGAAGGGGGAGAAAAGCATCCAATGTGCCGGGACACGACAGGGATGTCCAGCTACTTACATACTTCGTACCGAACGGAATACAAAGGAGCTAAGGATATATGGAGGTGGTTAGTCTTGTCTGGGGTGCTGTGAGGCCGTTGGCTCTAATCCCAGCGCCATGGTTCAACTCGGGTAGTCAGCCTCGGAGAACAAGCGGCTAGCCCCGTTAGCATGGAAACCAACACTACACAACACACCGTACGGGCTATTGTATGCCTGTGATCACATCCGGGTATGAGCTTTTCGGAATGATGCCGCTGGGAAGCATACCGAGGATTCCTTAGTCTATGGAACATCTCCATCCAGATACGAGCCACATCCATTCCGGAATGCTACCTGAACCCAAGCATAAAGTTCCTGATACATCCAGGATCAAACCAACGCTAACGATCGAAACTAACAGAGCAACAAGATTTCAGACCCGACAATAAGGATCACAGTGGAGCAAAAGAAGGATCTGTTCTCGAAACCCCCCCATTGTTCTAATTCCCAGCAGACCGGCTCATTCTTATAGCTCCCCGTTTTCTTTACGAATAACACAGCACTGAGCGGGGTCCGAAGGACGGAGTCCACTATGGGTCTTGCGTTACCAATCCCCCAATCCACCCGTGCCACATAGCAAAACAACAGGGAATAATGCACTATGTTCATTCTGGACTCCGTACCGCATACAAGCTAAAAACGTGTTGTGTTATTTTCTTAGCGTTCCGCTCGGTCGGGTCGTCGTCCCAGCCCCCTCATTTAGCATTGAGCCCGCGAGAAGTGGGCTGCGGCCGATCTTCTGTCGTATCGAGCAGGTGGACATGTCGTGTTACTTTTTTATTTGCATTAAATTCTTTTCACCTTCTACTCCACCGGGGTATATGAAGCGGAAAGCTACGCATGCAAGGTTGCCTTTTCCTTGTTTTTTCTTACTTGATTTTTCGGAGTCGGTCAGTCTCCGTGCCTTTGGACTAATTTATCCTGCATCATGGTACTACGCACCACGTATAGCACACTACGTATGTTCTCCTGCTTCTTATAATCGGTGAACGGGGGTGCATGTGCCTTATGAAGAATGACTATGTTGGCAGTTTTCCCCCATATGCACCAGTTACCCCCCTTAGGCAGATTGTGAAACTCTTACGTTGCACCGATGATGAATACAGGAGTAGATCTTCAGTCGGAAAATCAACCCCTCAAAACCTTGGTACATCAAAGTCAGGACTCGGATACATGAGGCTATATTTTCCGTGCCAAATTGAAAGTCACAGCCCTTGCTGAAAATGAGTCACCGGTAGTATATGCCAGTGTATCAAGGGCTCCGATTACTCCCTAGACCCGGCTATATACTTCACTTAAATTTCATTTTGTTTGTCATTTTTCTTCTCCTTTCTCCCGTCCATTCCCACTGCTACTGTACAGTGTACATTAGCTCGGAACCAACTAGGCTGTTTAATGCACTGGTATACATAAAAGGTTACCTCGGAAAGCCCGTACATATAGTAGGGTGGCGCACCACATTTGGTTGGTTCGTTGCCACGTCCGATGTATGTACTTCGCACAGTAGTGTAAACACCCTAGTCCTTGGGCGGGTCTGCAGGACCGGGCGAGCGTGGACCCGACGCTCTGGGATTGATGTGCATTAGATCCGTACGACTAATACGACTGTAAGGTACTAACCTTGGGAGTGCTATGACCCCAACTACGAAGGTGGCGGAGAGGGGTTTTATTTCTGCTCTTGGGATTTTGATTTGCATTTGCGCTCAGCTGGTTGAAGTTCCTTCAATAATGATGTTTGTTATGGATTTTTATCCGTGGACTTAAACCCATTTATATAATTCTCCTTTGAGAGTGGTCGATTTTCTCTTCCGATTTAGACGTATTCTCCATCTAATATTGATTTTGTTTCGATATTGGATTCTATATTTCGAGGTGGATATCACGGGGTAAGTGGTATAGCCCCGATCCCACTACATTATGTGTAGGTCTCCCCGTTCAAGTTTGCACCTCAAAGTGGCTTTCTTCTTGTTCTAGGGAGTAATTCTATCAATTGAACGTTAGAATATGATCAGGATTGGGTTAACTCAACAACTCTAATAACTTAAATAGTAAGTTCAACGATTTAGCTGTGCTCAGTAATGGTAGATTTCACTGGTCTCTAATACCTTTATTTTGAGCCACTGGTGCGTGTTCTAGTCGCTCATTCTTGCTCAATTGCAACTGCATAGAATTCTTGAGTGACAAGAGAGCTCTGAATTTGAATAGAAAAAAGAGAATTACACGCAGGTGTTTCGCTTCACTAGCTGTGTCAGTGATCACGAAAAAGAGAGAGAGGAACCCATCGCTTTATGTGTACATTCCAGTCCGCTACTTCCAATTCACCACAGGGTGATTCTCCCCAACAACCGACGATAAGAATAGAAGACATAATCTCAGATTCGTATATCGGCTGATGGCTCACGGGCTTAACATGTGTACCTACTTCCAGAAGGTTGCGGCATCTTCAAGTTCGTTTGTCTTTCTACCTTCTTTCCTAACTTCTCTTCAATTCTTTCGTTCATAAATTGATCTCTATCATTTTGCTCAATGAAGATTTTGAATCATATCTCTCTTTTTATAATTCCAAGAATGCCCGTCATATATGCCAGTAGATACTATCATATGATACTAATATAAATCTTTGAAGTCCAGAGCTGGAGTCTGCAGGGCTGCAATATTAGTATGTAGTAGTCCAACTTGAATTTGAATGAAAATGCTACATTTACTGAGCTTAATATTTCGCTCGTTTACCGATTGCTAGCATGTTTCACTTCAGTACCCGCAACCACCACTGGCAATCGAAACACCCTTTCTGATGAGATATCGTTCTCACCATGTGACTGTTATCTCCATATGACCGGCAGGCCTCGCTTGCCTGGTCTTTCTCCTGTACCTCTCTCTCCAGATAGATGTGTGAATCTTTCTCTCCCCCTCCAACAACGTTCCCGTATCTCTTCACTTTCTGTCCTTCCCCTGGAAATATTATTGTCAATAGCCAATTTTCTTCCGTTGGAAAACGTTCTGTGCCTTTCAATTTGCAGTCGCATCTTTTATGGTGTGCTCCACCCTCGATATCGCTTGCGGCTATCCGGAAATGAGAGATTCAATATCATGGATCGGCTCGAAAGAGATGACCCTAGCTACCTCTTTTGCCACAATTGGTTCTTGCTTCATAGGTATTGCCTCCCCCATCAAAATTTGGTCACCAAATCAAGGTTTCCGGCAGCTCATAGCTGCCCTTGTACACGACGTCTCCGGAAGAGAAGTGGTCTTGCGTGGCGAAACTCAAGACTGCTTTCAAACCCCTCTACAATGACACCGACAGCGAACCGCTGTCAGGACTCATTACAACGGAGAAAGCTCCCAATCTCGATTTCCAATGCAACTCTTGCGATACAAAGTTTCGAATTGAAGTCTGCGAGCAAAAAACACATATTGCCCTTGTGATCTCAAAATAGATTAACCTGGGCAGTGGGTTAGATACATACTACTCCGATTCGAAATTGACGGTCCATGCTTTTGAAAAGCCAGATATGTTTATCGGGGTGTACCATGGGAGTCCTGAGTGGGATGATAAGGAAAGCAGCCCTCGAGCTTGTTTTGAGAATGTGTCACCATGTTCCTTGGAGGCATTGACGGCTCGAAATTCTTCCTACCTCAATAATCGGCGCTACGAAAGGGTGATGCGATGTTTCCTGGTGACTTTGTGGATATTACCCGGTAATATGTCTGAGACCTCGATTGAGTAGCGTTATGCGCGATAGATTGTGAAAAGAAGGTGCTCTAAATGTGTGGTACAATACTCCTTCAGCTTGTCAGTTTAGTGAATATGAAAATGAGCGGCCTGGGGCTGACTAGTATGGGAGCTCCTTATGACAACTATCTAGCCTCTCTTAACATCCTGTCTCTATCTCGGTTTTATAAGACAAACGAGAGACACACTGGGTTCCCCAGAGTCCGGAGTATGGAGTATAAAGTTTCCACTGAAACCCCCCAGCTAACCCTCTTCGTACAAAACTTTGCGGGGAAAGCCACTCTGTGCGGGCTAAAAGTCGGCTTAAAGATTTGATATGGTGCGGTGCGGCATCCTCGCGGAGAAACACAAGAGCGGATTATTGCCTATCAAAGTACTGAAGGCCGCTAGAGCCGCTTGACAAGCAACGAAATCGCAGAATATTATATTAGCTCCATAAACTGGCATTTCTTTTGAGGCATATAAAAGGTAGAACGATCTCTGTGTTCTATCAGTTCTCAACACATGATTGAATCAGGGCTTAGTCGAGCATAACACGATAAATTCCGAGTTCATCGTTATGTAATAGATACGAAGGTCTTCACGAATTATCAAGCTGAGTAGAGTGTATGCAAGTAAACTAATAGAAACAAGGTATCGTAATGAGCAATCCCAACTCCGACTCCAAGATCACAGGGCTAAAGAAAATGCAATGAAACCCATAAAAAAGGCACACTCCTCTTTACCGCACATCTTCCCGCCCAGTGGTGTACTTGATACTCGCTTCTAGTAGCTGGATGAATGTATCGATCTCCGCATCATTACGCGGAGCGTAAATGAGCAGATACTCCGCAGGCATATCCGCCTTCGTCCCAAAGCTCAACAAAGACAGCGCTGATGTACCAGCAAAACCATGTCGCTGGCCCCAGCCGGCTTCGATAACTTTCTTGCCTAAATATCTGAGTTAGTATGTGTAAGCCTAATGATTACTGAGCTATTAGAACTTACAATCAGCCGGCGACAGTGCGAAGTGCGCAGAGTACTCTCCACCTGAGTGCAGATGTGCCAATTCACCCTCTGTCGCCTTAGCAAGATCAGTAGGTGGCAGACGATTCGCGAGGAAGAAGGCATCGGCATGTGCTTCTTGACGTGAGCGATCAAATCTGATAAGGTGATCATTTCGACGACCGAAAGCCCTGAACCGCGCGTCAAGTTTCTAAATGTTCTTATTAGTACTCATTACTAGCAAAAATGAAGGAGTAGAGACTACTTCTTTAATTTCATCTGTCGGCAGCTGCGACAACTGTCTCTGAGGCACAGCATGGGGTCCAACTTCAGGCCTGTCAACAACCGAACGCGCCTGTTCCGGCGCCAGAGTCAAAAATCCCTCGCTCCCAACACCATGTCCCTCCAACGCATCAGCTCGCTGTAGATAGATATCCGTACTGAACATCTCACCGCGGAGAGGCTGGAAGAGCCCGCGCACAATCATCCACCCGAATACATTGCTCGGAACGCCACCAGGACCATATGAGATAAAGAGACTGTAGTCGCGATAGAGAGGAGGCAGGATGAGCGAAGTTACGACTGCAGCGGTTGTGCCAAGGACGAGAGTAAGCCGCTCCTGTTGTGTTCGGGGGAGATGGATAGGGAGCGATCGGAGGTAGTTGGTGAATTGATTTATGTAGGATGACATTGTGAGACAGCGAGAGTTTGTTTTCTTGATTTGTTGACGTCGCGCGAATAACCGTTGGCGCCTTTGCGATCAGCCTGAAGCAGTGTGGGGTAGAATGAGGTTCCAAGGGATAAAATCGATGGTGGATCAAAGGTTCAGGTACCAGGTTCGTGTTCAGGTCTTACTTAAAAGTCAGTGCGATGGCGAATTTAGAGGGGAACGCACGACATAAATACATGGAAGAAGCTAAAGGCACCAAGGATCTTGGCCCCGCCTCACTACTCAGTTTGACGTCTTTCACAGAGCTCGGATCGTAGCATCGGGAGATTCGGCGCCCCACGGAGTCGCGAACTAGTGAAGAGGCCGAACTCCGTTTACGATGTCTGCAGCTTCTTGTTTATTAGTTTTGTCTACGAATTTTACAATGTACTGGAAGGTATACAACGAATGTTTATGAGAGTTGCTAGTATCTATTCAATATTCATGGCTTGGAATTGTTGTTTGTTTTTCTCTTGGAAGCTTATCACTGTTTTCCCTGAGATCCACTGTAATCCGCCCCACTCACCCGAAATATGGCAGCCCTGGAGCTCAATCGAGTAAGGCCGAGGGTTAGTGGGGGCTATATGATGGGGCGGTAAAGATCCTGGGCGCCAAACACCGGATTTTGAATGAGTCAAGGTCGGTGGTTCATAGACGTTTCATTCCTGATCCGAAGGACACGGACAACAGACTGGGCGACCGGGCATGAATTAGGGATATTTAACCGTGGCTCTAAACCATGAGGACTCCAAGAGCCATTATAACCAAGAGGTTGTTATAAATTTCATTATCTCTCAGTCCTCTTTGCTAATCGAACTGAGTGAATGTGCAAGTTTTAGCAAAACAACACTCTCCGTGGCGGCGAAATAATTCAGACTATAAAAAGTGCCTCGCGGTCAGTCAACTGCTACCAAGTACTAACGAGGGTCAAGGATGATTTTGAAGAACTTACCTGTCCATTAGGATTCGCAGATGGCGGTTGAAATGATCTTCGTAACGCTTGAGCGTGTCCTCCAGCTTTCCAATTCGAGTTGGATCGTAAGCCCGAGCATCCGCAGCTGTGGACTTCTCGCCAGATAGATCTGGGTCCGCTGAGGCTAGCGCACGCGCGAGAGACGCAGCAGTCCATGATGCAAACATAGTACAGCAGGTCATCAACTTGGAATGGATCTAAATAAGAAGGTTGTTAGTATAAAAATGCTCGGCGAGAAGCTCATGGGAGTTTACAAACCTTCAACAACTTCGCTTGTGTGAGCATGCATTCCTTAAGACATGTATCCAGGAAGTCGACATGATCTTGCATCAGCTCATCGACAGTGCGATTGACCTGCTTGGTACCGTTCACAGTCACTTCTGATCCGTCGGCATCGGCGCCATTGACTCGGTCCATTAAGCCAACCCAATTAGGCTCAATGACCTCAGCCGTGCAAAAATATAACAATTGCTGAACAAATACAAGCATCTTCGCTCGGAGATTCCAGGCGCGTCGTTTCCATATCTCGAGTCGCTTATCGGATGATTTGTGTCGCCAGCTGGGGAGTTTGTTTTGGTCCGCCCAGGAAGTAACCAGCAATGTTTCCAGGTGACGTAGAGAGAGGAGGTGTCGGAAAATAAGTTGATATCGTAACACAGTTTTACGACTGATGACTAGTGAAAGTGGGAATGGCACTGTGTAGTCCAGCTCCAGTGCATCGAATCCCACAATGTCCTTCTCTTCATCAGCAGTTTGCGCTGCGGAGGCTTGCTGCCTCTCGAACGCTGCTTCGGGATGATCTTGATCAATGCCAGAGACGCTTACAACTTGCATCAGCCATCTGGTTAGACCGATCTTGTTCATTCGGACTTTGACGTCCTCTTTGAATGGATCTTGCGCAGCAATACTGCCAGGTTGCCGAAGTACGAGATCAAGTAATGACTGAAGCTTTCCTTCATTGACAACCCTAGCAGGCTTGCGGAGTTCAGACGAACTGAGTTCCAAAAAGTATGAGAAGAAATCGGAGCGATCCAAAAAGAAGTAATGTTTGAGGGAGCGAAATCGGGTCGTCAAGGAATTTTTTGTAAGAAGAAGGTTCAGTAAAGACGCATTGGCGTAGGTGTATGCGGCATTCACATTTTCCAAAAATCGAGGGTCGTCCAGTGTTTTGGGCACATCTTTAACAGCCTTGCTGATATCAACACCACCGCATTCTCGTACAACATTGAGGTATTTTCCTGCGAGCAGCACCTTATCGCGAACACTATCCAGTTGGGGCGGAACCTCATCATTGCGAATTGTATATCGTTTCTCCCAATACTCATCTGTGTAGTCCTCCTCGAGCTTCTCCCGCTTGATCCACTTCTGCTCCTTAATCAAGAACTCTCCATGGGGGTCTTTAATTCCTCCATGATGTAACCACTCATTCAACATGTTCATGTAGGGCCGACTGGCATCGCGCAACAAGCCCTGTACCAGGCTCTTGGTAGTTGGATCGCCTGAAAATGTAGCCAACCGTTCAGTGAGCAGTCGGAGGACATTGCCGCCTTTGCAAATCTTCTTGCTGGCCATCGCACCAGGCACCAGGTCACCACCTTCTTTAAGCTGCTCAAGAATGTTGTCGACGTCGTCAAAATCATCGATCGATTCGTCCAGATCCGGGTCCTCCAGAACACCATTTCGTCGAAGAAGTTCCTGCCCTAAAGAATATAATTGCGCAAGGCACTGACCTGTGGCGATTGTGTGAAGATGCAGTTGGTGAAGAGTGAAGGTGGGATTGTTCAGCAGTTGCCCTTCGAGCTGAGCAATGAGAATCAAATAGTCTTTGAGTATCTTCCGGATAGAGGCGCAGAGTGCGTGACTAACTGCGCCATATTCGGCCCGACTTTGGAGTTCAACAAATGCCTCCATCGCACTGTAGTGGGTAGCCATTTTCAGCATCGACTGAGAAAGGTCTCGCAAGGTTGGGTCCAAGCCGGGTGCCAATTGGAAAAGAGGGCCTGTGAGCCGGTCTTTCTCAACAGAGGGGTCATAAGAGCTCTCATAATGGATATATTGGCCCTCAAATCCCATGAAAACAAACAATAGATCCTCGAGGATAGCGGTTTCTTGGGCATCGGGCGAAAGCTCTCGAAATGGTTGAGGATAGAGTGATTGTGGTACGGTTGAAGCTGAAGGAGGAACGGAAACACGACATGCGAGAGGGGCAGTGGAATGAGGAATCAATGAGGCTTGCGGATCCCAAGGTACTGCGGAGAATTGTGTCAGTAAGAAGGTGTACTTAGAGTGATGAACGCGCCATGCCACACGATCTGAGAATTGAACTCACATTGAGCTGCATTTTTTTCTCCCCTCCCACTTCCGGGGCTTGCGCCATCAGGCTGGTTTGGGTATTTAGGCCGGGACTTATCGCGATCACCTCGGTTCGCCGCGTTGGATGGCTCCCTGACGTGATTCCTCCGAACTGACTTCTCCCTTGTTGTGACAGTAGTGCGCTCGGTGCGCTTCTCAGACATGTCCCTCTGATCTCTGGACGTTCGGTGTTTTTGACTAGCCGTGCTAGAGCGTAAAGGGTCCATGGTGTTGTGGAGCGGCGATGCGCCGCGAGGCCCAGCCTCGACGCGATTGGAGACAACGCGGGGTCGTGGAGCGTTCATATAGCTGGCGCGGTCATTGACGGACATAATCCCAACAGGGAGCAAGACGTGGCATGAAGGCTGGGCAATTCAGGTCAGCTAGAAACAATCTGTAAACTCCAAGATTATTAACAGAAACAGCAATCGCAATCCATTCAGATGCAAACAAACCGTGGAAACTCCACTTTGCAACCCTTGGGCAGCCGCTGATGCCTTGTTGCCTAACCTATCAGGTGTCCACCAGGCACTGACGACTTGCGTAGAGCTTCCGCCTCATTCGAGCTCCGCTACCTGCTCTCACCTCCCCCATCCATCCCACATCCTCTATACCCTCTCTTCTCTATACCCTAACCTTCTTTCTTATTTTGGCCTGTTAAGTCCTGCCTTGAGCCTACATCTATCAAAATGTTCATTGCCCGATCCGAATATGGTAAGCTCCAGCGCTCAAACACCAACACTTCCGTATCACTAACAGCTTCCGAATAGACCGTGGAATCAAGTACGCATCCTCAACATGACTCGTCCTATCCTCAATCGAACCCCCCGCATCTAACAACGTTACTCTATTCAGCACCTTCTCCCCCGAAGGTCGTCTGTTCCAGGTCGAATACTCTCTCGAAGCTATCAAACTAGGATCCACAGCGATCGGTGTACGTCTGCCCTAGCTGTCTCCGTTCCGGTTGAAGAATATCCTCATATTACCGGTGCTAGCTTTGCTACTCGTTTTGACAACAGTCTTCCCAATCCGCATCCTGACTGACATGATCCAGGTCGCAACATCGGAAGGAGTCATCCTCGGTGTCGAGAAGCGCGTCACATCCACCTTGCTTGAGGCCTCATCCGTCGAGAAGATCGTTGAAATTGATCAGCACATTGGCTGCGCCATGTCCGGCCTGCAGGCTGATGCCCGCAACCTTGTTGAGCACGCCCGCATCGAATGTCAGAACCACGCTTTCCACTACGCCGAGCCCCTCCGCGTCGAGAGTACCACACAGGCGATTTGCGATTTGGCTCTTCGGTTCGGAGAGAGCGGTGATGATGAGGAGAGTGTGATGTCTAGACCTTTTGGTGTTGCGTTGTTAATTGCCGGTTATGATGAGGATGGTCCCCAGCTGTACGTGACATGAGATCATTATCTGGGCTGCGCTCAAGTAACTAATCATCTGTCTTTTTCTTTTCTACAGATACCACGCTGAGCCTTCAGGTACATTCTATCGGTATGACGCCAAAGCTATCGGATCTGGAAGTGAAGGCGCGCAGGCGGAACTCCAAAATGAATACCATCGGTCTTTGACTCTTGCCGAGGCTGAGACCTTGGTACTGAAGACCCTGAAGCAAGTGATGGAAGAGAAATTGGATTCCAAGAACGTGCAGCTTGCCAGCGTTACTAAGGAGAAGGGCTTCCGTATCTACAATGATGAAGAGATGGGTGGTGCTGTAGCACAGCTGGGTGGAAACCAATAGAGGATTTACTGTCTAGGCTTGGGTACTATAGGCTATAGCCTGAACTAAGCTCAGCGAGCATATTATGTTGGCATTTTCAAAAGTAATCTATCTGTACGTACAAATGTAGAGGTGTCGAATGGTATATTCGATGACTATGGAAATCAAAAGTTCACTTGTGGATCCTCATGATATGATGTTATAGTCAAGGATTTTCCAAAGAACTCCAGCGCAAACTCTCCATCTGGACCCCTGGAAACAACTATCTCTTTCTGGCGATCAATGATTGCGCGTATTGTGTTAGTCTTATTGGGAGGTCTACTCCTATATGGTACGACAGTATCTGTCTCCAGTTCATCTAGTGGTTGAATCACCAAAGAACCCTGTATCGACGCTTCTTCAAAAGCAGATAAGGACAATTTACCACAAGTGACACTTCTTATTGTATGTAGCTCAGCAAAGACCTTGCCAAGGACTTTCGCAATCGCACATTTTGTTTCATGGGTCAAAGTTGGATATGAAGGCCAGAGCGACGAGCCGGGAAGACGTGTCATGAGTATATACGGTACACCCAAGGAATTGATACTTGTTGTGTTCACTTGAACAACTTGGGGAATCGGGATTGTTCATATATGTAGTTGACGAATCAATTGCAGGGGTACAGGGTCATCAAGTATTTGATTGTTTTTGTAACGTGGAACGCGGAGACCGAAGTGGTCAACAGAGGGCTTTTCATCCCCGGCTACTGAGATACCAATCACTCGATTGAAACTTCCCCCTTGCATACGCTCGATTATGAATTCGGCATTGGCAGGACTGAGGGCTGTCTGGCACAACTTAATAACACGATCTTTGGATGTCTCAAAAGGCTCATGACTTCATAGAACATGAAATGGTTATCTCCTTGAGCATGGTTACGCTGCTGCTGAATACGCTCTAACCGCCTCTGTCAAGAGTTCAGCAAATCCGATTTCATGATGGCCGACTCGCAGTGCTTAAACTGGCGCCCAAATTGGGCTCAGAATTGTTCGAATCATGCTCGAATTCTGATCTCGATGCACTTGGAAGCAAAATAACCGGTTTGTAAAGAATAATAGCTCATTCGTGCCTCAATGTCCCGTTCATGGGCAATTTCCTGACTCGGGTTACCCATGCACATGCAGTTCGCACCGAGAAAGCTCCGTGTTGTCCTCGTCACCCAGAGAGACCTACTATTTGTTCTAAATCTGATGGCTTTGAGTGGTAGATCCCAGAAGAAGGGTGCAGTCTTCCATGTTCCCGTGTGCTCGATCAATGTGGCCATGGATGTCAAGCCACGTGCCATTCGCGCTCACGCATGATGAATTCTCATGCCAGAAGGCTTGTACACGTATCAGATCAACTTGCAAGCACGAATGCATCAAACTTTGCGGTGAGATCTGTGGCCCTTGCATGATGGGAATGCAGAATGTGAAGCTTCCCTGTGGCCATATCAAAAAAAGCCATCAAGTGCTATCAAGGACTGAAAGCCATCCAGTGTAACATTGAAATCGAAAAGCCCATTCCAAAATGTGGCCACACAGTTAAGGTTCCTTGTTTCAAGGACATGACTTCCGAGGCCTACCATTGTTCTGAGCAGTGCAACGCAATTCTCCCATGTGGCCATAACTGTACATCTTCTTGTGACAAGTGTTTTGCGGCCGCTGGAGATGAGGGAAAACTACCAAATCATCCAAGTTGCACAAAGAATTGCAACCGTCCATACAGTGTTTGCAACCACCTCTGTCCAAATAAATGCCACGAGGGGCAAAGCTGTGGTCCATGCGAGGCAAAATGCGAGGTATGTGTTACTATGAAATACTTTCTAACTAACCTCTTCAGGATACTTATCAACGCTCTAGGTACGATGCTCGCACTCAGCCTGTGAGTCAGTATGTCAAAATTTATGTGCACTATGCATTGAATGATGCACCTGGTCCTGTATTCATCAAGGGACCTGCTCAATACCCTACGCCGCGCCTTGCGATTGACTTCCTTGTGACGAGAGATGCACTTAGACTCCCACATGTGGCCAACAGTGTCTAAGCCTCTGTAGAGAAAACCGTCCAACCAATCTATGTAAAAAGTGCGGGGATAAGGGTGAGGCTCGTGTTGACTTGCTAGAATGAAAAACATATTCCGAGATTAATCTCAACGATACTCCGATCATCCTGCTTGGATGCGGTAATTTATTTACAAGTGAATCAGTTGATGGGCTGGTTTAACTGGATACGGCATATACAAGAAATAAAGAAGGCAACTTTGATGGCCTCCAAGATATCACGCCATCTCTTACCAGTTCCATACCTTCAGGTCCTGATTGTAAACAACCCATTCGACAGTTCGTCACCAAAAATTATAATCGTGGTATCAACCGGGCTGTCATGGATGAGAGTCTAGGCGGCTCCTCACCAAAAGTCGTGCTGAATTAGAAGGGTTTGAATCACGGCTGAATGCCATTGAAAACCAGTTGAACTCAAATGTGTTATACTGGAGGGGGTATAAAGAAATATATGAAGCATATAAGGATCTTGTGAAGGGGGATTGGATTTCAGCAAAGCTATGCAGATCGGGAACCCTACAAAGCGACTGATAGATACTATTGTCCTCTATAAAAAGTCTTCAAGGAGTGAGAAAGCTGCCATTTTGTCAAAGCTCTAGCGGGTGGATCTATTAGGGCGAGCAAATCACCCTCGGCGCGCGGCTAATTTGCGTCAAGGCACATGAGGTCATAATCATCAGGCTGTCGAGGGAGTAACTCGAGCAGAGGAAATGGAATGATTGGACACGGACTCGGACTCCTCGGAGGAGTGATGATTTGTTGGGTCACTTGCAGGAGATCTATATATTTCTCGTTTCTCTCTCAATTTTGTACTTTGGTTTTTAATTTAAATGTGATGTGACAATTTCTGGCATCGATGCACAGTGGTGGCTCTAAATATAGCCCTGGTAAAGCTTGATCAGCAAAGCAAAACCCCCACCTAGGCAGCTATGAAGATGATATATTCTTGGGCTTCTCGTTTTCTATTTTGTCAATACTCATCGATTTATAAATAAATAAAGCATACTTCACTTGTCGTCACCTTGGAAAGCATGTTCCAGCGCCACTTGCCCACGGCGTCAGCCTCCTGTCAGATCGTATCTTCAGCTAACAGTGTATAACAAGGGTAAACTCTCTATATGCCAAAATCTCCAGTAATCTATTTATTCCACACTTTGTTGAACGTCAAATAAAAAGAACCCCCATAACCAAAAACAATCCGAAACTCTGCAGTTGCACATCATCGCGGGTGATCTGCGGTGTTCGGCGGCGATGGCCTTGTGGGGGTGGGAAGGATCCGAGGATCCAGACTCTACAAGCCCCTCGGCCATTTCTCCCTCATCTGCAACTTTTCCTCTCCTACTCTGCCCATCCTATCTCCTCGGCCCCACCATGTCTAAAGACAAGTCTTGCAATTGTTTATCCAAACAAGCTTGATCTTAGCCTCGCGATCATGGCAGAAGAACAAATTCCAGATCCCGCTAGCGAGAGCCATTCTGCTGAACCGGGAAGAAACCAAGCGCCCCGCAAGCATGCAAAGAAACGCACTAAAACAGGCTGTCTGAGTACGTCGATGATGCTATACGCTCGATTTAAGGCATTTGACATCCCATTAACTGGACTATTTAGCTTGTCGGAAACGTCGGATTAAATGCGGCGAGGAAAAACCTATTTGTAGTAACTGTGTCAAGTCAAAACGTATCTGTGAGGGTTATGCTCAGCGTGTGGTCTTCAAGAACCCTCTGGGTATCCTCGGTCCATATGGTCCGCCGCAGTCTCACGCTCCACAGTTAGTCCAACAGCCACCACGGCCGTTGTATAATGACTATAGCACTCTACCGCCTCAACAGGCTGCGGCTGCGGCACAACATCCTATGTTGGCTCCGCGATTACCGGAAGCCACGCCCTCGGGATATACATATGAAGCCTCATCTACAGCACCCACGGGAGCAAAATATCAAGAGACGCGGCAGAGCATCGATTCTTCTCAGTTTCATTACCCGACCTTCCTAGCACAAGCTCCTCAGCAGTGTTCTAGCGATTCGGTAGAATCGGACGAGAGAAGAACCTCACAATCTACTGCCAGTGCCTACACAGAATTCCATCCTCAACCTAATACCTCGCATAATTATGATTCCCATCCCTCATATGATGAACTATCTCCTCAGATGCCGCGGCCCATCACCGATTGGGCAAGTATCGCGGCCCAGGATCATAGCAGTGATTTATATCCACCGGTAAGTAAAGATGCTACTTCCAATGCATCGGGTAATGTTTCTGCTAAACTCATAAAGCTATACAACACTTCTACTACAGAATATCGGTACCCACAGTCCGATCAAGCTGCACAGCCTACTAGCCCGGTGCAATTTATACCACTTTCCCAGCCCCAGGTTCTCTATATTGAGGATGAAGCCGAGGACTTTTACGATGTGGAATCAGATGAAGAAATGGTGGATCAAACTCAAACGGAAGGGTTCAATCAGCTAAATCTAATCATGGCGTCTGCCAGTAATGATGATCGGCAGCTTCGTTCTTTCACAACTCACCTGAACGAACCAAACATCCTAGCATCCTACTACCCTACCCTTGGATCCTCTCCGCTAAATAACCCTAAAACAGCCCGTATATTCGCACATTTCATCCACTCCACAGGACCATCTCTATCAATTTTCGAGCGACACCCGACCGACTCCTCTATCATGTTGGGAATGTCCGTTCCACCTGCCCAGCGTGGCCTATGGACATACACACTTCCCCTCAAAGCTTTGGAGCATCCAGCGCTTCTCCAAGCTATACTCGCCATTAGCAGCTTGCATATTGCATATCTACAACAAGCTCACACGACTGTCTCATTGAAACACTACCATTATGCATTGAAGCGAATCGGTCGTGCTGTTGGTCTCCCAGGTCGCCGCAAACACATAGGCACCATGGCCGCCACTCAACTCCTGGCATATTATGAGGTCATTTCGGCTGATCACAGTAAATGGAACAGTCATCTTGCTGGCTCCGCCCAAATCATCCGAGAAATTGACTGGGCGGGTATCACCCGAGATCTTCGGGCCCATCGACGAAGATTAAATGAGAATCAAGCTCAGATGGGGTGGTCAGACTCATCTATGTACTATCCTCAATCTTATGGAAGCGAGATTTCTGACGACGACCCCTTTGCTGGAAAAGAAGGTACTGTCGACGAAGCGCTGATTGGTTCTCTGATGGGCCGAGCGATTAGTTATGATGAGTTTGGTCATGTTGAAGGACCCAATCCTCAGACACCCAAGAAGCACTTTTCACGCAAGGATATTGATACCTTCCGTATTCAGTGCGACTTGTATTGGTGGTTCACGAAGCAGGATGTGTTTCATAGTATGGTGAGCGGTGATAAATTATTGTAAGTCAAGTATGTCCGTGGCATTCAGGATCTCCAACTGACATATTCCACCTTAATAGCATGCCGCAACACCTTCGAGCTCAGTGCCCTCCTCGAGCAGGCATGGGTCGAATAGACGCTATATACGGATCTACGGATCACTTCTGGCTATTGCTCGGTCGCATAACTGATTTTGGATATCGGGATCGCAAACGAAAACTCAAAGTCCTTCGCGTAGCAGGCACAGAATGGAAGCCAAATGCAGGACTTTTTCGGTTCATGGGTCGATTCACAGGGGGCTCTGGACCGCCGGGGCCACCTCCCTCTGGTCCACCAAGCTCAACCCCAGCAAGCGGTACAAGGCCCGGTCCTCCTCCAGACCCTCCACCGGAGGGACCACCAATGTACGGCATGGTACCACCACAAGCCCCGGCTCAACTACCAAAAGCCTTCTCGTACGACAGGCGTGGACAAAGATCGTCCCCAGAAGTAGACGACGGAAGTGAAGATACCACCTACGCCGATGCAGAACGAGAATGGGAAGAGATCTTAGTAGCCATGGATACCTTTATGCAGGCTCTGGGTCGAGAGTTTCAACCATTACCCTCGGACGTGACACCACTTATTGAATCACCATTTGGACCAGCCCGACAGTACCGCACGCACACAATCGCAGTGCTCTGGGGCTTTTACTATGCCGGTCGGATCTTACTACATCGTCTTCATCCATGCATGCCCCCTGCCATGATGATGGCTGCTGGTGTAGCTGCACCGACGACCGCAAAATACGCACAGATTGTCGGTCGCATCATGGCTGGTATTTACTATCCGCAGATATACAATCTCCAAGCTGGTAGCCTTAGTCCGACGCTTGGTTCTTCCTTGACCGAGATGACTATGCCCATGTTCTTTGCAGGGGTTCAATATGTCGATCCGGTGCAGCGGGTCTGGACTATCGCTAAATTGAGAGATGTCTCTCGACTAACTGGATGGAAAACATCTGACGCGATTGCAGGTGGTTGTGAGAAAGCCTGGATTGTTGCGGCTAAATATGGACGAGGACCACCTTATGAGCGATCATTTAGGACAGATCGTGATCGCGATGGTCAGGTGAGTTTTCAAATTACTAAATTATTAGATTATCTACTTATAGTTGCCCTGCTAATCTTTGTTCTTGGTTCGCAGGATGTTCTTGAAAGAGATCTCAGTTCCTCCTATAGTGAAGATCGGCGATTTGTTACTGTTCAGGCCCCTGATCGGGCACACCTAGCGATGGGCCTTTTGAGTCTGGAAGGCGATATGAAGAGTCTAGAACTATAGAACACTGGAGCCTGAAATCATTGGGTGGCAAGTACATGTTGTCCAGGTCGAATGATCGGCCAGTATTAGAATAATTGGAATGTCTACCCCGCAATACAAAGAATGCTTCTTACGTTCCATCGGATCTATGAGAATACTTTGTAAATGTTGGCACCCAGGAACATGCCAGTGCCTGATGCTCCGGTGCGCCCAGGTATAAATTGGATATAAGTCACAGATGTGTCTGGGCACAGATCTTGGTCTAGTAACAAATATTGCAGTCTCCTCATAAATCCACCCAAACGGAGTAAACAGCCCAATTATGCATGCAATCAAACAGACAGCTGCACGTAGACCTGGAAATGCTTACAAGATGAACCCGACTGGGCATGCTACACCCCCTTACATAGTACATCAGCCACATGTGCACCTGAGCATGAAATATACACGTGCATGTGTATGACAGCTGATATTGACGCGATGATAGAATGACAAAGTCAGCCTTAGGTCAAAGCACAATGGGATTATCAGCCACACTTCTCCCCCATTAAGACCCGAGTCACCTACAGTAGTGTTACAGTAGAGTGTTGGCACAGTCACTTCATGCTTTAGTGCTGTGGCGCAGACAACCCCACATCGAATCAAATCAAGCCAAACCGCCGATGTCATCATTTAAAACTAGGCCCCAGATGCTTCTGCCTGAACTTGCACTAGCAAATATTCAATCTCAGAGCTGAGACCCCCACCTGCCGATCTTCCTTTGTCTTATCTTCTCTACACTTTCACTTTAAGTCCCTCGAGGCTTTTTTGATCCTTCAAGTTCATCCCCCCATTACACCTCTCACCATCCTCACGCCCGTGGTTGACCCCAACCCCACCATCAGCGGGCCGAGTCAGCCGCTCTCGTCATATCCACGGTTCCCTGCCGCACAAGGCACCTCCCACTAAAACAAAAAACAAACACCACCCCGGTCAAACTCTGCGTCACCACCTACATCATGTCTCGCTACGATGATTACCGCTCGTCATCAGGGACTCTGGACTCCCGCGACAGATATGAGCGATACAGCCGAGGACCACCAGTAATGGAACGCGAACGCGAACGATCTCGCTCTCGCTCAAGACCCCGCCGTACAGAAGAGGAGCGTTTCGAATTCCGCCTCAACGAAGACGATAGATACGGTCCACCTGCTCGTGCTTCTGGACGTTACTATGAAGATGACCATCTGGTTCAGCCATCTGGACCGGTAGTGGCGCATGATCGCCGCCGCCGTCAAAGAGACGATAGCCCCTCGTTCGCTCCGCCACGTTTAATTAGGCGACAATCCTCGCTCGATACCTTTGATCGTATTCCCAGACGCAAGATGGAACCTGCTCCAAGGGCACCCCGGGAGCCTCCTACCCCGCTGCGTCCGAGACCCGGCCCCTCTCCGGGCCGTTATCGTGAGCGTGAGGTTTATGAGGACATCCGTATCGCTGAACCGGATTACTATGGTGATGAGGAGTATCGTGAATTTGAAGAGAGAGAAACCATGCATCGAAGGCGTTCGAGTAGTACGCATAAACGTCGACATGAGGAGAAGCCGTATCCGCGGAAGGGAAAGACTCGCATTCCACGCAAGTTTGTGCATATTCATGCGATTTTGGATTTGGGCTATCCTTTCAAAGAAGAGGTATGGTAGTTTCTTTCTTATGTTTCTAGCTGTCGTGGTCGTCGCTTTCTGGGCCTTTCTTGGGTAAATTGGTTACTGACGACTTGCTAGGAATCAACAATCGTCATTCAGAAAGCTTTGTCAAAGGAGCAGATTGATGAAGTAATCAGTCTCAGTCGGGAGTTCAGACGTCCTTCGCATTCGCATGAAGAAAGTAAGATGCTCCCTTCCTGTATTCTGTGAAGGAATACATCGAGGCAAAGAGCAGTTTGAATTAATTATTTCCCAGCCGAGTACCTACGAATCCCAGCCTCTCCTCGAGGACGACGAGTTGTGACAGAGCATTTGCAAATAGAGGCTCATCATTCACCCCGTGCAAGCCACGAGACGTTCATTCTCGAATCATCACCAACCAGGCACCGTGATGTTCAGTATGAGGAAGTGATTGAAAGACCTGCACCACGCAGACACACTATCTCTCGACCCCGTTCTGTTTCTGTGAATACAAATGCCCGACTTGTCTCTCCCGTGCGATATGTCCGGCCTCAAGATTATTCTGAGGAATACATTGAATCAAGGCCTCGTGAATCCGGTTCTTTGGTTCTTGTACGACCTCGACACAGCGAACATGATGTCTCCGGCTACATTCACGATCTAGAAGAGGAGACTAGACTGTTGCGATTAGAGCGTCAGGGCGGTATTGAAATCACTCGGCAACGCGAAACGGATATCATTGATAGTAGAGGCAATGAGGAGGAAGTGACCGAGATTCGCACGCAGGAGCGCAGAGGTATGTCCACAAAACTATTTCACTTTCTTGCATTTTTCATTCCGGTATGCTGACATGGTTTCAGAACCTAATTCAAGGGTGATGCGGGCCATGATGGCGACTTTAACTTAACCCTTTATAACTATCCACATTCTAGGCGCATGGGGGCTTAACATGACTTTTACGGGCTATTATGAAATCTATTTCTTATTTACCTTCTATTTATGTATTTTTTCCCTCTCTCTCTCTCTTATTTTGGCTATCTCTCATTGGATTTCATTACTATTTGGCTTTATATACCCCGTAACTATACAACAACGTAGTAGACTTAGCTTAAGTTGGATGCCTGATGAAACCGTGGCTGGTGCAGATGTGGGGCGGTGCATCGCGGCATTAACCATCGCACCTTCTCAGCAGCTGTCAATTGTCCTATTCATCTCTCACCCTCATTGTTCTTCCTTCTATTTTACTACATTCTCTCGAATCCCGCAATCATGGATCGAGTGCAGGCATTCGGTAAGAACTTCAGGTGAGTCTTATAACTATGTCGCAAACCCCCTGATCATCCCCGATCCAAACACACGCATGTTATCTGTTCTCCCGTTCTAGAACATCCGCATTACTGACATTGCATTACCTCTACGAGTAGCGCAAGCTTTACGCCTTTCGCGCAGCGCACCCAGCAGATGATCAAGGAGCAGCTAGGTCAAGTTGAAGATAAGACCCAGCTCCCCGACGAATACATCGAGCTTGAGAAGCGTGTCGATGCGCTCAAGCTGGTCCACCAGAAGCTGTTGCAGGTTACGTGAGTACATTTCATCCGGAAGTTGTCGCATGTAAAGTGCATCCACTGACTTATGCGGGGTCGATGATCCCTCTCCTATAATAGCTCCCAGTACTCCAACGAGGCTTATGACTACCCTCCCAACATCCGCGAGTCCTTCAACGACCTTGGCCGCACCATCAATGAGAAGGTCAACCTTCTTTCGCAGGCCAGCTCCCCCGCCGAGGCCCAGGCTGCCCTGACCGCACCCCCAACTGCTAAGCCCCAGCCCAAGACCTTCAACCACGCTATCGCTCGTGCGTCGCTCTCTGGTTCGCAAACCCTTGCGCAGAGCATCGAGGGCGAGGACCCTCTGGCCAGCGCACTGGAGAAGTATGCTCTGGCTGAGGAGAAAGTCGGCGAGGCCCGTCTAGCTCAAGACTCCCAGATTCAGTCCCGCTTCCTGGCTGGCTGGAACACTACCCTCAACACCAACCTCATGTTCGCTGCTAAGGCGCGCAGGAACGTTGAGAACGCGCGCCTGACCCTAGACTCTATCAAGGCCAGCAAGAAGGCTGCCGCCCGCGGCGACCTTGACAACCTGAGCGAGGATGCTCGTCAGGAGGTTGAGCAGGCCGAGGACGAGTTCGTTGGCCAGACCGAGGAGGCTGTTAGCGTGATGAAGAATGTACGTTATACCCAGCGATGTCCCGTTTTCTATACCGCAATGATGATGTGCGGGCGGGATGCGTCCCCAGTTAAAAGATGGTATGGCTGACATTGTCCCTTTCCCCTTGCTTTTAGGTCCTTGATACCCCGGAGCCCCTGCGCAACCTGGCCGATCTGATCGCCGCCCAGCTTGAGTTCCACAAGAAGTCCTATGAGATCCTCAGTGAACTTGCCCCCACTGTGGATGCTCTCCAGGTCGAGCAAGAGGTGAGTTCTGCTCTTATACAACCACAGGAAATACGTATATCTAACCCACTTAGTAGGCTAGCTACCGCAAGGCGCGCGAAGGCGCTTAAGCGTTATCGTTAGTTTTTGTTTTGTTTGTTCTCAAGCCGTTTTTCAACCCCCAGAGTATCGGTGGCCTTCCTTGTATTTACCCCCTTTTTGCTTCTACGAGATACTAAGAAAGCATGATCAATTTGTCAATGTGACTGTGATGCAAGATATATTGAAAGCCTATGTATTCGTAGCCTCGTAGTTTCAATCTAATGGCCAAGTCCAAACTTCTATAAATGCCAATTGACAAGTCCAGCCATTAGCGGGTGACCGCCCTCGTGGCCTGAGGCAGCCCCGCTAGCTCCAGGAGCTCAGAACAACCAGACGACATCTAGTCGTTCATTCAACTCACCACCAACCGCTGTATTTGGAGAATTGCACCAGTTCCTAACCGAGGGAAATCATCGATAACAACCTATCACACCCGTTATCCCAATCCCAACTCCAAGCCGCTGCGATACGGTAACAGATCCACTTCATCGCCGGACACCTCCCACTTACCTCCGCGTGGCCACCTTGAATCGACATTCAAACCCTCTGCACGCAGTAATCCGCTACATCGACCCCTTCAACAAGCGCAAAACACCCAATCATATCATCACAGATATAGTCCTTGCAGCGTGACCTAGCCTACCAATTATCCGAACGGCATTCTGATCTCCGACTGCGCAAGCCAACTCTGCATTTGCAATACTTTGCGACTTACCAACAATCATCCTTAAATTCCGAACATACACCCTCAAAATGGCAAACGGGTACGTCTTTCAATCATTACCATGACCGTGCACTTGCGAGCCACCCTCGGGTACCATCGCTCGCCCTATACGACCATTTCATTTCAATCAAACCTCATCATGGTCATGAACTAGACAGAAACTAACAACCTATAACCTACAGCTGGAGTCTACTTGTCGGCCTCATTATCGTCGTCGCCGCCTCATTGGCGGCTTACTTCTTTAGTCCAAAAGGAGAAAACCTCACGTGAGTTCTCTCTTCCGTAATACTAATATTTGATGTAATACGCAATACTAATACTTATTATAGTGTCTGGCGAAGCACCCTGATTCTCTCATTAGCGTCCTGTTATGTGATGTGGGGTTAGTCAATCTTTCTTGAATCCTTGAAAGGGGAGAATTATATACTGACAAACGCAGCAATCGTCTTTCTATCACAGCTGCATCCTCTTATTGAGCCAAAGAAATCCGATATGCGTCCTGGCCGAGTACCTAATTAAATCTAGTGTCTGAATATAGCCCTGGCGGTGTTAGATACATTTGAAGCTTGGTTATTTGCCATTCTCTGTATCTCGAGTTGATTTTCATTTGTTTCTACATATTGTAGTTTTTATTTCGGGTCGGGGTTTCTTTCAAGTTTCTTTTCTTCTTTCGTGTTATATTGGTTTATGAGCACATGTAGCTCTCATTTATGTTTTATGTTATAGAGCCTTGCATCGATGGACTCGCACTTGCCACAATCAACTTCAAGTTAAATTAAAATTAAAATTGAGATATCAATGTGGAAATGCACTTCAAGTTTATTTGGGTGAAAGGGAAACCATTTCATTTTCATCAACCTCGTATATATTACAATTATAAGGATAAGTTCCGTAGCATCACCATAAAACTCCTAGGTATACAGGCAAAGAACCCTGAAGTCCACAGGTATCAAAGTATCCACATCCAAGCACAACAAACAAATATCAACCAACGCCCACAGCACCAAGAATAACCTTTTGAACCGCCCATCTAGCAACCTGTCCCGCAACAGCAACAGCAACAGCTCTCAAATACCCACATCCAAGCAGAATATAAAGCGCCTCGATATTACTCAGTAACACAAGGTGCGTATCAACAACACCAAACGATAGCAAAGACGCAAGTATATCAAATAACCCCGTTAAATACCTTGTAGGTAGATACGGGCGTAGCGAAGATTCCGCAGCAGCAAGCCATGACTCAACGAGCGACGAGGAAAGAGAACCGGGGTACTTCCCGTCGCTGGACGAGGAAGAGGATATGGCAGCCTTAGCATTTAGCATGCTAGTTGGCTGAGTGTTGGATCCTTGTCGTACAGTGCTGTGGACGTTTATGTTCGCGGCTTGCGAATTCTTGTTCGTGTAGCTGCCGCTACCGTCAACCCCCCAGATAACCAGGAGGATAGGGAAGAGTTTAGCGCAGCTGCTTACTAGGAGCGCCGTGCTGATGGCTGTGGGACTTGCTGCTGTTGGAGGGGGGAGGGGTTGGATATTCTGGATTGGAGCCGTTGAGGCACGGCGGGGAGGTGGTGGTCTTTGCGGTGGGAGGGAGGTTGAATGAGTTATTGGGATGGAGTGTAGAGTTTGGATCGGAGCTGGGGGTGGGTCTTGGGGGAGATGGGTATCGCTTGCAGAGGCGGGGTTGGGAGAGAGCTTTGTTTGTGATAGATTTGTAGGTTTTAAAGCTTGGGGTTGGGGTTGGTGTTGAGTGCTTAGTGTTTGCGACGAGAGGGAGGGTTTGATAGTTGGTGTCAGGGGTGCAGAGTGGAGGGAGGTTGTTGTATCCGCTGCGCTTGTGTTTGCATTTGAATTTGTGCTCGTGTTTGTGATCTCTGAGGAACCGTATCGGCGAGATTTCGGTACGAGGATAGAGGCCAGTAGTCGGACTGTGAGGTGGTGTGCCAGAGTTGCGAGCGCATTGAGCGTGAGGAAGAAGAGGTATTGTACGACGATTGGTGTTCGAGAAATGAATGTTGTTTCGAGAGATGGATCTTTTTCAAGACGGGCCCAGGTCAAATAGACATCGAATAAGAGGAGAAGAACACCGAGGCGGATGATTGAGCGCTGGATGTATTCTTGTTAGCTTTTGTTGTTTTGTCTGTCACGCGGGAGGGGGTCTCACATCGAAGCGGTTATCATCGCGACCGAGTCGGTTGAAAAGGAGATGGCGATATACCTTTGCAGATGAAGATTAGTCGCTGTTGTGTATAGAGCTGATATAGGAACTTACTTGTGGTTTTATGAGCACTAGGTCAATAAAGATCACGACGAAGTCATATTCGACATATTTGTCGGCGAAGCGCTGGCAACGCGGGCATTGTGTCAATCGTACACCTTTTCCTTGGGAGCGATCATCGGCGCGGCTGTAAGCACTGTATAGATGCGAGACCGGATATGAACATTCGATGCAGATAGGCATCGTGTCATGACGCCGTGAAGGAGGAAAGTTAATTGCGGGCGGGTAAATTGATGTCGGGGATCGGAGATGGATTCAGTGAGCCAATGATGGGAGGGGCGATCTATACCCAGACAAGGTTATACTACGGCCCACTGGCAGCTTGGCATGTCTGAATGCTAGAGACCATCAATGAACGAATTGTCATTTAATACCAGGTTAATTCAATAATTGAAAGAGTATAGACATTTTAGTTTTATTCTATAACAGTGTTCATTCTCGTTCACTATACACAGGGTATTCTAAATGTCACTCTATATCCATTAATCGATCACACTTTTGTTGTCTGCCCAGCTTGGCTGAATAGCTCGACAAACAGCTTCATAATCCTGGAACCGCTGTGAATCCTCTGGTAGCCCAGGTGTTGTCCAAAACATAGTCCAATTACTTTCAGACAGCTTCCAGGTACCGGACGACCGCTCAAAATACCACTTATTGACCGGATTGTCCTTGCGACTGCGCCAACAGACTCCATTAGGAAAACATGTACGCACCATTGCATTGAACACCACGTCAGCCACACCGCCAGCGCCCTGGCTACGTTTCAATACTGCAAATTTGTCCAGATATGGGACCATCCGTGCGACGCTTTCTTCACTGCCATCATCGACTACGCCAGGTGGCGTTTCCCAAGTGAGGATTGCACCGCCTTCGTACTCGCCAGCAATAATCAGACCAGCAATACGATCATTGACTCGCTCGAGATAATTCTGGAGATCCAGCTTTCGGTCGAAGGAATCTTCGATGAGAAAAACGAGGCGAGACAAGTCGATTGATGGGTCGTTGAGTTGTAGTCGTGGTTGATGTTGAGCAGTCCACACTTGCACGTGTGGGTTGGGAAGAAGGGTAAGAGGCATTCCACGCTTCACAAAGGTTGAGTGGGATGTGAGAGGACTGATCACACTGGCGCGGCCATTGGCAGGGCCTCGACGACCTGGAGGTAGGGAAGAGGAGAGAAGGGGTTTATCGGTGAGAAGGTTGTGAATGAGCGGGTTGCGCTGGCGCCGGGTTCCAACGGCTGATAGGTTCGGTGTGGTACTCCCGGTTGACCGGGAAGAATTTGCGACCTCGTATGGGGAGGTAATGATCCCAGATGCTCCAATTGGTAGTAGAGCAAGTGTCTGTCGGGATAAACGAAGATTCTCTAGATGACCATCGAGAATAGGTTGCATCGTTGTGGATCCAGGTAGTTTATCTGATTTTTCCGGTAAAGGTGAGATGACTTCCTTAGCGGCGAATTGTGAAAAGGGATTGCTATTCCAAAATGCATTAGCCGCATCAAGATCATTGCTGGCTTTTGTGTCAGTCACATCCCCACAGAGGGCGTTTCGTGTCTGCAAGATCTCCTCTTCAATATCTCCAAACTCTTGCTCCATGTTAATGAAGACATGAGAGGCCTGCGGCCCTCTGAACGCAGGAATGCCACCCAGTGGATGTAAAAGAATTACTCGATCTAGTGAGACTTCTTTTTGTAGCGACCCAATGCGTTCCGCGGTAACTGCGGGGTCTTCGTCCGGGTCTGGGAAAGTAGACAGCCCAGCAAATTCTTTGGTCAGTGCGATAACCGCGTCGTCCGCTGACACGGACACGGCCTTCGGGTTTTCTTCGACATACGCGACTGGCGTGACGATCACGACATGTCCATCTCGTAACGGAGTGAGTAATCTTTTTCGAGACGCCACAGTAGGCTGGCCAGACATTTTCTCCGAAATCGAGAGTGCCGAGTCTAGACGAAAGGATGATGAGTCGGGCTGTGCATCAACCGCATCGGAAATCCGATCGGCCTGCGCAATAGCAGTTTGCCGCGATGTAGCACCATCCAGATGCCCCGGGTCAACTACTACACAGCATGCCATCCCCAATCGGACAAGTTGCGAGAGAGTCCTAGCAACTCCATTGACAACCGAGTCATCCAGAGATTGCGGTGTAGTAATCTTTATCAAAGCCAAGTGTAACCTCTCAGGTAATTCTTTCACCTGAGGAGCTGGAGTGGTATTTTGGCGAAAAACCGGACTATCATATACAGCCCTAGAAGCACCATAGAACTCGCCCAGGTTAACACCAGAGGGTAAGGATGCCGATTCCGGATCCTTGGGTTCTTCCCCGGAGTTTGGCGTAGACTTGGGTGGACTGGCTTTGAAGCGGGAAAGGTATTGCTTTGCTTCCCGCTTTGTCGAAGCCGAGTTCAGAAGACTCAAGAAGAACTCCTGTTCCAAACAAATTGTAAATATTAGCGAGGGGCCTAGCTCCACTGAGGCGCATGAAAACATACCCGGTCTAATAGTTTCTCTTTCGCACGACGTCCCAGTCGTTCTTCATTGTGCGTGGTATTTGAGAACTCGGCGATCTGATGTGCACGGCGCCCGAGCGATTGTACCGGTGAAATAATCGTCGAGTCGTTGGAGCGGGGAACATGCTGCTAATCCATAGTCAGTTTCGGGGAGCATGTTGCGGGCGAAGATGTTGGGCTCTCGAGAGATAACGGTACCTTTACTAGGGAGGACCGGGGCCTATTTAATGCCCGTGAGGTCATGGTGATACAGCCAAGTCGCCCGTGGGCCGAGTCAAAAGAGACGCAATTTCCAAAATAGTTGAGGGAAGCAATGGAGCTTTCAAATGAAAAGAAACCGGAGACTCGAAAAATGTAGCATGACGCATCCTCGGGTGTTGATTCACCGCCTATTGGGAGGCATTTAAGCTCTCCAGTCCCTTTTTACTTAGGAGCTCGGGCCGGGATCGGCTGATTGGCGAACTAAATCCACTGGCAAAAACATATGTGCACTCCAACCACCACTACTTACGCTAGCCACTCTCGATCTAGTACCCCGCAACTTTGGCTTAATCTTCGAGACCTTCAGCTGGACCCAGTCAATGCCAACAAAGATCCCAGAACATCAAAGCATTCTGCTCTCCCGTTATGATGTGATATGCGAATTGTGTTAAATAAGAGAGAGTTATGCTACAATTACTAGTATGGAAGGTTAGGTAGATAAATTTGTTGATTTGTTTTGATTTGTACTCGTATAACATACTAGAAAATTGAGACTTTTATAAATATAGTTTTTGAATCGTCTTCCTACACATCTTTTGGCTCGTTCTTCTAGTTGTTCCACGTGTACTGGATGTACAGTGTATCGATTCAGAGTTTACAGTACAGATAGCAGAGTAGTACTAGTAGGCGGTAAAGTTAGTATATGTGGATATGGAGTGAGCTTTTTCAACTTCTCGCTGGCCGCTATAATCCCCCGTATACGCTCTCACCCTCGGGATTCAGCCCCAGGAGCTGCAACGAGGGGCCCACATGCACCAGATGAAGTCTTATTCTCGGATCTATCTGGATATGGAGATCTATAGATATCCAAGATCCAAGATCCACAACCTTTTGGATATAGATATTATTTGATAATCATTGGAGCGGATATGCCGCAGTCTAATTCATAGTAACGATCTAATAAATGTCGACCAGCATTATATGAACCCCCCGGTCCCAACCCCTTCCATCAACCACGCCATCTCTGGCCAGTTTATAAAGCTATCCAGGTCAGCCATCTCCATGTTCGAAAACAAAGGACCCCCTGAGCTTTGATCGTTTACCACCTCCGGCCACTCTGGTAATAGTACTGCCCACTCACTCCGAAGCTTTTGCATCATCATCCCCAATTTACTGAACGGATCGCTATACGCCCCCTCACTGCGCATCCCAACCGCATCGGCCACCTGGCCCATGCGCGTGGCAATCTGCTGTGCAATAGCGAGTATGTCCGCCATGCCTTTCACCGCGCCCTTGTCCCATCCCGGGTAGTCCAAAGTCGACAAGCGGAAGAGAGTTACCAAGCAGTGCGAGATCTGTGTAAGATAAGGGAGCGCCAGGAACGTGTATCCAGCTGGAGGAATTGTGAAAAATAGATCAAAAAATTGTTTCACCACGTGGAGACAGGTGTAGAGGTGATCAAGTCGCTGGGGGCTGGATTCCTCGTCTGCAAGAGGCTTTACTAGGGCGACTTCATAAAGACTAAGCTCAGTGTCGTACAAATGAAAGAGAATGGGTTCTAAGACTGGGTAAGTAGCTAGAAACTAGCATCCTCAATTACCAGGGGATCTGCATACTGTTGTCAGCCAGTTGAATGGGAATCTCAGCCTTGATCGTCTCCAACCGTGACTGGTGTGCCTTGAGATGGAAGGCGGCTCGGGATTGCGCAGCATCAAGGCCATAAAGGCCCTCACTCCAAGGGCCTTGAAGGATCTGGTCCGCTAGAAGTCGGGTTCGCGTGAGCTGGACTAGCACCCTATCACCAGACGATTCTTCACTATGCGCTAAGATATCAAGACATTCTTTCATGTGCGGGGTCCATCGCAGTGGATCCATTCGACCCAGGAACTGCGCGATTCTGTACAAGGTCTGTCAATTCGATGCTCAATCCCTTTGCCAGGTATAGGCTCTTACATCGAAGTCAGCACATAGCAGCTCAATACTGCCCGGCGTTCATTCATCGTGCGCAAAGTCGAAATAGATGCTTTCAAATCTGGCACATGGCCTACGGCATTGGAGTTCGACACTGCCATGCTAAGATCTAGAGGCGCGGGCTTGTTGAGGCCCAGCTCGAAGATTAGCCCGATCGCCATCTGGGAATAGATACAGAGCGATGACTTTTGCGGCTGGCTGTGAAACGTGACCCTAGTCCATAGTAAGCGAGGGAGAGAGAGGACTTCGGCAAACCCATGCCATTCAACCACCATGAGAGGTGAGAACACCATACCATGCAAGATATACCAACACTCCCTGCAATAGATCCAAGGACTTATCGCAGTCAACCAGCAGCCGCTTCCCCGCCAGCTCCCGGATCTCTATACACAATGCTGCTTGACGTGCTGTATGCTTACTTTCTACAGCCGTGATACAACGCCACAGAAATGGTGACTGTCGTTTTAGATCACGAGCGTTTGTCGTGGCTGGTATATGGATCAGTGGGAGGAACTGCAGCCGTTGAGTTCGAAAAGTATGTAGAGACTCCTCTTCACTTGCTGATGTCACTTCGTCTTCTCTTTCTGATTCGACCTCGGTTTGCCCCATTTCTTGTGCCTCAGCTTTCAGCAGCGACATTAAGCTATCCATTTTCCGTTCCAGCTGGACCGACCTGGACAAGGTCTGGGGTTGGAGCTTGCGACGTCCTTGGGGAATGCGGCATTCCTTGTTCAAACGATGACATCTGTGGATGGGTGATATCAGACTCGAATACATTCCCTAATGAGTTCCTATCTTCCTCCGCACGGAGTTGGTCCACTCACCTTTCACAGCGGCCGCCACCACTCTGGGGGACGCAACGGCACTTGGCACGAGCACACGTGGCACATGCATTTCCATAAGACAGAGGTGAGCGAACTATGGGCTCCATCCTAATCACCTACTTAGTGATCTCAGCCCGGTGGAAGAGGAAGACAAAGGGGGGAAAGGAACAGGAACCGGGGTCGGAAGCCAACTCCGCTCCCCACCTAACCCCGTTTGATACATCGGAGCAGCAGTCTACTGCGAATAGCTTCAATATTATACCCCTTACACATCTCAGATTCTTCTAATGTTCATATTCATACTGCTACATTTTCAATATGTGGTAGCTATACGCTCTGTGGTTGTGGTTTTGGATTCAAACATTTGAATGCTGCTGATTGCGCCCGTGCTGATGATAGTACAGACCCCAGCTCAATGCATTTGAAGCAATCCATTAACATTGAACACCTATAAGCCAATATCACCCACCTGGGCAATTGCTTTAGTGGATGCTGTTTATTTGAACTAATCTTACAAGTCCGAATTGAATGAGATCAAATATCAGTAAAGCCAACGGTTTGTTTATCCAACCGTCAAGTTGGTACGGGAGCGGCGTGACTCTCCAGTTATTATGAGCTTTCACTGGACAAGTTGAGTTGTCTAAACTACAGGAGATGACAGCGATCTCTGGGATAATCATATTTCGGATATGTCTTTCTACTTGTCTTTCCTCTCGTCTTTCCATTAGTGTTTCCACTATGTTTTCTATACAGGTAGAACGGGAGGAGCGGCGTTCGGGGATAAACGCCGTGTTGCCCTTCCCATACTTAAACAATTCAAATGCACATCCAGGGCTCCTTCAGTCTGTTTACAGCGTTCTATTCAATGCTAAACAGAATCATAACGGAATTTCAGCATATATTAGGAAGGAAAACTGCCATCCAAGCGTCATCACGCCGCCAACATGAGCGAAGACAGCCAGCCACGTCTTCCGAAATCCAAACATGATCTGAGTGCAGAGAACTTTAATGAAAGTGACGAGTACGAGCCAGAATGGGTGGAGGGAAGGGCACTAGTGTTGGTGATTGCAGGTATCACGCTTGTCGTGTTTTTGATGCTGTTGGATATGTCGATTATCTCCACGGTAGGACCACCATGCAAGTGCTGGAGAGATGAAATCTCGAACTGACGTGGCTAGGCAATTCCAAAAATCACCAATCAATTTAATTCGCTCAATGATGTTGCATGGTATGGGAGTGCGTATACAATCTCGAGGTATGGTGAAACGCAATTCAAACTAGAGCAATTCAAAAGGGCTAACGACAGCTATCTTCACTCGCTAGTGCTGCACTCCAGCCAATGACCGGAAAATTCTACACTTACTTCTCATCGAAGTGGACATTTATCTCCTTTTTCAGCGTATTCGAAGTGGGCTCCTTGATTTGTGGGGTAGCAAACTCTTCCAAAATGCTCATTGTCGGCCGCGCGATTGCAGGAATGGGATCATCAGGCATGATGAACGGGGCGTTGAATATCCTAGCCGGTGCAGTGCCGATGAAGAAGAGACCGGCGATGATTGGGATTATCATGGGGGGTAAAGTGCTCGCCAAAAATTGATCTTTCCGCAGGGCTGACATTTCTCGTAGTTGGCCAACTGGGCTTGGTTGGAGGACCACTGGTTGGTGGCGCTTTTACGACATACTCGACTTGGCGATGGTGTACGTTTCAACTTATGATATGATCCCCCCAAGAGCCAAAAGGCACTACTGACTCCATTTTAGGCTTCTATATGAACCTCCCCATCGGGGCATTGGTTGGCGCCTTGCTCCTCTTCACACGCATCCCAGATCAAAAGCCAAAACAACCCGCGCGCGAGGTCCTGCGTTCGGTCTTCCTGCAGAGATTCGACTTAATTGGGTTTGTGCTGTTCGCCCCGGCATCGATTATGCTTCTTCTGGCGCTACAGTATGGTGGGAATGGCTACTCGTGGGACAGTGCGACAGTTATTGGCCTGTTCTGTGGGTCAGTCGCGACTTTCGTGGTCTTTGCTTTTTGGGAACGATATATGGGCATCGAGGCAATGATTCCGGGTCATTTAGTCTGCGACCAGATTGTCTTATCCAGCAGTCTACTATCCATGATGATCTTTGGGTTCACGATGAGTCTCTCATACTACCTGCCTATCTACTTTCAGTCCGTTCGGGGTAAGTCCGCCTTGGTAAGCGGTGTCGACTTGTTGCCAAACATTCTTTGCCAGTTGGTTATGGCCGTGGTATCCGGGGTGTTGAGTGAGTGTCTCCTAGCTTGTCTTGTCTTCCTTGATAAAGCTAATTAGTATCGATAGCCTCAAAGCTAGGTTACTATCTTCCTTGGGGGGTTCTCGGAGCTATTCTAGTTGGCGTGGGTAACGGCCTCCTCTCCACCCTGTCACCCACTACATCGGTGCCTACCTGGGCCGGCTACGAATCACTGGTAGGATTCGGTCGAGGTGCCATCTCCCAAGTAGTGAGTTTTGCATTTCATGCTATCCTTTTTCTTCAATGTACTAATACCTATCCAGCCCATGATCGCCATTCAAAACGCAGTCAAAGGTGATGACGTATCCACTGCCATGGCGATGATGACCTGTGCCCAGACCTTTGGCGGTTCCATCTTCCTGGCCGTGGCGGAAGTTATATTTGCCCAGGGCCTTAGGACGAAGATCCCCGAGTACGCCCCCTCTGTGGATGCCGAAGCAATCATTCAGGCTGGGGCGACCGAATTCCGCCAAGTGGTGTCGGCGCAGGACCTTCCAGCAGTGTTGGTGGCATACGCGAAGAGTATAGACCAGGTTTTTTATCTGAACATTGCACTGTCGTGTGCGCAGTTTGTCTTCGCATGGGGAGTTGGATGGAAGAGTGTGAAGAAGGGGAAGGAGGAGGAGGAGAAGAAGAAGAAGGATGAAAGCCAATTGGTGGCAGAGCAGGCGTGAATTTGGATCAGAATATGGAGTCATTGAATTCAAGTTACATTGTTCACTAGAATTTCTCTTCTCTAAACTTGGATATACTACTAGTACCCGTGGACGAATTCATCCATGGATATGTCATTCTCAATATATGCAATGCAAGAGCGGCCGTAGACAATTGAATAGACAGTTAATAAATAGTACTACTAATTTATTATCCTCAAGGCTGAATATTTCAGACGTGCTTTCGGACATATTGTAATATTATACTACCTGTATTAGGTAGTCGGGATGTACTAAACCGTAACACAATCGTGTGGACTGCAGATCATATTGTGGTAGTTGGATCTACAAAATATAAAAACGGCAGCAGTTGAATAGAAACAAATTTTTTTTTTTCAAAATCTCCTTTATTTCCTAGTTTGCTGCGGTATAGAGTACATTCAATATTATGCGATCGGCACGTATGCTTCCCAAGTCTCCATGCATCTGGAATAATCCACCGATGGAGCACCAGAGTCCACTGAGACCCATTTGAGTGCACCCCACCAGCAATACTATCAGATCCATAGAGAATGTAAGAGATTCCCATTTTGTGTTTGTAGAGAAACAATGTCGTCAACTGTTTCTAGCAGCTTTGTTCTATCTGGTTTCCAGAAGGCCTGACCGCTCGCAAGTTCTGAGTACGCATGAGAGACGCAGGGAATGAGTGTAAGAGTGACTAAATGCTTAAGTACTCCGCAGGTTCCAAGTACGTTGCACCCCCACCCCGCCACTCTTCCTCCCTTCTTTTCCCCTCCAGATATTCTCTCTTGCTTTGGATCTTGCAGGATTTTGGAATTATTGGTTCAAAGTCACCTTTGAGCTTTATTAAATACTTTTCTTTGATACCATCAAGCTCCGGTGAGTTGATTTAGTACCTGCGCTGCACCCCTACCTCCCGTTTCATCCCATCCCCACGTCTCATTTGCCCCTCCTTGCGCACAGTGGGCAACGGAGTCGCAAATTCTTATCCGCGTGCATATCGGGAACCCCCAGCCTCCGATCTTCCTCAGGACTCGTGTTGGCAAAGATTTCTCCAACACACTTGCTGTCTATGATCTAATCTCGGACTTTGTTGTCTTAACAGATACCATTATTCTTACTTGCAGATGAACTAATCCCCACTTGTCTAGACTTGCGTCTCCCTTCGATCCCCATCTGCGCCACCGAACCAAGTCCCCTGCAACCTCGAGGGAAAAAAATTACCACCCAATTGTCTAAGCGCCCACACGCGATAAAACGCACATTCGTGTCAAATTTAGACAGCTCCGATTTCCAAATTATTTCTATCCCGTCCACTCGATTATGTCTGATCCAAGCGAGCGGCTGTCGGAGTCCATGCCCGGCCAGGACAATGGCCTGAAGCCCTTGTCAAACGCGGATGACCTGTCACTAGGAAATCCCAGTAACGCCGAGCTGTCCCGGATTATGAGCCGCGCGGGTATCCAGCTAGCCAATGGATTCCCATTAGATGATGATGAAGGCGAAGAGGAAGTGGATGAAGACTACGTCGCAGTTGACCAGGATGATGCCGACGCCAATGAATTCCCATACTGGTTCCGCCGCCCCCCTACACACCACCGCACTAAGCTGGACGAGCTGCATCCATTTGTCCAGCTTCTATCCGTATCCAATGTCGAGGACTGTGTTGCCGTCGAAGATGCTTTCCCGGAGCAGGAGCGTTGCTCGCGTGACAAGGTAGGACAAACCCTTCCAAATTTACCCCAGGTTATGCAAAGGCCCTGAAGTGGTATCACTTGCCATGTTCCGCCCGCAGGATCCCCTGTGTGATGCTACATACCCCGTATCGCTGTTCGTTGGGTGACTAATTAAATACGCTTGTGCAGTTTATCTATCGTCTTTCTCGATGCCCCGAGTTGAGTTTGGGTCTTTTCACTCTGCCTCTTAAGGATGACGACAAGCCCAAGCCTCGTCCCACTTTGGTTGCACACATCGTTGCTACACGTACCTCGGAGCCTTGCGTGACCGATCGAGCCATGCGCCTGCCCAACAACTGGAAAGATGAGCGCTGGACGTTCGAAGACGGCCAGGCCGTTGGCCACGAAGAAGGCGGTAGCACCATTGCTATCCACTCTTTGGCTGTCCTGCCTGAACACCAGGGCAAGCAGGTCGGCAGCACCTTGATGAAGTCGTACATTCACCGCATTCGTGAAGCTCTGATTGCCGACCGGATTACGATCATTGCCCATGACCATCTGGTTCCCTTCTACGAGTCCTTCGGTTTTGAGTCTCGTGGCCCTAGCAAGTGCCAGTTTGGCGGCGGCGGTTGGGTGGATCTGGTATGTTGATCATTGTTCCTACTAAACCTTCTCTTTACATGTATACTGACTTGATGAATAGGTGTTGGAGTTTGGTGACCATCCCGAGTCTAGCTAAGGCTTCTAAAGCCTCTGTTTTGCATTTCTTACGGCGTGGACCGTCGGTGTGGCCAATCCTCTCGTGTGCTATTCCTCTATCGTCTCTTTTCTAATCACTTCCCCCACCCCTTTCTCTTTGGCCTTATTTCTCTCATGCCCTCGTTACGCACTCTCATATCCGGTCATCGGTTTTGGTCCTCAGGGTTGAAAGAAAATGGAGTTTTGATGTTTTGTTATATCTTATTTGGTTCTATTTTTTATTATTACTGGGGCGGGATTGTGATGGCTAGTCTTTTCGGATGTTGGTAAACCCAAGAAAGCTGGGACTCTCCCTATGTCTTTTTTTTTTTACGGTCGTCGGTCGCAATGGCTGTACCATAGTTACAATGTGATGTACATGAGCATGACTTATGACCTTTTTTTTCAACAAAGTCCCATAAATCCCCATCTCTTATCTATAAACTCAACTTTTTTTTTACTATGTAGAGTTCCCTCAGTAATTCTCTGATTCTCGGTTATCGCATCCAATCCTGGTCCCCGCATTTGTCGACCGCCCGGCAGAAAAAACATCCCGACCCAAAATTTTCATGGAGATACAGACTCAAACAAATCTTCCACTCCAGAGTCACTGCAACCCTTTTGACTCCTGTGGCCCATCATGAAGACGACGTGGAAGGATGTATGTTTCTTCGATTACCGCAGCTCACATTTCTGCGTCCTCAATCTTACAAGATTTCCATCCACTAATTACTTTTCACCGCTAGATTGCGCCTGTGCCCACCAGCCAGGAATTCCTGGACATTGTCCTGAGCCGTACTCAGCGACAACTGCCTACCCAAATTCGTGCTGGTTTCAAGATCAGCCGTATCAGAGGTACTTGACATTCTTCTCTCTACCGTTTATAGTTTTCAAATTTGAGGGCTTTTTCGACAATGAAGAGTGGCGACGGCAACTCGAAAAAAAAATTGTTATCGCGGTTATCGATAAAGCAACAATGCTGATCAAGAATTTTTTTTCTTAGGTTTCTACACCCGTAAGGTCAAGTATACCCAGGAGACCTTCTGTGAGAAGTTCCAGGCCATTCTCGATGGATTTCCTCGTTTGCAGGATATTCATCCTTTCCGTAAGTGATCATTCGGTTCTGCGCCCGACTACGAAGAGAGTCTAACAGGATATTAGACAAGGATTTGATGAACACCCTTTACGACGCCGACCATTTCCGCATCGCCCTTGGTCAGGTTTCGACTGCCAAGCACTTGATTGAGACCGTTTCCCGCGATTACGTTCGACTTATTAAATATGCGCAATCTCTGTTCCAATGTAAGCAGCTGAAGCGTGCCGGTCTCGGTCGCATGGCCACCATTTGTCGCCGTCTTAAGGACCCTCTCGTCTACCTGGAGCAGGTCCGTCAGCATTTGGGTCGTCTCCCCTCGATTGATCCCAACACCCGCACTCTCCTGATCTGCGGATACCCCAACGTTGGAAAGTCCAGCTTCCTGAAGAACATCACCCGCGCCGATGTCGATGTTCAGCCCTATGCTTTCACCACCAAGTCCCTGTTCGTTGGTCACTTCGACTACAAATACCTGCGTTTCCAGGCTATTGATACCCCCGGTATTCTCGACCACCCTCTGGAGGAGATGAACACCATTGAAATGCAGTCTATTACCGCTGTTGCTCACTTGCGTTCCGCCATTCTGTACTTCATGGATCTTTCCGAGCAGTGCGGTTACTCCGTTGCCGACCAGATCAAGCTTTTCCACAGCATCAGACCTCTGTTTGCCAACAAGGTTGTGTACCTCATTGTTAACAAGATCGATGTTCGCCGCCCCGAAGACCTGGACCCCGAGGAGCAGGAGCAAATTCAGGAGATTCTGAAGTCCGGAGATGTAGAGATGCTGCAGGTCTCTTGTACCACCACTGAGGGTGTCTCTGCCGTGAAGAACGCTGCATGTGATAAGCTCCTCGCTGAGCGTGTCTCACAGAAACTCAAGTCCAGCTCCAATGCCGCCGGCACCCCCGGTGGCCGTCTGGGCGATGTTTTGGCCCGTATTCACGTTGCCCAGCCTATGGGCGGTGTTGTCCGCGAGACTTTCATCCCCGAGGCCGTCAAGGAGCTCAAGAAATACGACAAGAACGACCCCAACCGCCGCCCACTCGAGCGCGATCTGGAAGAGGAGAACGGTGGTGCTGGTGTGTACAACTTCGACATGAAGCGCGACTACACACTGGGCGACGCAGACTGGAACCACGACAAGATCCCCGAAGTGTGGAACGGCCGGAACATCTACGACTTCGTCGACCCCGATATCGAGACCAAGCTCGCTGCTCTGGAGGAAGAAGAGGAGAAGCTCGAGGCAGATGGATACTACAACTCCGACGAGAGTGTGGAGGATGCCGAGGATGCCGATACCCGTATGAAGGCGGATCTTATTCGCGAGAAGCGCGTGCTCATGAAGAACGAAGCCAAGATGCGCAAGTCTCTCAAGAACCGTGCCCAAATTCCCCGCAGCGCCAAGTCCAAGAAGCTCTCCCAGTTGGAGCGTGGTCTCGACTCTGCCGGTTACGATATCGATGCTGCTGGCGACCGTGCTCGCTCCCAGACCAACTCCCGTGGTCGTCCTCTTACCCGCGACGATGGTGCTGGTGGTGATGACGACGCTATGGATCTGGATGATCCTCGCGCTGCCATTGCCCGTGCTAAGAGCCGTGCCCGTAGCACAGCGGCTACCGATCGTCGTAACGATGGTGTTACAGATGAGACTGCCCGTACCAAGGCCGACCGTCTGTTCAAGCTGGGACAGAAGAAGATGAACCGTATGGCCCGACAGGGTGAGGCCGATCGTCACACCACTGCTTCTCTCCCCAAGCACTTGGTAAGTTTCAACTTTAACTCTAACCCCCTATCATATTTTGAAAACATTCTAACACATACCTTCTACAGTACACCGGAAAGCGTACTATCGGCAAAACCCAACGCCGTTAAGGATCTACATTCCAGCCTATATATTCCAAGGCTAATGCGAGACCCATTCATAATCATCGTCGATTGGTTTCTATACCGGGTGCAAAATGGTGTCGGGCGTTTGCGTTTTCAAGTTCTTTCTTGATTTTTTGCAATTTTTTCCAATTTTCCTTTTTGTTAGATGATCAGATTTATCCAGTTCATTCAACGATATTTCCCATCTTCCACTTGTGGATGAACAGCTTTACGATCTGTGGGGGTTGTTCTCCCAGTCATTAGGACCAAAAGTTCTTGACGCGATGATGTTGCATATACCAAATACAGATGAGACTTTTCATTTTAGACAACTAACTGTCCACTTGATGCAATGCTATCAAGTTATGATTTCGTAATCCTGAAAATTTGGTATCATAAACCTAATATCCTCATAGAGATCGGACCTACCTGAAAAGATTATGTAGACCCTTCTAGTAGTTGGCAGGTCTCTTGAGTTTAGTAGCGTGGGCTACCATGGGTATGGAATCTACATTAAGCGGCGCCAGCATGGAGCGCTCAGTACATCGCGATGCTTTTTCTTCTGCTACTTTAACCCCCAACCCCGGATTTTCCTCTCCAAATATTTTTCTTTCATCTTCTACTTCGTATCTAACAAAATTCACCTTGAAAGACAATCTCACAAGAATCCATCAAAACATCCGAACTAGTTCTTGAACGCCTCGATAACCCTCTACAATACGACTCATACCAGCGACCCCAGATGCACACACTGCTGTCATCAAAATGAACATTCCCGCCGCACATTGATTAACCAGCTAGACGCATTGGAAGAAACTCTTCACAAATTTTCAGGATTAGAAATAAGCCAGTTATTCAAAGAAATATGACGGCTATCGATAGTATTGGCGAAGGTTTTTGAGGAGCGCGCCTTTCAAAACACTGGTTTGCATCTCGCCATGGCAAAGCTCACAGAACGTGAGTTGGATCGGACCTATGCTTCTTTAAAATGTGATACACCAGTTCAGGGCCATAAGAAGTCCGGCAACTATGAATGCAATTCTCAGCGGTCTTTTGAGACTAAGCAAGCAAAAGTGTCTGGAGTGGCACGTACGACTCTCCATGCTCTCCAAACTCGTTCGTCCAACTTGCGGTCAAGGTGGATAGGCTCAATGATAGACTTGACCAAGGCCAATGTCTGCAAGCTCCTGGTGCGGTAGGCATTTCAAAGACAAATGGTTAGGCTCCCAAAAAGCGTTAAATGGGTCTTTGGAAAGGGGTTTTTAAAATATTCAGCTCAGTCTTGACTGGTATGTCAACTTAGAGTGTTTGGAACAATTAAAATCTGACAAAGTTGGGGAATATTGAATCGGAGTGTTTATTCTGTTCGTTTTGAGCTTGAAATTCTAGCGACTGTTGAATAATATGGTTCTTGTCCATGGATAGATACATGAAGTACTATATCTGATTTTTTCTGTGCTTGATTTGAAATTTCATTGTTTTACCTTTTCCCTCTCTCGGTACATCTATTATTAATAAATCAGCTATGTCTCACTTCCTGGAGTATTTATTATGTTTGACACAGAATTTACGATGAAGAGGAGTGCCCTGGAGTATGAAATACTATACAGGGGCTTCAGAGGAATCTATGATTTCGGAAGACGCCTATCATGAAAATGGGATTTGCCGATATCAAACGGCGATTGCCAGCAATCCCCAGTAGTATATCAAAGGCGATGTACATTATTTACATCAACTCCATATTCACCTCTTCAAATATTTCTCTTTCATACCCACCAAGCCAATGTTGATTTCGGCCACCATAATGTCCAACCCATTTCTTGAAAGTCAAGAATCAAAGACACTCAATCTTCTCGATCATGATGACCCTCCACAATACCGGGGCTCATGTCAGCCTGAACCACCCCAAGATCTACTCACCTCCATCATCGAGAACGAAAGTACTCGCCGTACATTAGTTCAAGGACTATGCAACTCAGCAAAAGACTTCTACAACCATTCAAAGAATATTGAGACTCCATGCCTTCACGACTTGGCATGTGAGCTTGAGCCAAAGGTGGATAAGCTCGCTCATGACCTTCGTGAACTCGTTGGATTCCTTGAGGCGATTAATGGCTTGGCGATACCCGATCATGATGACATTGGCGAGCGTCACGATCATCATTATCACCATGATCATCACTATCATCACCATGCTAGCAGAAAGCCAACCAGGAGCCTTTGGCGGAGAATTTTCAAAAGATCATCCAACTAGGTCTTGATGGTGAAGTGGGATGGTGGTCTCTGCAAGAATCAAATCATGAGATGTTGCCATATCTATGCGTATTGGTTTTCATGATGCTCTGTGCTAATTATACAACCAACATGACTCTGGGTTTACTTGTTATTGGATTCAGGTTGCAGTGTTGTTTTTGGGTGCACGATTAGGACTTCTAATTTCACTCCTTTCCAATACCTTTCATTTTGTCCTGTGGAATAAAAGTCACTACACGTTTCATAAGTTCAAGGATTGCCATTTCCTTGCACCAAGTAGTTTTATCATAGGAGATAAGCATAGGTATACGGTAGATCTAACTATGCTGGAAGGTATATCTACTGTAAAAGGCCGTATCTAACTGGATAATGGTATTTTGGCGGGAAGCAAAGGCATTTCAAGACACAGAGAGTTTGTATTCAGATACAGTCATCTCTGAGGAAGGCCAGTTGGGCAACAACAGAACAACAGAACAAAAACAAAAACAAAAACAGGAACAACCTCCACCCCACGTACTTCTTCACCCAGTTTCTTTATTCAGCTCACCTCGCCAAGGTTCTCGGAGTGAAGAAAACGGGTAATAAAAGAGAGGAACGTCGTCGACTCAATATCGGCTCAAGGTCTAAGCGCCAAAAGATGGCCGAGCTGACGAGCGAGGTTCACCGCGTTGTTGGCGTCGGTCAAGGAGACCGGAGCAGAGTGCGCTCTCTGGGGAGATGCGGGTCCAAGGAGGGGATCGAACGCCTGTGTCGGGGGCGGGGGGTGGATCGTCAGCTCCGAGGGGCAGCGGTGATGAAAAATTCTTTCGCCAGGAGGTCTTCTGGCGGGCTTGGTGGGGGGACACGGCGGGCTCAGCGACGGACCCAGGTGCGGGCCCAGGGGCAGCAGCGGATCTGCGAGTTTGGTGTCTTCGGCTAAGAAGCCCATGATGGGGTATTCACCTGCGATAACATCCTGCAGCCGCTTGGTAGTGAGGGCTTGTTGTGGGGTCAATCGAAGCACGGCCAATTCGATCATGTTATTGCTGTACCAAGACATGTCAGCTAATGTTCAGAAAGACCCGTGGACGTTTCAATGGGAGTTTCACAAGAGGTCTCAACAGAATCTCTATGCCGGGTCTAAGATTGTAGGGTTTAGCTTACTGGTATCTATTCTGGGCCTCCTGGGCCGCATTCCTCTTCTTCTACAAGAAGAATCCTACTGCAAGTGGCGGCAACGGGTACAAAAAGAATTAAGGCCCAGAGGCATAGTGGCACTTTCGCCAGATTTAGTTGTCGATAGCGGTAGCGGTGATCATGATGGCGGTGTTGGACGCCATCGTGAGACCTAGGAGTATGGAAAGATGACAGAGAGAGAGAGAACTTCAAAAGACATCGTCGGGGGAAGGGGGGCGGGAGCTAGTATATATACCCTTCAATAGATTACACGATCGCGCCTACTGAAAAGATATATGAATGTCCGTATTGACTACGTCTGTAGCTTCCTATTCCATGAAGACAGCAGGATCAGCCTGTATGGTATTATGTGGTTTGATCTGAACCGCATACCACAGTAGGAAAATGAAGGAACTTTAAAGGGCAGGGTGACTGAGCTGAATATACCTTGAGATTTGAGATCAGTTGTGCATCTTTTGTTACGCATCATATTTAGCAATGCTCTCTTCAATTGTCAGAGATCAATGATCGAAAATTGAGGCTGTTCAGATCAGACCGAAGTTTAAGCTTTGGCCGTCCGGACTGTAATGAATGAACCATGGACCCATCAATTTATCCATTACTAGACAGCGGCTTAGGGCTGCAACGATATTCAAGCTACTAGAGATCGTGGTAGTAAGAGTGACTCTCATCTCTGTTTTAAATCAATCATCTCTCAACTTCACCCTGATATAGCTGGCTTTCCATTGATGCTGAAAAAGAAGTTCTAACATTGAAAAAAATGAGAGGAAGAGTACCCAACAAATGCATGATACCGCATACTACTAAACTTTCACATGTTTAGCACCCAGGTATAGAGAGGGTAATGAGGGGTCCATACTACTAGTAGAAAGTTGACATTTGTAACAATATTCCATATTTATGTAACATGCAACATCATGATTCACCCCCTCAAAGCCAGAAAAGTGGCTTAGTCGTCCGCGTGGCCAATTTACAAGTCTCCAAGGCCACAAATAAATCATAGACCTGTGCTGCATATAATTGTGGAGCACTTCCGCAACTTTGGACGTTGGGTTTGGCTCGGGAATTTGTTACAGGAGCAGCGATATGATCGGCCGCTAACGACGCCACGCTGGGACTTGCCTGCGTGCTGAGATCAATGGATCCTACCGCTTTCGCATATTGAAAATAAAGTTGTAAATCCTTGGAGGCACTCGATGAGGATGCCGTGGTCAAAGAATTTAGCTCCTGAAGCCTGTAACGGGGATCACAAAGATGCCAGGTCACATAGCCTTGAATAAAAGCGGATATGGTGTGGAAGACCTTGGGGTCCTTGTCATGGAAAACCCGAAGAAGTTGCTCGGAGTTGACAATTATGTCCTCGGTGACCTTTTCTAACGCTTGTTCTAGAGTAATTTCGTTGCATTGGGCTTGATTATTGACCAAGTTCGCCTGATCGCGCGGCTCATCAAGCTCCTTATAAAATGACAGTAAATCATTCACGAAGAACATCCAGTGCTCAATTTGCGCAATGGCTGCAGTGATTTCCATGAACAGGTTACTTTCGTCGAAGCTCTCTTTCGGGAAAAGAGAACCCCCAACAAGATGTCCTTCTCCGTTCATTCGCCGGAGGAAGGTTGGATAGTCATAGGACCCGGGGAAGCCCGTGAAGTTGTGTTGTTCAATCCAACAGCCTTGGAAGACTTTATAATAAATTTAGTATGCGACTAATTTTGAATTATGAAAGTCAAAATAAGGTCTTATCACTTACAATCTGTAGTTAAACGAACCATATTAAGTCCGCAGTAGGGACCGTAGTGCCGAAGTACCTGGGGAAAATGTTCATTCACGATCTGCCACCAAGGATGTCTCTGGGGCATTCCAGCAATCAGATCACAATTAAATGATTCCATGAATTCTGCGGGGTCACTATGGATGTCATCTAGGACGATAATGTACGTGTAATGTATACTCAAGTCGGCCATGACTTCTTCCGAAGCAGTGGCCCAACTGTAAACCACCATTGCAACTATACTCTGGAGGCAGGCTTGGAGGTGCTCCGGAATCGTTTTGATGCGCTTCTGTCTGTCTGGGTGGGAAAAGTGGGTTGCTGCCTTTGTATACGCATAGCGGAGCTTGGCTATGCGCTCTTCTGCTGTATGGTTCGTATCATTGAACTTGACAGTGTCCAAGAATCGGACAACCGAGTCTATATAAAAATCGGTGGGAAACTGTTCACTTGACATATTTTGGATGCGAGTCTCCCGGAATAAAGAAAAGTGAAGTATTGCCTGTGTAGTTGAAAAGTTACGCAATAAGGAGTGGCGATTGTTGAATTTATACTGTTTAAGAGGCTGAGGTCCTCGTGAGACTCAAATGTTCATTAATGTTCTGAGACCTGGCTTTCGGATATTTTCCACAAGACATCGCCAGTATACCCATGCCAAAGAGATAAATTCGGATTTAACACTCGCCCGAACAACTGGAAGTCTCCGCATTCTCCGGACACTTTATCTGGAACAATATTGTATATAAGAACGATGGTCGTACAAGCGATCGCATCATTACGTGGGATAAGGTTTGCTCACGCGAAATCATTAATCAATGGCTAAGACTTTAGTCATCTTCAAATTCCAAGTGAAACATTAGTCTGCTTGGATCTTTTGGTTATTCGACCGGTGTCTAGGTAGCCATTCTCAAGGTTAATTGGTCGTTTCATCCTGAAGATGAGTCAAAGGTCGTGTGAAACAGGTATAGCTCTACAAATTGAAAAGAAGAAAAAGTTCTATTTCATATGCGAAAGACTAAGCTCGTAAATCAATTAGTGATATATCTTACAAAATAGTTAACACGTTAGATCGGACTTTGAGAACACGAACGTCCAGTTGGTTCGTGCTGTCGTGGAGATGGATGAGGGATATTACGGAGATGGCCGCTTTCGCCATTCCTGCCTATTTCGTTTTGGTACGCGACAGAGAATTCTATAGAAATCCATGGTCCAAAAATATATAGTGGGTCTTGATGTCGCCGAAATATCAGTCACTTTTGAATGCTGATTGTAAATGTGGGAGAAGTACTGGCGACAAGTTTTTACGACGGAAAGATGCAGTTCAGGGCGAAATGATTCTTCATCGCGTGAATTACTATTAGACTCTTGCGTCACATACTACTGAGCGGTCAGTGGAGACCGAGTATTTCCGAATGCTGACTTACCTTGATCGGCAAAAGAGATCAGCAAAATTGGATTGACCCACTCAGCTATCGAGGGATTACAGTGAAAAACACTCCTAATAAATGTTACGCAAGGATCTGCAAGTGGACCTCGTAGGCGATCTACGGGAAGTATAGATCCGCCCTCCGATTAAGTTCGCTAGTGTATTATTTCCCGCATGGGATTTTGCCCAGACTGGTGGAATTCCTCATAAATTTGCATACCGTCAAGCAAACATATCAGATCATCAAGCAAGCTAGCAGATTCCGCTTGCATATTTCATTACTAAGACCCTGCAGCTAAAGAATATTTGGAATGGGTCAACCCCTGTTTTCCCGCCTGGTACCTGCTCTATAGTCTGATGTCATCACGCACATTCCCAATCGCCTGAAGAGATAAAAACGCAAATATGAATTTGAGGTACATATAAAATCTGTTCAGCATGGTCCCCTTCCTCTAAAAGCTGCACTTGAAGTTTCCTGTTCGCTCCATGGGAATTTACTGAGGTTCCTCGATTTCTCGCTTTTCTACAGGTAACTGCCTGTACCAGACACATGATGAAGAATTACTTTCTATGGTCTCTTCTACCTGCACTTTGCAGCGCAGTAATGCCCGATCACCTCGAGAAATGCGGTTTAAACCTGACCAAAACACCGACTTGCAAAAACGGCATCCTGGTTGACTTCGATAATTCAAATCCAATCAGAGACATCAGCTGCCCGATCTTGCTCTCCGTGAACATCAAAGGGAAAATTTACACGCTAGATGCGGAGGTAGACGAAGATGTTCGAGAAGAAGGATATCCTCGTGCGCGGTCGATAACCCAGTTTATCAAAGGGTCCAGCGGACGATCGATCACATTCCAAGCAAACGCCCTCACATTTGAGAGTGAATTCAAAAGGCGTCAGTTCAAATTCTCGTTGGGATCGCAGCATGGTCTCTACGATGATTATCCACTGGCATTTTATCGAAACGGTGGTGGCGTTTATCACCCCAGGGCTGGGTACAAGTGTGTTGATGATACTCCGCGGCTGATTTTATTGCCTCCTGATAGTTGTGAGTTATTTCGCCCTCCTGCTGACTTGTCTTGGTTTTGCTTACAACTTCGGAATAAAAAGCCGTTTTCATAGTGCATGAACCGCAGTTCGAAAACGATTTTGTAAAATGGAGTTTTGGCCCGCCTACTGGCGGCGTTCTCTCCTGTGAGTTGCCTTTTGCTTCTTGCTAATTACAAGTTTACTAATTTTAATCTTTACAGATGGAGGAGGCAGAGACCATCATATCCATGATGTTTACGTCGAGATTCAGGGGTAGACGTGATTTACGCAAATATTGAATCATTCTCGGAGATAAGAGCAAATAAGAGCAAATGAGGGTCTGAGGATAGCACAGGTTATGAAGGCGCCTAGGAAGACAATAAATAACGATGTTGAATTACCAGATATAGGTAGGCGCTTTTAACAGCCCCACTGAAAGATCGAATTGGCCTTCGTAATGCGAAAACGTTAAGACTTGAACACTCGTGTTCCTGCCAAACGCCGCATTCGCCTCGCCGTAAGGCGAAAATCGAGTAGGACACATCATGGACCACAGAGTAAATGAGTCGACCGACGAAACGACTGATCGAGCTACCAACCAAGAAGACTGTGGAGTACTTGGGCTGGGTCGGGCCAAGTATCGAGTAAGCGGGAAGACCTGTCATCCTGGGCGTGATCAAGACAGCAGAGAACGAAAACCAGTCCAGAATTACAGCGGCTAGATCAACGCTAAACCCTTTATTAACTAACTAGTGATATGGGGAAGGACGCTCTAGGCAGTATACTTAAAGGTGCACGGGTCGATCCAGCAATGCATCATTCATCGATGCATCACTTCCTCCCATAATCGCACTCACGCACTGACTAAGCAAGCGAATGAAGTACAGTAAATCACCGAATGCTTTCATGAGCTTTATGGTGGGGAGTTTCAATCGGGAATGTAAAGGTGAGTCGATGTCAGAGTAGGGGAATTGAAGATGGGCGGCGCTCTTCAAGAACCATCCTGTGGGAAGTCTCTATCAAAGGGCCTTATCAAAGCACGGAGACTTACTGTGCTGAGATCGCCTACGAGGTCCACTTGCAGATCCTTGCGTAACATTTATTAGGAGTGTTTTTCACTGTAATCCCTCGATAGCTGAGTGGGTCAATCCAATTTTGCTGATCTCTTTTGCCGATCAAGGTAAGTCAGCATTCGGAAATCCTCGGTCTCCCACTCCATGCTGAAGTCTACTGACCGCTCAGCAGTGCGCGACACAAGGGTCCTCCTCTGTGCTGATGGCATTGTCCCGTCACCCTAATGACTTTCGCTTGAACCCAATTATAAAAAATGAAAATATCCCACGCTCGACGCTATGGGCAGTATAGTGTGTGACACCGAACTTCTCCGACATGAATTCAAACCTTGCACCACATGACCCCTTAGCAGATCCTTCAACGCCCCTGTCTCCCATTCTCTGTTCTTTTCTTCTAGTTTCGTTAATTTCGTTAAATATCACATCCTGGTTTAAAATATGTTTTTGACTGTACAGTAATGGCTCATACGAAGGTCTCAAAGGGTTCACTTCATACAATGGTGTGCTGTTTCTTAAACCCCAACCGGAAACTACACTAAACTACTTTCGCTTAGTCTATATAATAAAATTGATTTATATCCACATCGTTACGTGAGGATTTGGCTCGGAATTGAAGGTAACGCCGATCATACATTCTTGCTGCTGCTAGGAATCTTGAACAATTTGTAATCACACTCCATCGAACCTGTCGAGGGTTTTGTGTTAAGAGAAAACTCCCGGGTGTAGTTCTACGTCACTACCTTCCTCTAGTACACATTAGGAATTTACTCGAAGATCTTCGGAACCCCGTGATATTGCCCGTAGATATAAAGGTACCGTTGTTTCCCAACTCCAGAAGCTACCAGGTGTCTCAATTCTCCCTTCCTGGCAATCTCCTTTACAATGCGGTTTCATTCGGTCTTGCTTTGGCTTGCCTGCCTCACCAGTACTGTCACGTCTTCTGTTATTTTAGGAAGAGACGACAAGACATTATATCTTCAAAGGGGTGTAGAGAGGGCAAAGAACATCATACCGGACTCAGAGAAATTCTTGAATAGCCCTGATCAGAAAAAGGTATCTACTATGAGTTTGTGACTCAAAGAATTTGAAGAAAAATAATAACCCTATTAGGCCAAGATCGTTTTGCGCGACATCAGTAGCGTACGCACATTCGCCAAATTTCAGGCATTGTCCATTCAAGACGCGGTACGGACCTTGCCAATATATTTGACCACATTAATTTTCAATTCTAACGCTTTCCAGCAGCACATTGATACTCCTGAATGCGATAAACTATCTTCTCTCTGGAAAAGTGTACGGACTGGAATCCCGCAGTTTTCGAACCACTAGAACACTAACACATGTTTTAAAAGTTATCTGACCATGTCATCGAAGCTTCCCCCATAATGAGTACTGTCGGATCGAATCCGAATTTGGCCTCCTGGACCGGCGGGATGACTAATAGCCTCAAGCGCGATATGGAGATCGATATTTTCCACATGCGTGCCGTCTTTGACACGACGGCCAATCCGGTTTTCTACCCACTGTTGCGTCAATTGCAAACTAAGTGCTCCGAGTTTGCTGAAGGTATCAACATAGAGGCTAAAAATGCTGTGCTGGCTTTGGATGAAGTGCAGAAATCCTTACCGGCAAAATGATGTTCGCTAGTGAGATTTCTCGGGCTTAATATATCATATTTTGAAATTGCATGAGTGACTCAACACGGCTGAAGGAGAATCACTTATCAATTCTGAGGAAGATGACCAAAGTCGTATTCGATAGATCGTAGATGCCATATGTGATAGGGTGCCTACGTTTCTACCAGCATGGAGAAAGGGTGCGAAAACAACGAATAACAACGTTGAAGGAAGAAGAGAGAGAGAGAGTTATGCTATGTATATGTAGGGAGTCTACTCTCGGACCAATTATATGATTGGTCTGTATCCGAGAGTGGGTCAAACTAAGCAAACGTCCAAACATAAACATGCCCGTCCCGAACCTTCTCCATATAGTTATACTACAAAAACACTATTTAAAACTTGTTGATCTGATATACACGCGCAATTGAGCAATGAATTACCCACAGGTGTTTTCGAACTGAAGTAGTTGTGTCCCAACGAGCCGTGGAACAGCCCTGGAGATTGACTGCGCTATATTTTGCTTGCCGAACAGTCTCCACTTTTGTAGATTAGGTTCATGTACGCACAAATCACGTCACCAATATATACCAGTCCGGTATGGTGTAGTGGCTAACATCGCTGTCTCTCACACAGCAGCCGGGGGTTCGATTCCCCCTACCGGAGTTTATTTTTGTCTTTTTGTCTTTTTGTCTTTTTGACCTCGACATATCTCAACTTGGGCGCGAATGGCTTTCTGAGTTGTTTGTCACTTTTTTTTTTAAAAGCCAAGCCAAATATACGACTGGCCGTAGACTGAGCACGCTATCTCACCAAAAAAAAGATATCTTTCCTACAAACAGCCAGCGACTTTGGTTGGAATTGTCTGTAGTGTATGTCCAAAAACCAAGTGCAACCCTTGGGCTGTGATATGTCTACTATCGTATGGGCAAGGTTTCTTTAACATGTTTGCCGATTAGGCATCAATTTCTACTTCGCGTTCTTATATCATGATATCAGTGCAGTGTGACTAGACAGGCTTAGCTGCATTGTATTATAAAAGAAGACCAATTGTCCAGAAAATAGCGTAGCGTGGACCTATCGTGCATATTCGTAAAACCTTGAAGTTCGTCGAACCCTATCATACTTCTATGGTATCCATAAACCACCCCTGGCCAAACAACCAAATTAATGCCAACGGGGACATGATGCGAGAAACGTTCTATCGCAGAAGACAAAGAAAAAAACAAAGGCAAAGCTCATGTATCAAAAAACGTGTATCTCTCTATGAATCGCTCTTGTTGTACTTAGGTCGCTCACTGATAACCTGTTGAGCCCAGGCTTGAATCTCAGGAAGCTGGACTTTGCTAGCGACGTATTCAAACTCTTGCAGGTCAACCCCGTGCGTGCGTTCATACTCGATGAATTGAAGCAGAAGCTCCATCTTATCGATATCATGCACAAACTGAGCTTCTGGCGTCTGATTATCCTCGTACTCTTGGAACACGCGCATAATTTCGGCTCCCGACAATGCGCCACCAGGCACATTCCCCAACAAGGTCTTAACAATGTAATCCATTGTCTCGCCCTCGCGACGAGCTTTCTCAGACTTGGTGACGTTATCAGCTGGGGTGATATCGCCGACTAGCGACTCAGCCATATCGTGGATCAGAGCCATCTTGGTACAGTGCGGGATGTTGAGCTTAGAGGCCAGCTCGGGCGGGGCAAGCATCGTCATGATCGACATGCGGTACATATGGTCCGAGATCGATTCGCCATGGCTGATTCCGAACCGGCGCCAACCTTCGCGTTTGGTTGTCTTTAGGCGCTCAATGAGATGGAAGAATGCGACAGGCGAAGTGGAGTTTTCCTCCGGAGGGTGGGGGAGAGTAGACAGCGCTGGAGAGAGTTTGTTAGCTCTGATGATCTATTGAGACTGGGTGATAAACATACCGGTCTGTGGGGACCAAGAAGAATCGTCTGACCCCATGGCTGGTAACGAATGTCAAGAGAAAGCAAACAAGAGCTTGATTAGAACGAGAAAAATGATTTAAAGGAGGGAACTGGAACAAAGGAAAGACAAAACCATGGAAATTGCGGGACTGGATTGATAGGCGCAAACAAACAGTGCAAACCCCCGTTATCGCATTGTTGACAATCCACGGCTCGTTTACAAACTAAACTGTCTCTATTCGCTATCACCGCGCAATATGGCTGCTCCAAGGCCTGCGCGCCCGAAACCCCTGGAATGGAATGGTCCGTCGTACCAGGCCATCTTCATTCGAAATTTAAAGTTGCTACACCTGGACCAGCGCGAAGATTGGCCTGATATCACCCTCCGCTCCTTATCGTCGTCATCCGCCAACCAGCGACAACGGATCCGTTTGGTGGAATGGGCTCTGTATTATTTGTTCAATATTTGGGACCCTGAGAGTGCACTAAATGTATGATGTCTTTCGAGCTTGAATAACCAGAAGAAAAGTCGCCGCTAACATATACTCAGAAACTCCGTCCCTTTTTCCCACCGCTAGAACCTCTACAATCTGTCAACCTCCGCGCAGCGCTCTTCCGTGCCTTGACCGAATTGAAAAAGAATGGAGATCTGGGCCGAGAAACGATTCTTCGAAAGACAATGCTAGACGATTGTAAAGGCGAAAAATTCGATGAGTTACTCGCGGTCTTCTCCACAGCAGTTTTGCGCAAACTCCTGGCGGTGTCCGCGTCCGATGCGCAATGGAGTACTGCCATGAAGCTGTCGACTGCCACGTCAATTTCCACGATCGACTATCAGAATATGATACCGCTTGTAATTGCCCACCAGGTTTCCCTCAGTGCCACAGGGGAGCGTCGCGCACGAGTACACGATGCGTACGATCAATTTTCGCGACTGTTGGACGATAAGAAGGCCGAGCTTGCAGAGCGTGCGAAAAAAGGCTTAGTTGAAGATGTATCACAAGCGCAAGTTGGCTCTGAAGCTATGGAGCGCGAGCTTCGAGCCAATTGGTTGGGTAGTGAGGAGTGGGCTTCTGCTTTGCTTGATGGAGGAGCACAGAGCGCCACGGATTCTTTTCTGGAACTTCCATTTTCAAAAGCTTGGAAAACAGCTACAGAGTCATCTGTGAATAGTCTCAGCGGTAGTGCGAAACAAGATTTGGTTGTTGATCTTGAGACACGAGTGCGACGACTTCGCAGCCGACTACGTAGGTGGCATGAGTTCAATGATTCGCTGCGTAAAGAGCGCGGTGCTTCTGGGACCATTAATGGTGCAGGCTCACAAGGGACTTGTTTACTGTTTCGCGATCATCAGCCGCTGACGGTAGCAAGCATCTCCAAAGCTGTACGGCAACCCGCAGACCGAGGACGGGCTTTGAAAGACGACGACAAATCATTCATTTTGACTGTGAATGAGGCAATCTCCCGAATAAACGGCAAACCTCGCGGAAATAGGGGTCGGAGTTCCCCAAACAATTTCGATTCACCATCACCAGTAAACTACAACACACACACAAGCAAGTCACTGGAATCACCAGTAGTGGAAGCGGCGGCCGCACCCAGCACATACCCCGAACCCTTAAATCAAACTCCTGAGCTAGAAAAATCGCAAGCCCAAACTCCGACTGTTCGTCTTTCTCCTGAACCAGAAGACACCTATGACCCCGAGCCAAACTTTGAACCTGTGAAACAGAGATCCTCATCATACTATACGCTCGCTGAGCGCACCCGCAAATCGATGTCCCTCATCCCACCACTCCCATCACACGAAGCGCCTACACACCCCCGCCAACGCCGTGGCCCGCGGGTCTCCTTTCCAGTGAACCAATTTCAGACACCTCGGAAGTCTTCTGGAAACGGGAGATCAGGTGCTTCCACCCCACAAGACAAACTCTTCGAAGAAGATGCGGAATACAACAGTGTCTTCAAATCACGGCCACGAATCGCCTGTAGTCCTATCTCATCCCCAGCGGTGCATGTCAGTCCCTCTTTTGATGAAGATGAAGGATTTGACCTGGACAATGATGGTACAGAATGGGCAGACGTAGATTCTCCGTCGGTTGCCTCGAGATATAGATAACCGATAAGACATTCGATTGGTCTTGGACATGCCACAAATGTTATAAAATGCACATACTATTCTTACATACACTTGCCCTTGAACTCCCTGGACGATTGATCCTCTAATTTCTCCTCCGTTCAATGCTGTACATATTGGGCTTCATTGGGCTTCATGCCTCCCTCATGGAACTCCGTCCTGGTCGAATCACAATCTTCCCGCACCTCGATAACATCGATATGGAATGCATCTTGTTTGGCAGTAGTCCCGGTTGACCCAAGCTGTAGCAGTCAGCAAAAATGAATCACAGGCCAAGCAAATAGATACCAGGTGCGACCATTTGAAAATGAACTGCTGAATTTGAAGCCTTTGAGAGCCAGCTTGATAACTTTGGCTACTTACATCTATTCCCGTAGAGCTCTCAAGATCCGTATCCTTATGGCTACCCCGGGTGCGGTACCGGAAGACTCTCAATAGCAGATTGGTCAAGGCTTCGATAGGGTACCATATTATTTGTAGAGAAAAAAACATCGTTTTATTTGTGAAGCGATGTTTAACAAGAAAAGTTGTCCTCGACAGGGGGAGACCTCAAGGCTCGGTATTGATGCTTGTCTGATGCAAGGGATTATTGCAAACTATGCAAAATCAAGCAGGGGCTTTGTATATCACTGAATTGGCCAATGTGAAGTAGTACAATGACTGATGATATCTATGTTACAACGATTGAAAAATAATTCTGTAGGTTCATTTAGAAATGTTTTTGGTACATTAGGTCGTGTTGAGGTATCCGATGTCAATATTTGGGCCAATAGATGTTTCATTTCTTCCGTAATCCGAGACTCCGGAGATACTTTGAGATACTTGTGAGACAGGTCATTTGAGTCACTCTATGAAGTGTAGAAAATTCATGAAATAGATGGAAAGTTGATAGATATAGATTATATAGACGAGTCCGTGGTTGTCAGTTATATTGTAATTTGGGGAGTCTGAACTAGAAGTGCGTAATTACTTGACACTAAAGTACATCATAAAATTGCAAGGTTCAACTTGAGAATGTTGTGCAACCGAAGAGCGGGGATTGCGTCTCGCAGATTTCTTCAATCAAAAGGCGCATAGAAGCTAAATCGATGTTCAGGATCATACTTCTCCTTCAATGCCCTTAACTTCTCCAAGCGCCACGGCTCATACCCATACCAACTCCTCGGGCCCTCATTACCAGCAGCATAATTAACATATGAGTACATATGCTCTTGCCCACTGCCCTTGAAAAGGATCTGTCTCATGTTCTCACCGAGATCCCAGGCTTTGGTATCCAGTCCTTCACCATCGGGCTTGTAGACTAGGTATGAGGAAATTAAAAGATTCGCGTCGCGATTTGGAACAGCAGTTGAGTCGGCCGGAATGACCTTTACACCTTGGATCGAGTATCCTTCCAGGAGAAACAATGAGGCTGCTAATGCGGGAGCCTCGTTTGCTGTTTTAGAGAAGAGATCAAAAGCAGCATGCTGTGCTGTGGGATTGAACTCCTGAAGGTCCACGGGGAAGCGGAGCTGAGTGTTGCCTTCTTTTTGACAGGGCGGCGAGGTCTCTTCCATTCGAAGCCATTTTGCTATATCAGTGTATGTGCCTTATTGCTGTCTGAAATTATGGGACCAAGATTGGTGAATGGATCTGTATATTCAGAGCCGACGGCTTCTTTACCCTCGCGCAGTATGAAGAATATGACGACAGACTTGAGGAGTCATTGATGTTAATAGCTGTGCATGTCGAGTCAGAGAAGTATTTGGAATTCACCTCACATTTTCGGGATCGATGGCTGGAATATTCGTAAAAAACGAAAAGGAGATAATATCTTGCGGTTGATCAGGTAGGAGCATCTCGTTAATGGTCTCATACAGAACCTCAACTTTGTCATGAGTGAATATGAAGTTTGTATATGACCAGAGACCATTGTGAGGGACATCACAGATTTTCGATGTGATTGAGGTGACAACACCGAAGTTATGACCTGCACCCTTCATACCCCACCAGAGATCGGAATTTTCGTCGACGGTAATAAGGGTACCATTGGCAAGAACCATATCCAATGATACAAATTGGTCTGCTACGAGGCGATAATTTGCCTGAAGGGCTCCATGGCCTCCTCCAAGCCCTGGACCAATAAGGCTTGTACATTCGCAGATACCAGTCACTATTATCAAAGTATTTTAGAGGAAAGCAAATTTCACATCAAGCATTGCGTATTAAAAAAGTACCTGTCTGCTTGTTCTCAGCCCATAAAGTCTCAGTAATATGCTTCGACGGTGCCCCACCCCCAATAGTAGCGGTTGAGCCATCTTTAGCTATAGAAATTGAGTTGAGTTGATTAAGCCATATTTGAATGCCGTTGTTTACAGCCTCGAGGGAGCTGATTGCACCATGACCTCCATTAACAGCAAGAAATGGCAGGCTATGGGTATTGGCGTATTTGATCTAGTGAATTGAGCAATCTTCCATTCACGTGCTGATATTAATTCTCTGAAGTCACTCACTGTTTCTGCAACATCATTCTCGTTCGCAACCTCCACAACGACGCTTATGTTAGGCGTACCCAACGTCGACCACCGGTTCGTGCTTTCGAGAAACCCCTCTGATCTGGGAAAATGAATATTCGCGTTCGGTGAAAGGAACGATCCGAGCTCGGAAGCTATGTCGCCTCTACTACATAGCCGATTCACCCATGCTAGTTCTGTAGTAGGTGATAAGGTGGAGCAAAAACTTCCAACTAGACCAGCCACGGCCACTGCGACGAACTCCATGGTACCAGGTATCTTTGTTTCTTTCCCTGCAATGTGATATACGAAGTATTTAGGAGGAGTTCCGGAAATAACTCCATAAATACATCGATGCTGGCCCGCGAGCTTTTAGCACACTGTGACACCAACCCCTCCTCCCCCTTCACCGCCTGTAACACATATGCCTTTAACGAGTATCTCATCAGCAATTCCCCTCAGCACATGATTTTCTTCTGTCAAATGTACCATAGCCTATTCTTTCGAAATTACATCGCTGGTCTTTTTATATACATCCTCTGCTCAGACTTGTAGAAATAGTATATATAGGCTCATCAACTATCCCGTGGGAACTCTATAAAAAGTATACATAATTTCTGTAGCGATTAATCCATAAGAATCTACCAAGAACTACCTGGGCAGGCTTTTTGGCTTAGTGAGGTATCCAACAATTTCCAATAAGATCATCACTCCATATATCAAGCATCAGATAATTCTCTCCCCTCCAGATGTCCATAATCATCATCTTTCCAATACATAAGCCTTCCAGCCTCGAGAAATCTCACCATATGCGCATATTCAACTTTAGGAAAAAGACCTATCTCGGATATATTCAGCCGTATAAGCTCTTTCAAATGTTACTATCGCTAGGATCCCACATTATCTTCTCGATATAGAAGATACCTATCCAGAAGTTTATTTTTCTCACAAAAGCCAATATTTCAAGTTTGCAATAGGTCGTCTCTAACGGGGAAGCATTTCTTGCATGGTAGGCAACCTTGGAAGTCAGGTTTGGGTAAACTTCATCTTAATACCAGAAAGGCCTTTTATATTTCTCAGGTTTTCCTGTGATGAGGTCCCGGCCGTGTTGAAATTTCTCGATATGCTCAAAAAGATCATCCCTATCGAAGAATTTTTTCTTGCATGCTAGGCAGGTCAGCCATGAATCGACTTTTGGGATTTTATATCCAGGAGGCATCCCGTATTTCTCAGGCTTTCCAGTAGCCAGATCCCGGCCGTGCTGAAATCTTTCGAGATGTTTGAACAGGTCCAGCCTATTTGAGAAGCTGGTTCCACAAGCTAGGCACGTCAAGTATGGGTCTACGTAGCCATCCTCGCCATAATCACTTGGTGTTGAGACTGTCGCTTTCGTCGATCCCCATCCTGCAGAGCCATCATTGGATACATTATCCTCTATTTCAACCTCTTTACTGGTGCTGTATGCAAACTGACTGTGTTTTGTCTGTTTGTGATCAAATAGTTCACTGGCAGATTTGAAAGTGTGGTAGCAATCGTGACATTGCATGTCGGATGTCTTCAAGTCTTTGATTTGCTGAGTCAAATTCTCAACAGCTCGGTTGCTTTGTCCTTGCATACTTTGAAAGCTCTCCTGGTATTGCTGCATCATCTGCTCAACCACTTCACGATGTCTGTGACGTTCATTCTCCAGTTGCGACAATTGTTCTCTTTCTTTCTGGCGCATCTTTTGCTCAAATTCTTCACGTTGCCTGCGAACCTCAGTCTCCTGCTCCAGGAGTCGTTCTTCTAGTTGCTTCAATTTCTTTTCGTGCATCCTCTCCATACTAATCTTGAGCTCCTGGATATCTGCGTCCCTGCGTTGAAGTTCCTTGGCTTGTTTCTCTTGGTCTGCCCGTAGAATATCTCTCATTTCTTGGTCCTTTTCTTCTTGAATCTCCCGAGCTCTCTCAATTAACTCCTGTTGCATTTTCTCACGTTCTTTCTGTAACTCGCTTTGTAGCTCCTGACCGGCGGATGTTTGATCCAGATCCTTATGTGAATCTACCATCTCAGTCTGGATGGCTAACTTTATTTCTTCTGGTGGCTTAGCCGTATCAGAAGGTATAAAGTTCTGTATCGCGGTCGTCGCTGAGATATCAGTGTTCCAATGTCTCTGCACTTGGGCACCCCTGTCGACAAAATATCCCCAGAAATCTTCCGTGGTCATCAACGTCTTTTCACGTGTTTCTCCAACAGCTGCCTCCACCCTTTCCCAAAATGTGGTGAGAAATATCACATTCTTGACGCCTTCGGGGCCACAAAGCTTTTTGAACATGATAAGATTGCGGTGCGCACACCCTCCCATACGGTTGTCAGATATTCGATGCAGGTAGAGAATGCCACTCAAGTGGATAGCATTCTTGTAAGTCGTTGTCAACCAGGTGGCGATTTCTTTGAGAATGTCTGTATCTTTCCGGTTGGTGTCGTCAAAGCCCGGGGTGTCAACAAGAAAGACGTTGGTGTGAGGAGGGAAGCCTTTGCATCGATAGACTTGCACTTCCTGGGTACCTATCTATAGTATAAGCATTTGATTTTCTTATCAATGAATTTGAAGTCTATTTAAGTCAAACCTACAAGATTGCAGAGCACTGGGGTCACTTATCTCAACTTTCGTGTCCGTGCAATGCGAAATGAAGGTACTCTTTCCCGCACCAGTCATGCCCATGACCGCAATGAAGATGTTTCGCTGCGCGGATTGCAATGATTCCTTTGAGATCTGCCCATTGACTACAAGCAATTGGCTATCATTTCCTGGGGTATGGATAGTCATGATGGTGCGCTTGGATTGAAGAGACGTACAAGGTGACAAGTTGAGTGAATATAAAGTAGGATTACATGGTGGAGCCTGTGGGGCCTATTAAGTATGCTTAGAGGTATTTTGCGGCTGATTGGCGACTTACCTCGTTCGCAATGAACTACTTTAGCGTGCTCACACGGGCCGAAACCCAATAACGGATCTCACGTCAGATCCTTGCCCATTCGTTGTACTCGTATAGCCGCATCGCACTTGGAAGGGGCTCAACTCAGTAAAGAATAACCGACCCCGCAATTTTCTCAGGTCCCATTGGTGGCCTCTCCTACACCTGGTTATTAATTTTAGCATGTTTCTCAGCTTCATCTGCACACTGCTTGTTTTGGAGAAAGCCACCAGATAGCAAAAATCAGTTAGCTCATCACTTGGCTCCACCTCCTTTCCCTTCTGATCCGTGATGTTACCTCAGGGCGCTCCATTCATGCAAGCCTGACACCATAAGGGGGTGTGACTGAGCATGACTTTGATCGCGAAAAAGCAATTCCATCGGTCTTTCTAATCTTGTCTTAGGCTAAGACACAGCCGGCTACAGCCACTTGTGGGGCGGAGCAGTTTCTGTGACTTAAGTGATTTTATTTAAGAGGCGCCCGTTGAGAAAACACGAAGTTCTTGGCCAACTCAATACATCGCTCTTTGAAAATCTATTTGACTTCTGTTCACTACCCTAAGATACTTGGATGTCAAGATCGCCGCTATGAGTCAAGATATGGCAGAGTATGTTACCATGACACTTTGTTCTAGTACCTTGATTAACGCCCCATAGGATCTCAGACAAATCCCCGTGCAGCATAGTACTTGTGATGGGTATCACCGGTGTCGGGAAAAGCACATTCATATCAAAACTTATAGGAGACGATACTGGCATTGGACATGACTTGACATCGTGTGAGTACCGTGCAAAGTCTACCTACCATCTTGTTTATCAACGTTAATAAGCAGTTTAGATACCCAGGGTGTCCAATTCCATAGCATGGAAATCAAGGGCCGCGCTATATATTTGGTGGATACACCAGGATTCAACGACACATATCGCTCGGACTTTGAGATTTTTTCGGAAATTGCCTTCATTTTATCTCAGATCTATCGACGAGGCCTGAAGATAGCAGGCATTCTATATCTGCATCGTATCTCCGATAATAGAATTTCAGGATCGACTTTGAGGAATTTTAAACTCTTGGAGACCATGTATGGCATGGATGCTGCACACCGGGTGTTCCTGGTCACTACTATGTGGGGCTCGTCAAAGGATGAACAATGTGAGGCAGCACTTCGAGAATCGCGATTATTGACTACAAGGCAGTTTTGGGGAAGGTTTTCTGAACAGGGCAGTCAGACAAAGCGATGGCGTGGTGATGAGTGGTCCGCTCTCTCAATCGTCGATGCACTGATATCATTGGGTGATGAGGGAGGATACAAGCCTCTTCTCATCCAGAGAGAGCTCGTTGACGAGGGAAAGCCCCTGAAAGAGACTACTGCTGGGTTGGAGCTTATGTCCGAGTACACAATAGCCGAGAAGGGCTTGTCCGAGGAAATACGCTTGCTTCGATCGGAAGAGTCAGTCTCGCAGCATGATGTCGAGGCCGCTATCTCGGAAATAACCAGGGAGATCAGGGAGATGAGACAAGCGCAGGAGAAACTTAAAGTGTCAACTCGAAAGCTATTCATCGAGAAAGAACGTTCTTATGGCAAAGTGCTCTCAAAAATCCGCGACGAACAGCAGAAGCTTTCGGGTGAGCTTCAGGAACAGAGAGAGAGATACGCACGATTGCAAAACGAGATAAAAAGCAACGATAAGCTACGTATCGACGAGCACCGCTACTGGAGCCAGAAACGAGCAAACCTTGAAGATCAGGCACGAATGGGTCGTCGCAGGAGAGACAGCATTGAAGTGGAATGCCAGAAAATTGACGAGGAGGAATCCGTGCTGAACGAGCATCTGATTGAATTCGAAAATGAAAATGAAAGCAGCATCTCACAAGTTTCACATGACATACAGGAGTTGAGAAAAAGAGACGTTGTGAAGCGGAATATACTCCCACTGTTGGGACTTTTAGCAGGAGTGGGCCTCACCGCTGCTGGTGCTGTGACAGGATTAGTACCTCTGGCGGGAGCTGGGGTGGGATTGACTATCAGTAGCGCGAGTGAGATAAAGTTCTCCCGAAATATTCGACATCAAGGACCATATGAGAACTCCCATGGGTCATTTGTATCGAACTCGTCCACGGCAGCTTTCAACGGAGCACAAATTTCGGACATTCTCTTGAGTGGTAGTAAATGACATAGGTTCAATAGGGGAGTCTCTTGTGTAGAAAGGATCGGTGGGAGCCAAGAATCGGCTGGACGTGAGGGTTCGCTCACAAATGTAGAGGGGTAAGAATATTGTTTTGGCGGATCCATCATGAGCGGCCGGTGCTCGGGCCGCGCTGGCGATACGCCCGGTCAGGATACACATGATGGATGGAGATCCTGTGTCCAACTTCGGAGTTTAGTCACTGTAGGAGACAAACCAGGGAAAATAGGCTACACGCCAGTCACTTAATAGTATGGTGGATGCCGGTGTGGCCAAATGAGAATCCTGACTATTGTACGTTTTGATTTTTGCATTTTTTTGCATTTTCTTGATTTATTTTATCTCTTTTATTTGTCTAGAAGTTTGCGAATTTCCGTTTCGATTGACTTGACTGATACTACTGGTCAATAATCTTCTTTTTGCGATGAGTGGACATGAACAAGAATTGGTATTGCGTGGAAGAAATGGAGGCCCCCAACTCCCGATCTACATCGCAGACCAATGGTATGTGATGTGTATTCTTTGTTGTGAGAAGTGCGAGCCACTAGAACAACTCTAAAAATGACCTGTATGCATATGAAATTAGTTAGGAGCCACACTGAGCTGTTCGAATGTCTTAACAAATCATTTTGCGACTGTCTGGTTGAATTGGTTCAATTCTAGAGCCTGGGAGATCCTTCCGATGGATTAAGATGGCCGAAGGCTGGAGGCATCTTCATAATGAGATACATCTATCACATTGAATATCATTCCATCGTAAGAGGTAGTATTTTTGAACAGACAGCCTGTGTACGGCTACGGCCATAACTTGAGGTTATGCCGATTGAACCAGGATTCATGAATGCCAAGTTTTCAATATTATTCTGCAGTCTTCCTGAAATTTGGAATATCGAGAAACATCAAGTGATTCTAACCCCGGGATTTCTTCCAAACATGAGAAGCAGTCGTGGGGACTAGGAGCCATAGCAATCCTAGTAAAAAGTGAAAATGTTGGACAGAAACACAAATCAGAGCAAAACAAAGCCAAAAACCAAACGGAAAAACCGAAATAGAGCGCCGACATTAGGGTGATGCCCGATATTTCCTGAAATCCAGCAAGACTGGAGTATGACTCGCTCAACTTAAAGACCGAGCTCCGCGATTTAGCGGCGATCATTGTTGTCGGCTCGGCCGTTCAGGGGCGGACCGGACGCCGAGCGGATTCTGTGCGTTCTATTTACACCAATAGCATGTCACTCAAAATCCAATAGCCTACCACTCAAAACTCAAAATGTGCCCAAACTAAAGTAGACTAGGTAGCCTTTAAGCCCTCAAGTGGAGAACGGCACAATGAAGCCGTGGAGGCTACATGGAACCAAAAATTGAAGTTAATAGTTCTACCAAACCATGGCTAGTAAAGGTTACGGCATGGATAAATAGCATATTCCTTACTACTTTTAATCTGAGCTGTAAACATGTTCGATCGAGTCGAATTTGAGTTCTATATAGTCGCGCAACATGATCATCTTCACAGGACCATCCCTAAGTGCTGTACTACTTCCAAGATTATGGCGCATGGTACACGTAGAGTAAAAGTTGGAATAGTGAAATCGATGACGTTTCTCAAATGCAACTAGAAGTATGTTCGAGTGAGGGATATGGCTTCGTTATCATGAAAGTTGGTTGGTGGATATTCAGTCCCACCCACACTGCATACTACATCACCCTTGCAGACGGAGATTTAGAACCACGTGGACTCGGGAGTTCGGAGGTTGCAACACCGTCAACTAGTTTGACGATGCAGCAAATAGGCCTCTCAGTTTTCAATAATATAAAGCTCCAAAGAATATCGTCTAGAATATAACTATATTCAATTAAATCAGAGTAAAAAAGTACACATCAACCATGCTTTCTCTAACCAGCTTTCCTGCTCTTATCATCGTCATATTATGTATAGTAAGTTTGGAGACCTTCCATCAATCATATACCTCAGGTATATCCAGCTTTAATTGTTTTCAAGCTACTCATATCTAAATGCTTTATTCAGCGGATTATCTATCAAAGATTAACAAATCCACTGGCGAAATTGCCGGGACCCGAGATCTCGAAATGGACAGACCTCGTTTATCTATATTATTGGTTCGCTGGAAAGGTTCCTTATTATGTTCATCATCTGCATAAGACATACGGTAAGAAAACCATTCGTTTGATATCGAATTTTCAAAATAACTTTCAAATGCTCAATAAAGGATCTTAGGCCCCGTTGTTCGCACAAGCACCACCCAAGTGGATATCTGTGACGTTGGCGCAGCACGAGAAATCCATAAAACAAACACCAAATTCCTGAAATCCAAGTTCTACGAAGCAATTATCGCAAAGGGTATCGAGAATGTTTTCAACACAACGGACCCAAAATTCCATTCTAATCGCCGTCGTCTACTGGCCACCCCTATTTCCGATTCATCCCTAAGCAAGCATCAGCCTTTAATATCAGGCCGAATCCAGCTAGCCGTGGATAAGATGGCCGAGGAAATCAAATCTACAGGCGCGACAGACATCTTCAAATGGTGGTTGTTCATGGCAACCGATGTCATCGGGGAGCTAAGCTTTGGCGAGTCATTCCGGATGCTAGAAAGGGGAGAGGTATAGTTATACTCAACGGTCATAACCTGTCAAGTGATGCTAATAATCTCTGACAGAAAAATCAATATACTAGGGACTTAGAAAGTGTATCAAGTCTCCAGCCCATCAAAACTACATTCCCCAACATGGTCGACATTGCCCGCCGCTTGCCAATTCCAATATTTCAGAAAGCAGGCCAAACGACGAACAGAATGATCTCATACGCCGTTCAATCACTAGATCGATACGCAACGCACGTAGCAGAGAACCCAGATAACCACAAGCCATCTCTTTTCACCAAGCTTCTGGACCCGGAGAAAAGCGGACTATCTCGACTGGAAATCGTCCGTGAAGCTCAAGGATACATCGTCGCAGGAAGCGATACCACAGCTGTAACGCTTACTTATCTTGTTTACTCTGTCTGTCGAGATATCCGTGTTCGAGATCGTCTGGTAGCTGAGTTGGCATCTCTTCCACAACCTATCGAGGACAGAAATCTTCGTGATCTACCATACCTGAATCAGGTTATCAACGAGACGCTGCGACTGCATACTGCTGTGCCGTTTGGGTTGCCGCGTGCTGTACCGGCCGAGGGGGCTACCCTTAAAGATGAATTTATTCCTGGTGGAGCGACTATATCGACGCAGTCATATAGTCTTCATCGGGATCCTGAGATTTTTCCTGACCCTGAAAGGTATGTGAATAGGACATTCTCATTCAAGTTGATACCTTGAAACTTAATACTGATATACCTAAACAGATTTTATCCTGAGCGATGGGAGAACCCGACTAAAGACATGAAAGATGCTTCCATACCGTTTGGAGGCGGATCGCGAAGTAAGTGAACTTCATTGAAGAAACACAATTTTTAGGGCTTCAGCTAATTCAATTTTTAGTTTGCATCGGTATGCACCTTGCTCGTATTGAGCTTCGATTAGCGACGGCTCTATTTTTTAACAGGTTCCCGAACGCATCTATTTCGGCGAAGGATGGAATGAGTGATGAAGATATGATAATGAAGGCGTTTTTCCTAATGGCACCTCAAGGACACCGCTGCCTAGTACAGAATTGAGGGTCTTTTTGTCCAATGTTGTTGATACTCCTGGGAGCGATACTATCTCGGACGAGTATAGGCTCACTGACCGTGGACAGCTTTATTGTATTGGTGTCCAGGTGTTACATCATTGCCCTCAAATGCTATATCTGTAATAATGTAATATTTTGAATCAGAATATCAATGTAAAATATTCAATGTTTGAACACACGATTTTCATCTTCAGGTAACATATTTCTGGATGCTCTGTCTGGATGCTCTGACTCGAGACAATTTAGACTCAAATATATCGTAAATTAAAGACATAGTGACCACGGAGACAGCGTACTGTAGATAGTAAAGCATGATCGTCAATATTCCACTATTTGAATGGTATCATTAAGCTAATAGTACACAGTGTAAGCAATTAACCACCTCGTCGACGACGACGTGTGTTGCCCCGAGTTGGCGGAGCATAATCGGGCTCCGTATCATCGTCGTCAGCATCCGATGAAGGTATTGATATTGGTAAAGATAGATTCCCAGATTCGCCTTCGCGATTAGATTCAGGGGGATGTTCATTACCTTTTTCTGGATCATCTTGATGATGCTCAACGACCAAACCATCATATCCTTCATCATCACCCTCACCAGGCAGTAGAAATCCACCACCCGTATCAGCAGCATCATGGTCAGGTTCATCATCGTGAAAACGGCGCTCATCAACAGACTCTATAGCACCATGGGGATTATTCTTCCGTGTCGCTGCAAAGGGATTTTGAGCTTCTCGCTCATCATCATCTGCGGGATCATTTCCTCCATATTCTTCTCGTACACGCTCCGCAATCCGCAATCCAAACAAGAATTTACGCCAAGTCTGCAGAATACGTTTCTCGGCCTTCAGCTCTTCACGCTTGCGTTTTTCAGCAGCTTCCACACGCCAGGCATCTTTGAGCAAGTCCTCGTTTTCAGCTGCGACCACCACTCCCTGTATGACTGGTACTGCCATCTTGGACCCGAATTCGAAGCCAGTAACTGCCTCCGCATAGTCAATCCCAAGCTTTTTGCAGACCCTTACAGTACCCGGGTACGGAACATGGGCAGCACCACGAGGTACCATGCTCGGAACGAAGCAGTCAATGTTTCCGTAGTTATTTTTGGGAATGATTCCATCCTGGATAGGCGGTGGGATGATGTACTCTGTTTGATTACGAGTGTAAAGGCCTTGCAGCGGTTTTTCACCCGTTGCACGTTGTTGCTCCTCTACCTCACGCTTGCGGATGAGAGTAACAGCTCGGATGGGAACTCGCTTAAGCGGAGCGGCACCGGGTACGATTTGTCGTCCTTCTTTGTGCCAACTCTCTGCTGACATGCATTTGACCACGTCCGCTCGTCGAAATACGGGCTCTTCTTTTGCGCGGGCTCCTTTGCCCGCTATGAACGTTCGTACGGACTCTGCGCCCGGTTTGAGTGCTTCCTCGCGACGGAGAAATCGTTCGAGTACAAATTCTGTTGATGTGCGGAGGCTTTGGAGTGTATCGCTTGCTTGGGCTGGTTTCTTCTTCTCGGGTTGTTTTCGCTGAAGGTCCGTTGTATCTTCTAATCTATCGACCTCGGTTCTTTTGTTTGGAGGTCTTTCGTAGCCACGCATTACCACCCGGAACCAGTCGAATTCAAGGTACTGGCCGCGTAAACCTGGAAGTGGGATCTTTTCGACCGGCATGCGGAAACCTTTCGTTTTGCTAGGCCATGTACGTCGTTTGAGATATCGCGTGGTGACGTCTTTGGCAGTTCCATCAGCGGAGTGAGCGATAACGTAGCATATTACCTGCTTAGCCCGCTCAGCTTTGGCGCCACGTGGTTCAAATGACGCCTGAAGATCGGCTGTTGGTGCTAATGGATTGGAAAGAACCAGAGGGTCAACCGATACGATCGCATTAGTGACCGGGGAAGCGACTTCTGTCCAGTAGATAGGGAAGGGAAGGTCGGCATCGTATTTGCTGGATTTTTTTTTCTTCGTCGATTGTAATGTTTCGGATTCGGATTCACATCCTGATTCCGACCCGTCGGAGTTGCCTGCGGCGCCAGCGCCGGGGCTTTCTTCTTCTTGCTTCTCCTTTTTCTCTTCTTGTTTTGCCTTGGGTGAGGTATAAATTTCAGCTTTGGTCCAACCAAAGCCCAGCGGTTGTAGATTTGCTACTAGCCTCGCTTCGATCCCTAACGCTCTTATCAAGGCCGTGAATAATTGAGCTCCAACGTCGCGAGAGCCCTCCATACGCTCTGCTGTTGCTCGAAACTCTGGAAGATTTGCAATACGTTCCCCGTGTCGGTCGGAATCATGGTCTTCCTTGTGAAAGTCCTTTAGAATTTCTTGTAACGAAGCGACCGAGCGATAGCCATGTTTCCGTAGCCCAGGTGCTGAGATGCGAAACTGCTTCCTCCAATAGGCCACAAGCACTTTCAGGAGAATGAGTATTGGATCGCCTCGACTCATATCGGGCTGCCCAGGTTCCAGGCGCTCCGATTCATCGCCCCAATCTTCCTTCTTTCGAGCCTGTTTTCCTTTCTTTTTCGATTTAGGCGGCTCCGGCTTCTTCTCCGGTAGCTCTAGCCCGGACGCGATTTTCCATTTCTTCACTTCCTTTTGTATTCCTTCCGGTAGTTTGTTGCGTAGAGTTTCGTGTACCTTTTTATCATTGATCCAGGCATTACGAATGGCATTGTGAAAGAGCAAACACTGGACATGTATACAATGCGATTGAATGCGAATGTGACGCTCGATCTTGCTGGGACCTTTCTTTGGATCTGTCAGATCGACAATAGGCGCCTCATTTTTGTCCAGTGTCAATTCTAGATCTTCGTATTCCGGGACGGCCAGCGTCATCGGGGTATTCGAGCTTGTCTTAGTATCGATGGCATCTTCCCAATCGATTTCGTCATCGTCTGAATCTTCCTCGTCATCGGACTCCGGTATCCCTGCCGGCACGGGCGTCACCTTCGCTGAGCTTTCGAGGTCCTCGGGGACATCACTGAGGGGTGAGTCGGAATCAGAGTCGGAGCTCGAGCTTGAATTATCGGGGAAGGGCTTGGCAGGGTTATTCGTATCGGCCTGGGCCTGGCGTTTGGCCGGGGGCGGGTCCTCGGAGGAGAAGCGCTTGCGGGGGACGAACGGCGGCATGCGCGGGACGGAGGTGATGGTTTGAAAGGGTCTAGTCGTTATGGAGGAAATGAGACCACGTTGTGGAGACTGGTAGATGAATCGTGGAAGCGTGGAAAAGTCAATCAGCTCCGAAGCTACCGGGCGGAGAAGGGAGATGAGCGAAAGAATGCGACATGTAATAAAGATGGTCAATGTTCGGCAGGTGCCGAGGTCGGGTTTCTTTTCCCTTCAACTTCACCTTCACCTTTTTACACTTTCACTTCCTTTAAGCTCTCCTTGTCTACGCTCACATTGGAATTATTTCTTCTATTTCTTAATCAATTCTTACTACTACCACTGGAACCCCCATAATGGAAGCTGTTAAGCGATTCTTCTCTTCCCCGCGTTTTGCCGTCGCGGGTGCCAGCAATGACACCCATAAATTCGGCTACAAGAGTATATATCTCTCTCAATAAGACGACAGTTACTGCATTCAGTTTACTAATAATTACAAATGCAGTCCTCGCATGGTACCACCAGCACTCGTTACCAGTCACACCCCTCAATCCCCGAGCTGCGCAGATCTCCCTCCCATCGCGTGCTTACGATACTGTCCCCTCACCAAGTGGACTCCCTTCGCCCACCCAGACTTCATTGTCTGTTGTGACTCCTCCAGCAGTGACCCTAAAGTTACTTCAGGAAGCCCATTCTGTAGGTATTCCTGCCGTGTGGCTGCAGCCTGGTACCTTCGACGACGCTGTCCTTGATTTTGCGCGGGGTCATTTTGAGGCGGTGATTGCGGGCGATGGTGGATTAGGTGGAGAAGGCTGGTGTGTGTTGGTGGATGGAGATGATGGACTTGATGCGGCTGGCGTTCGATGGACTAGCCAGCGACTGTAATCCACTTCATGGGTCTGATATCTGCTGATGGAATTGCGGCTCTCGGGTTCAACTTATAGAAAGGAATTTAAGAAGCTGAATATAGTATCATGATGAACAGTGCACGCAGAATCTCGAGCTTATAATATGGTTGGGCCGACAGCGATTTGACTGCTTGATCAATGAATATTCTGTAAATCATCATTCGTTAGCAATCACAATGAGCACATAAATTCACACAACACACAAAAATGAATGACTGGGAACATGTCATATAATAAGAGATAGCAGATATTGTATGCTCCACTGTATCCTCACCGTATGTTGTGATTCCGAATTGGGTTTAGCGCCCACGATCACTACAAAGTGGAGAACTTGAAGAGGCTGGTATCTAATGTATAGGGATCAACATCTTCTTTTCTCATTTTTATGATAAATAGAGTCATTGAAGGTATTGAAAATATGAATATCATTGGATGATCTGATTATTTATTGACTTTTTCCAAGGAAATATCGATGCGAGGGACTAAATGTCTCAGGTTGATTGGATCTTGTTGATGTTGACATAGGAGCAAGCTAAAAACCCCAGCTAAACTCTTTTTTGTTTTGGTTTCTTTTTTTCGATTTCGATTTCTTGCTTTTGATTACTTCCTGGTGGCTGGTGCCAGTGCGACATTCCCTCTAATACTCCGGATTCTCTCCGACTTGTCTTTGTTCCATCTCATCCTCATCCTCCCTTTTCATCCCTTATTCCCAGATCAGAAACAAATAAAACAAAAGACCATGCCCGACATGCCTGCGGTCTTCCACCAGGCCTCGTCCCCGCCCAAAGTCGACCTCGCCAGTGCGCATTCACAATTTTTCCAAGTCCCCGCCTCATCCTCCGCCTCCTCATCTCTCTACTCGCTATCTGTCAGCCGTAAGCGACCTCGCCGTGAGACAGAAAAAATCACCAAGTTCGATTTCGAAGCCCCCATCACCACTTCACCGCTTTTCCTTCCCAGCCACCAACATGCCATCGACTACCACGCTGCAGAGCTAGACTATCGTCCAAACAGGTACAGAGAGTCCTTTCTACCACCCTCTCTCGATGGAAGCGTCGACTCGATCGCCCCAGAACCCCTCGGTACAAGTCGTAAGCGCAGTCGCCGCGACTCATGCATCGCTTCTCCATCCGTCGAAGAGACACCAACATCTAGCAGACGCCCAGGATGGGGCCGCACCGTCATCAACGCCGTTGGCAAAGTTCTCGATTTATGTTGGACGGGCGCGTTCAAGGGCTTCTACGCTGGCGGCGGACAAGGTTACGATATGACAGCCGGGTCGCCTACCCAAATTACTACCACTTGGCAGAGCCCAGCGAGCGAGAAAGATACCCCCATGCCCCACACGCCTATCCCGGGTCAGTATCCCGAAGAGGATGCCGATCGCAGCTGGGTCGTTGTCCCCACTCAAGCGAGCGATCCCTTCGACCATGACGATCTCGCTAGTCCATCTCTCAAATCACGCCGAGTACACCAGGCATCCAGCCCTCGTCGCCGACCGGCTGTTATGCCAAAGATGGCAAAAAGACCAAGCTCCGCCATGAGACCGTCTACTCCATCGCGTATTCCAACTGCGTCGCCGAGGTCTAAGGGTGGGCCCGCATCAGCAGATATGCAGCGGCATGCGGCGCGGATGAGACGGAAGGAGCGAGAAGAAGACGCGAGCATTCAGAGATTGAATAAGCAGCTACAAGCCATGATCCGGGAAGGGAAAGAGGCACTAGGAACAACGATCGAAGTGGATGATATCGATATGGACTTCGACTCGTCTTGATGCATTGGCATGCATGGCTATACGTTCTCTTTTCTTCTTCGGCGCTTGCTACTACTCTCTTTGATATCCTCGCTTCTTGGATTTCGTCCCATTTAACGACTTGATACCCCAGTACTCACCTTGAGTGCTCTGAGCCTGTAACAACACTTGCATGGCTTCACGATTTATGATCTCGGTGGTTTCACCTTCCTTTCGCTTATTTGCCAAGTTGTCTTTTCATAGCTTTGATGATTAATGGGTTTAGCTGAGAAAATTAGCGGGTTTACCATCAGCTGCAATAAACTTAATTGCTTCCGTGCGTTTTTTTTTTTCGGAGTTTAGTATTACTTTCATAAAAACGTTTATAGTATCCTTAATCTTAACCGGTGCTTGAGGTGATCACTTGATTTGTATAGATTACTCTTTTTGCTCTCTATTTCTACGGGTAGTGGAATTCATCTTTGCCTTGATATCAGTATGCCTTGGTCCGGCATTTTTGGGTCAGGGAAAAACTACATTCCTACACGCCTCAGAAATAAATCAATCCAACGATCATCATAAAATCCCATTTCTAGGGCTTCGAATTCAACTTGAAAATGATTCCCCAGAAAGTATCTCGTGCTTTTGTATCTTTAGGCTACATATTGTTCCCATGGCCAGTCACATAGCATGTTATTACATGCGACAAAAAAGTCTATGCAAACAGCAATGCTATCGCTACCCTTCAATCTAACTCAACACAAAATGATTCAAGACTTGCGGAGATCGAAGGAGTCCTTCAAAAGATAAAGAAAACCTAAGCCAAGCTCGTCCGCCTAAGCCTTCGTCAACTGGCCACATTTTTTTGGGGATTTGGGGAGCGCAAGCTGTGTATGCTCATAAAAAAAGATTATTTTTACCAGGTGGTGGAAGATAAAGAGAGGCAATAGGAGATCTCGATGGAAATGTACATAGAGCTTGGCTAAGAGGCAAGGGATAATCTGCTAGCTCATCTGAAATGGACGTTTGTTTGTTTTTTCTGAAATCTTTCTTTGGAGGAAATAAACAAAAATGAAAGAAAAAGCAGGCGGTACACCGAGGATTCAAGTTATCTCAATTAAAGTATAAGGACCTTCTTCCTCTGACTTCCGATCAAAAAAGTCTTTTCAAGTAAAATTGCCCGTTAGCTGCTTTACCAAAGACGAATTGTATTTATTTGTAGAAACTCGAACATATAGATGAAGTAAAATAAGTTTGTAGACGGGTGGCCAAATGTACACCAGATAATAGGCATGAGCGGCTAGGCTAGCATCCGGGTAAAAACTCTTGTTGCGGAATGAAATTCTACACAAAACACGACATTGGAGTGAGAAAGCATTGAAGGCTCACTTGAATTTAAACAATCTCACTAATTCAACAGGATAAAAGTAATGTCAGGTGGAAAATAGTAAATCAACAGAAACCAAACTTGAAGCACTTATGACCAAAAAATATCCTACTGGCCGGCTTGCTTTTGAGCCTTGTGCTCAGCGACATAACCAGGTCCATGGTGAGGGCCAGCATTGACAGATCCCGCGGGAGAACCAGGAGCGCCGGGAGGAGCCATACTGCTACCATCGCCAATCTTGCTTGGGTCGCTCTTTCCAGGGGCAGGTGTACCAGGGGGGGAGAGAGCCTTGGTGAGCTTGCCGATAGGACCACTCTGCATCAAGACATCGGTCAAGGTAGATCCCTGGATAGGGGCGGCACGAGCCTCGTGTGAGGTGGTATCGCGACGACCCTTCATCTATTCAAACTGTTAGTGGATACTTGAAATATTGTTGATTGAGTCAAGAGATCACATACCGGCAGCAAGCCAACACCGTGGTGGGCATTACCAACGAGCCCGCCGAGACCACTCTCGGCAGCAAGTTCCTTTAGAATGTTGCTGGACTTGTTGGACTTATTCTTCTTGTCATCTTTGTCTGCCTTGTTAGGGGCATGCTGGTTAGCCGGTTTGCCGTCGGCAGGCTTCTTGTTCTCGGCTGGCTTCTCATTGCTTTCCGGCTTCACTTGGCGCGCGGATAACTGTCCCTCAATCATTGTTATTTTCTGCTCACTCTGCTTCAAGGTATATCAACTTACTGGAATTGAGACCATCTTGGCAGCAACATCCAATCCCTCTCGGAAGGTAGCAACAGAGTCATCGGTCACACTCTTGGGAAGAAAACCATGGCTCCCCTCGGCTTCATGGGGAATGGGCCCATCTGAATCCTCAAGCTCGCGACGGTGGCTCTGGCTTGTGGGCTGAGGCTAGTTAGAAAGACTAGGCTTCCATCGGTTAGACATGTGCAATGATTAACTTACAGAACCCTTAGTAAGGTTGTCGACCAAGCCAAGGACTCCCTTGAACTGACGGGACTCATGCTTCTTATCGTCGGTCTTCTTGTCGTCCTTATCCTACTTAAATTAGTCGCCATCCACAGAATGTTAAACTGTAAGAACACATACCTCGGCGAGAAGCTTGCCAACAATTGGCAGGCTGCTGAGATCGCTTTCAAGGTCTCGCTTGTGGTTCTGACCGTAGTTCTGAAGGTAGTTCTGACCATCATTTTGGCCATCGTTCTGACCGTCGTTTTGGCCATCGTTCTGGCCATCATTTTGTCCAGCGTTTTGGTCATAGTTCTGGCCAGCGTTTTGACCGGCATTCTGTCCGGCATTCTGTCCAGCATTCTGGCCCCAGTTCTGACCATAATTTTCACCGTGGTTCTGGCCCTCATTCTGTCGACGGATGTTAGAACCTGGATTATCTTGACCGGGAGCTGCTTCTCGTACCTGACCGTGATTCTCAAATGGCTGATGGCTGAGTTCATCGTCATAAGATCTGGCTTCATTTCCATTGTTGGGAGTATTTGCGGGGTTTCCTTGGTCCTAAAAGCATGTTAAATTCATGTTCAGAAATCCAAAGTACAAAGTCATTCATTGTACTTACACCACCAAAAATTTCACCCAGCAATGGGAATTTCGCAAGATCACCTGTGAAGGAACGCTTCTGCTCATCTCCACCGCCACCAAGCAATCCACCGACAAGAGGAAGCTTGTCAAGCAAGTTCCCGTGTCCGGTAGCGCTCTCCTCATCTCCTCGTGGAGTCAATTCCTTGAATAGACCCTTCACCACATCATTGACCTGGCCATTGGCAGTACCAGCTCCAATGAAATTTCCAGTGCCACCACTGCCAGTCTTCTGAACGGGCGCAGCCAAGCTCACAGCCGTGAAAAGCGTGAGCGCGTAAGTAGTTTTAACCATCATGTCGTCGGACTGTTGTAATGATTCACCTCGGTTTAGTGATAGTAACGTCGCGAACGACGGGTCGAGAAGGTGAAAAGGGCGAAGAAAAAAGTTTACGGAATGCGAAGCAACGAGGGATGAGGGAGTTTGTCTGTCTTTATACCGCTGATCCCCTTGGTGACATTCTAGAATTACTGGGATGAAGGGGTCGGGGATTAACAAATTGCTTCCCCTCCTGCTTGGAATAAATTGCCTGTTGGCTCATGTCAACAGACCCCTCTTTGGGGAATGTCCTCCTGCGACATTTCTTATTACTGGGTGGCTTGGTGGCTTGCTGCTTCAACAAGAATGTTCCGAGGCTTGTTTTGAGGGATGATTGGGTCGATCATGGCTGCCGCGTAGGGATGCAAGGGGTTGAATCGCAGATCGTGGGTATTGATATAGGTACTTCTAGTGTCTCCTCCGCTGTTCGCCCCATACCGAAGCTGGTCCGATTTCCGTTCCAGCGCTGAATTGCGTTAGATAGATACTTTCCAGTGTCGGAAATTTGCGAATAGCCCTACTTGAGCTCGTTCTTTGCATGTGTGTTCGTTTTGGATCTCACGCAATTTTGATTTGTTGCCGGTTTCTCGCAAGGGATCGCGCCCTTGCCCACTCCCTCCCCAACCCTCCTCATGGTATCCACCAGTGCTTGTCTGCTGAGTACCTGCAGCACCTTGCAGCCTTTTTTTAGAGGGCGGAACTTTCCATCGGCCTCTTTCTAAATTGACAAGGCTTACGCCTGCAGCGTTTACTCGTAATTTATATTTATTCAACATGGACCCATGAATCTCTTATTCAAACGGCCTCAAATTTCGAATAAGAAAAACGAGCAACTTGTCAAGTCGGCTTACTAAATAGTTCCACTAAAATCGGCATCAAGTGCGAGTCATGGAATCGCCTGCACTTGTCAAGTTTTTTCTCGTAGTCAGATCTGCAAGTCAGATCTGCAAAACAATTACAAAGAAAGCAGGCTGAGGCTTTTTGATTCTTGTCAGGACAATATCAAGCCCCTCTCTAGGTCTACGTCACCTTTTGGATATAATACCCGTCTCTGTAGAATACGCATAAGTACATATTGAAAAGTTTCCAACTGGGTTTGATTAGTGTGGAATTGAATTTCTCATGCCAAAGACATCACGCTTGTCGTAGTCCGTACAAGGCCCTTTTTAGCAATAAAACCTCGCCGCAATGGCCATATCCCGGAGGTATCCGCATGACGATGAGGCGGCCATCAATTTCTGCGTTCAGATACGCGGTAACCATATCAAATTATCAGATTTCAAGGTTTTTCCTAACGGCCATGCACATGAAAAGCTTCACAGACTCTGGTGATGCAACGGGACTGTACTTCTCATCGAAGTTGTTTCCACATACCACAAACCTTGCTCTGTATGCTGTGGTTGTGTTGGATGAATCCTTCTTCAGGTCATACACCCACTTACAGGGTAGAATTCGTTGATTACCATCCTACCTCTTGATGACTTCGAAGGTGTCGTGGATCCATCCGAATATCATATTTCTTTAGCAAGGAGAGAGAACCTTAAAGTAGTGCTCACGAGATAACTCAGTGAGACAAAAAAAACAATGCCCGTACTCTGGCTAGTCGAAAAAAATAGTAAGGATCTTTTTTATGGACGGCGATCGGGTGAAGGGACTCGAAGGAGAGGAGGGAGACTCACGGTGATTTCTGTGCGGACGAGATTGTGTTAATAAAAGATGCCAAACGAAAGGATTTCTGGAAGGTGCAGGTCTGAATCACAGGATGCAGGTCAGTGAGCTTCAAGTTGTATGCAGCGGACGATGGAGACTCTTAACTTGAATGAGAAAAGTAGCCTGGGGTCCTGACTGGCTTCGTTTTGTGGCAATCAATTGATGTGGTAGTAGGTAGGCATCGCGACCTGCACCGCGACGATCATGCAAATATGTGAAGGTCCAAGTCAGGTACTAGTAATAGTATCAATCGAGCTTTCAAGTTTATGAGGAACTTCAAGTTCGGTTTGCTATGATCCACCCATCCAAGTGTTGCCGGTATATATTTGAACCTTGCATTTCGATAATCATATACTATATATCGAGTTCACGAGTTATTAATTGCTTGAAGTTGAAGAGAGCGCATGAAGAAAGCACCCTGAAAAAAGTGGAAGCAGACAGGAAATATACTATCACAGACATCTATATAGATGCCCTGATTAATTATGTGGGCTCACGTGACACGTAGCACTTTCTAGATCGTGACTGGATTTATATCACCACTGTTCCCAGCTAGCCTATCTTGCAACAAGTTTCAGGAAAGGGTACGTAGAGAATATGTATAAGCTAGTAGTAGGCACAGCCTGTTCAAGTTTTATGATGGTATTGATGGTCATAAATCATATATAAAGAAGCGGAGCACCAGTCTCAAGCTCTTCTTATAGAATCCTTATCCAGTCTCGCTGAATTCCTGGTAGAATGAATCTCCCAATCTGAGGTAATTTTTATCTGTCCCTGGCACCATTCCGATAACTTCTTCGCCATAGGAGGATGTCTGACCGAAACAAGGGGAATTTCAGGCTCTTCCATTTGAGAGCCCGATAAAGCAGTCGTTTTGTAATACCCGGAATGTCTGTATCCATATGCAGCGGTGTCGTCGGATGGAGAGGAGAATACATGTCTTCCAGAAATCGATCGGATAGATGGTGGCATGATCGGCAGACACGCTACGATGATACCCAGTAGAGGTACAACGCAGGAGAGGAAAGATTTTCGTGCGGAAGTGTAGGTGATATCATCTTCGTTGAGGTAAGAGTCTGCCTTTATGCGTATCAAGGTTGTTGCGATTATTCTGTATGGACACGTTAGGTTCAGATCGGGGTCTTCGTGGGAATTTTACTTACATCAAGCCAAGAAGGTAGATAAAGGTAGTTGCTGCTTTCTTAGTTCTGGATAGGCGCAAATGTATCAAGGTAGGAAGAGGTAGACACAGAATGAACGATTCAATGATTCCTTCACTTATTGTCGTGGCCAATCGTAGCGTTTTTGGATCGCTGCAATGTCCGTCGAGTTCCGGAAGCCATATCTTTTTTGACGGGGTGCAGATAAATGCTGTTGCAAAAAGGCTTCCCACGCAGAGAGATGCACATAAAATCATAGTTATGTATGTGCACCATACTATTATCCGATGTTGGAATTGGCGAAGATAAAAATGAAGAATAGAAAGTTGGACTAGGCCAACGACTGCGATCCACAAAAGATCACTGGCATATGTGATCTAGATATTGTTAGCTCTATACAATCAATCACCACCAACATTGTTTAACGATTGCACTTCATAACAAGTGGCCATTTGCATACCTTTTTAAAGCGAACGACTGCATCTGCGCCGCCGATCGCAATAACATTTTCAGTATGTAAGCCCAGCCCACAGAACAGAACTAAAAGTAGCTCTACCACATAACGACCTAACATTACCGTCTTTTTGCAATAGTTAGCTGTGACGTTGTACTTGAATTCTCAAGATAATATAGCATGAAGTCTCACCAAGGCAGCTAAAATCAACCAATCATTTCCCTGCAATGAGACAGCGAGCAATCGCCTCGACCATAACCGTAAGGCAACAGCAATAACCCCACCCGCCAGCAAAACAGACTGCACAGCAATATCCGCCTTACCAAGCCAGTTATGGCTAAGAGAATGAAAAAGAACACCCGACATTGGGGACAATAATCAAACCAAGTCTCACAGCCAAGCCATTAAATTTATGAATCGAAATCAAAGAGAATGAATCTCGATCAGCACCACGAGGATACGAAAAAGTGCAGCGGGGCCGCGCATTAAAGTACGTAAACTAAGCAGCGTAGTAAGGGGGATTAGTGGGGAGCGTGTAATAAGCCCAAACAAGGCAAACCCTGGACGACCCAAGCGTGGAAACAAAGCGCCCGGCGCGATATTTGTAGAGAGAGGTCAAGATCGGCATGCCATGACTGAAGTCATATCCGATGTGTTGATGAGGAATTTTAATCTACTCGGTGCAAGAAATGAAAGGTCTACAGGGGTTTAATTGGATGGGTGACTTGTTTTTCCAGAAGGAAAGTTGAAGTCGGGGGAATCTAGGCGTTGTGGTGGAGCGGGAAGCTGCCGCTCGGATTCCCGCGTGAGACTCCACTTTTGCCGTGGTCGAGTACTTTATCTCAAACATCCGCGTTTCATGATCTCACACCGACCCTGGTGGAGATCGCGATTGTCTCATTGTTGTCCAGTCATATCGGCTATCTGCATGCATGACGGTGGTCGAGACTGATCAGGCTCCATCCCTAGCCTGTGAGTTGTTTTTCTTCTTCTTATGTTGCTAAATATGGCTTTTGGTTGGATCTTGGAGTCCGAAGGCTTTGGGGGGTGTTTAGAAAGCCGTGATTGTGGGTTTAAGGCAAGAACTTGAAGGTCCTATACAACACACTATCTAATACAACGTGTTTGAGGGTTTGATAGGATTTGAAACACATAGCTGCGGCTATATCCAGTATCAAAACGAGGGACTATTGACTATTCTCCCTTTTCGGAATCATGGCCTTAAATAAACAACAGAACAAAAAAATATCTCAAGGACATAGACATTGACTCATTGGAATCGTGCAAATTGACATGAGTACTGAAATCCTGAAAATTCAATGCTGGATAGTCTCACTGTGTGATCTACATCGTGCCGAGGGGTATCACGGAGCTGAAATTCAACCCGACGTTGTAGATGTGCTTGGGCCCGTGAGCAGAACCATGGATTCTCGACGACCAGGATTCATATTATCCAATCTACTTCACATTGATATAGAAACATCACATGTGCTTATCGAAAGGTCACAGCCCATGTTCCGATCCTCCATGATGAGATGATGCTCGCCTACTACTCGAAGGATCACACTACTCGGCAGCCTCATGCAATTAAAGACTGCCCCCACAGTACCGTTGACCCTAAATACATATTAGGATACGTCATTCCTAATGACCGAGGGATTAGAAGGGATTGGATATTATATCCTTCAGCGGTATTTCTTTCAAGTGACGGTATCATGAATCATAGGCATTAAAAATTAAATGAAGACCGAGGCCTTATTGCTGTAGTTCACTCGAGATGATTGATTTGGGTCCAGTTTATTCGACGAGTAAGATCCAGCCCTGCTGGGTCCATGTCGTTTTTTTCCAACGTCGCCCCACTGGGCCACAACTTCAGGTCAACCTCCATGCACTATAGTCCATCACACTAACTACACAGACTGGTACAGGCCATGGATCTACCCAGACTCTCTTGTTTCTATCATGTTTCGCCCTGTTAGTAGTGTAACTAATTCGCATAGCATATTGGAAAAACATCAAACATAGGATATGTATTATCATTTAATGAACTGATTATGACGTCTGGTTAACCACAACTTGAACTACTCATGAAAGACCAGACACCGAACCTCAATACTCTGTCTCGGAGGCGCATCCAACGGTGTCTGCGGATCAGTAAACGCCGTATGACACGATCCATGAGCAATATCCGTCTCCCCACCCGTCATAGTATGACTACTCGAATCAAAACACTTAAGAAACATAACCTCATCCGGCGTCAAATCCTTGGCATAAAAGAACCTATGCTTCTCATTCGGCGCAATAGAATAAACCTCCCCCTTAACCTCATACCCCTCCGTCGAAGAAACAGACTCAGGATCCGGCGCAATCTCTCCCCCCTCACAGTCCGCAGACCCAATCGGATAAAGCAGATCAACCTTCACAAAATCATCAGGCTTCGTACTCCTCCAATCAATAACCGCAAGCGGATGATCAGATGCGACATTCTCAATCGGTCTCCAAACATTAATAATCTGCCATCGACCCTTCAGTAGCTCTTCGGCCTCGGCCTCTGGTAAATGGCGCCGAACTCTAACTTCAGCTGCCCCCGGCGTTTGATCCACATGTACCAGTTGGACAGGACTACGTGCTGATCCTGTCTTTCTGCGCCGGATCGTGTGGTCGAATAAAACCACTTTTTTGATTCCGGGGATTTTTTGGCGAAGGATTTCTTCTACCTCGGCGTAGTAGGATGATTTGAAGTTTTCGCTGTCTGTGAATTGGGTTATTTTCGAGGGTGCTTTGTAGACGGCGAATCCGGCGTTGTCTACTGTGAATTGAGACTCTTGGCCGCGGAGGTTTTCAACTGGGAATTCTTGACTGGAGATGGTGTACGAGGTGCCCGGGCCATCGACCTTTGACCATGGTTTTTCGAAGGGTTTGGTGGCGTGGGGATCATAGGAAGATCGGTCGATGTAGTTGAAGATTCCTGTCGTCATTGTGGTGAAATGAAGTCTCAGATAGATATTTGTTGTCGCTTAAGTATGTTGTGAAGCTAGATATGCGATATGCGATATGGGTGTTGTTTTTATCAAGCCAAAAGTATATCTGGGCACTTGAGCAGTATTTATGATGACTGGAAAGTGATTGCGCCACTGCGATCTTGGTATAATTGTTCAAATTAGTAATCCTCAACCCAACAGCGTAACTATGACTCGCCGAGTGAACGCGGGGACTTTCCATGACTAATTAGCCCGATTGTGTAAGCTTCACGATCATTCTACAAGAGTATCAGCTCGGCCTTTGTATCGATTCGGTCTTTGAATTTTAGTTTCATTCAATTTCTAACTAACGACAACTGAGGTGCTCCCCGTTTCCTCACCTCATCTTCTTACTAATACTGTATCATGACTAGGTATCCTCATGTCTCAGCAGAGTATGCTACAGACGCGTTTTCAATTATATTAATTTTTAATAAACAATTAAATTGGACCGATATCCAGTCATGTAGTTCGTAAGCTATATTTTCTATTCTCACATCGTCAGCTGCACCTATAGAGCAGCGACAATCATTCATCTTGGTGATCAATGCTAAAATTGAGTTAGGACCAACACCCCCCAATGCCATCTAATTAGGTGCTCTTCTTCTGAGCCTCTCGCTCCGCCTTGCGCAGCGCACGCTTACGAATGCTCTCATGCATAGACTTGTTCTGAGAAATGACAATTTTGTTCATAGGTGTCAAGACAGAGGTCAAGAACCAAGCCATAATTCCATGGCTCCAGTACGGAGAAGAGCTGTAAGCGTACGCAGTCGAGCCACCACTGCGACCGATCTTCGACAAGACCGAGCGAACAAACACGCGAGGAGTAGGGATAGAAGCCGAGGCACGACGAATTTTAGACATAGCAGAGGTAATCAGGTAAGCGTGGACAAGCTCAACTTCAATACCGTGGGGAGCCAATTCAGATCCCAAAGCAGTAGACCACTGCTGCAAGAAAGCCTTGCTACCGGAGTAAGTAGCCAGCAGAGGAGTAGGGAGGAGACCACCGAACGAGCCCATGGTGAGGATGAGGCCGCGGCGACGCTGGATCATGCCTGGGACGAAGAGCTGAGTAACGCGGAGGGTACCGGTGCAGTTGATTGTGATGATGTTTGACATCTCGGAGGCGGGGGTTTGAGCGAATGGAACGGGGATAGAGTGGCTTTGGCCGACGTTGTTGATGAGGATTGATACGTCCAGGTCGGAGGTGAGTTCGCTCAGAGCGGCGTAGTCTTCATCGGAGTTTTCGGAGAAGTCCATGGCCAGAGTCTTGGTTTGGACATTGGGGTATTGCCTGGTGATTTCCTCTCCGAGGGCGATGAGCTTGGATTCGGTTCGGGATACGAGGACGATGTTGAATTTGGCGCGTGCGAGCTGCAATGCGAACTCCTTGCCCAGTCCATCGGAGGCACCGGTGACGATGGCCCAGCTGCCGGGAGGTCCGAATGAGTGCAACTATCGGAATGAAGGTATTAGATTGTAATTCAGTATGGGGCTAAATAGGATATAACGTACCGGTTTACCAGGGAGCACGAACAGGCTCAGAATCACCCGCAGGAAGCTCCAGATCTTGCAGCCGACGACCATCCCACCAGTTGCAAGGAGCAACAGGGCACCGATGGTCGGCAAACCAGGGGCCAGATGAGTAGGCCATTGCGACAGGCAATCAATATGCTTTGAGATATCCATGATGTGCGAGGATAAATTAATTGAAAAAGAAGACAGCAACAGAAGAGATGGGGAAGAAAAATTGATGTGCAGCTTGTTGGGGAAGATCAACGCCAAGAACCAACCTAATCAACATCCTCGGTCTCTCCCTCCACTTATTTCACAGGCCAAACAAACTCCAAATCTCTCTCACCCAACAGACCCCAATTACAATGGATCAAGTACTCTCTTATCTTCCCCCCTTCGAGGGTCTTCTGCCCAAATGGCTCGTCTTCGTAAGCTCCACCCCCAAGCTCCATCATTGGCCCCTTTTTTCTCCCCGCAAAGCTTTAAAACTCTCGCTCACTAAACTCCAGGTCTCTGCTGTTTCAGCAATCAACAGTCTCCAGGCTTACTGCTCCGTCGATTATACCTCGCTCCTCTATACCAATGGCTCCAAGCCTTGTGAAGCATTGTCCGGTCGGGTCTTTGGTACCTGGACTTTCCTTTCTGCCGTGATTCGCATGACCGCCGCTTACAACTTGACTACGCCCGTCGCGTATGATCTTGCTATTTGGACATATGTCATTGCCCTGACACACTTTACTGGAGAGTTGATCTTTGGAAACGCGTCGCTGAAGGGTCGCTTTCTGAGCCCGTTGATTGTGGCATCTTCATCTATCGCTTGGATGTTGATCCAGCGCAAGGAATATTTGGGTCTTTAATCTGAAGGGATGAAAGAAAATATAGAAGCCGCGTTACTACTGGGTTACATGCTTTGCTTGTCTAACCCGCCGCTGGGACCTAATCTCGCCAAGTATAGAGCCCATGCGGCTTTATTCCTCTCGAGTCAAACAAACCGATCTGTCCGATCTTTACGAGTCGACGTTCGAAAAATATCTTCATTATCACCATAATATGCTACACTTTTATCTCTCTGAAATTTCCATGCCCCAACCTCGGGATGTGACTAATATGCAAAAAACAACCCCAATATTCCTATGAGATATCTTTGTCTCCAATCTTACTCTAACTTCTTACGGTATAATTCTCCACCGCAGCCACGTAACCGAGCAGCAGCCTGCTCGGGTGTAATATCGCGCTGGGGCTCAGCCATCAATTCATATCTGTGACAAGTTAGCGGGATGCATACAAAAGAGAAAGGGACGAAAGAACAGAACATACCCAACAAGGAACTTGCGAACAGTAGCACTACGGAGCAGCGGAGGGTAAAAGTGCAAGTGCAAATACGAAGCCTCAATCTCCTCAGCAGTACCATCAAGAGGCGCTTGATGAATACCCATACTATAAGGAAAATGAGTCTCGAAAAGGTTATCATAGCGACGAGTAGTCTCGGCAATAGCCTCAGCGAGAAGAGTCTTATCCGACTCGCTGAGATCAACCAGTGCGCGCTTATGTGTGCGGCTGACAATCATAGTCTCGAAGGGCCAAGTCGCCCACCAAGGGACAACGACAACGAAAGCCTCGTTCTCGAAGACAATACGATCTCCCTTGCGGCTCTCTAGTTCGGCATAATCCTCCAGCAAGTGGGAGCCCTTGTGCTCATGGCGGTACCGGAGCAGTTGCTCCATCTCCGCGGCAGGCTCCTCAGGCAGGGTACTGGTAGTCCAGACCTGGCCGTGAGGGTGAGGGTTCGAGCAGCCCATGGCAGCGCCCTTGTTCTCGAATATTTGCATGTAGCGGTACTGCTCCTTGGGCTTGGTGACGTTTTCGTGGGGAGCAGTGGGCGCAATGTGAGTGGGTGGGGCATTCTGGGCCAGCGGCGAGGTAGGCGAAAGGTGAGCGGCGTAGATCTCTGTCCAGGAGTTGATCACCGGGACGATCTCGATAGGAGACAGATCGGCCAGGGTAAGGTTGTGAGCAGCTGAGAAGGTCAAGACGTAACATTTACCTGTTACAGGCTCGGCCTTGAGGAAGCGCGATTCAAGATCTAGTAGTGATGAGACCAGGTCAGAAAGTGTGCGACCCCAGAAAAAGGAAAAAAAAAAAAAAGTCAAAGCCCAACCAGACTGTCGATCTTACCATCATTATTGCTATCGTCATAGGAAGCCTGCTCTTCCTTCACGGCACTGTAGTCGTTCACGAATACAAAAGTGCTCTCATACTTGGGGTTGACGTCACCCTGTGCGCGCTCGTTTCCAGGACACAAATAACACTTTGGGTCATATGCAGGCAAAGTCGTTTTGGAAGGATTTTCCTGCGCGCCTCTGTCGAAAAAAAGGAAAAGTGCCCCATTAGCCTTCCGGTTCTGTTACACATAATGTTAAAATTGGAGACTCACTGCCAAGGCCGCTTGGTTCGATGGGGAGAAACCAGGATATAGGATCCTCGCAATGGATTGTATCTCCGGTGGGAGATATCGTCAAGAACGTTCTCCATTGTGAAGGGTACAAATACAGCTAGTAGCGGGTTGAGAGCGAGAGTACCTTGTTGGTGGTTGAGAAGGGAGCAGACCCAAATACATAAGAGGGGGAAAAAAGCTCTTGCAACCCCGGCTGTTATGTCGGGGCTCGGGAAAATGCTAGGTCCCTCCGGCGGGGTGGGACGCGGGGTCTCCGTACTCGTAATAATGTGAAAAATGCTCCATTATTACATAGCCAATAGGGTCTTATACGTAATATGGATATGTATATGGTCCTGAAGAGAAGGCGATCAGCATTTTACTACCTTTTTTGCATACTATAGCATTGCCAAAAGAGTTATACTGCATCTATACGGCTTTTGTGGGGATGTGACGTTTAGGTCTCGGTGAGCCGTATGGGAACAATTGCTCGGGATCCCGCACTGAAATTAACCGGGGTGTAAAGTGGGTAACTCATAGCTACATCAGTCAAATACTATGCAGGCGAACGATTGCGGACATGGAGATTATGTATAATCTCAAAAGGGGGATCAGCCACACTCGATATGGCCACATGGGTACAGCTTGTACACACTGTATAGTATATTCAAGGTTCAATATGAGCAAATCGAGTGTATTATGTAAACACATGCGTGACATCATCCTCGATCTCCCCATCTGCGCTTATCGATAACGATATACATGATGGGCTCACTCGACAACATGATTCAGTATTCCTGTCAAGCCTAGATTTATAAAGCTATCGAAACCTCATCTTCCTCTCGATCTGGGCCTGTATTCCCACAAGCACAATCTCACGCACAGTCAGAGTGGCTGTATTTTATTGCTTTATCATTTTGTATCCATGAATCTAGGGTATCAAGATCTTATACCTATTCATTAATACCTCATATTTCCAATTATTCTTCATATCTTTCGTCTAAATTCAATTCGTCATTCACGTTTCTCATTTAAACCCTTGTCATCCGCTTATCTATATCCTTTTTACGTTCTACTCCCCTACAATCTTCTTCTCATCCGATCATTCCCGCCCTTGTTACTGTCTCATTACTCTTATAATTTTTACCATACGCAAAAATGGGCTCCGCATCAGCTTTAGTCAGTTCGAGTCTCTTCAAAGATCAGAAAGATGTTATGGGTATTCTTGATTTTCCAACGGAGGTGAGAAGAACCATATATAGTACATGATCGATGAGGTGCTAATATTAGAATAGATAATAGATATGATCATTGGTAATCTTCCAATATCTACACTGCTATCTCTGACTAGAGCATCGCACGCATTCGAGGAGATTGCTATGTTCCATCTTGAATCCCGTCTGCATGGGACCTTGGCCCGCGAGAGTCAGGATTCGTTTTTACACGTATGCTTGTTGACTCCAATGAACTACAACAGTGATAAGCAAAGCAATGCCTGGAAATATAGCGGCACAGCCTCTTTAAGTGGCACTCACTACACTCTCAACGCCAATGCAGACCCCAAGCCTGAATTGGCCAAATTGGACAATCACTTTTTAGTTTTCCAGCCTGCAGCATCTATGATAGACTCACGAAACTATCGATGCAGGAGTCGGGGACATAGAGAGAGCAATTCAGATTGCTGTCTTTCCAATAATTCATGTTGCCGTGCTGGTAAAGGCAATTCCGTCATTGAAAGGGAAGATATCCAAGTCGAATGGTTTGAGGACTTTGTTCAGTTTTGTTTCAAGATCTGCTTATCCAACAACGATTGGAATATTCATTATGGTCACAACTTTGTGGACAAGATGATCCGTATACCTCGAACATGGCTTGATAAATGCAGTGAGATGTGCAAGGCGGGCGATGACCTCAACAATAATGAATCAATCCAATCTTTGGTATGGACGGACGAGGAAACTGGAATTTGCTTACAGCTGGAAGTCACTTGGGATCCCGAAGATGATCAATGGCAATTAATCAACAGACCGTGGGATGATAGTGGAAGAAGAGACTCGGAGTGGGCTGCTGACGGCTTTTACCGAGTCGCTTTACATCGTGAGTTATTCGTTCATCTTCCTTCTTCTTTGCTATTTGAACTCTTCCATAAACAAACAGAACGTTGACTCTTCATCAGGTCTCTGGGTCCCTACTTCTCAGTTTCTCTTGAAGGAGGAAGATGCGATAAAGCTTCTTTCAGAATGGAAGAAAAAAGTTATGCACTTGATGCCAAACAGGATTAGAGAACGAGAGGTAGAGATGGACGAGTCCCCTGCCGCATGAGCTCTTGATAGCTTCCCTTTGTTAGCTCGACATATGCTGAAATTTTTTTTCATTTATGGTTAATACCTTTCTGTTTCTTTCAAATCGCCAATGCGACACCCTCGCACATCTCATAATGGGCTTAGAATCATACACACGGAGACCAGATCCAATTCGCAGAAAGGACCTGTTCTCCCATATCGCTAGGGGATGACCCTCTATATAGAGCCTATGATGATCTGCCACTTTTCTGAACTTAGATCCCTAGAGAATCATTTTAAGATGTGATGAAAATCCGCACCCAAGAAATTAATTGTTGTGTGGATCGCCACCTCAAGTCGTTTATTTAATAAAATTGTTGCTGAGCGAGACCGAAGCGCCCAAGAGGTTCTTAATCTTTGAACTGTCTAACACCGTTTGGTTTTCCTGGCAAACTCAGCGGTGCATAGGAGTGAGAGTCCAAATTAACTGTCGGAGAAGCGGGTCCGACGCCCGACCATAATCGTGCTTGTGTACATACGGCATTCCGCCCCCACCCGGTAAATTAACTGATGAATAACCGCCGACCAGATTTATCCAAGTTATGCTGTTAAACTCCTATGTCTCACGGTTGCCCCGCAAGCCGTATAGTACTATTTCTAATTTTCAGTTCACTGAGTTTTGTTCGGAGCTGATTTTCCGATGAGATGTCGATCATTAATCCATGTTGAAGTGAAAATGCGGGGTTGAGGATAGCTTAGTATTAGGTATGGCTATGAAACAACATTATAAAGCCCTGTATGGTCCTGTAGAGTCTGTATAAAGAGTGGAGGACAGAATTGAGAATATCAAAGTGCCTCTCGCCTTCCATCGTAACATTGATTGCACTTCCTGCGTCATGGGCTTTCTTCATACCTGTATCCTCATTTCCACGGCATTAGCCGCTGTCCATGCAAGATTCACTCCTCGCAAGTCGATTAGCTGCAGCAGCTTGGCCGGTGGAGTATTAGGTGAGGGTTACAACGTTACAGATGCGGAGGACTTTGCAGCCGGCAGTGTGAATGCCTCAGGAATCATCAATCAATTCAGCCTTTGTCGAGTGCAAGGAACTCTTACATATGGTCCAGATGACGTGCCAGTCAAAAATGGCGCCAATATCCTCATTTGGGAAATCTATCTTCCAAGCTCTGACTATAACGGAAGGTTCATGGTTGTTGGTAATTGAACTTCTTTTTCTTTTGCCAATCTTCTCAATACATGAAAAAGTCAGTTCGGCTAACGTTCTTGAAAAATAGGAAACGGTGGCTACGCTGGTTATATTGACGAAGAGTCAATGATGGTTCAGCTCAATTTGGGCTATGCGACTGCCGGTTGTGATAGCGGGCATTCTCTCGCTGCAAATGGAAATACTGCATATGCTCCGTTCTTAGCAAACAAAGCGGAAACAGGAGCCTGGATCCACAATTCTATTGCTTTGACAACTGCAGTTGCTCGGACGATGACCACAAAGTACTACGAAAAGGCCCCGGAATACAGCTACTACTATGGATGCTCCACCGGCGGCGCCCAAGGATTCGCGCTAGCCCAGTATTACCCAGACCTGTTTGATGGAATATACGCAGGGAGTCCTGGAAATTGGTACAGTCATTTGGTCCTCAGCTTCCTCTGGAATGGACTTCACACCACAGGGACTGGTTATATGACTCAAGATGCCTTGGATTTCATCACCGATAGCGTTGTCTCCGCATGTGATGCGATAGATGGAGTTGTCGATGGCTTGATTGAGAATCCTCTACTATGCGACTACAATATCGCTAATCTGGAATGCGCAGCGGGTCAGAGCTCTACCGATACCAATGGCACAGTTTTATGCCTCACTTCAGCCCAAATCCAAGCCGCGGAAGCTGTCTACACAGGTCCGAAGAATCTGGTCACGGGCGATGAGGTTTATCCCGGGTTGAGCCTGGGATCGGAGAATGGCTGGATCGACCAAGAAACAGTTCTATATGAGACATATACAGCATTAATCCTGAAGGAAGTTGTCTTCCGCGATCTGGCCTACAATGTATCCAGCTTTAACTGGGGCAAAGATGTCTCAAAAGTTGACGCGGCCGCGTCCCCTTTGATCGATGAGATCTCAACAAACCTTTCTTCCTTCCAAAAGCGGGGAGGGAAATTGATTGTCACCCAGGGGTGGGCGGATCAGTTCAATGCGGCCACCTGGCCCATTCAGCACCTTGAGCAGATCCAGACAAAAATGGGCGCTGCCACTACCGACAGTTTTTTGGAGCTTTTCATGGTCCCTGGAGGTGGTCATTGCGGTTCTAATCCTGGATACACTCATGTCCCGGGTACGTACAATGTAATTGACGTGCTGGTTCCATGGGTGGAACAAGGGATTCGACCGACTGAGATGATGAGTGTAACTCCTCCGGACGGGACGAACACCACGCGTAAGCTTTGTCCTTGGCCGAATACTGCACATTATGTGAAGGGTAATATAGATGACTGGACGTCATACACCTGCTCGTAATATACCATTTCCCTAGTTATTACAGAGAAGAATTCGGGGTGTGATCGCAGGAAAGGCGCGGGGAATGTATGTTTCGGACGGATCCCTCCGATGGATCATCATTCTAGTACAGCCGTCGGAGTGGGTCCCCGGGGTTTAGTCATGTTTGGGGTATACCGTATAACTAGTCTGTACAGAAGCTAGTAATCACATCCTCGTTTCTTTTTACTATTATTTATTCCCTTTCAAAGGTTCTCAAAAACCATAATCCCGGCAAAAATGCTGTCTAAGCGCCCGATTCGTGTTGGAAATGTTTCCGGTGCAACGGGTGACAGCCCACACGCCATGAGGCGAATGGCACAGGATGGCAACGTGGATGTGATCGTTGGAGATTGGCTTTCGGAAATGAATATTGCCTGGAACTCAATAGCTAAAGATCAGGATTCTTCTCTGGGCTATGAGCCTGGCTTCTTGGCACAACTCACTGAGTCGATCGACACGATTGTGGAGAAAGGGATCAAAGTTGTCACTGATGCAGGAGCATTGAATACGGAAACACTGGCAGCCAAGATACAGGAGATGTGTCATAATGGAGGTCACAAAGATGTGGTGGTTGCCATGGTTCTCGGTGATGATATTTCAACCCTCATAAAAGACCCCGCTCAGCGGGAAAATCTCCGGCATCTTGACCATTCCGAATGGGCGCTCAAGGAGTGGCATTTGGAACCACATTGCGGAGTAGCTTACACAGGAGCTTGGGGCATCGTGGAAGCGCTTAAAGCTGAAGCAGACATAGTGGTCTGTGGAAGAGTGACAGATGCCTCTCCCGTTATTGGCGCTGCAGCGTGGTGGTATAACTGGGCCAAAGATGAGTGGGATTCACTTGCGGGTGCTCTGGTTGCCGGACGTGAGTTGCCTACCAAGCCAAGCCGATAGACATATGGCCCTCTAATAAGCTCCTAGATCTTATAGAATGTGGACCCTATGTGACAGGGGCAAATTTCTCCGGATTCAAATCATTGCTTCCTCATCTGGTGGATCTCGCGTTTCCCGTGGCAGAAATCAACACAGACGGAATGTGTATTATCACAAAGCCAGAAGAGCATGCTGGAGCTGTGACACAGCACAACACGATCGCGCAATTTTTGTACGAGCTTCAAGGTGAACAGTACCTGAACCCAGATGTGGTTGCCAATCTTCACAATGTAAAGATCGACCAGATTGCTCCAAACCGAGTACAAGTCCAGGGAATTACAGGATCGCCTCCACCATCAACAACTAAAGCTATGGTGGCTGCCAAGGGTGGATATCAGGCCGAAGCCACATTCTACATTAACGGACTAGATGTCGATGCGAAGGTAGAGATGATGCGCAAACAGCTTCTACATGTCTTCCGGGGCCATCGTTTCAGCAAACTTGCCATCGACTTATACGGATCCAGTGCAACTGATCCTCGAAGTCAACAGGCAGGTACAGTATTTCTGCGCGTCTTCGCCCAGGCCAAACGGCTGGAGGATATCTCCGCTGACAAGTTCAAAATCCCAATATACGCATTGAGAATGCAGAGCTACCCAGGATACCACATGAACCTCGATTTCAGAACTATGGATCCCAAGCCATTTATGGAGATCTTCCCCGTCACCATCTCCATGACAACTCTGCGACAGGAAACTCATATTATGCGGAAAGCAATTACAGAGAAAATTAGTATCGGTCCTCCTGCTTTGACCGCCGAGTACCCTATCATCCGTGGTTCATATGAGACTTCAAACCCAGTGAAACTGGCCAAGTTTGGTCCTACAAGTATGGCTCCGCTGGGTAGTATTGTTCACGCACGGTCGGGAGACAAAGCTGACAACTCTAACATCGGTTTCTTTGTCCGAAACAAGGATGAATACCCGTGGTTGCAGTCTTTTTTGACAATTTCTCAGCTGAAAGCTCTGTTCGCGGACGACTGGATAGGGAGGGAAAACAGTGACAAAAGGCGGGTAGAAAGATGTGAGTTTCCAAACATTCTGGCCGTTCATTTCCGCGTGATGGACTTTTTGGACGGAGGGATCGCAAGCTCTAGCAGAATTGATGGTCTGGGCAAAGGGATCGGAGAATACCTCAGAAGCAGGGTGGTTCCTATTCCAGTTCAATTCTTGGACAGGGGACGTATTTGAAATTTCTCTCTCTCTTTGTTTTGGAAGCTATTCGCAATTATGTATAATGTACTATAACTATATATTTAAGTTAGTGAAATGCAATGGGTTCATTAGTTCCCCAGAAGTGAAGACCAAGCCCATTTTTATAAGACTTCGATATATTTGGATGTTGTGTTGAATCATTGTCTCGTCATTCTCTTATTTCAATGTTCCGGTATGCCATCTATCTGTCCCATCCAATCATGCAACAGCTGTCCTATGGGATCTTCGCCAAATGCAGACTCGTTAAAATGCTGTAAATCATCGAAACAACCCCGAAAAGCATCGTCAACAGCAAGAAGTGAGGATGCCTCTGCGTTCTGCAGAGGCCATCCACCGGAAGGGACATTATTCATTGTATAATCCGTGGCTTGGATTGCTGGATATTCCATGTTAGGGCTCAGAGAATGGCGAGGTACAGGAGAGGGTGCAATTGGTTGTGGGCCAGCTGCCCTTTCGTGTGAAGTGTGATAATCCACCGCATCCTTCAAAACAGCGTCACCTAACCGATCAAAGACGTGATGGCATTGACGAGGTATATTTCCACGTTCCGAAACAGCAACCAGGACATTGGAGCATGAACGGGAAATGTTGACAATTTCCAAAATTGATGGATCTGATCCTAAAATCGGTAGGTCGAAGGCTTGTCGATGATTCTTCCTGGAGCGAAAGTGCCGTCCAGCGGCATAGAGAAAGGAAAGACCGGCCATGAAGACACTATGCAAGGTGATCCAGGTATAATTCATTCTCGAGAGTCCATGAAGATGTGAATAATAGTCAATTGACTGCTTCGCAGAAGAATATATGATCGGCAACACGACGCTTGCCCGGGACGAGTTCAACGGAAGAGCTGGAGATGGCCGATATAACATGAGAAGAGCGTTATGATACAGCAGCTCGTACCACTGTGGGGTTAAGAAGCTGGAAGACCAAGATATAGTGGATAATCCAGTACATGGGTTGAGTTTCAATGAGGGCGTTTGAAGTCGCCATCGTTCCAGCTCATTGAAAAGATCCGCCTGTATGTTCAATGCTAAGGCTTCATCAATATCATGGCAACCTTGGTGCAAGGATGTCATAATTTTGCCACAAATAATTCGGTATCGAGTTATATGAACAAAGGCAGCGATCCGTTGTCGATTTTCGGTCGATATCATCTCGCTTCGTTCTGTGAGACTCGGGAACTGCGCAGCTTCGCAGTCAGGAAGAGCAAGATTTACGTCTTCTATATTGATCGCCAGTGGTCGGCCTAGTGTAATACTAAGCACGCTGAAGCCAAAGAATGTCAAAATTAGTCTCCAATATCGCTTTATTACGTGAAGTCAACTTACCGGTCCATAGCCAATAGACACCAAAAGCACCTTCGACTTATTGCAGAGATCGATTGCTGTGCAACGTCGAAATTTTCTCGATACCCATACCCTTGTTCTCGATGGAGGCCCATCTCAAAACACATGCGTGCTGCCACCCCAACCATATGCCACAAACTTGCAGATGTTTCTTGGGTGGAGCTTGTTAACCAGTACTGGCAAAGAAGTAGAATCGCCTGTAGGGCCTCTAGGCCTCCAAGAGATAAAATATCACCCAGTTTTGAGATACCTTTGGCCTGGTACATCTCCGCTTCTGGTAGTGATTGCCAGTGAAGCTTTTGAACATGTGATGTGGAAATCGCCACAATCATATAAAAGACGAACGACTCGTAGGGCTTGTTTTCCAATATAGATGGATCCGCATATATTCGACTCAGGTTCGTCTTTGCCAGATCCTCAGAGATAATTGGATAGCATATATGATCGTGTTTGAAAAAGGCGTCGTGAAGATCACGAGCCAAGCTCTCTGGAGGATATGACGGTCCTTCGTTAATCAATGTTGAGCGTTGTATTGATGCAGGCGATTTCGCAGATACCGGTATGGGTCTCAGATTCTGGGCTCGCAGTGTTCTACTGGAAGACTTATCAGTTTCGATGGCGGACTTGAGCAGATCTGCAAGAAGGAGCCCGCTTGTAGATCCAAGATACTGCCGTTGACCCCCAGCATTAAGGGAAAGAAACGACACCTCATCAGAAATTTCATTTCGCCCCTCATTTGCAGGTGGTGAGTTATTGACATCGGGGGCGTTAGATGTGAGTGTCTCCAATCTCGCCGTCAACAATCGATTATGTTCCTCTGTTTGGCGCAATCGATATTCCAGTTTCTCAACGACATCGCGTCGGACAGTTGGTTCCTTAGTTCTGTCGGTATACACGCAGACAGCGCCAGCCTTGCTGCATAAGCGACAGGATGGTTTTAGCCTGTCACATCTAGATTTCCTTTTACGGCACCGATCGCAAGCTTGCATAATTATTCGGGTCTGATCTCTGCCTTTGCTGAGGAGAATGGGAGGTGTGGAGTGCGGACGAGGGGTCCGATCGAAGGAAATCCTCCCCGATCCTGTGACAGACTACCACTCCTTCGATCGGAGACGGGCTCCGACTCCGGACCCACAACTAAGAATTGTGGAGTTCTGGGGGAGATGTTGGGGAAATGAAGGAATTCAAAATATCTACATGTACAGAGCTTGGAGCCCTCTTTCCCCGGACTTTCTTCTCCACACTTCTCCTTTTTCATCCTTGTAACATGGCCAAATCCCCCGAAATGCAGGATGAAAAGGACTTTACGACAGGTACGGTAGAAGGGTTGGAGATGGGAATAACAAATCAGGTATGTATTCCAAGATTACATGCACCTGCTGTAGGAAATACCTAATGGCTAACAAGCATGGTAGGGTGAACATATTCATTCCGAAATTCAAGTCGACTCCTACGAAGAAAGTCGCCTCATTCACAAGCAAGACCTCCGGATACTGCCTTTGTCAGCTGGGATATATCTACTCTGCTACCTGGATCGTTCAAATATTGGTGTGTATGGTTCAAAATACTGAGACTCGTCGAGTCATTCACCTACTTGAACATTATGGTATATTCGATTGGCTGACTTGGTCAAAAAAGGAAATGCAAAAACTCTCAACGCGGACACGGGCAACGACTTGCTTCAGGAAACGAACATGACAGACCACCAGTATATGTGAGTGGATTTACTATTAGTGCCGGAAGAAATTGCATCTCAAAGCTAATAAAATCCAGAATCGCTCTGATGGTCTTTTTGATTGCCTATGCAGTTTTTGAAGTCCCTTCAAACTACTTGCTAAAGAGATTGAAGCCAAGTGTAAGAATCCTCTACGAACTAATATCTGCCATCGACTGTTAATCTGATTTGGAAATTCCAGCGCTGGATTGCCTTCCTTATGTTCTCATGGGGAGCGATCACCATGGGCCTTGGAGGTACACAAAACTTTGGTCAGGTGGCGGGTGTACGCTTCCTCCTAGGAGTAATTGAAGCCGGTCTATTCCCAGGTCTGGTATATTATCTCACTTTCTGGTACAAAGTCTCAGAGCGATCATTGAGAGTCGCTCTTATATTGGCTTCCGCCACTTTGGCTGGCGCATTTGGAGGAGCTATTGCATACGGAGTGGGATTCATGAACGGTGCAAGTGGTCTCTCCGCCTGGAGATGGCTCTTCATCATTGAGGGAGCTCCGTCTTGTGCATCTGCAATCCTTGTTTGGTTCATTCTCCCGGACTATCCGGAGACATGCAATTTCCTTAACTCTGAGGAAAAGGCGTTGGCAAAACAGAGACTTGGCGCGGAGGGAAGCGATCGCGAAAGAAGGTCAATGACCTGGAGCGATGCTAAAGCTGTCTTGACCGAGTGGCGACTTTATGCACATTATCTGGTATGGGCATCTGGTTGAACCTTTGAAGTCTCCAAATCGAACGATTCCAGTTACAGCTAACCAATATTAAGATTTACTTTGGAATTTCCACCCCATTCTCTAGCCTGTCACTTTTCACCCCGACAATTACAGCTGGTCTAGGATACGAAAACCTCAAAGCCCAATTAATGACCGTTCCACCGTATGCCGTGGCGTACGTGGTAACTCTCGCAGTTTCTTGGTCTGCAGACCACTTTAACGCGTAAGATTCCTTCTCCATTCCTCCTCGCAAATCTTGCACTCAGTGATAATGCTAACAACAATGACATACAGTCGCAGTCTTCACTCCGCAGTATTCTCCTTCATTGGTGCCATGGGTTTCCTGGCTTCGGCAGTTCTCCCTGCAGATGATTACCGCGTAAATACTTCCTTGAATACCATTATTGTAAATCAATAAATGAATACTAATAGTTCCTCTCATTAGTCTCGATACGGATGTTTGATAGTCGCGGCTTCGGGGGCATTCTCATGTATCCCTCCTCTCTTGGGTTGGTTGTCTTCCAATCTACACTCGTCGGCTGAGATTGGACTAGCCATTGCATTGAATATCTCCTTCGGAGCACCCGGTCAAATCGTCGGTGTCTGGATTTACAAGTCCGATCAGCAGGCGCGAGGATTTCCAACCGGACACTGGACGAACGCGGCACTGCTTCTTCTTGTTTCATTTACGTGCGTCCTTATGCGACTTTATTATGGATGGTTGAATAAAAGGTCCCCTCACAACCAAATAAAATACGCTTACTGAGGTATTTCAAGGCAATGATTTGCGATCCTCTATCAGGTCTAATTGGATTGCGGTATATTATTGTGTGAAAGCCTGTACATGTATATTCATCTGGATCGCCTTATACAATTATTTTATTTTCCCTCGTGAGTGATTGAAGAACAAAATGAAAGTAAAAGGCAAAAGTCGATAATCTCACCATCTACAGTGCCGGTGTTGATATCCTGTTGTTGAAAATGCAAGCTTTTGGAGAGCCACTAGGTAAGAGTGTCAAAAATTATAACCAAATATAGAGTAAAGAAAATAATGAATTTCTGACTAACGAATAAATCAACTACAGTATCAGCCGTACCCGATTTATTCATCACAATGCTGCTGCAGGCAAGAACGAAATCCCGGACGGCTCCACTGAAATTTCTGTCTATGCTCCACTCTTCTACATTGCCGACTTTTCCGACCTCGGGAGGATTCATAATCAAACCAATCATATCACCGGCTTCCCAGATATACCTGGCAAAGCATTGACTTGTCTAGGAAGTTACCGAGGTTCCGGCTATGAAGGTGGACCATCGACTGCTACATTATGTACACATTCTTCGTTTTTTTTTAGGTGGCAATGGTTATTTTTGACTTTTGACATTACGCCCTGTTGATCCTATAACAGGCTGATCTGCATCGAAATTACTTCTGGAAGCTGTGACAGACCCATCTACAGAACCACAGTAGATCTAGAGGGCCCTGTTCAGATTTTCAAAGAATGGCAGCTCCCAATACTGGAGATGCGGGCATTTCGCTTCCATCCAAAATCCCATTTTGGCGTCTCGTCTTCGACCAAAAAGTTATCACTGATGAAGTAGCTCGATACCCATACGCTGGTTCCGGCACCGAAGATGATCCTTACGCTGTCGTCTGGATACCACGCGATCCCCGCAATCCAATGAACTTTAGCACCGTCAAGAAATGGTCCGTCACAATCCTGGTATCATTCGTCACTTTAGCTGTCGCGTTAGTGTCATCCGCCTACTCAGGTGGAATGAGCCAAATCATCGAGCAATTCGGTGTAGCTGAAGAAGTCGTTATCCTCGGAGTGTCACTCTTTGTTCTCGGCTTCGCCATCGGGCCTCTCATTTGGGCGCCTCTGAGTGAAATATTTGGTCGTCGTCATATCTTCACTATCAGCTTTGCTTTCTTGACTGCGTTCAACGCCGGCGCGGCAGGTTCGAAAAATATTCAAACCTTGATCATTCTCCGGTTCTTGGCAGGATGCTTTGGCTCTTCACCATTCGGTAATGCAGGAGGTACAATTGCAGATATGTTTCCTGCCTCGCAGCGTGGAATCGCGATCAGTTTCTTTGCTGCCGCTCCGTTCTTGGGTCCGACAATTGGTCCTATCATTGGAGGCTTTCTTGCTACTGGAGCTGGGTGGCGATGGGTTGAGGGCTTCCTCGCTGCCTTCTCTGGTGCGCTATGGCTCTGTATCATCTTTCTTCTCCCAGAGACATACGCGCCTGTTCTCCTCCGTCGGAGAGCCGCGAAGTTATCTGAGATGACTGGCCAAGTGTACCGGAGCAAGCTTGATATCGAGCGTGGGCCTATCCCAATGAGCAAAACGCTCAAGACTGCCCTATCACGTCCCTGGATCTTACTTTTCCGTGAGCCAATCGTCCTTCTACTTTCCATTTATATGTCGATTATCTACGGCACTCTCTACATGCTCTTCGCCGCCTACCCGATTGTATTCCAGGAAGTCCGGGGCTGGAGTGAAGGCATCGGTGGCCTTGCCTTCTTAGGTATTCTGGTCGGCATGATCATCGCCGTCGCGTATACATTCCCAGAAAATTTTCGATACGCCAAAAAATGCAGCCAAACTACCGATCGTCTTGCCCCAGAGGTCCGACTACCCCCTAGCATGGTCGGAGGTATCGCGCTGCCGATCGGATTATTCTGGTTCGCCTGGACAAACTCACCCAGCATCCACTGGATGGTGTCTATTGCCGCGGGAGCCCCATTCGGATTCGGCATGGTTCTCGTATTCCTCAGTGTGTTCAATTACCTCATCGACTCGTACACGATCTTTGCCGCCTCAGTCCTAGCCGCAAACTCCGCCCTTCGATCCCTATTCGGCATGGCCTTCCCGCTCTTCACAACATACATGTATCAAAATCTCGGAATCCACTGGGCCTCCTCCATTCCCGCATTCTTATCTCTCCTCTGTGTTCCCTTTCCGTTTATCTTCTACAAATACGGAGCTCAGATCCGCCAACGGTGCACCTACGCTGCTGAGGCGGATGCATTTATGCGCCGGCTGGCTGAGAAGAACCAAGCAGAGACTCGACAGGAGCCTGCTGCGATTGAAACAGAGAAGCCTGTCCTCCAGGCAGTTGTCTCTGGCGAGATGAGTGATAGCGACAGTCTGTCAACTGTTCCTTCGCGTATCAGTATCGGACGTCGTGCATCTCGAGCATCGCGAATGTCTCGCCATTCTGGCCCGTCATTGCATCGTACTGCCACTGCGACGCAATATGAAGAGAACCCTTATGATTTGGATTTAGTCAATACCCGGCAATCAGCTATCAGCACTCATCGCTAGCACTGATACGCTGACCACAAAAGTTCATATATTTTAATAATTAATATACATTCTATTCCATTGGCATTCCTGTACTTTTTGTAGTCCGTGCTGTCGCCTCTCTTGTGCATCAAGTGTCTACATCGTAATAACTGACAGTAACGATCCAAACTTACTAACTAGGTAGGCTTTTTGGTCGAATGGGATTATCCAACAATAACTAACAAAAATCACTCTAAAATAACTACCTCAAACTCGGTGTTTATTCTGATCTTGAATTTCAACATGAATAATCAAATAAATAAGGTACAATATTTCGCTGTTGTTCCGTTGCACTTGTTACACTCCCGAATTTCCTGATCACTCATCAGCCCCACACAACCTCGGCCCACCTCCACCTCGGGCTAGGCGCAGTCGCGAGCTATATGAGAAACCTCTTGAACAACACGTATATGATCACACAATCGTCTCCAGCTTGAGGAAACCCCAATTGACGCCACAATGACAAGCAAAATAGACGCGTATATTGATTGCGGTATGGTCACGCTACCCCAGCCCCTTAACATGCATTCCTGCCCCGCATAGGAACATCGCAATCGCGCAAAGCTAATACCAATATTAGTCTCGCCATATTCATACTACGCACTGGTTTACCTGCGCCGCAATCGCAAGGCACTAGAATCCCATGGCGTAGAGGTTGAGTGAGTGGTGAGCTGGGGCCCCTTGGTCCGTGTCTGTGTTAACATTTATCTTATCAGATTCCATCCTATCTTCTTAGGAGGCGTCAACGTTGGCTCTGGTATGTTTAAGTTCCTTTCATATCATATTTAAGAGATGAGTAGAATACTCAAAATAAATATGACAGGAAATAAACCACCATGGACATTACCAGCCAAGGCCGCATATGGGAAATATGATGGACAACGCGCAACTAAATACTTCGGTGTTGCACCGATAAAGACACCGGACTTCTTCCCTATCCTATCTATTATGGTAAGTGAGAATTCCCAATCAAATACACATCGAAATACTTACATTAAAAGCCCCAACGATGCATGATCTATATCAAGAACAATTTCCCGCGTGAAAAATACGAGACTGCATTTCTCTCACTGTCAGAATGGATGTATCATAAGAACATTGATATCAGCAAGCCAGATAAAATGGCTGAGCTTCTGCAAACCCATGGGTTCTCAAAGGAAGACATTGAGAAGATTCTAGCTGCGGCGTCGAGTCCGGAGTATAAGCAGGCGCTTACGGACAGCACGCAGAAAGCACTTGATCTTGGTGCGTATGGGGCGCCTTGGTTTTGGGTTCGGAATAAGGAAGGACTGGAAGAGCCTTTCTTTGGAAGTGATCGGTATGTGCGACGGGTCTTCTCCATTTTTGTTAGCATGATTGTTAACATTGAATGATATTAGGTTCGCGTTTATGTGGCAGTATCTCGGTCTGCCGTTCCAGGATGTTAGGATTATTGAGAACGAGAAAGCAAAGCTGTAATTAAACTAGTTTTCTGTGACTCAGTCAGTTGAATTCAATTTCATCAAATTAGTGTGGAATGTGGTTCAACAGGTAAACATCGGACATAATCGGGACCCGATGCGTGCGGTACGACCGGGCCGTGCGGCTCGTAGTCACGATCGGATCTTGCATAGTAAATTCTTCACGATCAGTAGAAATTACGTACTAACTCCATAAATGACAAGGCTATGACTCTTCAAGCTAATAGAAATAAACGAATATAAAAGACTCCTTCTTTTCCCGCATTCTGTTCTCATTGTTCCTCCATCTCATTGTCTTGATTGTCTTCAACTTCAGAGCCGGTTAAGAACTAACCCCCGTTCCACTCTTCCCCATTTACCCCACGCTGCTCCACGTCCGAAGGTCCGATTTCATCATATAAAGTCAATCCCAACTCCAATCCTTTCAACCCATTTCCACCATCTACAATTATCAGTACCTCAATTGATTGAAAACTACAACCATGTCCGGACTACACGTTACCTGGATCGGCCTCGGCAACATCGGCCGAGTAAGTTACTCAAACACCCCACACAAGCTCTGAACAATCACTAACAAAAACCAGGGCATGAGCGCCAACGTCGCTAAGAAAGGCCCCCAAGCCTCTCTGACGCTTTACAACCGCACCACTAGCCGCGCAACAACCCACGCAGAATCCTTAAATAACCCATCCGTTAAAGTGGCCACTACAATCCCCGAAGCAATCTCCAACGCGGATATCGTCTTCACCTGCCTAGGCGACGACAAGGCACTAGAAAGCGTAATCTCCAGCATCCTCTCAATACCAAACATCAACTTTGCCACCAAGACATTCGTCGACTGTTCAACCGTGCACCCAGATACATCCCGCGCCACTGGAAAAGCCTTCAACGCCGTTGGCGCATCATTCGTCGCAAGCCCCGTGTTCGGAGCCCCAAACATGGCAGATGCAGGAATGCTTATCATCGTTCCAGCTGGAAAACAAGATGCCATTGCTAAAGCGCGACCTTTCTATGAGGGCGTCACTGCATCAAAGACAATTGATTTGTCTTCTGGTACTGGTGCTGATATTGATGTTGGAAAAGCTACGACAATGAAGGTCATTGGGAATACATTTATTCTTAATACTGTTGGTGTGCTTGCTGAGGCTATGACTGCGGCTGAGACTACGGGGTTGGGCGTTGAGCCGTTGAAGGAGTGGATTGAGATGTTTGCGCCGGGACCGTTTGCGAAGTATGCGAATCGCATGGTGACGGGTGATTATTATACGAGGGATGAGCCTTTGTTTGCAGTTGATCTGGCCAGGAAGGATTTACGACATGCGTCTAATTTGGCTAAAGAGGGTGGACAGCGGATGAGGAATGTTGAGGTTACTGATCATCTGTTGAGTGTTGTTAAGGAGGAGATGGGAGAGAAGGGCGATATTGCGGGTGTGTATGGGGCTGCTAGGAAGGAGGCTGGATTGGAGTATGGGAATCAGAACTAAATAGAGTGAGTTGGGGGGGGGGGGGGGGCTTTTAGTGTTTACAGTCCACTCCATATACTACTTGGGTAGGACTTTTTGTTTATTATTTTTGTTACTTACGTTGAAATTGTTTTTTACAAAATGGAAACACGGTTATGGTTCAATGCCATTTCATTTGACTAGAGATAAACTCGCCTTCGTCTTTTTGCGAAGCGCCGTAGCAACATGAGTCTCTCTTTCTTCAGTATGCACACACGATTAAACATCATTAACTAGAATACATGATCAAGCCTTTTTTGTGTAGTGGCTTCTTTTGAAGTGAAATTATTACTCTCCAATTTGATGAAGTAGCAGGTTTACTGCTGCTCCTCGGAGATCTCAGCAGCAGCATCGTGATGCTGGTGCTCGCCGACGCCACCCTCAGCAGGCTTAGGGCCATGAGGAGCGTGGAGATCGGCAATGATACCCTCAGGGGCAACCCAGCTAGCGGACTTCCAGGGCTTGACGTGCAGGACGTACATGGTGTCGACCTCCTCAAGAGTGCGACCCTGGGTCTCGTTGACGAAGAAGAAGACAACGAGAATAGCGGCGAAACAGCAAGCAGCGAAAACGTATCCGTAGCTGTAGTCGATAGAGCTGGAGATGAAGGGGGTGAAGAAAGAGATGAGGAAGTTCCAGGTCCAGTTGGCAGCGGTGGCGACACCCATGCAGGTAGCACGGTAGCGGAAGGGGTACATCTCACCACAGATGGCCCAAACGATGGGACCCCAAGTGGTAGCGAAACCGACGATGAAGAAACAGGTGAAGACGATCATGACGACACCAGCGGAGTGGTTACCGGGGTCGGCGTGGAGGACCTCGTGACCGACGGAAGCCCAGATCATGAAGCAGATGAACATCCAGGCGGCACCAATCATAAGACAGTTACGGCGACCATAGTGCTCGACGATGTACAGACCAGGAAGGGTCATACCGAAGTTGACGGCACCCAGGATGATGGAAGTAACGTAGGAGTTGCTGAGACCAACACCAGCGAAGATGGAGGTACCGTAGTAGAAGATGAAGTTAGCACCAGTCAGCTGCTGCAGAGACTGCAGAGCAATACCAAGCATGGTACGGTGGAACATGCGGGGACCAGTGAGAATCTCGTGCCATGGAGCAACACCAGCGGCGGTCTCCTCATCGAGCTTCTGCTTCATATCGGCCATCTCCTGAGCAACAACGCGGTGGTTGGTGGGAACACCGTAGAGCTTAGCCATAACCTGGCGGGCCTCATCGACACGGCCGTGACGGTAAGCGAAACGGGGAGACTCGGGTAGGAAAAGGGTACCAACACCGAGAATCAGAGGCCAGGCGAAACCAATACCCATGGTGATGCGCCATGAACCAGTGGAGTGGGTCATGCGGGAGGTACCGAAGTTTACGATGTAGGAGATAAAGATACCGAAGGCAACGAACAGCTGGAAAGCGCTGACCATGGCACCACGGACCTGGCGAGGAGCGGACTCGGACTGGTACATGGGGACAACGCTGGAGAGGGCACCAACACCCAGACCCATGACCCAACGACCCATAGCAACCTGGTACCACTTGTCGGTAGCGGCAATCTGCACGATGATACCGACCATGTTGATAAGAGCCCAGAAGGAGATAGAGAGCTTGCGGCCAATGCGGTCAGCAATGGGAGCGGCGATGAGGGCACCGATCATAGTTCCGATAGACAGCTGCAACAAAAAGATAAAATATTAGATCCTTGTTCATAATGACATGTGGTACAACATGAACTGCAGCAAACAAGAGAAACTTACCAGACCAACAATGAGACCATTGCGAACGTTGCTGAATTCGTACTCGCTACCGTTGTATTCAGCAAAGCGCTGCTTGAAGTCGGTCATAGAGGTGAAACCCGAGATTTGACCTGAATATGGAGTTAGAACCGTAGGATATCCCTGCTAGATGATCAATTGATCAAGATTGTGAAACCTTACCAGTCGAGTAACCGAAAATGAAACCACCCATGGAGACACATAGACCCAAGATAAACGAGCGCCATGTCAAGTACTTGACAGGGCTGTCATCAATGATCATGTCATTCTTCTCGACAGTGGAGTCGGCGCGAGCAGGAGTAGCAGCCTGCGAAGAGAACTGAGAAGACTCCTTGGCCTCGGCTGAGGGCTTGAGCTTCGACATCATGTTGCCAATGCCCATTGTGAAAAAAGACCTATCCAGGTATATGATATTACTGGAAGAGGGTTGGGAAAACCTGTGAGGGGGATGGGGAAAGAAAAAAGAAAAGAATCCAGCAGAGTAGGAAGGGGGGGGGGAAGGTTAACAAATAAATACAATTCCTTGAACGGAGACTCGGCTTTTCCCCCTTGGGGTACCATGGCAAGACCAGATGGGGGCCCGGATCTCGCGTCCCACGTTTGGTAGCCGGGATGGGGCGGAGGAAATTTCATGACTCCATGGGCAGCATAACTCCATACTGTTTGGAGGGTTTCTTGGGGTGGAGAAGGTGGAGTAGCGCAGGTATTCAGGGCGGGATTGACCACGTGAGGAGGGATGCAAACGGGGAAACAACACGAAAACGGAAGTCGCGGCTGTACGGCTGCATACATTAGCAAGATTGAACATAGCAAACAATCATTATTGTTATTTTAATAACAATTTAATTTTAGAAAGTTCGAGTTCAGTATTTACTTTACATTCTCGTTGAATTCAATTATGTTTACAATTCCTGAATACCGCAAATGTCTGAGACCGCATGCCAATCCACACCCAATCTAGGGTGCGAGCGTTTGGCATGTCATTTCACCACAATAGCCGAGTTTCCATTAGTTGGTCTTTGCCACCCTTCTAGAAAACTACGAAAACCAGTAACTGGGTCTCGAGCATGGCGAATGAGATTGTGGTGCCTGGCCGAACAACGGATAAAATCCGTGGTCTGAACCACTTAAGTTAGGGTCGGCTGCGATCGATGACAACACAAAGCGACATGAAAAAAAATTTGTTTAATTTACAGCCATTAATTATTTATAATGGTAATGAAAATAAAAGTAAAAGTAAAAGTAAAAGTAAAATTTTAGAAAAATAGATGCGCGTCATGAATGAATTAAGGAAACTATAGCGACAACTTTAACAGAGCCTATTCTGTATACTGTGTATACGAACCAGGCCTCAACCTAGTAACTTTCGTTGACTCTGCTTTCTACTTCGCATTATCTATCTTCTTTCTCATTTACAGGTTCCTACAGGCTCCTGCAGGAATAAATGCCCGCCAAATGCCCGAGACTGGAACAAGGTCGCGTTGAAAAATATTCATTTTATTTCATTTTTAAATTGTTTAGAGAGAAAAAAGTCTCAAGTACGGTTATCCGAGTGGGTCAATTAGATTCTTCGGCGCTGGAGATAGGCCCGGTCTCAGATAACGACGATCACCACAAGATCAAAACAGATCAACATATAGACAACGTTTTTCTTCTCATACCAGTATTAAAGTTGGACTTAAGGTCAAATAAATTCTATATAACCTTGGGAATCGGTCGAAGTTATATCTTGCTCCGGTGAGACGCCTAAGAGTCCCAACTTCATTCCTGGCGGGCTGATAAGAGCACCGCAGCACAGATGTGTAGTTCGGTGTGGTTCAACACGGCCAGCCCCACTCACCGAAGTGAAAAAACCACCTTCGGTCGACTCCCGCGCAGAGACTTCCGATCCGTTGAGCTTTTCATAGGCCCCACTCTAGCCCAATCGGCACACCGAGTCTGCTGTCCCGAGTCCGACTCGGGATCGATGCCGTTTAGGATAAGGTGCAGAGATACACATGCATAGGCCAGACCCAATGTCGGATGTCTGATTTATAGATATTTTTCACTCGGACATGTCTTTTATACACATGAATTATGTAAAGATCTGTTTTGCGACCGCTTTCCCATACACACTCACTGAGAAACTCGGCACTGAAAAATCTTCACTCGGCATCCCGAAAACACGGGATCGCCCTAAAGTGGGCAGAGCTATAACGGAACCAAAATCTCAATTTTCAAGGAGACCCACTCTGCCCAAGCCCCTTCCGCGATCTGCGGTGAACAGGCTTGGAAAATTTCTGTTGAAATCAGGCCACTGCAAATTTCATTCAAAATTGTGAAAAGGGGCTCGGTGGGCCCTGAATCTCAAGCGCCTTCCTAAATCATACGAGGCTACCTGTCGTATCGGTGATTATCCAATCGCTTTGTTCTCGCAATTTCTCCGACTTTCAAGTTGAGAGATTTAAATGTGATCAGCATTCTTTTTTGGCTACATGCGCCGACAATCATATGCATCGATATGCATGTAACTATACTGCATGTACTCCATACTTTGTACCCCAAATGTACTCCAGAGTCGCTCCAATCCCCAAGCCGTCAACGGGCATGAGTTCCAAATCAAACTAGAATCCTCCTTAATGTCATTCTTCTTTGTTACAGTAACACCTTCACAAAACTAATATGCTGAAAGTTATTGAATGAAAAATATGATGAGAACGGGAACCTTGGGTCAACAAAAATTGATATCTGGACTGGTGGAATGTTTCATGGCCTAGACTCTGTCACCCAAACTGGGAACTTCAACGAAATTGTCTCACGCTAGAGTGTCACTGACGCAGTTCCAAACTCTCTTTCTTCTGTCATCCACGGCACTTGGCCATCAGTCCGAAACAGGAATCGGTTTACCAACATGATAGCCTGGGCACTGACATCGCACAATACCCCACACCCATCATGAATTTACTCCATTCTGTGGAGTACAGAGGAGTAGCCGTGCCAGGAACACTAAGTTGGACGGCAATGCAGACTCACGTTCAAGTACACGGCTAGTACATATCGTGGATACTAGTAGCTGTGAATAAATTAACTCAGGCTGCCGACCTTTCAAGGCTGTCAATCCAATATCGGGCTGAGGGGTAAACGGTCAAAGCCTTGAAATGGAACTCTGAGTCGTTTGTTAGGCACATGTTAGATCGGATTGACTCAACCTTGGAAACTTGAATATATATTTCATGAATATTTAGAAACTGAAACTTGAATTTTAACGTAATCGCGAGGTCGAAGAGAAGAGTCACAGTTGACCTTTAGGAGTCCCCTGGCTCGTGGAATCATCTCTTGAACATCGTCAGCACTTGAGCCAATAAGGTTACTACATTGGTATTCTCCGGGCGAGAGATGGTACTCTATTACGTAGCCGTTTAAATCTATTCTGTCAAAGTGCAAATTTCCAAGGTTATTTGGCTTCACTTCTTGGCACTATTCTTCTTCAAGTTGGGCCCTGGTATACTATATTCCTGGACAATGAGGAACTATCACCCGTGGACCTCCCTTACCAACTGACCTATTCACTCTCTTTATTCGCCTTCCCGCTCTGAACCTGGCCGCTTGGCAGTTCTATTTAGCTTACCCTTCCAAGTCATGCCCCACGCAAGCCGTCGATGAATGAGGCTACGCCACCCTCAATCTCGAATGACGATTCTGTTCAAATCCTTGGAGTCAAATATCGTACCTAGACAAAGCTTCCTCGGTAGTAATCATCAGTGATAAAAGGAATATATCCGTTTGGCAAAGAAGTTCAGTAAGTCGTGGCCCTAAGTTAGCAGAATATATGAGTACCAGGCGAATTATGATGAATTTCAAGGAATTAAACCAATTACTACCAAGCCTACCTCACGCTCCTGCCTACGCTTTGAACTCTTTATTGCATATCCGACGGCAGCGGAGCGCGCCGTGCAACAAAGAGGGGACATGCGCTCCTTTATTGAACGGATACAGGAATGAAAACATCTAAGATTTGTGTAAGACCGAGGCCACCTTAAGCCATCAATTCAACGCTTTGAATTCTTTGAGCTGTCGTCACTCGCTGCCGTATGGTTATTGGCTAGAATGGGCCCCCACTTTTTCGAGTGAGATCATTGATAAGATTCGGTTCCTTTCAATCGAATTCTTATCGTGCGTGACGATCCGATGGGGGCTCAACTTCACTCCAGTATAACAGTGGAGAATTGATTACAAGGTTAAGTTCATTATTAGAACTTGAATGAGCATATTAGAATTTAACAAAGCAAATACAGAAGGAAACCATGTAGTATGGTTCGTATAATCAAGCCCAGGAATGTAATTATGGAAAAAAACTTTATGTTACTAAAAGGACTACTTGCAGTCTATAACGTTACAGTGAAATAAATCATTTCTTTATGGGTAAATCTAAAATCTTTGACAGAACAGCTACCGTGTAAATTCGGATTCCCCTTTCACGAAGAGTTTGCGTTCTAAATGGGAGCAAAATTGTTCATCTGAGTCAAGTCTCCACTCAATTGCATCCTTGATTGAAAGAGAGCCCCCGAAATAGATTAAAGAACCAAAGACTTCGAATAAAGAGCGAGCCTGGCTGGAAACGTCTAAGGTAGTATACCTTTCGAGGAAAGACTATCAAAGACAGTATTGGTTCTACAGTATTGGTTATATCACGATGGCAGTAACTTGGATATCTATATAAGAGCACCTCGAGCCTATCCGATATGTTTTTCTTTTCTCTCATCACCCATTTTCGTTCGATTAAATCATCTTCACGCATTCACTATGACAAAAATGGAAAATCCCTTCGAGTCCGGTGGGCTCAAGTCGACTCTGGGGGTATGTATCCGATTGATCCTATGGGGGTTCCTCGGACTCGTCGTCTCGATCGTCATGCTTGTTGGGGGTATCTTCCTCAGTCCCGTTACTGTGGCGTCTGCTTGCGCTTCCGCTTATGCTTTCTCGCGTGATTCTATTCGGCATGGATGGATCAATGGTTCACGTGTGATTCGGACCTTATTTGAGAACATTACAAATACCACCCTGGACTTCCCCTCGCAGCTTTTCAAAGGGTGGCCGAATACTTTTAGTTTGACCTCTAGGCTTTCGCAGCATATGGCGAATTCTAGAAGAAAATTCTTCCAGTTCGGAGGGGATTCCTCCAGGTATAGTGGTAGTTTTTCTGGTGATCTTACAATTAGTTCCGCCGATACCTTTGGTTATAATCTTGAGCCGGCCTATGAGGATCGGGTTCTTTATGATCGAGGTTTGGAAATGTCCTTGTGGATTAGATTCATTGGAATTAATTGCCCTATATCACGTCTTGCACAGGATTGTTTGACTTGGCCGCAGTTAACGCGGGTGGCAACTATCGACCACCAGACGAGTACTAGTAACTTTCTAACTCACCTAGACGATTGGATTACTTCGATGCTCCCAGACCAGCAGGTACCTAACACGCCTCGTAACACCTGGACTGTTCAGTCTCGTGATGCTCGTGATGCGTCCGGAGGGCATGTTCATATGTCAACCAAAGACGGCATTGTTGTTATCGATTATGTCTACCGTCCAGAGGATGGCTCATTCCCCCATGTACGCCCCATCGTCAATGAACTCTACCAGACAGCCCATGGCACAACCCCGCTGAAACATATTCTTGTTACTAATGTTGGTAATCGTAACACTTTAATTACCTGGATAAGTTTGACCTGGGTTGGACCACTTGGACCGCTGAGGCCGAGGGGTCACCGCGTGAGTTTTGTATGGCTCTGGGCACCAGGATCGGTAGATTAGCGGGATACATTACAATTGTAGCTTACACCGAGGGGGATCACGTGATATCGAGCTGTTTCGTGACGATGTAGATGGCACCGACTACCTACGTTTCGATATTTCCCCTGTCTCTGACTTTGCTTAGATTGAATATCATTTGCTAACATCCTAATAGATCGAATCGGAATTTATGCGAGGTTTTTTTCCGGCTCTTCCCGAGCTTGTTTCCCTCCAGATCTATCGCTGCTTTGGGTGGCAACTTTGGGACAAATGTGATTCTCAATCAACCCGGTCTATTTTATGTGGTCCGCTTTTTTTTTCTTTTTGGCTTTTCTCGGCCTTCGCAATAACTCCTTTCATTGCTTTTTCTAAGACTGTTTGATTGGTCAAGCCCTTGCTACTGTTTACTAAATTGATACCTGGCTTTCCTCTCATCATCAACCCCACTATTCGTAACCGGGACTAAATCTAAATCCCACCAAATTGAGGCAAATTTGTAGTTGATGATGTCTTTATCGTTCAATATATCTCAACGCATAGCATTTTCAGGTATACAATTCTCATTCCCGGCTATCAATCAACGGCCTACCTGAAAAGTGACGCGGAGAATGCTAGTTACTACTAGATGTCGAGAAACAACAAATATTACCTCACTTTTCTATTTCAACTCAGATATAATGATTGGCGCGGTTGGATTGTTCAGGCCCGCCAAGAGTTTGGGAGCGAAAAACTGCTCTCAGTTTGACGATGAGAGGGCATCTTAGTTGTTTTTCTTTCCAGAGCCGAGTCGGGACATTTAGGAATTTTTTGACGGAAAGGTCTGACGGAGACCCGGCGTTAGGCTCTGGAATAAACTCTCTGTTCCATTTCATTTCTATTCTTGATGAACGTTGATACTGGAAAAAACGCAGGATATATACTATCAGTTATATACACATAAAGACCCACTGGTACGCCTTATCGACCTATAAGAGGCCCAGGCAGCAAGAGTACCTGATTGAGCGATTGGCCAGCGACGGGCAAGACCTCTATCTAATGTTCGGGGATGTGGTTGAAATACGTTCTTAAGCTGCAGAAATATGAGCATTTTATGCTTTATATTTCGACGCCAATTACAGTAGGACAATGGATGGATGAGATGGACGTTGATTTTGAGCTATCATTGGCAGAGAATATTCAATCTCTGAGCATCTGGCTGACTACTCTAGAATCAGAAAATTTTCAAGTCGCAGCCATGAAAATTGAAACTACGTGAATACGTAGTATCACATTTTATGAAGTTTTAGAGCTCATTTAATACCGGAGCGACCTTGGGAATGAGCTCATTTCCATTTCTTGGGTCTTCAACTTAAATCGTGTCCGAATTCGAGCGGTTTCTTCAGAAGAAACTCACGTTCCCAGATCATGATTCCAGAACCCCGACCACCCTTCGACCAAATCCAAGAAACAATATTTTTCTATCCCCGACAACAACGGTGGTATTCAAGTAGCAGTGGCAGCCATATGTTTCTTCCGACGCAATGCTACTGTTCGAACTACTAGTACTTTCATATAATCTTCAGAACAGGTATTAGGGGTTGGAGAAGTTGAGACGGAGTCCCAAGAAACATTTTCCTTCCTCAAACTTCACAAGCTACCGACTTCTCCGTTGTTTTGAGATAGGACAAAATGGTAGAGATTCAATTTGAAACAGAATCGCAGGCTCACCATACACGCCAATATTTGAAGGTTTCCGCCAGCTCCGCCCATTATGGTGCCTTATACACACATCATGAAGATGACTGGAGGGAAAGCGTCCGCAGAAGTATATGATGAAAGCACAACAGTCCTACCGAAAACGATCACAAAATGAAAGCTTATGACAGTGTTTCCAAGCTTCCGTCTGGGTCAAATTTGGTTGGTATCTTTGTAAATTGTGAACGATTCTACTCTATCGGGACTGTGTACGAGCCTTGCTAGATCTACCAGGACATTTCTTTATGATAAGATAGGAAATATAAATGGCTTTTCAAATACTATATCACTAAATTAAGCATCGGAGCTAGGCTCAGCGCCCAGATAGTACTACTCCCGTAAGTTAGTACTTATTTGCTATGATGATTGACTGCTTTACGTCTACTAAGTGCGTGGTGCTCTTTGAACCTCACCCCATTCCATGTAGTCTAGGTAGTACGTTCATCGCAATGCATAAAGCCACAGATTGCAAAGAGAGAGAGAGAAAGATAGTCCTAGGTAGCTGCATTCGAGCTATGGTTCATAGGCAACAGCTGAAGAAACCTGCAGTGATGATATGCCCTGGTCAATCAATGTACATCTTCTATGCTCTAAAGTCTGTTCATATAAAAATAGTACTTCCCTAAAGATATTGAATGCTATGAGCACTTTGTTAGTCATTGTGTACTTGACATAGACAAGAGCCAGTATCAAGACCTCACATGTACTAACTGCGCCTTAGAGAAAAAAATTTAATACCAAAGCTGGCAATTTCAAAATTGATTCACATACTGTTCCACTTTTGCGCTACTCGCATACTTCCTCTCCAGATTCTCGCTGCCCCCAAAGTATTTGATAAAATGAGTGATTTAGCTGGCGCATACGGGCTGTGTTATGCGGATTTTTGTTGGTATGCGTGTTGGGGATGAAAGAACAATGCCCTCCTTCTTTGTGACATGGCGTCTTGGTAATAGTTAGTATTCATTTGGTAATTGACCCTAAAAGCCTCCACGGTGAACTACCGAAAGAAATTGAAGTTTTCAAACTCACTTTCTTTTGACAAGGGACATGGTCGTATTGAGCAAGTCCATCGGGACCATTGGGCCCAACGCGAAAGTAACATTCTTGGTCTTTCACATCGCATTGCTAGCAGGAATTGAATACTTAGTATATTTCCACGTATAGGGGAATGATACGTGCAGCTTTATGGGGGGAGGCGAATTTTGAATGTAAGGGACATACCCCTTCAAAATGCTCTGGAGGTCGGTGTCTATCTTGATCGGGAAGCGGGTTTGCTCCCACAGTCATGAAAATAGAGAAAAGAAGAAGGGGGACGGGAAGTGAGAATCATTTCATCTTGATCGGGTAATAGCTGAAATAAAAGGCTTGGTTCGAGTTCTGCTTCCCAGAAGAAGCGAAGACTGTTGATGACTTAGGACCAAAGAGTTTTTATCTCAATTCTCCACAACTGGATGATAGATCGATATTTATAAATAAGTTCATCACTTAGTACAGAAAAATCGCTACGACCTTGAGATCTGCCCTCTGGGGTAATTTTAATAATTTGCCGTGATTTCTGTGGGATCAATTGATGTTTGACTACGCAGCCTTCCGTCTCATGTTCAACACACCTCCAATACTGACCATAATTTGGGCCAAGGCTCCTCGACCGGAGCCCGGATCAGATGACTTTCAGGTTCCATCGTGGGTAAGAGCATAAAGTTTGACCTATCATCGATTTATTCATAATAGCTCGGCAATATATGACACTTGGAAAGTGAAATTTACCGACTTTCTGTATCCCCTGTTTCGGGACCTAGCTTCTGTGTGACACGGATAACTTATTTTCTCCAAGGTTAGGCTATGAAACGACTATCTCCAGATTCGGGCATTTGTCTCAACGAGGGATGAGTTTTTCTAGTAGTGCTACTAGTAGTTCCTGCACATCTCTTCGATCATATACTGACTGATAACTTGAAAACAGCCTTACTGGAATGACTGAAATTTCCAGCAAGTGCTTTGGGGGGTTCGATTACGACAGACTAAATATCATTAAGAGACTCGTTGACCCGCAGGGTGTATTTTGGATTCGATTTTAAGTCGGAAATGAGACACGGAAGAAGGGCTGCTGCATGATGGGCATGTGCGCAATTGGAGTATCATGTGGTTTTTTGTCTTGGCTCTTGAGCCTTGGCGCTGATTGAAAGATGGAAAAAGTAATCAATTTACTATAAAGCGGCTATCTTCAAATTTTCGACTTTTGACTTCAGTCCCGACACAATGTCCACATCATATGGTTCTCTGATCTTAATAACGGTTTTATCTGAACAATCGGAGAAGTTCGATGTCAGCCGACCTAGTGACTCTATGTCGACATGAGCAAGGATTTCGCTTGGCGTAGAAGTAACAACAGATAGACCCTTCGGGGCTCCGAGTAACGAAGCCACGAATAATGCCGACCCGTATCTACTACCGAGTTGCTGAAGTGACAGAATGCAGTGCAATAGTCGACGGATACTTGCTGAATTTGAGATTGAATTGGCCAGGAATATTTCTTGGATATGAAGGATCCCTGCTCGTAATATCATAGGAACGCTTGTCGTTGTGAGATAGGAGATAAGATGCTTCTCGTGAAGGTCTTGTAAAATCATGGTGAATTCAACAGCACTTTGCAGGACAGGGCAATCAGGTGCTTCAATGGAAAGTTGTTGGCGTGAGCTGTATTTTTCAGATAAAAAGTCGAGTTGGCGATGAATAACGCCGTGTAGCTCTAAATATATCAATTTTAACCATGCAGAGTGTGAATGCAGTAGGAGATCAGACTCGTCGGTGATGAATGGTGTGGGATGAAACGATATGTTTTCGGGTAGCTCTTGAAGCCAATTGTCAAGTTCCAATTTTGAGAGCCATAAACAGGATTTTCGTGACGGTGTAATCGGTTGACGAGTATTGATAGGTTGGCAATTCCAAGAGAAAAGATCATCTCTGACACAGCGGCATAGATGGGCTTTATGTATGAATATTTGAGCCAGTCTTTCATGACGATTGGCATAGTATGAAATGCCTATTTTGGAGACAAATCTTGGCGCAACTATATCATCTTTATCGGTCGCTAGAAGTGGAATGGATGATTGAAGTTGGTCTTTGATGATTGGAGGTTGCTGTAGCCCCAGCGACATCAGCCGATCGCGAGTGAAAATACACCACCATAGAACTTTTCGTAGTCCCCAATCCGGATGCCCCGAGTAGTCGAGATGAAGCTCAACATTATATGCAAGTGAAATGCAGACCCCGATCCAATGGCGGCCATCCTTATGCCACTCTGGATTTTCGTACCAATAGGTCATGAGTAGAAGAGCTTGAACAGCTGTCAACTTGTTATCCTCTGCATCGAGATCGTACAAAACCTGAAACCCAATCAGCTAGGGAAAATGCCTGACTCTGGCGAAGGATTACTTACCCGTGCTCGTTGGAAGAGGGAATCCAATGCACTTCGTCTGGAAAGGAAACCCGCCGCATAAATATGTTTCAAGTCCACGAAGAACGCACCAGAAAACATAACGGCCTGAAACAAAAGTAAACTGGTTTTCTGCCCTTTGTAACCTGCATTTTCACAACCGGTCTGCCACTCAAGAAGGAACGCCGAGAAACGGTCTAGGTCGAGAAAAGGAACGTGAGGGTGAACGTGTCGAATATAGGCTTTGAAAAACTCTAGGGCAGATTGTGGCTCCAGCACATCAAAGGCGCCCTTCCGAATCAGAAAGTCTATGTCATCCTGCTGTAACGTTGATGATGGCGACTCCAAATTAGGCGGCAGTAGACGATCATACGGGGGAAGCACCCAAGTCGGGCCAAGTAATCGGTGGACCTCGGCTATCATGCCATCCAGTGGGTATGTAGACAATACGGCCGCATCGCGGGTCATCCGTCGCGTGGGGCGATGTTGGATGAGGCCCCGTTCTTTCATATCTTCAAAGTGACATGTGTTGACAGAGAAACTGGGGATTTGCCAGGATCAGCGAGACAGTCGGTTATTTCAAACGCGCCAACGGACCTCCGAGTTGGCTCCGAGTGGAGTATCCGATGCGGGGGTGGTCAAACTTTAAAATTCACCGCATTGATTTGGTGACTATTGAGACTATAGGGCCGAGCTTGAAGATTGATTAATAAAGACAAAGTTTGAGGTGGCATTTAGATTGAAGGATTTTTCAGGATTCACTTATCCTCTCGATCTGAATTCAACTGTATCTTCTCTTGGCTCTTGATATATTCAGGGGTTCACATCTAAGTAAGTTCTTCAAAGTAAATCCTAAGTATCCAAGATAGGACCTGCTGATAATATTGCTCTGACATAATATCTTGTACGGTCAATAGAGCAGTCAGGTAGTTTCAGCGAAAGGGCCATTGACTGGATAATCTACAGGGACACGTATAAGTATTCAGACAATTCAACAAGTATTGGTCAAGAGAGCATAACACTAGTCACCTTTTACTTGTTATTTTTAACTCTTATTATTATCTTATTATTATTAACTCTTATTATTATTAACTCTTATTATTATTAACTCTTATTATTATTAACTCTTATTATTATTAACTCTTATTATTATTAACTCTTATTATTATTAACCTTCAAAACATAAGATACAGATTAAATAATATTAAAGTTTAGTCTGAATAATCAGCCAAACATTCAATTGGAACACAGGCAGACGAGAGGAAAACGAAGAAGTATTATAGATGGAAAGAGAAAAATAACAGTTTCCTAATATCCACGCGGGTAGGTACTAGAAACGAATTTGCAACGAGGTGATTTCCAAAGCGGTAGTGTTTTTCTTGGACCCGCAGGAGTGATTATGCAGCGCCCATTTTCCGTAATAGAAGATGGAAGTGATCAGTGATCAGGGCGGTGGTCAGGGCGGTGATCAGGGCGGTGATCAGGGCGGTGATCAGGGCGGTGATCAGGGCGATGATCAGGGCGATGATCAGGGTGAACCTTTGTCGTCCAGGACATAGATTTCACGTCCCATTGGCTATCGCATATGGTAGATGTTACGCAATATTCATGATTTTGGTGACCCTTCCACACCGAATATGTTCTGCAAGACGTAGTGATGGTCGGCTCAGTGGTAGTGGTGGTTGGCTCAATGGTAGTAGTGGTTGGCTCAGTGGCAGTGGTAGTTAGCTCAGTTATAGTGGTGGTAGTTGGCTCAGTCATAGTAGTGGTAGTTGGCTCAGTTATAGTGGTAGTTGGCTCAGTTATAGTGGTAGTTTGCTCAGTTATAGTGGTAGTTTGCTCAGTTATAGTGGTAGTTGGCTCAGTCATAGTGGTAGTTGGCTCAGTCATAGTAGTGGTAGTTGGCTCAGTCATAGTGGTAGTTGGCTCAGTCATAGTAGTGGTAGTTGGCTCAGTCATAGTGGTTGTTGGCTCAGTCATAGTAGTGGTAGTAGGCTCGGTAGTAGTAGTTGTTTCTTCAGTAGTAGTAGTAGTTGGCTCAGTGGTAGTAGTTGTTTCTTCAGTAGTAGTAGTAGTTGGCTCAGTAGTAGTAGTTGTTTCTTCAGTGGTAGTAGTGGTAGTTGACTCAGTGGTAGTAGTAGTTGGCTCAGTGGTAGTGGTAGTTGTTTCCTTAGTTGTAGTAGTGGTAGTTGGCTCAGTAGTAGTAGTTGTTTCTTCAGTAGTAGTAGTAGTTTCCTCGGTGGTAGTAGTGGTAGTAGGCTCAGTAGTAGTAGTTGTTTCTTCAGTGGTAGTAGTGGTAGTTGACTCAGTGGTAGTAGTAGTTGGCTCAGTGGTAGTGGTAGTTGTTTCCTTAGTTGTAGTAGTGGTAGTTGGCTCAGTAGTAGTAGTAGTTTCTTCAGTTGTAGTAGTAGTTGTTTCTTCAGTAGTAGTAGTAGTTTCTTCAGTTGTAGTAGTAGTTGTTTCTTCAGTAGTAGTAGTAGTTGGCTCAGTGGTAGTAGTAGTTGTTTCTTCAGTTGTAGTAGTAGTTGTTTCTTCAGTAGTAGTAGTAGTTGGCTCAGTGGTAGTAGTGGTAGTTTCTTTAGTGGTAGTAGTAGTAGTTGGCTCGGTGGTAGTGGTAGTTTCTTCAGTCGTAGTAGTAGTGGTAGGCTCGGTAGTAGTGGTAGTTTCCTCAGTGGTAGTAGTAGTGGTAGGTTCAGTAGTAGTAGTAGTGGTAGTTTCTTCAGTCGTAGTAGTAGTGGTAGGCTCGGTAGTAGTGGTAGTTTCCTCAGTAGTAGTAGTAGTGGTAGGTTCAGTAGTAGTAGTAGTGGTAGTTTCTTCAGTCGTAGTAGTAGTGGTAGGCTCGGTAGTAGTGGTAGTTTCCTCAGTGGTAGTAGTAGTGGTAGGTTCAGTAGTAGTAGTGGTAGTTTCTTCAGTCGTAGTAGTAGTGGTAGTTTCCTCAGTGGTAGTAGTAGTGGTAGGTTCAGTAGTAGTAGTAGTAGTTTCCTCAGTGGTAGTAGTAGTGGTAGGCTCGGTAGTAGTGGTAGTTTCCTCAGTGGTAGTAGTAGTGGTAGGTTCAGTAGTAGTAGTGGTAGTTTCTTCAGTCGTAGTAGTAGTGGTAGTTTCCTCAGTGGTAGTAGTAGTGGTAGGTTCAGTAGTAGTAGTGGTAGTTTCTTCAGTCGTAGTAGTAGTGGTAGTTTCCTCAGTGGTAGTAGTGGTAGTTTCCTCGGTGGTAGTAGTGGTAGTAGGCTCAGTAGTAGTAGTTGTTTCTTCAGTGGTAGTAGTGGTAGTTGACTCAGTGGTAGTAGTAGTTGGTTCAGTCGTACTAGTGGTGGTAGTTGACTCAGTGGTAGTAGTAGTTGGCTCAGTCGTAGTAGTGGTAGTAGTTGACTCAGTGGTAGTAGTAGTTGGCTCAGTCGTAGTAGTGGTAGTAGTGGTGGTTGTGGTGGTTGTGGTCGGGCATGTAATGTCGCAAGACCAATAATTAGGACAGGTTGCTGTCCCGCATTTATTGCAGTCATAGCAGGTTCCTAAAGCCCATCCTGTACCGCCATTACGTCCGTTGAGAGCAGCATGAGCGGCAAAGTAGAGTTTAGCCCCACAATTAATGAAGGATAAGGGGCCTGGAACATGAAGGGTGCATGTCGTCCCAGAGCAGCTAGCGCTATATGGAAACCCACCAGGATTACCGCCTGTAGGAGGTGTAGTCCCGACATAGAAATGGGCTTCCTGGTATGTAGCCCCAGAAGGTGCTGTTGGGTAGTTAACAGTAATGCTTTTTGTGGTAACGTCAACGTCAACGGTGACCTGGCCAATTATCGTGCCCCCGTTAGCGCTGCCAATACGAAAATTGGTCGAGCACTGGCTGGTCACGTCTCGGGTACCCAGCTTCGAGGGTGCAAATGCCCCAGTTGGCAGGGAGCCCCGTCTTTCAAACAAGGCATTTCTTCTAAAACGAGCTGGGGACACGCGTGGTAATAGATTTCCTGTTGCAAGAATAGGGAAAATGTAGAGTGCCAAAAAGCTCATCAAAATTTTGAAGTTGACCTGCATTTTTCCGGCAATTGCAGTGAAAAGGTAAAGGAAAGATGTTAGGTTAGCTATCCGGATTGCGAATTTAGTGGCCCAGGCTGTTAGGACCCTTTTTATATTGCGGCTAAAGCAGTATCGTGAAAAACAATATCCCTTCAAGTGATGGTGATATCATAAAATTGTCAGAAGGTCACTAGTATCCATGGAAACCTCACATTTTTCTTGATATCTTCTAAAGTTAAATATCACTATTCCCATTAGCTGTAAACTGATTTGAATCCCAATGTGAGATAAATTTCTAAACTTTCAAGCAACACGCATCGTATTCATCTTTCTGCAAGTATAGTTTTAAAACTTTATTTTTTTTCGTGCGGGTCTAGAACCTTTCTTTGAATGGACTGGAATATTATTCCGTCAATCTACAAACTAATTATCGCTGAGTTCCTCTAAATTAGAGCTCGCCACAACCACTGCATGGGTAGGCAAAGCCCAACCGCACTGCACCACGAAACCGTATGGCTAGACCGCGATCAACCGCAGAGAAACCGCAAATACATAGCTAACCTAATTAGGTTATGCTAAGAGGCTTAAAAGTGCTGGCTGATACCGATTCAAACACTAAATTACAACTCTTTTGTTTGCAAGGTCTATCATGGCAGTTCCTAACGAGAATCATATATCAGGTCAAGGAAATCTTATTTAATTTGATTACATTATCTAGGATCTAGATCGAGCATTACATATTTATCAGCTTGTATGTACTATCCAAGTGTCAAATCTGCATGAAGTATGTAAATCATGGGATCTCAGCTATTTGGCCTGTTTGCCAAACCACTGCCTACTAGCAGTTAACCAAGTGGGGCTTCTGGATGTGTCGTAACCAACGGCAGTTAGCGAAATCCCAAACCTCAACCGCGTTTTCGTGGTAACCTAACCGCACCGCAGCCGCCAGACCGCGGTTGGTGCCAAGCTAATCTCGTAATGCCGCCTTTTTGTTTGATTAGGCTCACTGGTACCAGGTCTGAAACCTGCTTCAATCCAGACCACTGGTAATTTTGCCGGAACCTTATTCTAAATGCGGCGAAGCAAATTTACATCGTGGACATCAGCTTTTCTTATCCCTAACTTGACCAGCAAGAATGAGGGCCCGTCTGGTTCCGCTATGATTGCTAGACGCAAGAGAGTGATATTCTTGGCAGCTTGGCGAAAGGATCTCCGTGGACATGATAGCAACCTTCAATTTGGAGTTGCGTCTAGACTCTTAGTATTGCAGTCTATTGTCATTACCACTAGCACCAATCTTGCAGGTGGGTGGCTCCAAAGGCTGGCTACCAAATCATGAAATTATTATGTTATATGAATGTTCTAATTCTCCTCCTTCTTTTTAAACCTCGTGCTTCGTTCTAAATTGAGATAAATGTGTCGGGAGCATTCATCAGTAATCCTCATGAGCTATTCACAATGTTTACTTTATCCCAGCTCCCCAATTCATAACGACCACGTAAGACTGTGTTGAGGATTTTTATTGCCATTTTTCTCTTCGCATGTTGCTACAAAAGTATCGTCTCCACGTTTGCGTATTGGCATTCAATTGGTTACCAACATGAACCCCGCACGTTCATTGAATACGAGTTCCAAAAAAGACCAACCCCAAGCAGGTATGCCCAAGCAGGTATGCATTCAGACGCTCAAACTAATATCGCGAGCAATACAGAGCCTAATTCTTATGAGGATTTCAGGAATCTTGTAGTTCAGAGGTATGAATTTATTTTTCTTGTACCAAGGAAATAAGTGAGGCTATATATACAAGGAGAAGATCAAGTTGATATTCAATCATCCAATCAACTTGTTCTTCGTATAGACACTTCATGATTAATTCCGAGGTTGCGATTAGGCTCCTGATCTGCTGCAGTGTTATATCACAACAGTTTCCATTCTCTTTAAATGGCACTGACATCCTTCGCAATCTGAATAGTGTTCCCCAAGGACTCCTTTTCTGCATAGGTAAAATTGACTACATGGTTCGCTGACAAGCAGCAGACATTGTTCTTCTCAAGTCTCCAAGATCCAATGGTACCAGCATCACCTGGTTCACGAATGAATGCGTCGAATTGAGCAGGCTGCAGATGGTCACCACGAGCGAACTTGTTCGGAAGTATCCACCCATTAAACCATAGTGGATGGCCGTCAACACCTAGGTGTAATAGCTGTGGCGCACAGATGGTAAACCGGAGATCCTGGTCTCCTTTGGCCCCGTTAGTTATCGGTGAATCATATTTTGGGTTCATTTCCACCTTCCCCATGACAGCAGCATCGCCTTTATGGAAGGCATAGTCAGTATCCCCAACGAGCTCCCAGCCCAACCAAAAAGTTTCTTTGTCTCCTGCTGTACGTAAGTAAAGCTATTGGGTTATAAAATGCTCACGCCGCTTACCGAATACCATATCATACACACCGACGCGACCCTCAGGTTTCTTTCCGTCACGATCCGGTCCATTCATTCTTGTCACCATGAGAAGTGCAACAAAATGCCTCCACTTATCGACAACCACAACTCCAGACTCTTGCATGTGGATACTTTCCCCAGTCCAGAGTCGACTCTTCCTAGCTTGCTTGGAGATAGGTGACGGCAAGATATTCCTTAACCATTCCTTCTTGGATCCTGGCATAAATAGTCGGTCTTTAAAAAATAATGCACCTGTCTTTTGATAAAATCGGTCAAGGAATAACTCTTCCGGGTTGCGAAGAAAAATCGAATCGGCATCAATAAATATCGCTTCTCGAAAGCTTGACAGAAGGATGGCGAAAGGTTTTGCAGCCCACCCTCTTAATTTCCACCCCTCATCTGAGACCATTGGATTCAAATCTCGTGTAATTACACCTGGTATAGATTCCAACTCTTCCCTGAAATCCTCACCCAGGTCATCATTCCCGAGATACAAAACTTCAATGGGTAACTCACAACCCAGCCCCCGAATGGATTGAATCGAAGTAAGTACGTAAGGTGCCTGCCGATTACCAGCGGTAAAGACAATACCGCGACCCGCGTTCCAGAATTGGGCGTGTAGAGTCATATGGTCGGGAAAATAGGGTGTTGTCCAAGAAAATAGACATCTCGATAATTGTGTGAGGAAGTATTGTACTTGCTCGAATGCGTGGATCATGTCAATTTGATCCAACTTAAGATCCTCGGCTATTCCAGGATTATCTCTCAATAGCTGTAGAATATCGTTGCGAACAAGCATTTGCTCCCCCGTTTGGACGAAATGAACTGCTTCCCATGCTTCCAAGAGAGCCTTGAATGCACGAGCCCGAAACCCCACCTCGCGGAGCTTCTCCTCGCCTGTTCCTTTAATCGTACCAGTGATATCTTCGATGTGAGAGTTGTCTGGTAAAAGTGATAAGAGATTGTCGAAACTTCTCCTGAAACTTTCACAAGAGGCGTTCTCGGGCTCAATGGCGATTGAAAGACCAGTTTTCAAATTCATAGGTCTATGTGAGTCCTCTGGAGCCAAGTAGATTTGATCTAGCCTTTTGTGAAAGGAGGACCCATCTTGGGGGCCTGTGGTGGAATAATGGTGTTCGAGTCCCCAGATAGTTTCCTTGCAATAATATCCCACGGCGAAGAGGATGACTAAGATTCTGAAAACCTGAAAACCCCGTCTGCTTTTATTGGGAAGGTGAGATAAAGTGAGCATTTGGAAGGGCCTCCTCTAAAGGTAGGTTGACAAGGTGATGAAGTTGAAACAAAAACTTGCATTCAAGAAGTCAGATCAGAACCCGTTAGCACAGAACCATATGGTGGACTAAATGCCAGTAACATAGTGCTTGCACCACGGAGAATCTAATGGCGTAGCATTCTACATATATAGACAGGATTGAAATCCTACATGAGCTTGTATCTGGACCACTTCGGAACCACCCGGATTTAATCCTCGCCATGGTCGCCTTGGAGAGAGGATCTGACAGATTATAGAAAAAGTGGGGCCTCATTTCGTGGAGAATCATTGTCGTATCGCAAAGTCTATTTGAATCTAGAACATGAAAAGTTGAGGAGCGGATGGGAATAAGCTACAAAGGTTTCAAGGTTAAAAACCCGGTCGGCAATTCTACCAGCTAAATCATAAATCCAGTTTGTTTTACCAATAGACGTCGGTAGGTATTGCAATTCGAAAACTGGTTTTCTTCAAAAACGATTCAACTGTGAGTGAGGTCATGACTTAGAGTAGTCGGTCCGGTCTATGTTGTCGTTTTAACATAAATATTAAAGCTTTGTACACACGAGGATCTTAGCACTGGGTTTTAAATGATAGAAATTATCCCATAACTGTAGTATAGCTACATGGAGGAGATCGGCCGGTTACTTAGTCTGAAAAACCCACAGCAAAACATCAATATCTTTCCCTGATCCACGCAGGAAATCAGAATCGTAGAACGCAAGTAAAAGAGTATAAGAAGTATATTAATTATACATATTATAGAATCAATTGTAACGCAATACTATATAACTACAAGAAACGAAAAGGGGATAATAACTCCGCGACCATAAGGGTCATTCCTGATAGGGTGGAGATTTTCCCCACTACAATATGTATAGAAGATACGAGTATTACTGGAATCTTCCAGAGCAATACAAACAATTCAACCAACTCCAGCAGCGCTGGATCGTGCGGATCTGACAACCTGCCATCTTCTCCATCCACACAGCGCATTCGAGTGGCAATCCTAGCGCTTACTCGCAATCTTAAAACCTTAGCAACCCCACAAGCTAACTGCACAGACCGATCTACCAAACTCAGACTGGCAGAACATCAATGATCCTGCTGATCACATACTTAGCCTGTCAGACACATACTCCTCTTCCCCTGTGCCTGGTGGGAGCCTCTTGTTTCCAGCTAACATACGATAGCACTATAAATAGGCTTCTTAGTAGTATCTACTGCTTTAAGGGGATGGCTTACACTACTTTCGATAATGATGCCACCTACCAACCTCGTCTGCCGAATCTACGGGACCTGACTCCCTCATATGTTCCTACATATGGCTGTGAATGGACACTATCTGTAATGTGCTTGTTACATGACCCGAACCCAAAATTCACTAGGCACCCAAGCAAATGCCGTGTTGGCTGGAATGCTGTTGACATTGCATTTACAGTATCACTTCACTTTTGTGCGGTCTTCTTTAATATATATCACCTCATTGGTGTGCAGCTTCTGTCGTGGACAGGCACCTAACCAAGCCGCACAAACTTCTAGGGGATTAGTCCTATAAAGATGGTTGAACATCCGCACAGTACCACATCCATAAATAGTATTTCAAGCTAAATCTTTCACACGCTGTGTGGCTGCCTCCTCTAGAAGTCTTGCAATTGCTTCATGGCCACTCCATTCTGCAAAATTCCGTGGTGTATCATCCTCTTCAACTGCAACAGCGGAAATATCCGCCCCTTTTTGGAGGAGCATTCTTACAACTGCTTCGTTCCCAGACTCGGCCGCTATATGCAGTGTCGTATGTCCTAAGGAATCACGGTCCATCACGTTCGCCCCATTCGCCAATAGTGACCTAACAGCCCATTCATTGCTATCCTCTGCAGCAAAGTGTAGTGGCGTCAAGTTCCGAAAACGTTCAGATACATTCACATTTGCACCCTTCGCCAGAAGTAGGTTAAGAATGGACTCGCTGCCAGAATTCTCGAAACCAACTGCACCAAATAACGCTGTCTGCCCAGCGTCAGAAGTTGCCTCTATGTCTACCCCCTTCTCTAGGAGCAGCTTCACAACCGTTTTATTTCTGGATAGAACTGCGTAATGGAGTGATGTTTGTCGCTCGATCGTTAATGCTGCAACATCAGCTCCCCTCTCCAGAAGTAGTCTCGTAACACTTTCCTGGCCACCACGGGCCGCATAGTGTAGAGCGGTCTCTTGGTTTGAATTTGTGGCAGCGATATCTGCCCCCATTCCCAGAAGTACATGGGCGGCTATTTCATGGCCATTCCCTGCAGCGAGTTGCAGTGCGCTACATGTCGGCCTCCGTCCCATATCTATCGCAGATGATAGATCCGCACCTGCGTCCACTAAAAGCTCGATGATGCAATGCGTTCCGGCCTCTGCGGCGAGACATAGTGCTTTACTTTTCGCTTCAAGTGGAATTGGCTCATCCCTGGTTTTCCTTAGGAGCTTGCGGATTACAGATGCTTGATTTCTTTTCGCGGCCCATCCGAGGACGGAGTTTTCGTCGGCGCAGATATGGCTGCGCGCACGTTGATAAAGATGGGAATCGAGGATGCTGGCATATCTCCGCGCCGTGCGTAGAAATGAGCCGACGTCTCGGGTGTCCAGAATGTCCACTATCATTAGGAGGATCTCGATTGGGAGGTTGAGCAGTGGACTTGGCCACACCTGTCTGATGGGCATCTTGAATTCGAGGACTACTCTGAATAGCCTCTTGCGTTATTTCACGAGTTTTACTTTGTGAGCTAATGTAAAAGACAGATGTAGACGAAGGCTACACAAAAATAGAAGGGGTGGAGATCTTGTCAGATGTTTATTGTATCTTCATCATGTTTGGACTGTTTGTCAAAACATTCTGCCCGATAGACACCTTGCGGACGGGCCATACGAGCTTAATACAGAAGCTATCTTTATGCAATTATCCCATACGATACTGTCAAGAACAGGGTCCAGGAATAGACTAAAGCATAATAGTATAGCATATTGCAAAATGGAAATTCGAGAAAGAATTCATGTGAATAGAATGGTGAAACTGATTTCGATCCATATAGTACAACTGCCGCTGCTGCTAAATATATAACCCTAGCTCCTAAGCAGACTGATCCAGATCATATTCCTGGACTTCTCGATATATCTGTCAAAGAATATGCTGATTGGCATCAGTTATGGGTGAGCAGTGAGACCTTAAGGGAAAGTATTCAGAATGCCCGCGATATGGCCTCTGTACCAGGCTTCCGTGCCGTAGAGGAGTGGGAGGACGCATGTGATTACCGCCTTTCGAAGCGCCGCCGCTGGGGGGCCGGCTCTGGTTCTTGCGAGGTTGCGGATGTGCTGGGCCACCGCCCTAGCTTTTGCTGTGCGGACGGCGACGTATCTGCGCCAGGTGAGTCGGCGGTTGAAGTGGACCCCAAGCCAACACAGGGCCGGCTGTTGCCCCTCTTTCTTGGGGGTGGAGATTGGGTGTATAGTGAGTGTCTCGTTCACCACTACTGGGGGCTTACTGGAGGCCCGTGAGAGCGCGGACCACCTACCATGAGATGTATCACTGGAAGAACACTGTATCAGACCCACATTGTTTACCACTATGTTCCCTATAGCAGCTTTAGAGCTTTGAGACATGTATTTCCCCATTATTTATTACTATGTTTCCCTACAGCAACTCTTGGCTTACTAGTGCATTGATAGGGGGTGGCCGGAGGATCCCGTCGTATCAGGGGAGATAGCGGCAAGGGACGTACTAGTCCCCAGGTTGGAGTCGGAGACTCGTGTATGACGCGAACGCTTGTCATCAACCTCCTAAGGGAACATTGGAACTACCTTTATTCTCACTTTCCTGCAGTCTCCGAAACTACAAAATATTTTCATCAACCGATAGTTGTCAAGGTACAATATTCCTTCAATATGGGTCAATATACTTTCCAAAAGTTACGTACCATTATCCGAACAAGGCTCTTTCTCTATGAGAACGAGTCCGAGGTCGCGATTAACGCCTGTCAAAAAGCTGAGGTTAATGTCTTTCAGAGGCTTCCCCCGGAATTAAAGTACAGAGCAGAACTCCTTCTTCGACTTGGAGATAAGCGTTCGGTATATTGTAGACAATGTCACAATATTCATAAACGCTCCATAGGGCGAGCCCTACGATCATATTTCAACTTAAGCCCCAATGCTCTTCTCTTTACGCAACAGTGGTCGATATCTGTCCTTGCTCAGCGATGACATTTCATAATACACGAAATTGTATAATTGTTGCTCGGACGCCAGAGCAACAATGTTTTTATCAAAACTACTGGAGATGCAGTAAGCCATCCCTTGGTTGTGAGACCGGAAATATGGAATTTGCGCACCAGTGCGCTTTCAATGACCATTTTCTCGCAACTGTTCATATAAAGACTAGGATTTGGTTTGATGAGGATTCAAAGTCTCTTCAAGTACAAAATCTTTTCAAGTTTAATGTATCTGGTTTAACACCTACCCAACTTAAACACCTGGGCAAATCAAATATCAACAAATGCATACATGAAGATACTAAAGGATGGCTTCAAGAGTTCTTTCAGGAATCAAAAGCAAGCGTTGATATGAAGGTCCTTGGATCCGATTACTGTCAATGACTTAGATGGGAAGAAAGCAAAACTGATGAATCCCCATGAGCTTTTGAAATCATCTTACATAGATATTTAGGTGGCGTGCATTGGCCTGACAGGCGCTGGATGAATTATAGTCATAAAAGACTGAGGCCTTCTCGTGAAAAGAGTTGTTCTTCTTTGAAACCATCACACTTGCAATAGATGCCTTGCTCTATATTGACCAAGAGAAAAAAAGGTTGAGCTCTGTCTTACTTGCCTTTGGATTTAATGTAGTTGAATCTATGATTTGTCACTTGCTTGAAAATTTGCCAAAAACGATAAAATGGGATGTAGAGTAGAGTATATTGTTTCTTTTTTAGAATAGAAGACACCTGGACGGAGTATAGGAAGATACCTAGAGGTAGTCTTTCTAGATATCCGAGGTCGGTCCGCTCCCCAGAGGCAAGTAGGTAATGATAAGGCCCCACCAAATCCTCGGGAATCTAGCTTATTAGATAGAGGGCTTTGTTGTAAAGGACCTTGCTTAACTGAGCTGTATTCTGACCAATTGATGGCCCAAAATTCAGAGTGCCCGTTGAATATGTATATATAAGATAAACGAAGTATCAAATAAGAGCAAACAAAAACACACAACAGTCAATTAGCTGCTTTTCACCACATAAGACATATTGTGGACCCTCAGAACAGATCATTAGAGATTGCAGCCTAAGAGCTCTAAGTAGGTTCGGATGCAGTAAGAAAGAATACCAGATTGGACTCATATCTAGACCAGCAGGGTGCCTCTTCATTCTAAAGCTTCGTATAATCGGTGAGGTAGCGTAGTGAGGCCTCTCTTGAAACTGGACTTCAGGATCATTTGATATTTGGGAGCATTCAATTCAAGTTTGAACCGAACATCGAGCTGTCGTTACATAGTGACGCGCTCTGTACAGGCTCTCCACTCATCAGTTACATTCTAGTGGGAGCTAACACCGTCAGGAGCCATTTCAACAGCAGCTGATCTCTTTGAGGGATTGAAGAAGAATATACTGTATTGAAGGCTGTTTAGATAATAAATGACTGCAACACCGATTGATCAGAAATTTTCAATGGTTCTAGCTCATCCAAGTATAACACACTTTTAGTTTAAAGCTTTGAGTAATTCTTTTTAAACCGATCAAGCCGAAAATTGTCAAGCATTGGATCTTCGACGCCGTGGAGAATCTTCTTGGAGAGTAGCTGACCAACAAGCGCAGAATTTGTTACACCAGAGTGCATCACAGCTACGTCAAGTCCATCCAAGCCCGTTGAGCCGAGAATAGGATACCCATCTTCCGAATCAGGCCGTATACCAATAGTGTAGTTGCCAAACTCGAGCTCACCCCCGCGCTTGAATGCCTTTTGCACCTTATTAAAAAGTTCATCTGCTGTTACTTGCGGGTCCTTACCAGGATCTCCACCAGCAAAGCTCGCACCAAAGCGAATACGCCCATCGAGCGTTTGGCGCATGTGCAGGTCTGGTAAGCGGACTATAGTGCTTAAGTATCGCTTATTCGTTGGTTTAGTATTGGCTAGAAGACCTTGACTACTGACCATGGGAAGCTTGACGTTCTCTGCTGCCAACAATGGAACGCTCGCAAGACCAGCGGCCAAAACGACGTGGCTGCCACGAACTTCCCCACTACCCGTCATCACACCCGAGATTCGACCGTTCTCAGCCTTTAAAAATCCGGTGACAGTCGTCTTCAGCAATCTAGCACCTAGCGACTGAGCTTGGGCGACGAGTTGAGCTGCAGCAACGTGTGCTTCGATATTCCCCTCTTCGGGAACATGGAGGCCCCATTCCAAGGAGGAGAATTGGGCGTCGTCGAGTTCAGGCTCGAGTGCCGCAATGCTGGTTTGATCCAGGCGCCTCATATTTGTGCCCCAAGCACCTTGACGCTCCTTAAACTTTGTACGTTCCTCGAGAGTTCCGTCGCAAACCAATGTACCACCCCAGTAGATCGGGAGGTCGGGCAGCTCTTTGGCAATTTCAGCCCAGCGTCTCATGGAGCGGCGTCGAAAATCATAATAGTATTTCTGGGTTGCACCGGCTGCATTGAGCCAGGCAAATGATCTTGGAGTCACGATGCCGCCAACTTCTTCTGCGATGATAATGACGTCCTTCTCCTTAGCCAAATGCCAGGCGATTGAGGCACCCACAATGCCGCCGCCTATGACGATGACTGGTTCGGATTGGAGGCCCATGTTATGTTAGGCTTGGTACCACAACGTGCGGTTGAATGAAAATGTAGATGATCTTGACTGATCCTGTAATATTTGATGCTACAGTGGAAAATGTGTCAAGGCGCTTTTTATACATCAACACTGCGGTCAGGAACGTCTTATTCGGCGCGATCGGCTCTCGTATTCTTCCGAGACTAACGGGAAAATACGTCGGAAGAAGCCGCTAGTGAGGGGTCCACCGAGTGGCCCGTTTACGGCAAGTCGAAGTGTCGATCCCATTTGCCGGTGGTCTTTGGTTTGACTTTCAGGCTTATCTGTCATGCCATCTTGAGAAACAAGTTGAGCAGTTTTGGCTCTCGAAATCCTCTCATTCATCCAGGTCCCGGAAAGATACGGTGGAATGCACTGCTGGGTTCCAAGGTTGTATTAGACTTTGTCGCAAACAAGCCAGGATAGATTCATCATGGATCTAGACTTCAGCTGCACGCGACTCAGCTGCACGCGACTAGGAACTATCATCTTGACTGTGAGGAATTTTGCGGTGCTATTTGATATCTTTTCTCAACATACAGGGAAACCAAACCGGTAGCGCTAGGTAAGACAAGAGAGCTCCTCACATGACCTTCGACAAGACAATGTATTCTACGGGTATGTCTAGGAGTATACAGGTTTACAGTGATTCCAAAATAGACCCTAGAGTCACCACGGGAGTGCTCTAAGGCCTAGTATGTTTGTAATCGTACAGAAACGCGACCGAATTGATTCAATTGGGCGGTGCCTAGTACTGTTCATAATAAGAATCTTGAAGAATCTAATTACATGCAGGCTTCGGACAGGTTTAACCATATTTCCAAAGCGGCGGCAGCTGCCGTCAACGGTAGGTTACTGTATGGCAGAAACCAAATTGAGTATTGTGCATGATTCGACAGCGTTACGCACAGGCAAAAACTGGTAGATATCAAGGGTATAATCCGTTACAATAATAACCATTTCAACGTTTGAAGTTGTCAATTCCGAGGAGAGTAGTATGCACTAACTAGTAGTACGAAGATGGACCAATGAATTCCTTGAGAACAGTACTTAAGATCTGTTCCTAAGTATAGGAATCCCTATCGTTGGAAATCGGTTCGGACTAAGCATTGTCTAAGTAGTAGGCGACCTCTTAATAAAATTTTGTGTTGGGTGGGAGGCCCTCAGCCTGGTCATCTCTTTATATTTAATGGTTAGCGAGTCTATCTCTTTCAATATCTACTATATGTAGCAAGTAGCGTAGTAAGTCTTACCAGGAGTTCCCCAAATGACTTTATAGCATTAAGTTCATGGTCACAGAGAGCCAGCTCTTTAGATCCGAATTCATCAAAAGTGGTTGCAACTTCAAAGTCAATCCAGACCAGCCTACCGGGCCCTGGATTTCCGCGGACAAGAAGAATGTTTTTGTGGTAGACATCCTGGTGGTGAACGCCTGCCTTATGTATCTCCTCTATACCCTCAATAGCTTGAGGATGGAGCGCATCTGAGTAGTTGGTGCAGTTCAAACTCTCTGAATTGGCGAGATATTCTAATAATAATGCATTTGGCTTAAACTTATCCTTGGCGAATCTTTGGAGAGTAGGATAGAAAGCTGCGGGATCCATTTGATCGATAAAGCCATAGAACTTTGGAACTAAACGCTTATAAGGAGCATTAGACCCGGTAAGCTTATTATAAGCATTTAGTTCGCAACAGAATCGGTTTAGATCACGGCCTTTGTCGGAGTATCCAGGGTCGCCATCATCGTGGAAAAACTTCAAAGAAATGTTTGTCCGTCCAGCTCCACTTCGAAATTGAAGACGCGTTGGAATTGAAGACTTCCCGAATAATATGAATTGTTGAGAGATCAAAGGGGGTACTTCCTAGATCCATAGCTGTTGTTATGAGACTGGGTGCTAAGTAACCAAACAAGGATGGAGAACGGGTACACTGTACAAGCAAGCACAGTGTGACTAGAAAATCTTGGGAACATGATCATGGGGTCCGGCAGTAGTTCATGTAATGCACCTGTTGTCCACGTTCACCATGGCTATACACGTGATTTTAGTTCAAATGAGTGGGTGTAGTAAGTGCTGGGAGTATCTAATGTAACTTAACCGTTGTACTACCAGTATTACTAGGAGCCAACTTGAACATTGATATTCAACCAATAATTTCGCTTTTGGATCTAATACGTGTAGGCGCCTGTACAGGAAGGAAACAGTGGAAGGCCATATCAGCGCTTCAGGCATGTACAGGATGCTCAGGTACATAATGTTGGTGGTCAAGACATTCAGCTACTGATCCTTTTTATGTACTATAACTCTAAACCAGGGTATCTCTTGTGACTCACACCCACTTAGCTCTACATTAAATTCCTCATACTGGGGTTTCTTCTACACTGCGCTGCGTCTTATAGATAAAAGGCAAACAAGTGCGCCGTCATAAATTCTGGAATATTATAGCTACTTCTCCTATTTCTTGATTTCCTTCTCGATGTCATGCATGCTTCCTTCTTCGAGACCATTGATGACAGAACCACGCTTAGTTCGTCTAAAGGCGTTGTACCACGGGCCCTGAAAGATCATATCGATCTCCTCGACAGTCAAACCGGCAACCTCGGGGACAATAAAATAGGTGTAAAGCAGGCCCAAGAAGCACCAGCCAGCGAAAAATATGAATGCACCCCAGTTGTTCATCGAGCTCAAAATCTCGGGGAAGGCATATTTTATGGCATAGATAAACAGCCAATGGCATGTTGCGCCCACGGCTCCGCCAAATGAACGGATGCGATTAGGCCAGAGCTCGCCACCAAATACATACGGTAGAATGAAAAGGCCTAATTAAAAAAAGATAAAATGGTCAGCTAGAGTGAAAATTTGGCTGGAATCTCGATGAGATAGCTAGACTTACCAACGGCATACCCAAAGGCGTGGATGAACAGCGCCACAATTGCGAAAGTCGACGCCCCATTTGGAACAGGGCCACTCTGTTCGAACTTGATATATACGCCTAAGTAGATATGAGAAATCATCTGGGCGGTGATGCCGATGAAAAGCGACTTTCGACGACCGAGAATGTCAATGAAGAAGAAAGCGGAAATGAGGCTGAAAATAAGCTTCGAGAACCCATACATGCCGCTTAAAAACATATGTCTCTCAGTGCCTCCGGTGTCACCTAAAATGCTCATTATTGGTATGAAGTAGCTGGTGACCGAGTTGGCGCCAGAAAGCTGAGCTAGCGCATACGCAACTAAAACCTGTTGCAAGCGGCGCAGATTGGAAGGTACCGTGAAAGTCTCCTTGGCGACCAACCAAAGGCTTGAGTTGCCGTGAATATCGCCCCAGTCCAAAATGAGTGAAGTCTCGATATCTTGCACTTCGGCGACAATCCGATGGTGGTCAGCAGGCATGCGTCGTAGGTCGACAAGAGCTTGAACTGCCTCCTCCTTGCGGCCGACCATCATGAGCCATCTAGGCGATTCGCTAATGAGGAAGCTGGCAGAGATACACAGGGCCATAAAAATGGCTACCGAGAAAGCCGGAATCTGGTACTGCAGATTGGTACTGGGGACATTTCGATGAATTCCCAGCACGCAAAAGTTGGCCACGGTCAGGGCGAGGCCCATAGACACCGTGTACATCGCTGTGAGCAGACCACGAATCTCCTTTGGAGAAATCTCAACTATGCTCATGGGTCCGGACACACTAAGTGAGCCAATACCCATACCCGTGATGATGCGTGACGCATAGAGTGCGCCCATGTTCGGGGCGCCCACCGTAATCATCTGACCGATGATGAAAACTAACGAGTAAAGTCGATATGACCATCGGCGGCCTATGCGGTCATTCACAAAGAAAGATAAGGCCGCTCCAACAGCATAGCCAATATAAATTATTGACACGTAGGTCGAAATCGCCTCAGCATCGGATCCTGACGAAACGTGGAACTGCTTATCGAAACCCGGTAGGGAAGGAATAGTGGCGGAGGAACCTTGGTCCCATGCTTCACGTAACCTCATGTTAGATTATATCAAACCAGGCGATTTAGGGGAAAGTCTCACTCATAGGAATGCCAGCAAATGCGTAAATCATAGAACTGAACAGCAAGGTACTGTTGCAAATAATGCTTCGCGGCAGTTCTCGAATACTTCTTCCATACTTAGCGAAAGAAGATCGGGCCAACGCCCCCTGAGTGCCCATTTCTGCAAGTTCGTATGTCTAAACTTTGATGAGAGAAATTTATGTGTTATTCAAGCCTGAAGCCGAGAATCAGACTTTATGATGCGAAATGTTCGCCGGGGCCTTTAAGTACAGATTTGTGGATCCCATCATGTACCTCGAATCCGGGGTTTCCTGATCGTTGGTCGGTCGGAAGTATACGACGCGCGGTTATCGTTTTTCTTTTATAGTTGCTGGTTATCTGTGGACCCTATGGAGGTGATTGTGGGATTTTGTGTCCCAGATATCGGAGGAATACGAGCAGTCAATCGGAAGGGGGTATGTGTCTGAGCTATACCTAGTCGGGGAAAGGGAGTGTACACTCGAGACTTGGCAAGCGAGTCATGCACCAGCAACCCCTCTCTTCTTATCTCAGTACAGATAGGAACGGATGATATGCGGGGGGCCAGATAATGCGGAGGATCCACAAGCATCGAAGTGGCTGGAGCTGCTACAAAAGTCTGCGACCACCCTGTTTAACCGCTTCAGGTTCCGCCTTCCTTAGACAGACTAGCCCCCCTAACGCGTTCAACTTTCAGCGGAAAATATTCACGGCAGAATATAGCGGTGATATGAGAGTTGCCGCGAGTGGTCGCAGACTTATGCGAAGGATCGTAGGAGCTGGTGGCTGTGCTCTCTTAAGCACCGGCTGTGAAGACCTTTCCAAACTTTGACACAGATTCTACCGACATCCTGCCAATATTTTTCTTATTTTGAGCAGCAACAAAAATATACCCCGAATGACATCTCCAGCGACAATCAAACAGATTCGGAGAAGACGGCGGACACCTGGAAGGGCGAACCGGGCATGCGTGCATTGCAAAGAGAAGAAATTGAAGGTGAATTTTTTTTTCTTGCTTCCGAGTAGCACACCTGTTGCTACTTTTTTTATCGCGCTGACATTCTTATACCAGTGCGATGAAAATGTACCATCTTGCGCAAATTGCCATCGCTTTCACCTGAGTATGTATTGTGCTGCGGCATATGCCGCATATGGAACCTCCTTTTTTCCTGCTTACACCTTCATACAAATGAGTAGCCTGTCTTGTCAAGGACCCCGTAACTAAAAAACTTCGGCCAAGGAACTACCTTGAATCCTTGGAGGAGCGCCTCGCCTCAATTGAACAGCGGGAGACCCAGCACCCATCCGGTGCTAGCACTTCATTGCCGCCAGCTTTACCCGCCAGTACAAATAGCAGCCGTTCCCTTCCCATGTTTCTGTCGGAGACAGAAGACAGTCCGGCTTCCGATTTGCCTGCGCAAGTGGGATTCCTAGATTTTAAAACCACCCAAGTAGAGCCTCAATACCTGGGCTCCTCGTCTTCGTTTGCCTTTGCACATCTGATCAACTCTTCACTTCGAGGGGCGCTTACTCACAGAGCATCTGCACCACTTATTACGTCTGAGAAAGACGAAAGCAGCCCACTGCCATGTCTATTACCAGACTATCACATAGCCATCATGCTCAGTAATGCCTACTTCGAGAACATCCAGCCACACTATGCTTTTCTCCATGAGCCCACGTTCAGATACTACGAGGCACAGCTCCTATCCTCGCCTACTGCCTTCAGTGACCCCGTCGCGTCATCCAAGCCCTTGTTCTTTCTTAATATGGTAAGTCGGGCAAAGGTTTATCGTGTATGATGTGTATCTCACCATCGTAGGTATACGCTGTGGGCGCCCACATCGTTCCTGGCTACCAACATTTGGCAGAGGTATAGTACATACGCTTCCCTAAGCACTCATTGATACTATCACTCACCATTACCCCAGCAACTGTACAGCTCTGCTCAACTATACCCTGAAGTGCTATTTATCGACAACCTCGAGGCAATACAAGCGATTCTTTGTTATGCCATGTACTCACTTCGATCTTTAAAAGGTCCATCCCTATGGTCAGTCAAGGCTCAAGGCTCCGGATAAATTGGCTTGACGTTCAATTTCCTAACTTCAATCGGCATACAGGAAACTCTCTGGGCTGGCCTTAAGGCAATGTATAGAACTTGGGTACCACCGTAGTGCGAAGCGCGGTCCCTCGAGGCGTGATCCACTCCACGTTGAGCTAAGCAAAAGAGTTTTTTGGGTTGCTCAAGGAATAGATGTTGCCTACGCTCTTCGTCTGGGGCGACCCTTGGGCATACAGCTTAATGAAGTCGATGCTGAGGTGAGTTGTGTGAAAAATGGAAACCCGCGACTTCAAAATGCTTACTCAAAGCCTTCACAGCTGCCGCTAGATATCAATGACTCTCAGATATCTATATTAGGAATTCAAGGCACTCCTCGGACTTCAGCCGATGGAGTCCCGACAGTTATGTCTAATGCCATCCACGTCATGCGCCTACGACAAATATGGGCTAGAATTCATACTTTGGTCTGCTCTGCAGATGCATCACAGCATACCAATTGGGAGACTCACCGTGCATCGTTTATACAGCTGCGAGCAGATTTGGATCAATGGCGAGCTACAGCCCCCGAGCCGCCCCCTCGGCATGGGCAAAGACTGTCAATATTCTCGACAAGGGCATGGTATGAGCTGAATTACAGCGGGTCGATCCTCAACCTTTACCGCTCTCAACTGGCAGAGGACAAGAACACACCGGACAACATATTTATCGACTGCATGGAAGCCGCTAGTTTCGTATGCCGGGAATATCGTCGTCAATACGTCGGCACAAACATCAAGCCTACGTGGAGCACTCTCCATTGTTTGTTTCTGGCTGGACTGATCTATGTACATTGTCTCTGGACATTTCCTGCTGCCTGTCGGTTTGTACAGCATTCGGAGGCTAGCAAGACCTGTACCGATTGCACTATGGTACTTGTAGTGATTGCGGAAGCTTGGGATGGGGCTGCTCCATACCGTGATATCTTTGAGGTCCTTGCCAGCCACACGATGTCAATGATAGTCAGCCGCAGTATGCAGTCACAGCCTTTGCCTGATGGCCCCACCTTAGCCGATGCATCAGAGCGTGAAGCTGTGACAAGATGGATATCAAACATTGACGATACCGGCATGTTGAATGTGTTTGACGATCTACTGGCAGGCTTTGTAGGTGATTTTGGGCCCTACGGCATGTCTCAAGTTGAGCTTTGAATCCAAACCACTCGAGATCAGCCACTGTATTTTACGTATACCTGTCACAATGCCAGGCATATCGATGCCTGATACCTATAAACTTCCACTTCTACTAGTCCGAAGCTAGCCTCAATTTCATTTCTAGTATGGCAATGTAACGTACCTGTCCTGTGTGATAGTACGTCATCTTGTTTTTCCTTCACATTAGCATGTTGCCTACAAAACGTCTACTCCGTATAAATGCCAGCAAATTTAATATTTCCATACTTGCACAGTCATGAATAAATTTATTGTGATTGCTTGTACCTTAAGACAGGTCCTCCAATTTATTACCCGCTAGCGTATTTTCACTCAAAATATTAAAGAGGGGAAATAGGCCTGTATTGGAATACTAGTCAGGAAAACCCGCAGAAAAACATCACTATCTTTCCTTGGTCAGCGCGGGAAGTCAGAATCGTGGAACGTAGCAGCCATATGATCAAAAGAGTGTAAGAAGTGTGTTATTCAGAACTAATCGCAACGCGATGCTATATAGCCAGAAGAAACAAAAGGGGATAATAACTCCGCGACCGTAAGGGTCATTCCTAACAGGACGGAGGCTTTCCCCACTACAATATGTATCCTAATGCACTTCTAAGCAGAACTAAAAGCACTCGGAGCTACCGCCGCATTTTTTGCCATTGGTTCATCATATTGTTACATTATGGTTTGTCCGGCTTCATCTGCTCATACAAAGTCAGTTCTGGCTTGACTAAATAATTAAATATAGGTCGAATATTCTGACCATTTTTTTGGCGATATTATTGATTGGTTCGAATAGCATTACCCCGATCTTTCCATATTATCCTGCTCCTCTTCAAGTAGACACACCAGTGCCAGTGAATGTTACTGGTCACTTCAAGTCCCTAATGGAGGCTCTGGATCACTGTGACCGTGGCGCCTCATGTAACGTATCTCTTTTTGCTTTCATGCTTCCATAAGCCTCGAAATCCATGTTGCACCAAAGCTCCTTCCGGAATTGATCCATCATGAGTACTGTTTGAATGACTTTGACCCATTCCAAAGCCGTCGATTGGCAAAATCAAAATATCCCCTATGAGTCTCGGCTCGGACAGTCCACTCAGATTCCTCAAGGTGGTAAGCTCGTCATCATAATATTGTAGCTGCCTGAAGACGGCATCCGTCCAGGCAGCTGGGCCAGTCAATCTCATAACTTCGGATGAACTGACCTTCATATCAGTAAATGCGATCCCCTTATCGACGGCGTATTTGTTGAGAGCCGAAAGGCTCCATTGTATCATATGTTTGAAAAGAATATGTCCAGGAGCTGCAGCAATAGTCCATTGACAAAATTGCAGGTCTGAATGAACCTCACTCCAATCACCTCCATCAAGACGATCAAATTCAATTCCTATCAGGATTCGAGCATCTTTTCGATACTTCTCAGGGATCCAAAGCTCCACTGACTTGAGATTAATCGTATCGATATCAGAATAAACCCCACCTTCCTCAAAGAGGATGAGATATCTGAACAAATCGGACTTCATTCCATAATTGCCGAGTGTTTTGAAAATTGCCCGAGAACTTTGGTCTCTTTTAAAATGTCGATCGACTATTTTCTCGTATTTTTCATTCCCGACCAAACAGTATTCGTAATCGACGTTGTGAGCCAACCATGAAACCGTATCCTCAAGATTTTTGGTATCAACTTTGAAATTGCTTTCACTGGCATCACGGTCTGGTGGTGTCAAATACATTTGCCATATCTTGCGTGGGATATTAGACGCCCGAAGTCGGCCGTTCGCTGCTTCATTTTTGTTTTCCCGTGGACCTGGAGAGAGTTGCCCATTGATGTCTTCTCTGACTTCGTAATAAACGACTGCAGCGACTAAGAGAAGCCATAGAATTATGAGAAAAGCTACTTTGACAACGTGTCTCCATAAATTTGATCGCCGCGTATGTGTGCCGTAACAGATCCCGGATGCTAGCAAAATGTCAAATAGACATCTCCGGAGCTTTCTGAACATGGTATCGTCATTAGGTATTTAAGTGACATGGATAATAATTCAAGTTCGTAATACTGAAAAACAATGAATAAAACTTCCATATGAAAATGAGAGTTCAATGATTATTTATTGCTGTTTGAAAACACGGCGACTGTCACTATTATTAGCACTAGTGACTCGTGTGTCTTCAAATATTGCACGCCTAATTCCAGGATAAGATATGAGCTAGTTCACAATCGGAAATAGATCGGCACTGTCATTTATTTTATGAAATGCTCGATCCAGCTCGGGAGATACTCGGATATTATTGGAACGCGCTTGTCATGCTGCAAAGTGGCAAGGGAAATTTAGATGTCTTGTCACTTAATGGACCAGACCTCTTCGCATGTCAAGACCATTGACCCTCAAACTTACTCTAGCGTGAAGGAAACGATTGATGAAAATTTGTAGTCTCCACATATGATTCAGCCAAGTCCGATTCCAAGGGTTATTTTTAGATCACACGTGCACGACCGTTGTTTCTCAAGAAGAAGCTTATTCAGCCTATCGCTCGTATGAGGCCTCTCCTCATCTTCAAATCTTTCAATTTGTAAAAATGATTGCCATCCGTCTTCACTAGGTATGTAGGAAAACTAGCCTAGTAGTACTAACTATCGAGTACTAGCTCCAAGGTTAGTACTCTAGGCTATACTGATAGTATGACTGCCACGTTGCTTCAAACCGCATATTCTTGGAAGATTCAAGTTTGCTATTTAAACGCCCCCAGGCTCTGTTCCAAGCTTGAAGTTACCCTGCTACTTATCTTCAGATTTGTCAGTGTTGCTTCGCTGCATGCCCTTTGCCTTGTGGCGACCACTGAAATATTGCAGGTACGTAAATACGGGATTTAACTAATTACGGGAAATTTAGAATCTTGCCCAGGTGAGGAGTACTGTATTGATCTAAATACCGTATCTGAAAGGTCCTTTAGGGGGGAAATAGTCATGAATGGGCCTAGGTTCCCTTCATCTTATGAGCCCGATCTTCTTCCAGCTTTAAAGCGGCCATATCTTTAGCTACTTCGGCCAACCTAGCAACCAGGGCTTCTTCTTGCGCATCAAGGTCCGCGCGCCGTTTACGCAGGCGTTCCTTTTCTTTTTTTTACGCTAGCCTCACGCAACTCTGTCTGCCTCCGTCTCTGAGCAAACTCGTCGTCCCTCTTTTGAGGTATGGGAGGTTGTTGGCGCGCTGGCTGGGAAGAGCTGACAGGGTTTGATGGCGGCTGGGAGGCAGGCTGGGAGGCAGGGTGAGAGTAGCGAGCGCACTTTGTTGGTGCTAGGAAGCAGGGTGGTTGGGCTACCGGGCCTCTTTGAGGCTGCGGAACAGGGTGGGGCACGCCGGAGACGCTGGTTGTCTTCCGGTGTTGGGGATCGTCCTTGGCGAGTCTTTCCATAGTCTCGGCGTGGACCCATTGCAGCAAATGGCCCTTGTCGACTGCGCCCATCACCTAGCGCCCGGAAGAGGCGAGGCCGCCGCATGGCTTGCTTACATTGAGTAGTCTCGCAATTGACATCGCATGGGGGTATGAAAAGGGAGTTTTCCATTGCTAAATTATGTCAAGGTCGAAGATCAACATCTTTGGAAGTTCCTTTCCAGGTACCACGCCGATCCACCAACTGAAAAGTCTTCCGCAGCACACATTTAAAGCTATATACTAAGATAAGCCGGCTTCAAAAGGGATAAAAAGAGCTTCTTCGCATGACACCCCTGGAAAAATAAAGATATTGTGATTTCGAGTTCGACTGACCCTGGCGAGTTTGCTGCGACACGACTTTTTCTGTTTCCCAAGGATGCTATGACATCATTAACCAAAGGCAGAGGCCAAGGACCCTCAGCAAGACCTTGGTAGTGGGTCGGTTCCGATCGTCGAAATTCGAGACATGATGTCCTCACCCAAGAGAAGTGCCGAGTCACTTGGCATTGAGAATCGACGGTCATGACGTTTCTGCGCTGCCGTTCTGTGGTTCCCATATTCTCGAACCTCTCCAATCCACAACAAAAATCGCTGTACTCTCTTCAAGTTTCACTTCGCAGAAAGTCCCAACAGAAATAATACAGCATGGATCAAACCTACAAGCCCACTCCATCGGCGCCTGTTGTACGTCTCATGGTCCTCGAGACCGACAAACCTCATCCAGAGACATATTCGGGCGGGAGAAGCTTTGGCAGAATCGTCCATGAGCACTTTTCCAAAGCTGGCGGTGCTCATCATCCACCTCTGGGCGTGGAAACGGATCAAGTCTTTGTCGTGTCAGACTACGGCGGTCGGGTTCCAACTGTAAAGGAATTTGACGATTTTGACGGTCTGCTGATTACCGGCAGTGTGTACGATGCGCACGGAAACAACCCATGGATTCTCGATCTACTGGAGCTTCTCAAGGACCTCTGGATCAAGCGCCCTGATTTCCACTTTGTGGGAGTTTGCTTTGGTCACCAACTCCTCGCTCGCCTCCTTGGAGGCTCTGTCGGGCCCGCGCCTTCACAAGACTGGGAATTAGGCCACTGCCGAATCAACCTCACATCTGTCGGGCAACGCTTGTTCCGCACTCGCGAAGGCCATGTATATTTGCACCAGATGCACCAGGACCAAGTAGTCTCCCTGCCGACTGCTGCATCTGCGGGTCCAGATATGATATCCCCAGGTACTGAAATTGCCTGCTGGGGACAAACTGAGCATACACCTATTCAAGGGTTGTACATCGCCAATCGGCTTTTTACTTCACAGGCACATTTGGCGTTTGATGAGGATATGGTAAAAAGACAGATCCAGATCCGGGTCGATGGTGGTGGAATCATAGACTTCGACCATGCAAACCGTGCAGCCGAGACAGCGCACCTGGAACATGATGGCGTAGAGGTTGCTAAGGCTATCTTGAGATTATTTGTATATGACGACGATGATATGGGATTTGAAAGAAAATGAATGAGGAATTGACCATGACTTGTATCATTCACCGGCCAAGTCATATATATTCGAAGTACATTGAGCTATATTTGATAGTTTCTACTATTACGAGTACTTAGCGTATTGAGAGCTGGCTCGGTATTGATTAATTTTAGACCTTGCCAAATACCAATTGCCTGAGACGATTGATACTCACTGGGTATCATTGACTTCTGTACCTTTTAATTCCATAATGATATAAAATTCCTTGGGGCTATTTCTTCGTATATTGTTGAATGATTTGCTTAACATAGCTTGAAAAGCCACCTGTGCAACCAAGTAGGTATAGACTTCTTGTTATCTTGGGATTCCCGGATGCCTCTCATTCGTAGAGTTGTTTTCAAAAGCACTATGGTCCTCCTTTTATATGAGGTGACCCAAAGTCCAAGAATTTCAGATTAATTGACTTCCAAGGTTCGATATCTATTCAACCGTCGCAACAAATTGTTTAGACGTTCCGTTACTTAGTCCTAGGTTGCGGTCTTAGTTTAACTTCCCACTTTTATTTTCGAACGTATAGTTCCATATTCACCTAAGTAACGACAATAGTCTGGTTGAAAGTCTCCATGACAGGTGTCGGACCAGCCTAAAAGCAAATATTAGCAGATTGCAAGTTGCTCTTGAAAGTGAAAGGACACTCACTCCGACCAAGGAGAAATGGGCCACATTGACCTGAAGGTTTCCTGCTGGGAATTTCGAAGGAACAGTGACGGTGAAATTCTGATAAGGTGGCAAGTAGGTCTCATGATACACGGGGTCAAATGCACCATTGTAAAGAACTGTACCCATTCCGATATTGGGAAGGTAGCAGGTGTAGGCGCAATCGGCAAGGGCAATTACGAGACCAATTTGCGTATCGGACGAAGTAGTGTCCTAGATTCAAGCATCAATAGAAGCCAAGAAGATATAAGGCGGTTCCAACATACAGGGAGCAGGACCTGGACGACGAGATCGTCACCAGGGGCCACCACCTGGCCAGCTTCAGGACGTAAGATCAAAGCATTCTGTGCCAAAGTGCAGCTAGCAAAAGCAGCGAGGGCGTAGAGAACCTTCATGGCGATAGATTTGTATTTAAAAAATGCAAAGTGAAGGTGAGTTGGCTGGGAAGAAAATAATTGAGGGTAGGATCGGCGGTTTTTATATTCAATGCCCTTGCTTCCAGCCTGGCCTTTTCTATACGTCCATGTTGGAAGGATTCGAAGAAGCCACGGCTGAATGATCACAGATCACGGAAAAATATCTCGGTTAGATAACTTAGGTTACATGAGAGCGCCTCTATTTTTCACTAAGCCGTTGAGCTTGACTCCTTTCAGAATTCGGTTTTTCCCCTGAGGGTATAAACAGGGTCCTTGACACCCCGACTCGCTAGAGAAATGAGCATACTGTGTCAAAGTTTCCAATGCTGATTCTCTACCCGGTTTAAGCCTTTAGCAATATTAAAGAGAGCATAGAGATGAATGCGCAGATACCCAAAGAACCCCACCGTGATGAATACGACTGTGGAGAGTGGTGCAAAAAGAAAGAAACCAGGGTCCGGAAGAAGAGCAGAAAGTAGATGAAGGATCACACTAGTCTAGATTAGCCACTCAACAAGTTTTTCATTCGACTCCACGTGATTAAAAGTCAACTCTCCTTAGTCGTTACAATTCAAATTTCAGCCGTAAAACTAAGCGACGAAATTGAAAAATGCTGTAGCGTCAGAGTTCTCTTTACTCTAGCATTGAGTCGCAAGTATACCCTAGACTAGCGTGAGCGCCGACGGATTCGGATGCCGGTGGACCCGAGGCCACACTGCAGAGCACGAATCTGTGACCGTTCATGACCGTTGTGCATTTTCTTGCTTGCATATTTTCCAGTTTCCAATTTATGCGCCATCAAAGACCCATCAGTTAATTGAACAGAAGGTATCCACTCTTAACATGTAGAATTAGTGGGTTACAACTTAAAGCTAGATTATTTGGACAGTTTCTTCAGGTATATTTCTTACAGACTCTTTCACAATAATTTGTGACAGAATCCAAATAACAACATCAATACAATGCTGTGTACTGCCCAATTGACATGAATCACGCCGAAACTGATTCTTCAACATGCTGAGCATCGCCCTTCTCAACAAAAACTTCTTCCCCCTTGGATGAACCTAGCGCAAGATCCGCAAAAACGTGATTTTCCCACTTTCGAGCCGGCACACCCTCCGTGAAGAACATCGAAATCTCCATCTGCGTCCTCCCCTGAGTCTCACCAACACAAAACCAAACCCAAGCAAGGGACGTAAGTGTTGTCCCCGCATACACAAAACCCACCATCGGCCCCAGTCCCGCATCAGTATACAGATACGGCGCCGTGAACGAAATGACCCACAGAAAAAAGTAAAGTGCCACGACAGAGACGGAGATAATCTTATTCTGATTAACACCAACTGAGAGTTCCCGCGTGATGGCGTAGGTCAAAGGTCCCTGACCAAAATTATAGGCGCAGATAACGACATAAGAAAAAACCACGATGACGTATTTGGATGCCGTGGAGAGCTCTTTCTGTGTTCCAATAGCGCCTATTACTATAAAGGCGAAGAAAATCAAAGAGGTGCTGATGAGGAGGTTTGTGCGACGCTTCAGCTTATTGGCTGTTATTACGGACACAGCGACGGCGATGATCTGCAGAATCATTGTTATAAGGGTAATTGTGAAAGGCTGGGAGACGCCTATTTCTTCGGCAAAGACGACCCCATAGTTGTAGAAGAAGATAATGCCATATATTTGCTGTGCGTACATGCCTCCTGCTGCCCATAGAAGTTTCTTGCGCTCAATGGGGTCTAGGATGAGAGACCTCCAAGAGGAGGCGCTTAGCTGTTCCTCTTCGTGTTCGCGTTCACGCTCGAGGAGTTCGATGTCAGAGGTGGGGTCGTAGCTTGGGTCATTTTTATGGATTTTACGAAGTGACATTTCGGCTTTGTCTTTGTTATCTCTGGATATGAACCATGTTGGACTCTCCGGGATGAAAGGGAGGAGTATGAATGCCGCGAGGGGAAGGATGACGAGGCCGCCCATAGGGAGCTTGTAGGAAAGCGAAGATTCGATCGAGTTTGTGCCTTGCGTGAGGCCAGATGCGACGAGCTGCGAGCAAGATTGAAGGAACTGATACATGTAGAGCGCTGGGCTTCGGATCTCGATAGGGGCAATTTCCCCCATACTTATAGCTGTTAGTTTAAGACCGTCAAGCGGGAAGCTGAGACCAACTAGAGAAGCGAAGTCACGGTGAAGTTTCCAACACCAAGCCCAATGAGAATACGCCCCATAACAATAACTCCCATGATGTTTGTGTCGGCGACCTGAGTAATTCCCCCAGCCAGGACAAAAAGTGCAGCAATCCACATCACTGTTTTTCGCCCGAACCAATCATTTAGTGGGCCAGATATAAGTGCGCCAAACATATCTCCGATATAGATACTTGATGTTGTAAGAGATTGGAAGTCGGTCGCAAGGGCTTTGGCCCCATTTTCGTAATGATTGCCATAGTCATTTTTGAACTGCTGCATGCCCAGAATTCCACTGTAATAGGTGTTGTCGTAGCCGAAGACGAATGCACCCACTGCAGAGATGGAGCAGTAAATTATGGCCCATTTGTGGCGTTGAAAGTCCAAATCGATGCCTAACATGTTTCAAACCTGTTGTATAACCATTCGAAAACAGTCGCTGAAATGGCGGGGGGAGGAGGATTTTAAAAGCCAGAGCTGGAATATTGAACCTGCCATGGCATTGGCCTCCAGATCGATTGAAGAAGCCGGCATTACGGAAAAGCCATCATAATATCCAGGAGAGGTCTAGTCTCCGCAAGCTCAACTTGCGGAGATGGCTTCAAGCCAATTCCACACGAGACACAAAAAACAGGGCAGTCGGAAATATTGAACAAATTGGGTTAGTGGACGTCGCATTCTCAAGAAAAACGCATTCGATTCGCCGGATAATGTGCAGAGACAGTGAATAAAAAGCCAAAGCTTCACATGAGCCCCCACACTAGGCGACTTATGGCTGCGGACTGAGCGTATCTCCCCCGTGGGGTAAGCCGGAGTGGAGGTCAACCCCGCATTCTCGGCAGTCCTTTATAGGTCCCCCACAGGAAATATCTTGTACATTATTATCCGGCCAGAAGGTGCATGGATCAACATTCAACTGACGGAATTTTGCGATGGCTACTTCAAACTTGAAGTTTCTGACAAATGATGTTCGAGGCAACTATTCGCTTCCGATGGGAGGCGGCACTTCTCGCAGACTACCTTGTCGAAATTTTCAGGCTTCCAGTCCCAAAGAATGAGATCTGCATCATGTGGTATTCCGGTGTTTGGTTCAATGCGACTGAGAAGAAATTTCCCGCATCTGAATTCATCCAGAGGTGGTCAGACATAAATGCGACCCTCAATGATTCCATCGACTTACCCGCCTACCATAACAAGGCCCGCCCTTTTACCGGCCATTAGCTTAACTGGTAGCGGTTTTAATTGAGGCTGATAGGCCTAAGAATGAATTGGCTAAGCTTTGCGATGATATTATAGAGCTTATGAGAAATTTCAAGGCCTTCCAACACCAACGCCTTTGTGAAGACCCAGAAGTGTGTTGCAGAGGACGCGAATGGCTTAGGTCTATCGGTGGATGAGCATAAGAATCTCTTTCTCCACGTAACATGGGGAGTTGGTCAGAATCTGTGCTTGCATGATGTGATACTATATCCTACTCCAATCTATGGAGCTACTACACGCGAAGGACATCGGCTCCAGTGGGATTGGACACCGAAATATACTACTATGTTGTTTTGTACCCATAGCGTGGTACATCTTTGACCAGGTCTGTTTTTATTCATGTTCTTTTTCGCTACGAGTGTATTGATTCAAATCTTGTCAAGTTGTTTTTCAATCTATTTTTAAACCATTCAATTTTGTTTCAACCAACCATGGAGTTCACCCAGCCTTCACCAATCACGAAAGACATAACAATCAACTCTTGCCAAACCCTCCACTGCCTGTTATCGGCTCGGCTTGCTTTTGCTTTTCGCCTATATTCGATGGGTTATCCTCTTCCGGTTTTTTCCAGGTGGGGAAATTCAACTCTCTCAGCATAGAAGTCACGGTGTTCGTGGATAGGAGATAGCTGGTAATGTATTATTGAGTGATAACTGGGATAAATTGTAGATTTTTACGCCCTGGAATCGTCGCCTCACTGCCTCTCCGAGCATGAGCAAATAATGCAGGAGGCTGTAAGGCATCTTCACTTCGAGCGAATCCACATAGATTATTAGTATGCTTGGCGGCTGAAAATTCCCCGACAAATAGCCGAGTGGTGGTTTCGGCCTAACAGCTACGTCAGCAGCTCACGAACAACAACATCCCTATATTATTTTGAAACATTCTCTCATACAGACTCGTTTAGGGGCTGACCTCCGAGATTGTTCATAGATTATTTTGTGGGATACAAGAAGTGTTCGGAAATCGAAGTGTTTGGAAATTCAACCTCGTAAAGTGGCATGTCACAGCGAAGGCCCAGGGGTGGAGATCCATATAGTCCGAAGCACGCTCGGCATAAACCCTTCTTTACGGCTCACTGATACCAATTGGTACTTGGTAGAGCCGAGATCAATTTAAATAATACCGCTGGCCAATCGGAGAATATACGGTTCAGGCAGATTTCCCCGGGACGAATGAAGATCTATGTGGGGAACAATGTGGGAAGAATTATGAAATATGCTGCGTACTGTAGTATCATTGACTTTAACAGTTTTTATTTCGCTCAGTATTTAATTTCTCCTTTATCATATTTACGTTACACATTAAATCCCGGAATTCGGATCTCAATCGCTCATGTTAGGTCAAGTTCAAATAACCGAAATCTTAAGCTACAGCACAAGATTTAAGATTACTTATTATGAATATGTGTAAGATTGCGAGCTAAATACAGCCCACCCTACTTGTAGTATTAACGGTTCGTATACTAAATGCTTGATGAAACAGAGGCCCGCCGTAGTGGACCAACGTGCTTCCAGGATTTCTTTAAGCTCCAAGTCCTCAACTTTAATTGGCATTTGCGGCTAGTAAATTGTGGTTTGGGTGGGACCTTGCGTGCATCCTTGCGTGGAAATCTTGTTCCAAGAACTTGCGGTCCAAATAGAGCATAGTCGCCCGAATATTCGCCGGAAATCTAATTAAAGTAAAAAATAAAGCAATTGCAGTAGAGTAAGTCTCAAATTTAAATAAAGAGAAATAGACCACTTTTTGAACCAACTCCCACTCCTATTTCCGCTCATTCTCAACATGCGCCTTGTTACCACTGTTGCATCTCTTCTACTTGGTGGCCATCTGGCTACAGCAAAACCTGTTCAATATGCGACTACTCAGCTTGTCAATAGTACCGCATGTTCGAATGTTCATATCATGATTGCGCGTGGTACTACAGAGTCCTACCCAGGCTCCCTGGAGACTTTGGCCGAATTAATTAGTACATATAACGATAAAACAACCTACGAGAACATCATATACCCTGCGACCGATGAAACAACCACCAACAGCTATCACGTTGGAAAGAAAGCTTTTGATAAACAGCTGACTCAATTCGTAAAGCGTTGTGGAAACACCAAAACCAAGCTCGTAGTTCTTGCTTATTCCCAAGTACGTATTTAAAGCTGTACTATCTCTAAATTTCTCTTCTCCTAATCACAGCCTGTGATTTATAGGGGGTTATGGTTGTTGCCGACACCCTTGCTGGTGGCGGAGGTGACGCAACTTTGGGCAATTTGACTGCCCCAATTGACGTTGACATTGGGAAACATAGTAACATCCACTGGTTCCATTTTACAATTTTTCACCTAACTCTTGATTCAGTTGATGCTCTTGTCTTGTACGGCGATCCACGACATGCCCCTTACCAACCCTATGATGAAGGGTTCAACACTTCAAGTGTAACCGGAGTAAGTCATATTGCGCCCTTTAGTCAATTGAAGATACTTTTGAACTAAATTTAACCCCAGAAATATCCTCGCCCAAACTTCCAGGTTGAACACCTAACAAAGTACTACGGGAATGTCATTCAAGACTACTGTAATGTTGGTGATCCGGTTTGCGCTAGTGGAGGCAACATTACAGCTCATCTGGTCTATCCTGAGATTTGGGATACTACGGCTGCTAGCTGGGTTCAGGGAGCACTGGATAAAGCTTGTTAATCTTGCTTCCTTTCATTTTCACTTTGGTGGCTTCATGATTTTGTGAAAATTTCAATGTATAACAAATGCGAAGAATGTGTACTGTAAAATACTGAAAAGAGATCGAATATTAGAAATTTCCTAGTGGAAGATTTATCATTGCTAAGTCACTTTTAAACTTTATTCGCGCCTTGATCTGGAGTTCAAATATCCATTAAAGGAGATATCACCGGCGCTAGATGTTTGCTTAGTGCAGTTTTTGCGGGGTAACTTCGGGGTGCCCTATACTGATTGGTGCCATGTTCCTCAATCCGTCATGTTCCCCACGCGTTGGCAGGTGAGTGAGAATACGGAAATCCTACGGCGGAATAAAACTTACCCTTTTTGTAGCTTGTAATATCGAAATTGCCAAGATAAATATACTGGTTGACCCTCCATAGATGCTGACGTTCTCTTATTTTTAAAAACTTCCAAGACCTAGTTTTCGCTCATCTTGGTATATAAGTGCACAATAATCATGATTTCTTTTTTTGGTCTACTTTTATGGGCCTATTTGACTCCTTCAATCATAGCCACCCTTACTTCCCGGGGGTTGAACTCCACTGCACCAAAAGTAAAAGTCAAAAATGGCACCTATATTGGCTTTCATGATCCTGTCCTCAATACAGACAACTTTTATGGAGTTGCATACGCGCAGCCCCCTCTAGAAAACTTGCGTTTTCGACAACCACAGTCTCTCAATACTACTTGGCCCGGTAGCCGAGTTGCGGTGGACTGGCCTAAGGAGTGTGTTGCTTCAAGTAAGGCTTCTTTCTGGACATAAGTGCTTGACTTTATGTGAAAGACTAACTTGAGATTCCTAAAGACTACAATGCAAATGTAGCTATCTCTTAAAATATTCCCAATTTCTACCTTCTCTTGTGGATATTGGCTAACAATTGCAGATGTCTGAGGACTGCTTGTATATGGGCATAATTCGTCCTGCAAACACTACACAAAAAAACCTTCCGGTGATGGTGAGTCTGCCAGATTTTGAGTCCGACAACCCAAATCCCGTCCAGGCACCCTGACATTCCGATCAGGTCTTTCTGGAACAAGGAGGCTTTAACAACGGTGGAGTAGGCTACTATTCAGCCTTCAACCAGACATGGATCGTTCAACGCTCTTCCGATATCGGATTCCCCATCCTCGGGGTAGCTGTTAATTCTCGAATCGGTCCATGGGGCTTTATGTATAGTCAAGAGATACAAGACTCACTCAACACGAACCTAGGACTACGAGACATGCGTAAGGCGCTTGAGTGGATTCAAGAAAACATTGCTGCCTTTGGAGGAGATCCCTCCCGCGTGACTCTTCAAGGACAAAGCACCGGAGCACAATCTGTAGGTCTTCAGCTCCTTGCATATGGTGGAGACAACGCCAATCTTTTCCAAGGCGCCATCTCAGAAAGTGGTGCGCCCGTCTGGTTCGCGCCGACCGCAGATGTAAATCTATGGCAGCCCACCTACGACGGTTTTGTGAAAGCAGCAGGCTGCAGCGCCGCAAAGGATAATCTCCAATGTCTGCGGGAAGTATCTAACACGACTCTCATCGACATCTTCAGCAACACGACACTCGACCCCTTTGGCTCCAATGCGCCACGTGAATTTATGATGGCTGTCGATGGCGACTTCATCCCAGAAGCGAACAGCGTCCTACTACAATCAGGGAAATTTGCGCGCGTTCCATATCTCATTGGCACCAATTTCGATGAAGGCACGACCGTTGGCCCAAAGCCCGTTAATAACGTGAGCGATTTAAATTCATACCTCGCTAAGGAGATGATGACAATCGATAACGCAAGCCTGGCTACTATCGGCTATCTCTACCCAGATATCCCAGAAATAGGCATCCCAACCACTTACAAAGGTCGCCCTCCGTTTAGCGATACGTACGGTCTTCAATGGAAGCGCTCATGTGCTGTTGGGACAGACATCATCATGGACGCACCGACCCGTCTTACGACATTATCCATGGCGGCATATAATTCAACGGTATACCGATACCACTTCAATATTGTTCCAAATGGATACACTAATCTTCAAGGCTCAACACATGCGTCGGAGGTTCCTTTGACATTCTATAACCTTCCCGGTCTCGGTAGTACAGTTCCGCCACTTGGTGGACCGAATGGTGACAAGCTAGTCAAAATGGCTCAGATCATGAGTGCCATGTGGATTGGATTCGCTTATAGCGGAGACCCGAATTACATTATTCAGAAGCTTGGTCCGGATGTTCCTGTTTGGCCTCCTTATACACTGCCTGAGCCGAGGAACTATGTCTTTACAATTAATGAGACTCTGTATACGGAGCCGGACACTTTTCGGGCTGAGGGTATTAATTGGCTTATGGATATGATGGTTGCTTCGAAAAACAATAATTGCACTAGCATTGCAGCTTGTGGGGGTGCTTCAGATGCTATGAATGGGGAAACGGGTGGCATTTATGGTTTCTAATAGGTTTATGATATCAATGCTGCGTAAATTCGAATACTCCAAGGCTATTATCAGACCATTGCACAAAACTTTGCCCATTGCATGTCTATCATGTCATTGCTTTACAGTCGGTAGTTTCTCCCTAGGAGTTTATTTTGGGAATTTATCGCAGACCACAACAAATACTTTGCATTAAATTGTAAATAGCCCGAAGTGTAAACCGGGAATCAGCTTTAGTCCTAGATACAAGCCTCCCGGGCACAGATCTTAAAGAAAGAAGGTCTCTATAATGTCAGATTCTCTGGCCAAGAACATGCATCCGTGGCCAAAGTACAGCGCCGTCTCGTCGATGAAATCAAGACAAGTCTACTAGTCTACTCCCGTTTAAATGCGTCCATTGAAATGTGCAGGGAGAAAGATGACGGAAGACGAAGTTGAAATTCTGATAATACGGAAGAACCAAAGGCTATGCAACCGGTTCTAATGCACTCGAAAATATTTGAAGCGTTTCTCGTTCAATTTACACCTAATTCTTGCATTCAAGTTTCAGCCCACTGTCCAAGACTGCCAAAGTAGTTCTCCGAATCTCCACCTCGCCAGTCTCGTAGCACACACCATGCATGCCGTATATCTTTCCAGCTTGTATAGCAACTTTATAGTCAGGCACCTTGCTGAATAGCGTCTATACAAAAGTAAGAATTAGTCACCGACTCGTCTAAATCGGATTCCGAATAATGGGGTCAGAGAATAACATACCCGAATATAGTGGCGCGCCCATACTGCATATGTTTCAAGGTCAGACGGAGTAGCATCTTTAGGTAATCGGGTCACAGATGGCCCACCACTTCCATCGGTGATTAAATCGACCGGATTGACTGCTACTAAAGGATCCGATAGAATTGCAGGGGCAATACATCCGGTTTCCCAGTCGTATAGCGATGTGACAAGAGCACGCTCACTTGGCAATTTTTTTACCGTAGTATTATGGATTCCAAAGTCGCCGTTTTCAAGAACAAAGCGACAAAGACATTGGTCAGTGTGCTCTAGTGGCATGATATGGGGGAGTGCTCGTAAAAGACTCCCCTTAGCCGCCAAGGCCACTGGGCCAACAGTCTCGTTATCATCCTCCCAACCAATCATGTCTCCTTCATTTCGCATAGTAGCATTGATTTTAGATTCTATAACATGCGCCCAGAATTCGCGTGTTGGAGCAACCGGCAAGGAGAGTGATTCTGGCATGGATTTAATACACGGCTAAGAAAATACCTCGTTATGAAGCTAGTCGGCGGGTTATAGTGAAACAGACCTGCCCGTATACTTGCCAGCTGATCAAGGAGATATAGCTAATAAAGTAAGAATCCTAAACTGACTTTAAAAGAAGTCTCATATTCATCATACCTTATTAGCACCATTCAGTTCATCCCATACATTGCCCACATCCTCTGCCTTTTCGAATAGAAATAGCCGGCGACCAGCTAAATCTTTAGGAATAGAGCTTGTTGGGCCGGGATGCAATACTGGTACACGTTGGTAAAACAAGCGAGATATATGAATATCAGGCTCCGTACGCAGTAGATTATAGACAGCCGCTTCGAAATTAACTTCCTGTATCTGCTCCTCTATCGGAAAGCCATCAAAATCAGGCATATTGACATCACTACGCGCTAGGCGAGCGACCATATCAGGCCCTTTCAAAGTTCTAATGTGGAAACCCTAATAATACATACATTAGGCTCCACTCTTTGTGAAATATAATGCGTACTTACATAGTTGTTGGAGCCTTTGTCAACAGCCGGAATCTCTATCACCTGAGTACCTGTGTGCTCCTCGATCTCTTGATAAGAAGGTTGGTGTCCATAGTCCTTGAAAGGGGCTTTGTCCGTCACGCACCAGAGGAACTAATTGCTTGCCATCGTATGGTTTGCCATCTGGCATAGATGGCCAGTCATCTCTCCAGCCCATCGTGGTGGATATTAGTCTGTGGATTGTCAAAGAGAGAATGCAAACCGTGGTACCGTGAATACGAGAGATGTGCGTTGTAGAATGAGCATCACAGGAAGTCCAAGCACATTTTTCTATCAGGTGGTTAGGACGGACTAAAATCGGGAGCGACTAAGGCCCCCATTAGATTTTTGCTCGGGCCGCGCTATAAAACTTCACATTAAGCAATCTTTCAAGGAGATGCCTAGTCTAACCCTCTTGCAAGTCCAACAGCGGGATCACCCTTATCGACGACCATATACATGTTATAAAAAGTAATACCACGCATGGCAAAGGGGGGAATAGAGAAAAAAAAATAGTAAGACAAAAAGAAAAAAAGGAACTCCGGTAGGGGGAATCGAACCCCCGGCTGCTGTGTGAGAGACAGCGATGTTAGCCACTACACCATACCGGACTGGTATATATTGGTGACGTGATTTGTGCGTACATGAACCTAATCTAAAGTTAGCTGCTCAGATCTGAATCTCAATCTAGTGAAGAGGACTATGGTCAAGTTGAAGATGAGCAGCTTGGATCTGATGCGGATACCAAAATCATAAACACACCAAGTTTTCCAAGGCTCGGTGGGAGAAAATTATTTCGCGACAGTCTTTAACCTTGGAACTCCTATTACTAGCAGATTGTTCAAGTTAGACCCTTATGCCCTCCCAGTCCGTGATAATATATAAGTTCGACAATGCGATTGATGCGGAAAAGCCATTGCAATTGCTATCTCCGGCTGAATAATTACCATCCGCATCACCACCCTTGCCTGAAGAACCGGAGGTCACAAATTCCAATAGAAACTGGAATGCATTCTCAACGGCCCTGAATTGTTATCCGTGCGTATTTGCAGATTACGGGGTATTGACGCCGGCAATGGCGAAATTCAACTAACCATCTTAACGGTTTATACTTAAGTATCATCAAGGAGATTGCTCGTTTCCTCGCGCTTGACTCAATCATCCGACTCAAATCCAAAACACGTGGGACAAGAAATGCGTCGCAGGTATAGCCTCCGCGCGTCCACCTTGTAACTGCCAAAACATCGCGTGGCTATGCATGCATTGTGATTCAATATGGCGCGTTCATGACATCAAGCACCGTCACGGTAAAGTCTGGGAATGGCACGCACGATTCGGTAGTCCGGTGAGGGCGTTGGTGAAGAGTGCAAGGGCGTGAAGTGCGAGCGAGACGAGAACTGTCTTGCTACGCAGAAGATCGAGATTGAAGATGACAGCGAGGTTGTTGCGGCTGGTGTTATTGAGTATTAGGTGAGAAGAAGACGAAGGAATATCTTGTTTGCGAGAAGCAAAAATAGAATCGGAATTGGACTTGGAGAGTGCGGTGGTCGAGAATTATTCCGACGAAGAATGAAATTCTCAAAATCTAATGTGTGGTCATTTAGATTGAATTTGCTTGAGCCTTCTATATTCGATGTCTTTAGGTATGAATGTAACTGACATGAAGCTCTAATTTACCATCCTCCGAGGCCGATAAATTTCGCATGCTGCCATGAATAGCACGAGATTCTACGTTTATATAGATGAGCGTCTGCGATGCCCAGGCTTTGATCTCGGAACAGAAATACTTCAATGTTGTTCTCTCACAAAGGGAACAAGGAGGTCTGATTGTTCTGTCGAGCTCAAGAGTCTATTCACTTGTAAAACCCATACTTGATCTCATGGCCTAACAAGTCCAGCACCTGAAGCTCATCAGCGTCGAAGGCACTCTCTATAACATAATCTACATATCCATCCTCATCCAATCCCCAATCCCAAAAAACTAATATATACACACCCCTTCCCCAAGGTCCAAATCAATCTCAATCTCACAATCTACTCAACAGGTTCCCCCTCCATCTCCCCCTTCAACATCTCCGCCTCAGCAACCATCTCCCCCTCCCCCCTAGGCTTCCTCTCCTCATCATCCGGCACCGGAAACCCCTCACTCCGCTTCTTCCTAGCCTCCTCCGTCGCACCCCCACTATCCCTCAAAAGCGCACGTCCAATATCCCCTTCCTCCCCATCAAGCATATCATACACCGCATCAGTTCCACCGCGATGATCTAGATCCCTCGCCTTCCTCGGTAATATGTGAGCATGAACATGCGGCACGCTCTGTCCGGCATGTACACCGTCTTGAATAGCTATGTTTAGACTTGCGGCGCCGTAGACTCGTTCAACCATTCTTCCTACGCGGCGGACTGTTAGGAAGAGGTCGCTTGTTTCGGAGGGGGTTAGGTCACATAGGCGGGGGACGACGCGGAGGGGGGAAATTAGGACGTGGCCGGGCAGGATTGGTTTGAGGTTTACGAGGGCGAAGGAGAGGGGGGTTTTGTAGAAGACCTGTTTTTTGGGTTGATTTGTTAGTGGGGGAAGGGTTGAGGGGGAGAGAGGGCATACTTGTGGTGTTACGAGGAATGAGCCGAAGTAGATTGGGGCTGTGGCGCTTTTTAGGGCCATTTCTGGTGGATTGGACATTTGGATGTTGGCGATGGAGTGCTCAAAGTTGTTGGATCCATGCACATGGTAGGTATGGGGCTGATAAGGAGCTTGGTTGCTTATCGATAAGATATGGGGTATTGGTATCAGTATCAGATTGGCTGGGGCTGGAGTTTCAGAGTCGGAATCCAGATCAAATTAGATTACAGAGAAGAAATTGCACCAGAGAATGGGTATATTTGTTATTGGACCATGATAAATATCCTGAAGCTATGATACACAAGTGAAGTAAAAATTTGAGTCATTCCCATCGCAGCCAGCAAGCATTAAAGTATTTCCGCCATGACATAAATACAGAAAGAAAAAAAAGGGTCAAATGAAATGGAAATCGGAGAGCATGTTGATCAATGCTCTTAGGAGTCTGCCTTAGTCTGCCTCAGACTTGGGCTTGGGCTCGGGCTCAGACCCAGCCTCAGACTCAGGCACTGCGGCTTCTGGTTCTTTAGCCTCCTCCGCGGCAGGAGGTGCAGATGCATCCTCACCCTCCAGGGGTGATTCGGCTGAGCTTTCGGTTTTGGGTTCTGCCTCGTTCGCTTCCGGCTGTTCAGCGGCCTCCTCTTTAGGTTCGATTGGAGACTCGGCTGCTTCCTGAGGTTGCTCTTGCTCTTGCTCTTGCTCTTGCTCCTTCTCACTTTCCTTCTCCTTCTCCGCCTGCTCGAGCTCCTGCTCCTGCGCCTCGGAGGGCGGTTCGCTAGTCTCGGTAATCTCTTCATTCGCAGGAGCAGCCTCTGTCTCAGGTAGAGGAGTACTAGAATCGTTCTCAATAACAGAAGGGAAAGGCTCATGCGACTCCGTCATAACATCACGTAGCGGGGCTTGAATTTCGTGAACTTCCTCCGGATCCTCCGCACTCTCCGTAATAGTCGTAACCCGCGACCCAGTAGAAGGACTATGCTTATGCCTTCTCGTAGTCGCACCGGTACTAATCGAGGGATCCATAGCCTCCACACCTCCGCCACCACCACCACCCGCAAACGGACCTTCATCCTTCCTCAAAATAGTCAATCGTTTACTCTCAGCCAGCTGCTGCTGCTGCTGTTCTTCCACCGCACGAGGCTGAACAGCATCCAACCCCTCAGCCTCAGGCGGAATAGTGTAATTATCCTCCGGAATAAGCTGAAACATGTCACAGACAGTCTTAAAAAACACATACAACCCATCATGACCCTCAACTTCCCAGAAAACATCACGATGCTGAAACCAAGCATGTGCAAAGATCCGATAAAGCCGGCGAAAGATATTAGTCAAGTGTCTTATGCTTGTTGAGGGACCACCACCAGCCTCCGAGCCGAGCGTCAACCGACTAGGAAAGTGCTTCGGGGAGGTAAGGGTATTTGTTGCCCAGTCGAGGGTGTGGCAGCAGTAATCTATAGCGCAGCATGATTTCGGGGGATCGTGAACAGCACAAAGGTACTGCCATTCTGAGGCGCGCATTTCGGGACAAGTCTGTGACGAGCAGGGAGGGCTTTCGGCGAAGAAAGCAATGATGAGATTGTTAACTTTCATAGTTAGGAAGCGACATAACTCGTAAAGCCATAATGATCTATCGACGCCCTCGGGAGGCTCGGCGAGTTGGATTGCGACCTCGCGGCTGATGGGGATGACAGTATCAGAGCCTTCAGGCTTAGTGAAATGATGATACAAGGCTTTGAGGTGTTCCTGCAACTGAAAGGGGGAGTCGAGCTAATTTAATCGCATAAACAATTAGTAGACTAGCTTTGAATTAATTGGAGATGATCCAATAATACCTGCGACAAAGGAATTAATGGCGGTCCAAAGGCCATGTCAGCTGTTTTGGTCCCCGGACGGATCCTGCGTGTTGATCCATCCTCTTCTCCGGCAGGCGCGCCAAGAAGTTGTTCGCCATCTTTGCCAAATGTCTCGCCGACTGAAGGCGATTGAGGACCGATCTGGACCTCTGTGAACGGGGGCGGACTTGGAAGACGTGGGGAGCTAGACGGGGAGACTCCCGCGGCAGTCATGGCGCGTAACAAGAATCGGGGGATTCGAGGGAATTTGGATGGCAAGGCAGTGGAAAAAAAGACGCGAATGTAAAAGAGGGTAAGCGAGGATGAATAAATGAGTGAAAAGTGTAGCCCGCGCCCAGTCCGATCCTTAAAGCATGAGATAGAAAATGGAGACCTCAGGACAGCTTTAGCATGGACTCAATCGGAGCTGAGGCAGGAGATAGAGATAAGCAACAACATATGACCGCCCGCGCCCTAAGCCCTACTGTCCGCTCTGGGAAACAACGTCACCTAGAGTTTTGGTTTCTGGACGCAGGAACCAGATTAGAGTTCTATAAAGTCTTGTTTAAGTGCTTACGTTCGTAAAATTTAAGATTTTGTATCGTTCTAATGTCTGCAACTGGAAAGCTAGTCAAATACATTTGCAAATTGTGCGAGAACGCCAAAAAGACGATTAAAAACCTCCGTATAGGTATAGGAATACAATCAGAACAAGAACATGTAGAAAGGAAGAAAGAGATAGAGAGAAAATAACACGAAGAAAAAAGACGCAAGAACGCAGCAAAATATAAATCAAATCAAAACCACCAAGAAAACAAAAGAAAGAAAAGAGAAAAAGGACTTTTTAGACGCCATAAGTTCGCCGGCATGCGCCATCGATATGGATGCCTGGGAGTGCTAGCTTGGAACGCAACAGTGAACATGATAGAACTATACAAGCGAGAAATGAAGAGGGTATCGATCGTATAGCCCCATGAAATTGGGACTTGGAAAATCATCTGGCGTTCATAAGTCTTCCAGGATACATAACCTTAGGCTAGAAGAGAATAGCCTAGGGCCGAGAAGATCTGAGGATCCAGCTCTAGAGTCATGATCTAGAAGCAGGATTGATAGGAAGTCGGGATTCCAGTAGAGAAGGTCCCACTGATTGGGATTCTCCAACAGGTAGACTAGGAGGAAGTTGTATTTTGGTCGTGGGGAGAATCGACTTGACAGGCCCATCTTCAGCAGCTGGGCTAATGGGGAGTCGGGATTCGAGAAGCGAGAATATATACGTTGAGAGATCTACCCTTTGAGGTGTAGGATGGATAGGGGTTTGTGATTCGGGTGGCGGCGAATCGAATTCGATAGGGCCATTCTCAATGAGTGGGTTTATAGGAAGTTGCGAATCAAGAAGGTCGTTTCGCAAGAGCTCGAGAGGGTGTATAGAGCTTTCTTTTTTCAATGAAAGGTCCGATGTGGAATTTTCCTCCTTGATTGGAAGATCAAGCATGGCGCTTTCTTCTTTCAATGTAGGATTTATGGGCAATGAAGAACCCGAAAGAGGTTCAAGGATGAGACTCTCTTCTTTCAGCTCAGGGCGAAGTATAAAACCTTCTTCTTTCAATGAAAGATCCGCTGGGGAACTTTCTTCTTTCACAGGAGGGTCAAACATGGAACTCTTTTCCTTCATTGGAGGATCAAGTATGGAAATCTCTCCTTTCAATGCAGGATTTATAGGCAATGAAGAATCCGAAAGAGGTTCTAGAAGAGGTGTCTGGACAGGCGAAACCGCCCTCGAGCTGTATAGAGACCTCCCCTCACTCGACATGCCAGGAAATGCCCTACTCCGAAAAATAGGCAGAGCAGGGTTAATCGGGAGAATGGAGTGAAAGAGAAACGGTACCGCGCCGGGAAGTTCGCTCATTTGAGACCCAGATCTAGCATGTCCGTTTCGATAAGAACGTTGTGGTTGTAATTGTTCTTCTTGCAGTACTGGGCTCGAAACCTCTCCATCCAACCTTAAAGAAGCATGTGGAGATTCGTAATGGTGAGGGCGTGGATGTCCATAAAAAGAATCCTGGTCAATAGAAGGTTGACCCTCTGACGGGGCAGATATCGAGGGCGAAATTTGTCGCGGAGGAGCAGATCTATTATAATTCGATAGATGGGGGCATTCGTTGGACATAGCAGCTTGGACAGGGTGATTTTCAAGATATTCAGCCCTATGGTCGTAATGGGTATCGGGAAGTCCCCAGCGATTTTCGAGATGGTCATCATGTTCATGGTGATTTAGGGTAGATGCGGAGGAATGTCGGGATAGGAAAGCTGCGCCTCCGTTGGATCCTGCGAGTGTTGGGGTAGAGCCTTTGCCTTGGTCGGGATGGGTAGAGAAAATATGTTGAGATAGGCCATTGTCGTGGGGTTTTGGAAATTCGGATCTGAATTCAGGTGTATGTGGATGGAAATGATGATCGTGGTGGCTTGTTACGGAGAAAGGGCTCATGCCATTTCCCTTTGTTATGAGGGGTCGTAGATCGTGTTCCGCTGTGTCTCGAGCCCAGCCAGCCGGGATAGAGCGTGAAAGAAGATCTGCGGGGAACAATGAAATAAGATCCTTGGCAGCCAATCGGTGTCGGGGAGTTGGACTGAGACAGATATCGACTAGTCGGCGGTAGTAATCGGGTACATCGATATCGTTTCCAAGAATCAAAGGGCGAGGTTGTCGTTCTGGTTCATCTTCCTCCATCGCGAGAGCCCACAAAGTCATACCAAGCTGGTATAGATCTGTCTTTACTCCGATATACATGGATATTCGTTGGTTGCTTTCAATCTTGGCGGCAATCTCTGGTGGTTCCCATCCAACTGGACATCCACGACGGTTGATGTCGATAATATAAGCGTTGTCGTTGCCATCCACCACGATATTCGACAATGTGAAATCACCCTGTACATAGCCTGATTCGTGTATTTCGCAAAGACCCTGTACAATCTGTCGAGCCCATCGTTCTCGTCTGGCAAATGAAATTTGTCCTCGCTGCTCGTATAGAATATCAATCAATGCACCCTGAGAGGCATAGTTAATCAGCAGCCCCTTAACCACCTCCTGTCGCTCATCGACCACAATCGCATCCACCTGAATCACATTGGGAGACAGATGAAGAGCGTGCAATGCATTGATCTCATATAAAAACTCATCCACCGTATCCGGACCCGGAATCTCTTTCTTGATATACTCATGGCTTCCCAGCCTCACTTTATAAACAAATCCAGAGAGGTGTTGCTCGAAGCTGAGAAAGTTCTCCGGTACGCACCGAGCACCACGGAGGTGTCCAATACTCGAAATTGGCGGATAAGGAATCGTCTCATTCACATCCTCGGTGACATGAACATGAAGACGACCATCGCGTGTCTCAACCTTCAAATTCGTAACGGTATCATAAAATTGAATCTCCGCCAAAGACTCCCGAATCGACTCATATATCCTCGCACATTTATCCCGTTGAGAGCGCAACTGTTTCAAGTCGTCTTCGAGAGAATCTGGCGGCGCACCACGGTAATCGCAAGAAATCGTCACTCGTCGCCATTTATTCGGGCTTTCCGCATAGGTCACAAAGAATTTCTCCCTCTCTGAGCGATCCCGAAAGTGCATGCTCAGATTCAGAATCCATCGTTGTTCCAGCTCCATCTCGAGTGTCTCCGATAAGGGGCCCTTTGGTGGCACGCTTTCCACGTCAGGGGAACGATCCCAGTCGTCCTCTGATTCCGACTCAGTCCCAATATCATCCAGAGTGGCAGTATCCGGTTCCCTTTCTCTTTCGAAATCCAGGGGCTCGTCGACCGTGGTAGCTGTAGCGGGCGTCGGGCCGAGCCACTGAACCTCTGGCGCGGAGAGTCGAGGGCCCACGGCGGGCGGTGGAGAACGGGTTCTTTGGGCACTCAACGGGCGACGGTCGGCCGACTGAGCACGACGAGGCTCGGAATCCAAACGGGCAAGACGATCGCGCTGTTCCAAACTCTGACGCTTAAAAGTAGTACCACGGGGTAAACCGACGCCGACGCGACGGGAGAGTCTTCGAGTCAGATTATTGTGCTGCTTGGCGGTGCTATCGGTCGACGATGCTCGGCTGTGGTTTAGGTTGAGGTTGAGGTTGTGGGGGAATGAGACAGTATCGCGGTTATTGTTATCCCGAGAGTGTCCACCTTCTCGATCTCGTTCGTCGCGACCCAGCCATCTTCGCAACCCCAAACGATGCCACATGCTCTGTTTCTGGGGGCCCTTTTCATCCATGGGGAGACCCAGCCGCGTTGGGCTACAGCTGTTTGCAAGGGAGATGGCCATACGGCATGCTCCTTGGAACCAAGGAACAATTCAATCACCCCGCTAGCTGGAAACCCCCCATAAGAATTGAACGCGGAAGGGTGAAAAACGAAGTAAGCGGGAGAGCCACCAGGAATATACCAGAATATACTCAAAAGATGACGAGGAAGATGTGTAATGTAAGAAGAGAAAGACGAGAAAGAGAGAAAAAGGGCCCCCGGGCAAAGGCAAGAAAAAAAAAAACGCCCTTAACAACGCACGAGCACTAGGAGTCACCACACCAGAATTTCAATATCGGTGTAGACTATTGCCCCCTTTAATCTCAGGCTCTACCTTGTCCTTGTTTTTCTCTTCTCTTGTTTTTTGTCCTGTTTGGCCCCTTTTTCCTCTTCTTGATTTTTTCTTTGTTTTATAAATATCGGTATCCTCTTGGATTCGAGGTATCGAGGTACGCAGTACGGGAGTATAGGAAGCTAACGGATTCAATCTGGCGTGTCACACAAGGGTTGCAGTGGACGCGGAGGCTGGGAAACGCTGGTCCGTGACAAGATAAGTATCCAACAGTGTATCCAGTAGTGGACAAGGAGAAAAAAACAGAGAAGAGGCGGTGTCAAACGGTGTGTTCTCAAGACCAGAAAGAAAAAGAGAGAGATGCGATCTTCAAAGTCAAAAAAAATAAAAATAAAAAATAAAAAAAATAACAGTAAGTCCGAACGTTAGCGGTGGGAGAAGCGTCGATCCACTGCAAGGTATGAATGTCTCACAGCAATGAAGCAAAAGGACCAGGGGAAGAAGAGAGATGTCTACTTTTATTGTTTATAAGAAAAGAAAAAGAAAAAGAAAAAGAAAGCAATTCGGAAAAGCAGATCGGGGAAAAAAGTATTTCTACGTGACGCACAGTAATTTATAATTTCATCAGACTATTTCTCGTTTCAGTCCAAAAGATGAATTGGATCTGATGAACTCAATGCGTTGCGGCCTGACAGTGCCTGATTGAACTCGCTGATTGGTGGAAAAGCCGACTATACAAATCACGATCAGAGGGCTACAGGGCTATACAGTGGAGTCTATACATATATCACAAGGTAGTAAGATCAATTATACATGAAACAATAGTTCAATATGGGCTGAAATTACAATTGAGCGGAGAAGCATCTTCTAATCATCAGAGTCGCAAAAATATCGTCTAACAAAACATTTCAACGTCCAACGCCAGTCCATGCATTCCGGTTGGGGAAGACAAGACGCCCTGTACCCCACATGAAGTTTAAAGAAAAATATAAAAAAAGAACATGAAAAAAAAATAGAACAAACAGAGAGACAAACTATACAGAGTTACAAGTATATGTACCAACAGGTTCTCAGGCTTTTTTATGCTGGATCCGATCGCTTTTACTCCTCATCACCAGTAGCAGCATTGCTCTCGTCTTTCTTGGGCTTGGCCAGTGCCTTCTGCCAAAGGGTACGCGCAGCCTCTTGATCCAGATCAGGGAAGAGAATGTTAAATACATCAGAGTACCAGTTGACAGGGTGGCCTTCGATGCCCTTTTTGATATTCTATCATTCATCGCGTTAGTCAAGAGTCAAGAGAATATCACGAGATCTACAGGGTTGACCGGGGTCATGACTCACCTCGGGCAATTCAAGCCAGTCAGATGTGTTGTCTGCTGGGAAGATGATCTTTGTGGCACCAGCACGACGAGCAGCCACGGTCTTTTCTCTTAAGCCACCAATGCGCAGAACCTTGCCGGTAACGGTCAATTCACCGGTCATCGCAACGGTCGGGTCGAGAGAGTGGTTCAATGCCAGGGAAAGAAGTGAGCTGGCCATAGTGATACCGGCAGAAGGACCTGTAGAAAGAAAAGTTGTTAGTAATATGAACGAGGAAAAAAAAGGAAACCTGTAGATTGTGAGTGATAGTGATACATACCATCCTTAGGTACGGCTCCCTCGGGACAATGCAGGTGAACCTTGGCTTTCTCAAAGAAAGCGTTCTCAGGGAATTGACGAGCCATGACAGACTTGGCAAAGGAATAGGCAATATGCGATGACTCCTTCATCACGTTTTGCAGATTACCGGTGATCTCCAACCCAGGTCTCGAGTTGTGATTCAGAGCATTCTCCAGGATACACTCCACATAAAGCGCCGCACCACCCATACTGGTCCAGGCAAGTCCCATGGTAACACCAGGGGGGAACTTGTCGTACAGACGGTCCGCTGTAAAGACTGGGGGTCCAACATAATCCTTGAGGGTATCCTTGCCGATACGAAGTTGTACGCTTTCGGGAACCTTGAGAGCATGTCGAGGGGTCTCGGTGGTAGACTTCTCAGGGTCAATCGGGGCAGCTGCGGGATCAGGAGACTCATGCTCCTTTGACTCTTCTTGTGCCGCTTTACCCTCTTCAGTCAATGCAGCCTCTTCGGGGAATGTCTCTTCGCCCAGATCCTGGACGATCTTAAATGCTGCCTTTCGGTAGACCTTCTCAATCTGCTTCTTCAGGTTGCGGACACCGCTTTCGCGGCAGTAGGACTTGATGAGTTCCTCAATCGCGTTTTGCTCAAGGTTCACATCAACGTCTTTCAGGCCGGTCAGTTCGCGGGCAGCGGGGGCCAGGTATCGTTCAGCAATGGCCATCTTCTCATCGGCGACATAACCAGAGAGCTCGATGAGCTCCATTCGGTCAAGCAGTGGCCGGGGAATGGTATCAGTGACGTTGGCAGTACAGACAAACAGAACCTTAGACAGATCAACAGGAACATCCATGTAGTGGTCAAGGAATGAAGAGTTTTGTTCTGGGTCGAGCAACTCCAGCAACGCAGAGGAGGGGTCGCCCTGGTGACCACGTCCAATCTTATCCACCTCATCGATCAGGATCAAAGGGTTTTCGGTTTGACACTTCTTGAGAGCTTGGATGATACGACCGGGGAGAGCACCAACGTAGGTTCGTCGGTGACCCTTGATCTCTGCAACATCGGTCAAGCCACCCACAGAGAAACGGTAGTACTGGCGGTTCAAAGCACGAGCCACAGACTTTCCAATGCTGGTTTTACCAACACCAGGAGGTCCAACCAGACACAGAATCTTTCCTTCCACCGTGCCGCGAAGCTTACCCACGGCAATGAACTCGAGGATTCGGTCTTTAACATCCTTCAAACCATAGTGGTCTTCATCTAGAACACTAACCGCATTCTTGATGCCAAAGTTTTCCACGCTCTTTTGACCCCAGGGAATCTGGGTTAACCAATCCAAGTAGTTGCGCGTAACATTAAATTCGGATGCTGCAGGCTCCAAGTGGGCGAGCTTGTTGATCTCCTCCTCGAAAACCTTCTTAACAGCTTCGGGCATTGCAAGCTTCTCTGCCTTCTCCTTAAACTTCTCGACAAGCTTTTCCTTTCCATCTGACTCGATTCCAAGCTCTCTCTTAATTCCCTTCATCTGCTCCATGAGCCAGTATTCCCGTTGGCGCTTCTGAATCTTAGCTTCCACATCCTTGGTGATCTTGGACTGTAGCTGTGCGTTCATTAATTCCTTCTTCAACACGACTAGTGCCTTAGGAAGACGCTCTTCGATGTTCATAGTTTCGAGAACCTCTTGCATTTCATGCAGCTCACCAGCTGACACTGCGGCGGCGAAATCAGCGAGTTTGGCGGGCTCATCGCTGAGGTTTCCAGGGAACTGATCGGTGTAGAAAGCTGAGATCTGGTCACGGAAGAGGGGGTTTAAGGTAGCAATTTCCTTGCACACATTCACAATCTCACTGGTCACGGCCCGAATGATACCGTTCTTCTTGTCGTACGGCTCCTCTGTCAGGTTCTCCACATTTACCAAGCTGATCGGGTACTTTTTGAGGAATGACGTAGGCTCGTAGTGGTCCTTGTGCGCAGCTTCAGCAGCACCCTCCTCGAAACTAGCCACAACATCACCCTTCTTTTCCGTCTTCTCTTCTGTCGGAGCTCCCTTAGTCGCTTCGGTTGGCGGGAGAAGTGAAGAGATCTTTATGCGGCGGTGGGGGTAAAGAACCGCAGTGACACCACTAGCCTCACCGCGAAGAGGATAGGCCGCTGTAATCTGAGCGAATACACCAGTATCATAGACGTCGTCCAAATTCTCAATGACATCGCCATCGGCATTATCATCCTTAAACAAGAAAGCACCCACATATGGCTGGCCGCGCTTCATCATATCTTGGATTGCAGCTGCGACATTAGGGTCTCGAATGGTAATAGCTTTATAGAACCCAGGGAAGAGTGGGCGTTTTGCGATGGGAATCGCCATAACTTGCGGGTATACATCTGGAACTGCAGGCTTTTGTAAAGCCTTCTCTCCAGATCCTTTCTTTCCCTTTTTCCCGCCGTCGTCGTTACCGCCATTGTTACCGCCACTTGCAGAGCTAGGTTTAGAGTCGGCCGAGCCTCCATTAGACGGAATAGGAGAGGGTGTAGCATTTGAGTCACCCTTTCCATCCGCCTCAGCTTCCTTCTTAGCCTCCTCTTCTAATCCCCGCTGTTCCTTGTCGCTCGATGATCGGTCTTTCCTCCGTGTAGTATGGGCCTGGTCGCCGGTCTTACTAGAGTCGAAAGCTTTCCGTCGCGGTTCCGGAGCTCGCTCCACCTCTTTATCATCTTGAGAGGTTTCCTCTTCTTGTTTTTGTTGTGATTCATCGGTTTGATCCTCCGGTACAGGCTTCTCTTTCCGTTGAATGGAGCTCGAGGAAAACGTGCGGGGCGCCGAGGGAAACGACCGGCCAAGGCCAGTGGTGATTAAAGCTGAGCGAACATTGGCATTGGTCCTTGGCGACGTTAGGAAAGGTCGGCGCAATAATGGACGAGGGGTTTGATGGAGCGCAGCTCTCCAGGGGAGGGTCTGGCCGCGGAGCATGCTATTGGAGTTTCACGGTGGTTCGGCGGAGGGTTAGGAAATTCCGATTCAGCGAGGAAGGGAAAGGACGGGTATGGGATGGAAGCTTGAGGGTCCCGTGTCGCAGCTTCAGGTGATATGAATGAAGCTGAGGGCGTATGAGAGGGGGAAGTGGGAAGATGTCAAGGTCCGTCAATCGGAGGCTACTCGGCTTGTTCATGACCTGAGCACTGTGAAGGCCCACATCGGCCCGATATTTTCTCCGTCTTCATCTTACAAATGCACTAGGAAGGACAAATAGTTTCTAACTACTTCTATTGCTATACATTGGAGAAGGGAACTTGGACATGGAGTAGCTAAATAGCGGAAAGAAGAGCTTGATGGGGAGCTTGGGAGATTCTTGACCCACCCTTAAGAATAATCACATTTTACCTTACACGTATAAATCGGCTATTGGAGGTCTGTCGCGTGAGCTGCAGAAATGGGATCATTCGCCAGCTATTCTTTAGTCCAAGATGCAAGTTCAAGTTTCTATATGCGATACCACCTGTCTAGCATGTCAAACACACAACTAAGTAAATACCTACGCATCTTCTTATCGACAGCTTTGTCATATACAAATTCCTAATATCAATGAATGTGGCCACATGGCTATCAGCGAAAACACCCAAAACTCCTTGTATACTTCCGAGGTCTCGTCATTTCAGTGTCACAGATCAATTTGTTCAATCATTGAACTCATATACAAGCAAAGGTGTTATTTCCACGTATTCTTCGGATACTTTAGCTCAGTATCCTCTTCTCGTACATTTAAGATATAATACTATGCAATGGTCAAATCCTTCTATACTAATCAAGCACCCAATGATTTCATCGCGGCTCCACAGCAACTTTCCCGGCCCGATGTTTTTCCATTACCAATCTCCTCGCCGACTAGATGATTCTACAACAATTTCCCCGAAAGACTACTATTGGTGTTTTTCTGTTATAGACTTTTTCTTTCCCTTCGAGCTTTGGCGGCCCCTTTATTGAACGACTTGGATTCCTTCCTCGTATACCCCCCTGCCGGAGCCCGGCTTCGACTTCGACAATTCGACCAACCGTTACTCGGCTATTACTATTCTTCCCGATGAATCCATCCGCGGCTTTGCCCAAGGCCGTGGCCCTCCCCGCGCGTCTGTTCCGGACACAACCCCAATGTTCGACCCAGGCGACTCGTTCTACTATCTGCACACCGTCTCAAAAACGAACTTACCATGCGGGAGCTTCCGCTTCCCCGGCTAGACGATTGCGCGAGGGTATCCCCAAGAAGAATGCTTCATATGTCTTCGTTGTCCGGGTATGTAATTCTTTTATTTCTACCTCGCATGACAATATGTAAAATTCGCTACTAATCATTCTTTTTCTAGCCTTTCCATTCGACCGCTTCCCTCGCAATTGCCGATCCCTACAAAACCCTCGGCGTAGCCAAAGATGCATCCGCCGGCGATATCAAGAAGGCCTACTACGGCTTGGCTAAAAAGTATCACCCAGATACTAACAAGGAAGCCAACGCCAAAGACAAGTTTAACGAGGCTCAATCCGCCTACGAGCTGCTTTCCGATACCAAGAAGCGCGAACAATACGACCAGTTTGGCTCTGCCGCGTTCGACCAGAACGGCGGCTTCAACCCTCACGCTGGCGGCAACCCATTCGCAGGTGCAGGTGGCTTCCATGGATTCGGTGGAGGTTTTGGAGGCGGAGGATTTGGCGGTGGTTTCTCGGGCGATATCAATTTCGAAGATCTTTTCGGTGCTTTTACTGGTGGTGCGCGCCGAGGTCCTAGAGGCCGCCGCAATCCATTCCAGGAGCAGATCCTTGTCGGAGAGGATATTGAGGTCCAAAGCAACATTACATTCATGGACTCTGCCAAGGGTACCTCGAAGGAAATCGTCATTACGCCCTTGGAAGAGTGTGGAACCTGTAAAGGTGATGGCTTGAAGTCCGGCGCTAAGCGCTCTCAGTGCAAGTCTTGCAATGGTACTGGAACTCGTGTTCACTTGATGCAGGGTGGCTTCCAGGTTGCTGCTACTTGCGATACCTGTGGTGGAGCTGGTATGTCAGTGCCTCGTGGATCCGAGTGTGGCTCCTGTCACGGAAACGGTGTTATTCGCGATCGCAAGACTCTGAAGGTGGACATCCCCGCTGGTGTTGAGGATGGCATGCGGATGAGAGTCACTGGTGAAGGTGATGCACCTCCAACCGGTACCTCTGCTTCGCCTGGTACCCGTACTCAACGTGGTGATCTATATGTCACAATTCGTGTTGCCCCGGATAATCGCTTCACCCGCAATGGATCCGATATTCTTTATACAGCCACTATTCCACTCACTACTGCTTTGCTGGGTGGTGAAGTTACTATCCCAACTCTTGATAACGAAGTCAAGGTCAAGGTCTCTACTGGTACTGGCACCGGTGATCGGATCACTTTGTCGGGTATGGGTATGAAGAAGTTGAGCGGTGGTCGCGCACGCTTCAGCCCAACGGGTGATTTGAGAGTCGAGTTCAAGGTTTCCATGCCGAAATATCTGACTGGTAACCAACGGACAATCCTGGAGGTACTTGCTGATGAGATGAACGACAAGACGGCAAAACGGACTATGAACTTTAGCAAGGAGAGGTAAGTCTTCATAATACACTTGAATATTTTAGTTGCTTCTTATGCTTACATTATGATAGTCCTCCCAGCCAGCCCGGCGACGAAAAAAGTGAAGGATTCCTCAAGTCGGTGTGGCACCGACTTATGGACAACAAGGAGAGCGATGCCACAAAGTCCGAGTCCAAGGATGCAAAGAACGATGTCAAGAAGGATGCCAAGGACGAAAAGAAGGACGAGAAGGATGAGAAGAAGTCGAGCTAAACCCCTGTAAATCTCCATGTACTACTATATCCGCCATCTGGGCTGTACTTACTTTCTACCACTTCATGTTTCTTTTCTTTCATAGCGTCGGCGAGATTGGGCAATCTATTCTGCCCGGGGAAGAATATGGGGCGGGCCATGTATTACTATGTGTTAAGCTACCATGAAGCTCTCTACTTTATTATAGACAAAAAAAGACATACACATATCAACAGTATCAGGTTCAAGTTCCTTGCTCATGTTTTCTTTGCTAAATGCACTCTTCTCATCCATCATTTCAAACATTCACGATCCAGGTCTACGTCATTAAAGTTGATGTTATTAAAAGAAATGTACGTCACTGACACTAAGATTATTACTAGAGTCTTCCGTTGTCTCCAAGTGCGAGACCGCCTGAAGAAGTTCAAAGCAAAGTAGAGCTTTTTAGTGGTGAATAGTGGTGGACTCCCTGGCCCTTGCATAAGGTCTAGCCTCCTATAGGAAACGATCTCAGGGTCTCGCACTTATTCAACTAACTAAGTAAGAATTTTTACTTGATATTTGGGGGCCTCCCGTTGGTCTAATCTAAGCACCCAATCATCCTTCCCCATATTCTAGATTCATCTCTACTTACATTAAGTCACTATAAATGCGCACATATGTATCACAGTACAATGACCTAGTCTTCTTCTGGCCCATTCATGCGCAGGACTAGCAACTTACCCAGATCATCCTTCCCCGCATACCAGATTAGTCTCTGAAGATTAATCAATATCTACATCATGGAGTCCCAGAAAAGCTTAGATCAGTATCACAGTGCAAGGCCCTAGTCTCATTCTGGCTTCTACCTTGGTAGAACTAGAAGCTAGCCCCTTGAATGACGAAAGTCGCCACTGTATACCTAGGTGAGGATGGGGGTGTTTTGGTTGAGAAGTCCAATTTACAACATATGATCTTGAGTTCTACGGAACAAAGAGTAGTTTATGGTGATATCATCGCTAAAAATAGCATGGAGATATTACAGTTGTATAGATGGCTCGTTGTCTATAAAAGAGACCATATCATCTCCTCGGAGATATCCCAATCCATCAACAGCAAAGAACATCGCATCACTCCAGCAAAGCATTCTCCATTTTCCAATTTTCAAATATTTCTATCTACCTATCAATTCTTATCAAGATGGTTGCCTCAAAGACCCTAGCAGCAGCCATTGTCGCCTTCGGCTTTTCTTCCTCCGCTCTGGCATGCGTGAATTTCAAAGGTAGCGATGCTTCCGATGGCAGCTTCGTCGTAACCGATGGTGGTTCTATGAAGTGCTCGGGCGCTATTCAAAGCGGAGACAAGGATCTAAGTATGTTCATACACACACATCAGATTTTGTATCACCTACCCCCTCTTTCTTCAATTCCACTAACTTGCGAAGGCTGTGTCGACGGCTACTCCCTGAATTACGACTGGACGGATAACATGAGCGTTGACGGTATGCCAGTGACTTACTGCAACCCGTCCGAATGGTATGTATTCTTATATCGTTGAGTCATTAATTGGCGACTGGAATATTGCTAATATCTGTTTATTTAGCTGGTCTCTCACCATTCCGCACTCAAGCTGCGACAATGGATGGTCTTTGGTTTGCAATTTTGACTACTCGACTTTCGGCTGTTGATTTGATTTGATTTGATTTGATCTGCTGGACAGAACTCATCTTAGTGTCTGATATGTTATGATTCTATGTCTCATGGATATCATATAGTCTTTGATATCTTTGCTTTTCTTGGTTGCTTTCCTTATTGAGTTGTGCGTTCGTCTGCATGAGTATCATGATTGCGAAATTTTGTTTTGGTTACTTTTGTCATAGATCGAAATCGCATATTTATTGATTCTTTATTTTGAAATTTTGATCTACTTTAAGTTGGAATTTAATCTAGATTGGTGAGTATCGGTGCCATCATGTAGTTCAACTTGGAATTTACATTCCAAGACTATCATAATGCCCAGGTGAGGAACCTAGATAAACCAAGTGGAGGAATCTCTTAAAGCCGTATACATATTCCCAATGATCTTTTATTCAGCTGTTCTGAGGCATAAATGATCGGGTTTCAAGCCATATGCGAGGGCGCTACTATATTGATTCGTCATTTACATAAAACATAGCTTCTAAACTAAGAAATAACGGGACGAAATCCAATCCGAAGTTGAAAATGGTGAAGATCAAGACAAAAAATGGCCGACGGGGGTGATATCGGACTATGAGTATGTAAAATACTGAGTGGGGGCAGTAAACAGACAGAGATAAACGCCGAGAAAAATGTTTGCCTCTCCATTTTAACCAGTACCTAATCCATCATCCTTATCACGATTCCCATAGTTGACCGCTAAACACACGCTTATTTCCAGGCATTGAGGCCAGACCAGGGATCACCTGAAGCAGGTGGCTGCGACTGGGACTGAGACTGAGACTGCGAGGGGGTCTTGTGATGTCCATATGGCCTGGCTTGGGAATACCCACCAGGTCCGGAGGGGAAAGGACCAGACGAAGTTGGGTATGTGGTTTGCTGCGGGCGTGGAGGAGGCGGAGGAGGGATGTAGCCTTGTGGGGCCATATAGTGCGATGGAGTACCAGCTTGACCAGCAGATGGCGCAGGGCTAGCACTGGGATATCCGTACGGAGTAGGTGTTTGAGAGAAAAATTGCTGATTGGGAGGTGGGGAGACTGGTGCCTGGTAAGGGTATGCCATGGGGTTATAGCCTTCAGAAAGTGGAGCAGCGGCACCTTGCTGGAATGGTTGGCCATGTGCATATTGCATACCTGGGGTGGCGCTCATACCCATGTATTGTCCATATGGCGCCGGAGAGTGTGATGCTGGCACGCCGTGAGGGGGTTGCATATTCGGAGGATAGCGAGGCGACATCTGGGGGGCCGGCCCGGTTCCATATGGTGGCGCTTGAACAGCAGGAGGAGGCGACTTGACCTTAGAGGGCGGCGCAGGAGTAGAGCCGGTTGATGGGGAGCTAGTTGCTGGTTTTGGCTCTGTCGACAGACGTTCCATAAGCTGTCGGAGTTTTTCTCGCTCCCGATCCTCTTGCTCCGAGACTCCGCTAGCCTTGTCACGCTCAATCTGACTTAAGAGCTGGGCACCCTCGGAACGGCGGTTACTGATGAAGGTCTCAACGTTCTTCCGTAGACTTTCAACATTCTCACCCATATCTTTGTAGAATGTTCGTGCCTGGACAATTCCAGACGAAAGGCCATTGAATGCTTCATAAACCTTTTTGTATCGAGAAATCACCGAATTTCTTTGTCGTGTGATACCCTCATACTTAGATTGCTCGGATTGAACTCGTTTGTCTTGCAAGAGATCGGCATATGTCTTGGTCAATTCTTTCATCAATGATGATTGTCTGTGGTTCGCCTGGAGCAAACGGTTTTGATGAGGACGGAACTTTTCTAGCTCGGCTTCGAAAAGTTGATTCTCTTGGCCGGAAATAGACTTCTTGTTCAGAATCAAAACGTTTGATATGTCATCGGTGTGGATCTTTCAGAAAAAGTCAGTGACAAGGCCCCATTAATTAAAAGCGAACGACATGAGTGTAATGATTTTGGGAAACAAATGATGGATACATACCTTCTCTTTGAGATCTTTAAGCACTTGAGACCGCTCACGCTTAACGAGGTTGAGTTTCTTCAAGATATCCTCCACTTTAGCAATCTGGTCCGCAACTGACGAACCTCCCTCGTCATAGACATCATCCAACAAGCTTCCTTCAGCGGGGCTGGTGGCTCCATTTTTGCCCTTGTTATGCTTAGAGCCCGCCTTTATCAGGGCCTGTTGAAAGAGTACATCGGCTTCGTCTGTTTCTCCCGCAGAACGCATCTGGTCAAAGTCACCCTCGTACTGCCGCAGAGTAGCTGAGAGTTGAGTATCACTGGCACTGGCTTCACTAACAGTATCACGATATGTGCGGACGTCTCCTCGGAGAGTCGTGTTCAAGCGTCCACTGGGTTGCTGACTCCAATCACCACCGTACTTAGAGCGCATCTTCTCACACACACTCTCTTCCAGATCAAGCTGCTTCGAGCATTGATCCAGTTGCGATACAACTTCAGCCTTGCGCTCCTGGAGCTCATCAAAAGCTCGGTTGAAGGGTTTGTGCCCTGCAAGTTCCGAGCACCAGCGACGAAACTCCTCGTCCACGGTCATTTCTTGATCCATGCCACCTTTTAGAATGTTGAGACTACCTGGCAGTTTTAAATAATCCAAACTGGCGGCCATTTCGCCATTTGCAGTCTCGACCTTCTCGGTTTCCGCACGAATCAGTTTAGCTTTCTCTTCATCGTACAGACTGGCAGTCTCTGTGACAGACATAGGAACCAGCTTTTGGAAAATATCCGGTCCAATGATGCGCTGAATATCCTGTCCTTGATATAGTTCACTGACCGGAATTGCCTTTGCCGCGGGAAGCTTGGCAACAGGGGAAAGTCCGGCTTCATTTGGAACGGGTTGGTGGTAGATAAAGTCGTTGTCTTTAACCAAGGTAACCATTTGTGAATGTACGTTTTCCTGGTTGTGTTTGATGATTTCTATCAAATTGGCGCCGGCTTCAGCTGGCAGATTCGAGGTCGCTGGAGCTGAAGAGGGAAATGATTTAGCCCAGGTCAATGCAGTTGTAGCTTGCTTGTCGGCCACTTGCAACCGAGAAATAGCTACTCCATGAGATCCACTCTCACTATCTGCGATCGCTTGGTAGTAAGATGCAACAGAGCTCATATGGGCCCCTTTAGCTTGCACTAATATTGACCATACCTTGTCGAAGACGTTTTTGCTGACAAAATCCGACATCGTCTCCGCCGCCTGAGAATAGAGATAGGCCGCCTGGCTTGCCAGTTTGGCTAGGAAGCCAGGCTTCTTAGAATCCGTTATTTGCTTTTCCAGGAAGACCTCCTGGGCCTGCGCTAGCGTAACATGGATCAATGTTTTGACCGTGTCGCGGTTAAGGTCGGTGGAAGGCGCATGTAAGAAATTCTCATTGATGTATGTAAACATGCCCGCGGAGGCTTGGAAGGAATGGTAAGCCGTTTTCACGCCGGTGTCATCCGCGCGGTTCTGGTTGGCGGCATGGCAGGAAAGAACGGCGGAGATGTTGAAGATGATAGACGCTTTTTCGAAGGCCAGGGAGTATTGGGCGGTTGACTTGTGAGTGAACGCATCATACCTATGCGCGAGAGATATTATATTAGTATGATATTTGATTTTAATGTCGAGGGTTGGACAGCATGTATCAAGGTAGGTTGGACCATACCATGTGAACGAGATCTTGATGTGATTCTCGTCGACGGGGAACCGGAGATCCAAAAGCTCCAGCTGTCCGTAGTATCGATACAACAGGTCGCGTCCAGTAGCGCTATCCTTGCCGGCACCCCTCATGTCCTGGCGGAGTCGGTTGAGTGTTGTACATTCTTGGGCATAGCGCTCGGGGTCCTCGCCATAGGTCTCTCGGATGTAGTCCTTGAGAGGTTGGATCCAATCGATCTCGTTGGTCTGCTTGAGCGGACACGAAAGCATCGGTGACTCAACCATTGTGCGACGGTCTTCAGGAGCAGGATGCTCCCATCCACGAATATAGATGGTAGAGGAAACACGAAGCCAGGGGGTGGTAAGCGGGGGAGTTGATGATATGGGTTGAGGGGGTCGGGATCGAGGCTGTGGGGTAAGTAGGCGGGCAGGTGCTTGGTGTTGACTAGCTAGGCCAATGACGTAGCTGATACTGAAGAGGATTAAATCGAATTGACGAACTGAAAGGAAAAGGAGAAAATGGCGGAGCGAAAGGGAGAAAGGGGGTGGAGAGGATAATCGTAGCGCTAGACGGTGACGAGGTGGGATGTGATGGCCTTGGAGGTGACGGCCGTGTTCTGGTCTGGGCGCCCAATAACATAGCACCAGTTGACGGAACTATGTAGATGAACACCTGGCACGACCTTGGCTTCAACACTTTTACATTTAACAAAGTTGCCTCATGTTTACGCTTATGAGTAGATATAAACATATAATCTCTATGAAGAAAAAATATGTATACATTAAAATGTCAATAGCATTTGCAGCGGCAAAAAGCCGACTACTAGTAGTAATAAAAAGAGCTAAAGCTATAAATAGTATGGATGCCTTACCCGTGAAAGTTACAGGTCATATCAGATAAAAAGATTACGATTTCCACGAGATCAGCATAAACTTGAATACGAGTAATCGAAGTTGCAACTAACACAGATGCCCCATCTTTGTCGCAGCCGATATATGGAACGATGATAGGCCAACTGAGAGGATATTAGCAATCTCTTCACCAAACCACGGTGCTAGCAGAATCGTGGAAACATACTAGCTATCACTGCTTCGGCTTACAATAGGTAGTTAGTATATTTATTTCGGCATTATCCGAATAGCCATAATTCAAAGTGAAGCCATCTATATAGTCTACCCGTCGAGTTTGGGAATTGAAGTCTGATGACCAGGTCGAATCTATAAACATACCAACGTCATGATCTCCCATTGACAGAGAGCCCGGCGAACGCGTCTCATAATAACTATCGCTTATAGTAATACCAAGCTTCTTTAAGACTCCAATATAGAATGGATCTACTAGTATTCTGGGTGAAAGGGTGACTCCCGGGGCAGGTGAATCGGGCCAACTGGGGCAGACTCAGCATATTAAGTAACCTTTTTGAAACTTAGTATAGACAACCTTGAAAGAATTCTGGAGTAAATCAATGTACAGCCAATCAGTGGAAATCAGAAATATTCTACAATTGTATACGCATCTTTTCATCCCGGTGACGAGATATAAGCACCAGTGCTAACCCACATGCAGTAAACTAACCGCGAATTCTAATATCTACGCAAGGATACATAGAATGTTCAAGTTGTAGCAATTTCAAAACAAAAGATCACTTAATAAACGATGTCTATATAGCAAATTAATACAGAACACATCATACGATCCCATGAGATCAAATTAACAGCCAAAAGTCGAATAGTCAAAGTCGTAGATGCCGCCGCAGATGCCCTCAGTACAAGCTGATTCAGTGTTGTCATACGGAATAGTAATAGACCAACTAAACAAATATTAGCATGCATTCCCACATCACCAAGTGACAGCAAGATTCTAGCAACATCGAGATTACCTACCATTCACTCGGGTTGCAGTAAGTTACTGGCATACCGGTACCATCGTTATCCGACCAGTCGTAGTTCAAAGAATAACCGGAAATACAATCTTATTTCCAAGTTAGTATGATAAAAGACAAACCAATCCACATAATGCATAACATACCGGCATCTTTATCTCCAGTAGTGATCGAATCCGAACAAGTTGTGGTATCACCATCGGTTACAGTGATATCGCTGTTTGTGCTCCCCTTGAAATTAACACATGCCAGGGCTGAAGATGAAAAGCCAAGGGCGACAATGGCCGGTCCGAAGATATTTGAGGCGATCATTTTGGTGATAGAATGAGGGATGAGTAGATGTTTGAAACTGAAGTTTGTTTGGAAGAAGTTGGAATGCTGTTGATTGTGCTGTTGATGATTGTATTCAAGTTGTAGGAGGTGAAAGGCACCCTTTTATGGATTGCAAGACCTCGATCTATACTGGTATATTGTAAGATATCCCAAAGCTCTGAGGTATGTAGTTTGCCGTGATGATATCATTTTGCCGCTAATACTATAATTATACTCAGGATTAACCGATCTACATTTCTCAAACATAGTAGCTCTCTTTGGATACTGATTCAGCATGCATACAATGTAGAACCGCACTGCAACATAGAAGTGCCTTTCATGACACGACTACACGGCCGCTACAGACTGTAAAGTTGATATTCACTCTTGTTTTCTCTATTTGGTTTGAATCTCTTAAACTTATACTATTTGGATTATTGAATGCTATACAAAATATACTACTTTACGCCTACGGACTACTACCTATCCACGGCACAACTATTTTACTATTCATCTCTTGGGGGCTGTCGTCATTTGATATGGGGGCGGGCTCCTAGGACTAAACTACTATAATGTGAACTTCGCACCACTATACTGTGAATCTCGCACTTATGTAACGCTTAAAGATAGAATCTCGCCCCATACAGTAGTAAATTTGACTACTGTATGGGGCGAGATCAACAGGGGCGGAAATACCCAATAACTCCGGCCTTTCTGCAACATTACTTGTGAAAGTAAGTTTTTGGCAATCTTTAGGACTAGCAGGGGTTCTTTGGATGGGGCCAGGGCAAAAACCTAGGAAAAGTTCAGCTGTCAAGGTGGCGGGTTGCAAGATATACGCGAAGGCCCCCGGTCCCCTAACCTAACGCTCAACGGGCGTATTGAAGAGTGTCCAGTTTATCAATCCTGCGGATATCAATGACGTGAAGTCGCCACGATGAATGAATAAGTGGGCGGTTTCATCTTGGCATGTTGACCAGAAAGGAAATCCAGCTTTCGAGTTGAAAAGAGCGTAAAATGATGCAGTGACTGTGCTGCATTCAGAGAATAAAAGACGATCTATGTAGAATTGAGCAACGACAATGTTTGAAGCGATGGATGATGAAGCGGGTGCTATCATCTTGGCACGTTGATAATGAAAGGAAATCCAGCTTCGAATTGAAACAAGTAAAAGCTTATGCAGTGAATATTCTACATTAGTAGAATAATGACAATGACGTAGAACTTGAATTGGCCTACGTCAATGTTTGAAGCGATGGATGATATGATGTAGTGAGATTTTGAGAACCCAAGCCATCTGTACAAAAGCCTGGCCATAGTAGTGGATGGATAATAAATAATGAACGGTAGCTGCAACATGAATCAACGTAGCGAAACATTGAACTATACAGCATAAACATATATACAAGCAAACATGAACCCTGAACAGCCCCAAACGCCATGGGTATCTTGAAAAGGAATTGGAAAGCAAAGCAGGCCAGCAAAGCCAGCCCTCAATGTAAGTATCTCGAAGAAGCAGAGCTTAGACAAACAGCTTCTTACGGCTGGAACCGCAATCGAAATTGTCTCCCCCTCCTCTCTTCACGAACAGTATATAGAAACCTCGCAATGCTCTCCGGCTCCGACAAGCCCGCACTATTAAAGTGTTTTCGCACAACAAGCGCAAATGAGTCCTTGCTCACGCGGTCTTGTCCAATAATCCGGCGAAGAGGCGCATCGTTCTCGCGCTCTCGCGAGCTTGTACTTCCCGTTCCTTCGCGGCTTCCTTCTGTCCCCGTGCCGGGGTGTGAGGAAATAATGTGATCGCGACGATAGGAGGGAGGTTCTTTAGATTTAGTTGCACGGCGAGCTGCGAGAGCTGTTGGGGAGCGTAGACCGATGCCTTGCGAGAGGACTAGACGGGAATAGTCGCTTGAGAAGGCTGAGGGGGTGGGGAGTTTGTGGATGTGTCGGTATGAGTGGAGGATGTCGAGGGGCAGTTCAGGCCAAGGAACCTGGCATTGTTAGTTTATGAATTGCATGAATGGACTAAGAAGAGAAGTATATAGTCTTGAGAACATGGCAGATAGAGTGATTTCTTCTCATTGTCTTATCTGGTCTGTGGTTCTCGAGCAAAATTGTCTTCTGCCGAGGCCTAGCCCCTAATTGGACACTTACATTTGGTTGTTCGTCTGCTTCTTGGTTCACGGGGGCGCTTGTTACTGATGCCTTTTCTTTGGCTGCTGCGCCTGTCTTCCGGCTCTTAGGGGCAGTTGTTCTGTATTCTCTTGTGCCGCTGGAAGCTTCGGACCTGGAGTCGTCCACGATTGCAGCGGTACGCTGGCGTGGAGGTGCCATGGTACGAATGGCACGGAGAAAAAGATACAAATAGATATAGGATGTGTTCGATTATATAGGATGAAGGTTTGATTGAAGCGAAGTGGTCTTGTCAGTCAGAATAAGAGTAGTAGGCTTGCTGAGCGCTGGCCTTGTTGCTTAGATTCTCCGCTTTGCGGGCGGGGAGACGCGGCAGAACCCATAATTTTCTCTTTCCGCTTTTGGCGTGGACGGATTGAAGTCCGAGATACATGAAGTGCGGATTTCTATGGGAAAATATGATCATTTCGTCGCATCTTCTCTTCCTATGATCATACCATGGAAGGTTTCAAGGGATCTTCTGGAGATCTGGGGATCTGGAGACAGTTATTTTGTATAGCTGGTCATTTCAAATGATGTCATGTAGGAAAACGCGTTTCCAGGTTTTCCCGATTGGGATACATTTCATTGTACTCCCGCGCATCTCTCCACGAACTGGCACTGAGTGTTTGTTCTCTTTGCTTGGCTCTGGTCTGGGACTCACCGCTTCATGCGGAGAAACATTGGCAACCTCCGCAAGTCGGATGAAACTGCGGGACTAGCAAAACAGATCGGACCACCGAGCCAGCGCTGTTCCGGATGAGTGGAGAGGCATTCTCCATGTCCTTCCTTCATGCCGCAATTGCCGGACTCTAACTTGGGCACAGTTACACGGCACGGTATGACTACCAGACTGCCGAGCAAACAATCCCATATCCCTACTACCACCTTGCTCCATACTAGTGATAGAGATTCCAAGCGCCGTTTCCAGACTTTAACAAAAAGAGGCAAAATGCTAGAGTACAAATCCAGCAACTAAGCCGATGGCCGGCAAATCCGCCACCGGAAGATTCTCGGCGGGGAAAACATCGGGACAACCGGGACCAGGACCGGGTATGTACCAAAAGAAAATGATAGAAAAAATAGTGAAAAATTAGTGAAAAAATGAAAGAGAGAAAATTGTGGAGATTGGGGATTCGGATCCTTAGTCAGACTTGGAGTCGAGAGAAATTTTTCTCTCTAATCAGAGCCAACGGCACCAGCACGCAAGGCCACGCCGAGTCGGCACAATCCCGAGTCTCAGCCCGAGTGCAACTCGGGCCCGTGGCTCCAACACGGAATCATAAACCAGTTTTGCTCCATGTCTTTGCCCCCTAGGAAATCCTAGAATCACGAAAAAGTTACCAAGCCACCACGGAAACCTGCCGTGGGCTTGTTCACCGAACGCCCCTTTTCTAGCCCTTGTTACTCGGTATAGTACTTGCTCCGATCAAATTCAGATTTTTTCATGAATCTCCATACCTTCAAACGGATAGAGCCCGCCTCTCCTCCCTACACTTCCAAGAAAACTCCAATGTGATTCGTACCAGCTTGATTTACGTTTGTAAGGTATTCCACAAATTGCCAGTTTTACACATGTACACATGCACTAGATCTACAATTATACTAGACCGACCCGTGGAAAGGGCTTGACTCACCACGCGAAAGCACCCCAGGCCCCTACAGTATGCCCCAGGGCCTCTCCCGACGCCCCAAGATCATTGTGGGGCCATAGTAGGAAAAGTGCGAGAAAAAATAAATTTGTCCCCGCAATTGATCTGTGGCATGCCACAATGGCACGCCCGCAATTTTCTTTCCGAGTTCACCCGATGACTGCATCTTTCCAACAGCCCTATGGGTCGATGCTCCTTGAGCCTGGAACCTGGAAACTGGGCTCGGTAGCTTGAAAATACTGTACCTGCAGTAGAGGATGGTCTAGCTAGAGCTAAGACCAGCCTAGACCTAATGTACACCCTCCTGAAAGAAATGTACATGTATCTATGTACTCCATACCTGAGCGATATTAAAGTTGAGATAGGTAGGTCCTCTCAAGAGGTCCGTGTTTAGTAGAGATATGAAGAGAGGTCCAGGATTCTGTCGTCATCGTTTAATAGTACCTGGAAGCTATTTCCCCATCTTCTGCCTAACTAGCTTGATGAGGAATTTAGCGCCCCATTCCTGAGCTCCTCTATCCAAGTGGTCAGTGTAAGGACGGAGTATAGGTACGGAGTACACAGCCGTACTATCCGGGGCGGGTGTTCTCCGTAAATGTAAGTACTCCAGGTACATTATCTTGGAACGACGTGGATCAACATTGATGGTATTCGTGTACAATGTACTTCGTACTCCGTACCCGACAGGGAACTGAGACAATGGAATCATTCCATTTTCACACATTTCCCATGTGCCAGGAACACAATGAATACGAATAATTATGATCGTGTTAAGCATAACAGCTCGATAATCTCGTCATAATAGACCGAGCCGACGTAATGGACCGGGTACCGAAGCCGAGGCTGGGGAGGGATGAAAATGGAGACGTCAACATCAGGTCAGATTGAAGCTAAATTCAAGAATTGAGTTGTTTTCACATGGTCTGTTTGCACAGGTGTACGGTACACATGTGAAATTGACCCAGGTTCAGCTAGGTCAGCTATCAGGTTAGCTTCGTGGAGCTTTGGCGCTGGGCTGGGGACGATAGGCAGATCGCAAAGCGCACGTGAAATCAATAGTGGCCAGCATGGTCTGATGGGTTTATTGGGGTCCATCTACAAACGGTAATAATTGTGACTTTCAAGGGTCAAAGAATTAGGGTAGTATTTATCCATGGATCTTTCCTCTTCTTTTTTAAATAATAAATATTATTTTGTGAATTGTGAATCTTTGTCTCTCCACACTGGGCTACTGGGTTAGTTAGGATTAGCAGATCAGCTCATCGGGGTACACATGTAAAGTGCATCAATTGATCATTTAGTGGGATCATCGATCACTAGGGGCATTTTGTTTTTCCCGTCGAAAACAACGCAAATCGCAGATAAAAAATCTGTCAAAAGTGGGTAGGATTACTCAATCCGTGAGTATGGGGTAATCGAAACAAATAATTCACTCAGTGGAGAGACGGAAAAAGATACTCGGCCCTCACCGAAAACTGCACACGGTGGTGGGGGGCACCCACCACTGGCCGCTTCTTCCCCCCTTTTCCAGATAATGACCCATAACCAGTACAGTATGTACAATAAAGGTTCAAGATACTCTGTACTCTAGACAAACTATCTGTTCTCCTCTTCTTTTCTCCTTTTCTTCTTATCTTGTCTTTCAAGCGTTATCTTGCGTCCCCGGACTGTGTATCTGAACACTCGGACTCCGGCAGGTCGGCCCCGCATCATTGGAGGGGGCGGTGATATCAGCATGATGTGGCTTGAGATGATCATTGGGCGAGGGGGATTCTGTTCCAGAAGCTGTGGATCGCGGATCGCTCGCCTTGGCGTTGGAGTTTGCCTGTGTTGAAAGTGTGGATGTGCGTGGCAGTAGAACTCCCCAGCCCGGGTTTGGGGGCAAGCTGGGTTGCACCGGGGAGATACACTGCCGTGATTCCTATTTTGTTGTTCGCCGTGCGACGGAGGGTTAGTATTCCCCGCGCTGGACTGAGTAACTGGACCCGAATACTCCGTGCCTTTCGATTTATTTTATTTTATTTTATTTTATTTACTCCTATTTTATCTTATTTTATTATTTTAATCTCTCCACTATCAAATTTAAGGCCAATTTAGATTTTCCCTTTATTTCCATTATTAATACTCACTATCTATCTATCTTTCTTTACAGGCGTAGATAACTTATCCTTGGTAGAGAAGAACCAACTCTATACCCCGGATTTTTCAATCCCCCGCAAAGCCAAGCGCGCCAAATGTCACCCTTTCCAGCACAAATGATACACTCAAAGTTTTCACAGCTTGCAAGATCCAGGGTCCCTTCTCCATATCTCCGTAATTCCCCAATCTATGAGTCAACTAGTCTGAATGATAAATAATTAATGATTAATCCACGTCATGTAACTCCTACCGCCCATGATAACGATAGCCTTTGTCTTTGCCCAGGTGCTCCCGCTCGTACTGTAACCAGCCCAAGCGTTCCCCGTGGCGTTCGCTTGGTGAGGTTTCAGCGCAACAGGCAGCACGATTGGAAACAGAGCGCCAACGAATCCCAATTCTCGATGAACCCTGTCCCACGTCACTTTGTTTCTGTTTCTGTTTCTGTCTGTTTCGTCTCGGTTCGCGCCTTTGCCTTCGCTCTCGCCCTCGCATTCAACTTTAATTCGCTATTTTTTTTCTATCTCCAGCGAGGCGCAAGCACGTCATGGCTTACGTTCCAGCAAGGGGTTGCGTGATGGCTGATGGCTTATGTGTCCTGAACAGATACGGGGAGATTATTATGTGCGCATAAACGAATTGTAGACCTCCTTGTCCGCCCCCATCAGCCAGGTTGCAGTCATTTCCCGTTAATGCCTTGAATTTGTGAAGAGTAAAATCCTGCTAGAGGTATGTGCGGGATAGAATGACAATTCGGATAACGTGATGGTGGTGCTGGTGACTAAAAGATTGACTGTTCGGAAAGGCGGCAAGACAAGATTGGAACATTGAAATTGGAGATCAAATTGCGAGATTGCGTTATTGCGCTATTGCGATATGGCTTTTGCTTTCCCCGGTTCGAGTTTCCCCGTTCCCCATACCCCATACTTTGGATCATGATCACCCAAGGGATCATACTCGTTTTCGACTTCGGAGAACCGGGGATTACCTGATGCAGCTCAAAGTTGGCGCTGTAGGAGATTTGCATTTGCATTTGCATTTGCCTTTTGAATTTTTCATTTCCAATTTCCTGGTTTTTTCTTTTCTTTATCTCGATTTTTCATCAGTTGGAGTCAGTCACTTCTTCTTTTATAAAATGAAAATAAAAATTTGTCGTGGTCCAATCATTCTTAGCGCCTGCTCTTGACCAGGGTTACTGTCGTATGTTTGCGAAAAGATCACATAATATTACGGCGTGCATTATGTATAAGACCCAACTTTAAGATTCCCCAGACCCAGACAGATTGCGTGATAAGAACCGCTGTGGGGGAAATCAGCAAATCCGAAACTCAGCCCGGAAAATCATCCCTGTGATGTGCAATGACAAGCACATCA